TCCAACAATGAATGAAAATCAATTATTCAGCTACTATTGAGCAGGTTAGCATCTGACTTGGTTGAATAAATCAAATGAATTGAATGGGAAGACATTTATAGGTCTTTCAGTCGCGCTAGTGGTCAAGTTAAAACGGCTTGCACAATTCTTCAGATATCTCCCACAAACAGGTTAGGATGTTAGCTTCTGCCGTTTAAGTTCAGTGCTCATTATGCATGCGGAATGCAAAGGGTAGCTAGACTCGAAATTGGTTGCAAGAAATGGAATGTAGTCTTTTTCTTCCTCTGTGATATCTATAAATTTGGGTTTCGCAGAGATTTGTCCTTTTTAAAGGTTATGGAATCGATTTCAACCAAGAATTACTTCCTGAGAGAAGTGTTACCCAAATGTTCATATAGACTTAAAATTATTTGTTTACTGAACAAAATGATTGCTTTTTAATATGACAGGTTAATAAATTTTGAAAATTTCAGTATTCCACTCAGCCAGTTTCAAAGTTTAATATCTCTCATTTCTTTGAACAAGATGGTGATCAAATACCTGTGCAACCTACATCAGGAATCAATTTCCTAAAATGAGCGTGACTGAACTCAACATGAGAATATTATCGTGATAATAAGCGGTCTCATCTATATTTACTCTTGTTGGGCCTAATTCGCCGAAATTTAACAAGTCTTTACGATTTTTAATTAGAAGGTAGCTATCAACTAAAAATGCATGAAAATCCACACGACAACCGAGTTTAAACGAACTATGAGCTCTACCGTCTGTTAATGATATCATTAATTTTGTAGGCAAACGGATCTCATTTATCAGGGGGTGTAGAGAACCTGAGCATCGTAGATCGTTCAAACAGAGTTGAAAAATTTATGAGGTATTACTTGACGCGTGCAATCCTTGTGGAACGAGGTAATTAAGTTGTGTACATTGGTTAGCTTTCTGAGCCCGTCATGATCAGGTTCCACAGCCTTTTCGCTATGAAAAAGGTATAGGCCTCTCTCCTGAGTAAGAAGATAACAATAATGAAATAACAACACCAGCAACAAGAAAAACATCGACCAGGCCACATTAACACCTGGGTAATTATAAGGTAAAGAATTGAATGTAAATCGAACCACTTGCTGTTTTAACGGCAAAGTTTTCCTTGAAACCACTATGATGACAGATGACAAATTTTGTAACAGCTGAATAATTCAACGTTTAGTTAATATGCTCATGTCACACCATATCTCATTAACCTTTTCCTTCTCTTAACTTTTCGGTTAAAGGATGTGGTTGCGATTTCATTCTCAGCGTTAATACCGGCACTTATGTATGTTTTATCATGATAAGAGCAAGACGATTCGAGAAAAAATTTATCACCTCCTGCAGAGAAAATGCAATCTATGCTATTAATTCCTTAGTAAACTTTGGGCAAAGCAAAGATCAATAGACCGGCTACAGTAGATCACGATGAATTTTTCCTTCTTTATCGGATAACACTGAACGTAAGCTTTTTAAGTGTGGTTCGAGTGGTTATCGATTCCGTGTAGGAAAGACTGCGATTTGCTTCACTCTAATGCTATTGATTTTGACTGTGTTATTATCAAAGAGCAATTATTGGATGTTCACAGAGAGAATTCATCGTAAACTCGTCGCTTATTTTTGAGTTTTCTTTTACTAACTGTCGATTATTTATCAAGCACAAAATAATGATCTTTCGCCTCAGTGGACGGATGATTAAGGAGCCTGTCGAGCTCGACTGACAACGATTAAACTCGATTGCTCAAACCTCCTCTACCGCCAATATTTACTCATGCAATTACGCCCGAAGAATTTAATAACACTAATCTATCCTGACATGAGATTCTTCTCAGAAGTCGCACTTGTCTTAAGTTTTACACGTCATAGAGCTAAATGTATTGTTTAGTGCTAATCCAGCCGCTTTATTTTCCCATGGTTGTTGGATGTTACCGGAACCTTGACACGAAACTGTAGACAGCGGGGGACTGTAAACATCTTGCAAAAATTGCATGACTGCGTATTCAAAATAAGAGACTGCATTTGCTCGGTTTCAAGTAGGGTTGATCTAAAGTCGACGCTTTTATTACGAAGGTGAGTCTTCTGGGTTTCAAAGAAACATTCACATTGTTCTGAATTGAAAGCTGACGGTGACAAATTTTACCTTTCTTCAAGAAGATTACCTCAGCTCATGTGCAGTGCCCCCTCAAATTATGTACTGAGGTGAAAACATGCTTGATATGTTCCTGCTTGGGCTGTCTCTGTCATATTGATCACTTTCTTGATAAGCGTACTCTACTTTTACCTCGCTTTGATCGAGAAGAAGAGAATCATCTTAAGTGTCTTATAACAGAGTGATTCACAAATATGGTCGTACGAATTCAAAGTCAGCATTCGGTAATAATTGTTGCATTGTTCGTCATTGAAAGAGTGATTGGGAAAACAGTTTTTTCGTTATCGCTTCCGTGTATCCAAGGAAAAAAATTGATGATAATCAACTTAATTAAAATTTTTCAAAAGGCTTGAGCAAATAGATATCTTCATTGAATTAAGAGTTTTTTCAGCTAACGTTTTGAGGAATTACTCTTTGGCAAAATTTCTGGGTGTTTTACAGGTAAGGTAAGGAACAAGGAACCCCTTAACCACGGAACGGAAAACAATATGGTTACGAGCTATGAGACAGGAGCTACTTTAGTCACGAACTGCAATCGAAAGGAAAATGGAACTACTACTCTTAGCTCGATCTTAACTCACGATCAATCAGCAAAAATTAGCTTTGCTTTATCATTTTGAGCTGCGTGTTAAAGGTGCACTTAGCGCAATGATAATTAAACTAAAATCCGGAGCCCTTTAGGGTTTCCAAAAAGGTCTATACCAAATATTTGACTGACTGAATCTGGAAAGAATTACTGAGATTACTTTGACGATTGATTACATGACTGCTTTAGTTTCTATCGTTGTTTAAACCTAAATTTTCGGGACGCATCCGTCGATCACCTGAGCATACAATGGTGTTATTGGATGTTGTCTCCAATCAGTGAGCCAGCGATTTTCGCTCTCTTGAACGTCAGCGAAAACAGCGTTTAGTTTACGCCGTTATTATAAAACTTTCTTAAGGCTAAAGTGCGAACATTTCCTGTAAAACTTTGGAAAGAGCATTTGTCATCTATTTACTTCGCGCGATCAAACCTAGGGCGGTTTAATTTATTTCTTCCTACTGATGTCAGTGGATGTCTTTGTCATCAAATTCTGAGAATTTAATGTCGAATCTAATTGCTAATTACCTGTCGGTTTGACACTGAAAGTGCTGATTACCCTCGATGGTGAAAGGGTGAAGGAAATGAACTGCTAATCCCTCAGCTCACACGATATCATTGTTGATTTACGCATGGTGAACAGATCAATAACTCGCCTCAGCCTTCACTTTCGAGTAATAGTTGATCTGCCAGTCACTGACAAATCGCCATATTTTCTCAACCTTATCTACTAATCATTTTTTCACTTAATTACCGAGTTTGATTTTTAAAGCCATTTTCATTCATAACTGTCCAACTCGGAAGGCATGCAGTCTGCTATTTTCTGAGAACAAGGGTGGGCTCAATCACGCATGAGCGGAATATCATATATGGCTAACACAGATTGACGGTCGTACACGTGGGCAGTGCACAATGATTTGTCGGTAGATAGGTCACATGGTGGACGCACGGCCAATGATAACAAAGACAAAAACTCTATCGAATGATGTAGATTGTGATACTCGGTACGGGAAAACTCGCAAGATCCATGCAGTTCGTATTATGAACAAGAGAGATTCTAGGTCGAAAGTTGTTTAGCATGCCTAACTTTGGAAGTTAGTTAGGATAAGATTTAGACTTTTAACTGGTTCACCGAGCCCAAGTTTTTTATTTATTTGCAGTCAGTTGGTCCCTGCAGAAAATAAACCACCTCATCTAAAATAATTTATTTGATTTCCTGTGACAAAACTGACTGGCATTCTGTATTGTGTTGTGCATAATTTGCGCCACTGATACAAATTCTCTTGTTCAGCTTTGTTAACTGTTTTACATATCAGCTTCAGAATTTCAGAAGGTTGAAGTCTTCATACCGTTACATTCCTGAAAGAATTTAATTGAAATATTCTTTTTCATTTCTACGAAAGAAGGAACCATTTAACAAGTGCTCGAGAACACTAATTTCAAGTGAAAAACAAAATAGTGTAACTGGTTTGTTGACCTTTTTTTGTTGCATGGGCGACATCGATTAACTTTTCACTTTAATGCACCGCTAGCTGCTTGTCAAAGGATAAAGACACAAACGACATTTCCATCTAAGTAATCTTCTCATATTCCTCTCCTTGAGCGGTTGTCATCTTTGAATTGAATCACGCATAAGTAGATCAAGTCGAGTCTTTGACAACAAGATACTTGTGGTCCTAATTCTCTCTGGAGACACAGCTTGACAATCTGTTTTAAGTCCATCGTCCTTTCGGAAAATTTTAATATGTCATTATTTCGCGAAAATTGCAGAAAAATCTCTGGAATTTCCAGGTGCATATGTCGGTGTTTACTCAAACAGTTTACACATTCAAATGAATAATTCCATGCGCTTACTCTCTGTGTGTTTGTTTTGTACGAAAATTCAACAGTGCCTTCTTTACTGAACCTCAGCAGCGTAACTCCACTTTAAACTAGGGAGTAAAACCTCTCGAAAATTGATTTAAATAGTAGTTAGTCATGTCAACATTTAATTAGATGTTTTATGAGCCGGTTTGTTTAACAATCCTTCAGACTGAAGTGCGCGGGAACACATCAGCACATGGTTTTAAGTTGATATAGCAACTGAAACACTAAAGAAATCTTGGTAACAAGGTTTGTGCTACTGTAAGATAATCTTAATTATTTCCGAAATGTGCTGGTTTCAAAGCAGTAGTTGTAAAATCTAAGAATCTCATCTCAGATGCATCGGCTAACGGATGAATATTTTGATTCTGCAGCGAATGAATGGCAATGGATTTTGACTGCAAATGGTCTCCTATGACAACATCACAGGTACGTTACGATTACGTTGCTTTGCTTGAGTTCTAATGAAAATATGTTCAAGTGATGTCAGAATTTACGCGAAATCAAGTTGGAAATAAACAAGCAAAGTAAACCTTTCAAAATAGTTACAGAAACACGGACAAAGTCTGTTTACAGCTTCGTTTAACCAATACCTTTCGAGTAATTGAACGCTTTTTAATTGTCCGCCGTCACGCTTGAGTTTCTGTCGAGCCCCATGAGACATCGCTACCCAAGTCTATTAACGCTCTCGTGTTCTTTCTTTTAATAAAACCAATATCCTGAACACCATATTGTAGGAAGCTAAAAGAACGACCCTCTTTTGTTTCTGAAGATCGTATTGGAGACAAGGTCGACAATATTCTCGATCGAGAGAGTGAACTTCATTAATAATATTGCACTTGACAGTTTGCATCTTCTTCTAAGCAAGTAAGATCGACGACAATAGCGGCCTCTCTCTTTAGTTTGTACCTGCATATTTTAAGTTTCAAAAGACTTCTAATTACAAATGCATTGTGTTTCTATTACCTCAACGAAATGAAAATGGGCAAGAGCTTGAAGCGTGAAGCTCTCAAAAAATTTTTGTGGGATCTAAAACCGACCAGGATCTAACTGTAATTGAGTAGAAGTTGCGTAAAATATCAGGTATACTTTCTCTTTTTTACTTAACTTATGGATTACATTAATAAGATCTTAAAAGCAGCCATCCCTCACCATCTTAGTTGATGCTAACAAGACTAAATTCTGTAAGTACTTATCCATAATTTTGATTAAATCTGTTTCCTGTCGAAGACAGAGGAAAACATTTGTGGATTGCAGGGACAAAGGAGTGGTTATTCCGGTTGATTTCTGTCCGTGGAGCAGATATGTGTGCGTCACTTCCAAGCCAATAAGACGTTGTCATGATGTTCATTCAGTCAGCTCTAAAAGTTACAAATGTGAATATTTGGTTTGCCTTGTGTAGATTTTATACTTAAATAAATTTGTAAAGCGAGTTTGTTTTACTTTTTGCATTAGGCATTTTGGCAAGAGATGTCGGGGGATCGTGACATCATGAGAACTGGAATCGCCGAGAGGGTTCAAGCCGGACGCTCGCCACCGCTTAGAAGACGAAGAACAAGGGAATATATTCCAAACTCCAGATCAACACAAAGGCAAGGTTATCTGGATCAAAACTTGCACGAAAGCAGCTTATTCAGTGATGAATTGACTTACGGAACCCGTGATGCTAGTGGGCGTCTTTATCCCGACGAGAATATGAACAATTTTACTCGTTCATCTAGCGAAAACCAACACCATTTGCAGGACATTTTACGAGTGATGCCCGAGAACTCGCACCTGAGCGAAAGGTATCAGATACTCAAAGCGGAGAATAAAATACTCCGTGAGCGTTTGCAAAATGCGCTACAAAGGGAAATGAAGGCACTTAAGACATTTAAGAGACTTGCTAAAGAAAACAGGCAACTTAAGCTGAACTTAAGAAAATACGAGAGAACATTGCTTGGATTCTACGACGATGACACAGGTACGCGGTCTATTAGAATTAAAATTTTGTAGTGTTGGGAAAAATTGCGATTCTACTGCCCTAAATTTTTCACCGGCTTTAAAAAGGGAACAAGCAAATGAACAAGGAACCTCTCTCAGTCAACAAATTGTACCTGCGATTAGCGGTTTGCGTTTTGTTTGTTTACAGCAAAAATGTTTCGCTCAGCAAACAAATTCATTAATGAAGTATTCGTGATAACACCTGACAGCTTCAAAAGAAAATAACATTAATTGTTTGTGTGGCTTGCTTGCAATAGTTCCGCTTCTAATTATGTACCAATGGTGTCATTTTTACCCACTTAAATGTTCTTATGAATGCATCGGTCATAACACGTTTTTTTCTTTGATAGAATCTAAACGAATCAAACTGAATAGAGCGGCGCACTTATTTCCGTAATGTATTCAAGTAACTATTTTTTTGCGTCTCGAATTCTCAAATCAGCCTATTTCACATTCGGCACGGAGAGAGAAAGCGCAAAAGCGAAGATAAAATCTGCGGTATTGTATCTTAAAGAGTTCAACTTTTGAGCTCTAAGACCATGTACGATGTTAATTTTGACACAGTTTAACTCGATATACCAAAGAATATTTCTATCGGTCACTTATATCGATATGATTGGAAGCCTAACAAATTTTTTCACGGTCGAGTCCAGAAAACATGATAAAAACCTATGAAAAGAAATCTTTTGTGTCTGGAAACCACTGCGCTTTCATCAGTTGGGTAAAATTGTATGAACACTTTTTCCACTTTTCATTTGTTTTTGTTGTAAATTTTGGTTTTTCTTGATACCTCTTGCGCGCTAAACGCCATAACGATCTTCGCCATAGCCGGATAAACTGAATTCTAATTTAGGCAATAAGCTTCTTAAGAAAAAAAATCTAATGGAAATTTCGCTTACATTTTCCCGCTTTTGTAAACAATTATCGTAATCGTATTTCACCTTCTGTGAGTAAAATTAAGGTGTTCTGCAGACACGTTTCCAGAATCATATTGTTTAAGAATTAGTATGAATGTGGAATGAAGGAAAAACGGCGATTGGGTGAAAGGATTGTTTACTTTGTGAACTTTTCAGTTGGGCTGATCCCTACGAATTGTGTTTTATTCGTGTGTCATTTTTGGAGTTACAGCGAAGGATTTTTTTAGGCTGAAATATGCTCTCCTTAAAATTTACGTAATGTGTATCTCAGTAAAACTGACGATTTGGCTCAGTAAAACCCTTCGCTTCATTCAGTTTAGCTTCAATCTAAGATAGTCAAATAAAGGAATGAAGGCTCACAAGGAATTTGAAATTTGCTCCAAAATCCATCTAACTTGCGGTTCTTTCATTTTATTTCTGTTCATTTATTTCTTTTGAAAACCATTTCCTGTTTTTTATCACTTTGTGCTGTAGCTCAGTCTTTGTCTCAGACCACGTTCCAACCAGCGGGCGTTTTTGAGACGTGAGCAGGATATTTTGACCTTTGATCGACTTATTGTGCGACATGAAAGACTTGATCCAGAGTAAATCTTTCGAAAACAAATGTTTTGTCAACAGAACTTAAAGTTTCCTTGGATCATTACATAACTTACGTCACTTAGCAGTTTCCCTTATTAAAGTGGAATTTACTCAAAGCCCTTAACAGCAAAAGTACAAAGCGACAGATTGAAGAAATTGATTATATAACAACCTGAAGTCACTTTGCGATGGTAATTCATCATGCCTCTATAACATTAAACAAAACTTCAACATATTTTGAATGCAAATTGCAAAAAAAAAAACAACAAACAACAACACGTTTTGGATCAGATGCCAGTGACTATGCTCAATTGCCTCCTGCACCTTGCGGGGAAATAAAATGTTCAGAACGGCTAGTATCGGAATGAACAGAAGCAGAGCCGTGATGGTCCCACCACGAACTGCTGATGATTATGGAGTAATTAAACTAAAACTTCGCGCTGTAAGGTCGCAGAGTGTGGCAGGGTTACATTATATTTATCTTACAGCTGAAAGGCCCCAGACAACCAGCGAACGCTATTCTGTCGCACCACTGGCAGGTGATCACGATTGAACTGATACATGTAAAGATATGCACGTCTTTATTAACCAGATGAGTTCTTTTTATATCGTTTCATCGTAAAATATGCTCTAAAACATTGTTAAGATATTATACGCCGCATAATTTTCGAGAAAGAGGAAACGAAGTAATCTCAACTTTTAAAATATCGGATTTCTTTTTTGGCTGATTTTGGATCATGTCGATCTCTTAAAAACAATGCAAAATAAAAGTAGGAAGGGCTTTTTCATTTTATTTTTTACGAACAAACGCGACCACGAACATATACTTAGCAATTGAACTATTATAACAAGACCGTTTTACTTTTAGTCTGTAGACTGTGGAGTGTTTACGTGTCTGTGCATACATTTTACGATTAGGGATTCATTGATTAGACACATCCCTCTTTATGCCACGAGCGTATAAGCGTATAATTAGCATGTAAAATTGAATTCTCTCTAAAGCCTTGGCCTTGATTGTTCAAAGGTTGGATAACCCTATCCACAAGATAAATCTCTATCTGGTGGATAGCGCAGTACATTTTATAATCACTTGTCTGCTGGATAGCGATTTATCCGTTGGATAGCGTTATCCGCCCCTTATACAACTGGGCCCCAATCTTTGTAATATTTTCTTTTTAGTGCCAAATATTTCCAGATCGTGCAAAATCACTCGTTGACCCTGAGCTGTAAAATAGTTTTATGACGCACAGGGAAGTTAAATTAGTCATGGCTTTGTTTTAATGATAACAATTACGTGATTAGATGATAGTCAGTTGTACCTTTACCGCAGACCAATTATTGTGATCTTAAATAGTCATTAGCCCTTAAGAAGAGTGTTATATAAATATTCTGGAAACAAAAACTTTTTCTGTTTCAGTCTCAAGTACTGGGCTTCGTGAAATATTCTGTTCTCCGTTTGCGTGGTCCGTTTCTGTATTTATGTCATGTAACCTTGGCACATCAAGACAATTTACTATTGTATTTTTTTTCGCTTACCGCACAAATGATGAAAACTGTAACGATCATCCATTGACCATATATCGTCCTGACTGACATGCCAAAAACTTCGTTTTAGTCCTTGATTTCTGGAATAACGAAGAGCCAGCTTGCATTAAATAATGGTCCATAATAAGAAACTTGCAATTGTCTGTTGTGGCATAAATGTGAAACAACTATCAATATCTGTAGAATTGTGTGTTTATTAATGTGTATGCCGATTTTGTATTTCTTGAATATTCTATGGACTAGATTAACAGGCCATGTTTATTGCCTCGCTAATGTTGCACACAGAGAGAAGCGCCTACATACCGCTTCGGTTTTCAAGGGTCTTGAAAGACTTGACCACAAAGTATCATCTCGTGCTTCATTAAAACTACAATAGGTGACCTCTATAAATTTATGAAATAGCAATAATATTTTTAAAAAAGGAAATATGATCCCTTTAGTTTTTTAAAGTAAAAAATCTCCATATGAGATACCTTTAGCCACTTCAACGGCAAACTACGTGCAGCTAGTTTAGAATATAACTTTAACGCATCAATAAGGATGCTCAGAGTCAAATTGTTTGCGTTTAAAACAAATCAAGTGTTAAGAAGCCTTAAAGTTTTTATTCTTTTCTCAAAACGGTTTTCAAAGTTTTACGTTGAATTACATTGTTCCTATCTGTGATTTTATTAAGATTCAGACCACAGTGAGCATCCAAAAGATCCAGACTTTGGCGCCAATTTGTCACAGGAAAACAGCACAGTGTTACACGGGGAGGACCTCTGCAACGGGCAAGAATCGCCAGAAAGAGACTGTAATCAGACACCTCAGCCCTTAAAAGAAACTAAGAGTACATCCACATCAACTGAGGATATAATTTTAACGGGTAAAGAAGATAAATGCACATCAACGGATGATTTGGAAATTTTTGGACTAAAAACGGAGTCTGCTGAAAGCTCAGACACTGAGAACAACGACGACAAGGTGCCCGAGTGCGCGGGACCTGAGTGCCATGCTACAAGTCTCATTGAGACAAGTAATAACGCATGCGCAAGGCGTGAATACCCAGCTCCAAATCTGACTGATGCAACAAAAGTACAGTTCTTGCAATCTCAGCTACTCGCCATGCGAACACAAAGTGTACAAGAACGAAGGAAATTCAGCGATACTCGACGATATTGGACGGATCCCGTGATAGCCAACAATTTAGGTGTGAAGGAACTGAAAAGAGCGTCCAGTTCACCGAGCTTACTGGGTGAGTCAGCTATTTCCTGAGCAGCGGTTACTAAAGTAGAAATAAACTTGTTGTCAAACAACATGGAGTCAGCAGAGGGCGTAGGTTTCAGATGGACTCGCTATGAAATCCTTTTCCTTCCCATCCATAAAGCGATGTTCTTTGTGGTTCAAATAGAAACACGTTTAACATTAAAAATTTCATTTTGCAGATGGATGTGGCGAGAACACTACAGAGAAAAAGAATCTCCATCGTAAAGATGCTGCGTCGATCCCAAAACGACGCGTGTCGGACGGCAATAATCCTTTCTCATCTGATTTTATTCCTCGGTCGCGACCATCGTCATTTAATGATGGTGAGCTTAGCACAGTCCCTGAGGTGACTATTTCTCAAGATGAAGAGTGTAATGACAGTGAAGACAGCTCCAGATCACCTTCTCCTAATTCAAGGGTAGGGTTCATCTTCAACTTCAGAGTCACCCTTGACGTCTTATTTTTCTTTAATCAATGATTCTAAGTAATATTGTCTTTTCTTACCTAAAAAAAACACCTTCAAGAACTGAAGTAAATAGCGGTCTTTATTTTGTTTATGTCAACTCAATTATAAGGTATCTCGTTTTACGGGTCCGTTAAGCTACCTTCTCAAACTCATTAATAATTCATGCTGAGAAAACAATGGAAATTACAACCGTGAAGGAGGTTTGGATATGTGATCTTAATTATCATAAAATTTGGTGAACTTTTGCTTCGATTTTCTCCTAGAATCATTAATGGTTTGAGAAGCTATATCAAACATTCGAAAGGGTGTTTCATCCAATATCCAAACACCTTGAAGTCGGTTAAAAAAAACTCGGCTGCGTCTCATTTTTTCAACCAGTTCTCAGTGTTGGATATCGGATGAAACACTCTTCCTCGTGTTTGATATATTACGTGACCTTAGAGAAACGGCCTCAGTTCTGATCCTCTCCTGATCCATTTCACAGCATTCTCAAGATGATCTGGCGTCAAGCTCCTCGTCGCCAGTCCCCTCTCCCATAAGCGTGGAAAGTCCAGCTTCCCAAAGATCACCGCGAGCGTCTCCACTCATTCTGGACGTAGACTCCGTAATTAGTGAAAGGCACCAGGTGAGGGACCTATTTTTCTCATCATAACACTGAAGTTCTGGCATCTTTGACCCATTAATTGCAACAGAAAGTCGAATAATCTTTTCATAGATCAGTTATTTTTATTTGACGAATGCAGTTCAAATCCTAAAATATAATAAAACACGGTGATTCCAACTGGTTGGTACGTGGCAAGGCAGATCGAAGCAGCATGTGACTGTTGGCTGCCTTCAGTTTTGTTCTTTTACTAACGAACGACAAAATGCATGAATCAGCTTTGATTTTAATCCACTTACTTCTTCATATCAGTAGAAAACTACGAAAAGTTGTCTTTATCATCAAAATGCAGACATTTCCCTTTGAGTACATTGAAACTTTGAAACAGAAAGAGGAAAATTCCTTTCTGATCGTTTCCTATCAACTCCATGCTCCACCCCTCTAAAAACAGCCGAATAAGCAGAAACATGCGTGTCTTAAGAATCACTTCATAGCTTTCTAAAAAGCTTTTATAGATCGCCCTACACAGGTTTTTTTTTTGATACGATAACAACATTTTGTTGATGGGAAAATACAGATTCATGACACAGAAATTTTAATTTCGGCCCGCCGACTATTTTCTAGAAACTTCTGGCCGAGGCTCCAGCCTCACCCAGTCCACAACCAAGTCCAGCCGGAAGCCCTCAGACAAAAAGAAAACTGGCTCATACAGTATCACTTCCACAAACGTCAGTTCATCATTACTTGGGTATGCAGGGACAGAGCAAAGACACTGTGGACAAGAACGACCCACCACTAACGGTACATATTCGAGTTATCATTTGCGTTTGTTTCCGTCAATAGAATACTCGACTGATGTTATGGTATCGCGACGAGTATTGTACTTTGACCTAAGAAATTTTTCTTTGCTTGCGAACGGAAGTTGAAAGGAGAATCACTTATGTCCAGGATTCAAGAAGCTTTTAGAATTTTTTCAATTTTTTGTAATTTTCTTCAATCCTATTTCCCTTCCATCTTTCTTTCTTGACTTTCTTTTAATCTGAAATTTGAGAGCCTGAGCATGTAGTGGAATGATGTTAACTCTCAAACTCCCATGGGTGATATAGACATAATTTTTTCTTACAATATCAAGCAGACAAGTGATGACAATAACAAAAAATATCATATAGGTGATTATTAATTGATCCAATACCATATTCTCCGAACTAACATCATTATAATTGTATGGAAGACAGTGTGGAAAATAACTTATGAGATCTTGGGAGAGAAAGGGTTTAAAGTAATTTAAGAACTGTCTGTCAAATTTTAGCGCCGGTCAAGAAGGAAGTCAATTGATGACGATGAAATCTACGTCAAGAAAAACCGTCAAACGTCTGTGTCACTGGTAAGAGAAACGTTACTGTTGGCGAATGCCCCTCTTCAGTGAAGCTTAACTTTTAGCTCGACTGCCTTTTTTCGTCAGAAATTCGAAGGTGACATCGAAAGAGAAAACGCCGAGAGTCTGGCGGCAGACATTGCAGAGTTTCTAAACAGCCGCAAGAAACGATCCCGAGCGGATACAATGCCGGTAAAAATACACTTGAACTCTCTCTTTCCTGTTATGTATACGGACAAAGTAGATTACATAAAGGCCTTTGATCGGGCGTTCTGTTCATCATGAAAGGACTGTTTCAGCGACCACCTTTATTACTCTGGATAAAATTCTTAAGTATAAAAACTATTGCTATAAATTCCGGCTTCGCATACATCATTTGAAAAATATTTTGTTCATTTCAGAGCCCGCGAACCTCAAGAGAGGAGGAACTAAAAGGAGAAAATCAGTCAGCGGACGAAGAGTAAGCAATATACTATTTACGTTCTACATAAGCAATCTATTATTGAACCATCAGAAAGTTTGACTGAAAAATAATTTAAGAAAGAGAAAAGGTAAGCCAAGTTTGCTAAAATGCGACTGTTCTCTCTAGTGATGCTGTCTTCACTCCAGCGCGTTCAACGCGCGCACGACGAGGCTCCGCTGTGGTGTCCATGCCTGGGGACCACTATCAAATGGACCTTCATGTACTCAATGTTACAGGAGAGGGGATTGGTAAGAAAAAACAAAGAATGCATGATCCAGCCATGTTGTACTGCTACAGTACATTATTTTATAGTAACCCTAAGTAGATCTATAGTCATACAACTGAAAGGATACATACTAACACGCATGTGGATAATAAACATGTGGATAATACATGGTGAAAAAAACAGTCGTTTGATGATTCGATATTTTTTATTTCATTTTTGCCAATCGATTTATTAATTCACATTCAATACTTTCTCTTTCAATGAAAATTCACAGGTAAATCGACATCTAAAGTTGAAGTTTCGACCCCAGTTGTGGAAATGAAGAACAATAAAAGCTATGAAAACAAACTTACATGAAAAAGGGGCGATTTATTTTTCGTTAAGCAAGCCTAAATGTCTGCATGAAAGATTGTCAAACTACTTTAGTTTCAATGAATTTAAATGAAAATCTCTAAGTTCAAGGAAATTCATAGGAGAGATTAAAAAACTGCGATGAAAAAGGTTAATGACCTTGGTAAATGTGAGTCGGTTACTATAGAATCTTTTAATCCTTTACACCCTAACGACAGTATGTATATTCTCCACAATCCTCTTTAAACACTTCCTGTGGTATTACCACTGGAAAATTTGTCAAACAATCAGGAGCTTATTTAGTTAACGATCATATTCAGGGTGATATTGTAAGGAAAATCAGATGACAGTCATCCGTATGGGTTTAAGAATTATTTAAGACAGCGAAAGAAAAAACTGAATTCGTGAGAAGCCATTTAATAAAAAAAATTAATTTTCTGTTACAATATTATTCACACTTTTCGTAAGTAAAAAGAAATGACCGGAAATAAGCACAATTATGATGTAGACCTGGTGTGTATTCTGTTCATCATTTTACTGCATCGAACTTGACATTTCGTAAACAAAAAAGGCACATGAGATTATGTATGTACTATTGTATATCAGATTATGAAGCAATTTTTTGTCAGCCAATAGGTCAAGGAGACACGATAGAAAGATTCTGGTTTTCTAAAGTATTTAACAAGAGTTCTAGCTCTAGAACATTCTGTACAATGGCCAAAGCGGAAATACCTTTATCAGCTTACAAGTATATTCGTGGAATGTCGAGTGTTTTCGAACCACAAGAGCAAATTGCAATGGAGGATAACTCATGTGAACGCTCATTATCGGTTTTTATCCATCCTAAATTGCTTTGTCTGAAGATTCCACCATTCATTTTGATTTTACTAGTCTTTGGGTTTTCTTGTGTTCTATATCAATTAACTATACTTCTGCGATGCGCCTCAACTAAATATTGCTTTTTTTAGCGGTGAAAGCGTTTTTAAAATTGCATGACGAACCCCCAAAGCTGATCAAATTTGCAAAGTTCTGATCACGTTTGATAACCTCTCGGTTACTATAAACACGGAGAAACAAAGTAATTTAAGAACTGTCTGTCAAATTTTAGCGCCGTTCAAGAAATTTTTTAATTTCATCGTCTTCCGCTCTACGTTCAGAGGAACTGGTTTCCGATCGTCCGCTATTATTTCTAATTATAGAGAGATCGTTACCTAGAAAGTTCGATTTTTCTCTGAAACTTCATAGAGCTGACCGCTGGTGACCGTTGTTCAAGTTGTAGTTAGTTATTGGGAAGTTTTCGCTTGTGAACGTGAAACAGTAATGAAACATGGGTTTCATCGGACGCGTTATCAACACTAATTTGCAATTCTGTGGTACGGTATCAGAATCAACAAATTACCTTAATTTGCTAGAATCGAAGGACATGCTTAATTTTTTGTACTCTTTTTTTAACAAAAAGGAAAGACACTGAGTGTTATCCGCGAGAAGAAGGAACTCTCAGGATCATCTACATCTCTCAACAGCATAGGTTCGTAAAACAAGTCGATTTAAAGCATAATGTATGAATTATCTGCTGAAATGTCGTGACTAGTCTTGGGATTTATGTAAACTTTTTGTCTGTTAATGCTGTGACACGAGGTTTATTTTGATATGAGCTTTGCCGACATTTCTGTGAGGACTGTTGACACCTGAGCTTATATTTCTCTATATTTCCTTTTTACGATTGCAACTATATCCTGACCAAATTTATGAATATCTGTTTTCAGACCCAGACAAGAAATCACGATGGTCTATTCTAAGAAGAAATAAGAAAATGGTAATTATTGGAGACTGTTTTGATTTCAATCGACTTCCTCTACGTTATAGATACTGCCCGGCGTTTTACTCGACATTAACCTTTTTTGCTTACTTTGATCTCGATAGTTGCTACTCAAAGATAAACAACCCAGACAAGGGGAAGATTTCAAAGAAAGTTTGGCTCGCATGAGGGACAACCCAAAAGCCATTGTAACACACGAACTGGCTGAGTTTAAGGTTAGTTAAGAAGCAAAGTATATGAATTGATTACGGCCATCAACTTGTTTTGTTATTTTTAGAACACCCAAACGTGACACTGTAGCCTTTGTCATGTCTCGAGTGACACTTTAAAAAAGATATTGCAAAATACAGATAACAAACTCATGATCACGTATTCAAACTTGACAAACGGAGTACAAAAAGTGAATGTTGGTCCCTAAACAATTGAACGGTGTTCTTAATAGAGTCGGATATTTTGATGAACTTTTGTATTTACAAAATAAGAAAGTCAATTGTATCTTGCAAGACTTTTTGTAGAACTGTTGTCGATATAGTCACTCAGGGGCATTGAATCAAAGTTCCTGTGATACCTTTAATCTGGGTAACCTTGTTTCTCTAAACCCACTGAGCCAATCTTATCCGCACTGATAAACTACATACATGAAGATGATTGCTGAGAGAGATCATTTAAACGGCCTCGTTTGCACGTTTGACACAAACATTTATGGAAATGGCCCAATTGTTGTGGGGCAGGAGGGGCTGGCCACTGGGTCCTAAATTCATCCCATTACTGCGTTAACAATTCATGGCTTTCAGCGAAAGCTTGGATTTTTGTCAAACGGATCATGTGTTCGACACGTTTACCCTAGCGCGCGATAAAGGTTTTGAGTTAGTGCCAATTGTTTTTTTTTTCAGTCGTAAATATTTCATATACATCATCGCATGCCCGTCAATACATGCCTTAAAAGCAACAAACTTTCAAAAGTGTGGTCATGTTTGTCATTTGAAGCTGAATCAATCTACTCTTTTGTTGAAAAGACATTTCATCTCAACAAAAAATAGGGCATTGAGACGTGATGGACCTTTTCGCTTTTCAGTGATTACTGCAAATCGTCCGTGAAGTAAGACAAATATCTTTAAAAATCGGTTATTTTTTTTAAACTATTTTTTTCTTATAAGATATCAGCAACTTCCTGCATATTTTAGCACCACTCCCACACACGGATACACATACCCACACGCAAAATTCTAGTGCTGTTTTTTCTTACGAATTCTCGTAATTTTTCAACATCAAAATATTCATGCAGCAAAACTATTGATAGAGAATAATTTCTCATTAAGGATGAGAATTCTGAACTGTCATGACAAATTCATAAAACATGAAATTACGATCTCGTCCTGATTTCATATAATCATAAATTTAATTTTCCGCTCGGCGTTTTCTTGTTGTGGCAAACTTAAAACACTTCCAAAATCAATCGATGATGTTATGGGACAAAGTAAAAAATCTGAATAAAATCTAAAATTTCTGAATGTCTTTTTAATTCACAGAATAGTCACTGGACGCAGCTTATGGGTCAGAGCACAGAGAATTGTCCGAGGAGGCCTCGGTCTGATGGTATCAGAGCGCTGTCTGATCATGAGACCAAAAGACGCGAAGCAGTATGGGAACTGTTTCATAGCGAGGTCATTTACCTGATGAGTCATCTACTGGTTCTTAAAGAGGTAAGACTTCTCTGCGTAAGGTTTGCAAGGAATTACCGGGACCCAAGGCGTACTTATTTCATTCCCTGCCGTTATTTTGGGGACCTGTCATAAAGCGTCGGGGGGGAAGGGGGGGGGGGGATTTTGGTTGTGTCACGATAACATTTATCAGATCCTCCTATAGGGCTACGTAATACTCTTATGGTCCCCTCCTAGTTGACCGTTAATTCTTAGTCAATGGCAATGACTGACCCCCCCTCTGTTTCTCCTGAGAACCATGCGATACCCTCCCCTCAAGGTGATAAAAAAATGACTGGTTCCAAATATGTCTGAGTACAACCTAGTGGCTTCATACAACACTTGTTGTTTCACATATTCTATCTTTCATTCCCCTTAACTTCAGCAATTTCAAAAGTTCCAGTGGTAAAATTCTATTTTCTAAGAAATCTGCTCACCAGTTGTGTTCTGAAATTGAATTTTATCACAAATTTTTTTCTATATTTTCTATTTGTCATTGTTTCATTTTTCATCCATCACCACAGGTGTTCCTTGAACCTTTAAAAGAGATCCAGCAAATGGCGCATTTACAGCATGTGGACGTCAATAAGATCTTCTGTAATGTTCAGGACCTGTGTGAGGTAAAACCAGTAGGACACTTTAGGTTCCTTTATACCAATAGTACTCCTAACATTCCCCACTTCAAGGCAACAAGCTTTGAACTTGAAAGCTGAATAAGCACACTTGTTACACGGATTTACCTTCCCTCTTTCAAAGGGAGGAACGTTTTTGGGTTTGTCTGATGTTCCGAGAAATCTATCGATCAAAGTGTACGATATTCTAGCAGTAATAACTATAGACAAGAGAATATCATTTGAGACACTTTTGTGAAGGAAACATAATTGGGAAGCTGAAATAAAGCTTGACATTTAATTTTTACGGAGAAAGATCTTGGGTCAGAAAAAAACTCACAGTTGCATCGTTTCAGGGAAGCATTGGCTCGTTCACACGCACATACAAATATTGAACTTAAGATTACACTGTAACGATGACTCCAACTATCGAAGAAGTATTATTCTTTAAGAGGGACACCATATTCATAATTCTTGTGAAAAACACTTTCATCGTTTGACCGTGTTATAAATTTCCTTTTCATAACATTCGTTTTACAGGTCAGCACTCGATTCGCAAAGAATCTTCTGCGTGTATTCCAAAGTGAACAACCCACACAGTTTGGAAGTACTGCTTCTGTTGTTTCGGCTTTTACTGAGGTTGGTATTTCTACTATATTGCCTTTCCTACTTTGCTCTCATTCCATTTTGTTTAACTGCCTTGTGAGACTTCACCTTTGTTTTCTGTCGTTTTTCCTTAACAGTTTAGTCGAAAGGTTCACCCGCAGTATCAGCGGTATTGCTTGAATTACTCCAAAGCCCTTAGTTATTTGGATTCCCTGAAGAAGGACGAAGACTTCCAAGACTTTATTAAGGTAAAACTTAGTTTTCTGCACTGCATTTCGAATTTTTTTCTACGTATAAATCCTGGTTGTCCAACCCAGGAGACTATCTCTGTAAAAAACTCGTTAAGACTGAGCTAATTCATCTTCAGTCTTTCAATATTTATAGTTATAAATCACGTGAAAGCAACAGTAGAAAAGGAGTTTGAGGTAGCTTGACAATGAGCGATTGGTTCATTGGCCCAGAAATTGTGCGTCGTGCACGTACGATACGGACGCAGGAGACACGTAAAATGATAGGCTAGAAACAGTATTACTCCAGCCTTACTATTTTGACAACATTTTTCTTTTTCGTTTACCATTTATACTTGTATTTATCTTTAGTGGTGTGAGTCCGACAGTAGATGTAATAGACTCCAAATCACAGATCTTTTAGTGGCACCACTCCAACACCTTACAAAATATCCTCTGCTACTCAAGGTATGTATTAGAAGCATTTAAAGCATACTTTTTCTCTAGCAACCATAGTATTTTTCCTTCTATCCTTCGAACGTATGAATGAAAAGTTACCAGCTGACACGTCTTAGCTTCTAAGAGTAACCTAGCCGTTAAAATCGTTTTAAAATGCGCTAAAAGTTCAACTACATTTGGGACATGTTGGCGGCGTTCTTAGTAGAATTAGCACCTTCGAGAAAGATTTTCGGAAATGAAGGTTACGGTTTGATGTATCAAAATGCGGTCATTGTCATAATATTTTAAATACCTTTTAGTAGCGGACATGAAAATGATATAGTTTCTGGGATATACTTCTCCTTTAAAATAGACATGAGTACCGAGGAAATAACTTTTAAATTCGTGAACAATCTGTCACTGAATCGGATGATTCTATTTTACTTACAGAACATCAGAAAAAGAACTGCTGAGGGAGATGAGCAACATGGTTCTCTTTCGTCTATCATCAAAGCAGTAGAACTTTCAATACGTAAGTAAATGTATTTGCTGGTTTATTAACCAATGTTATTGTGACAGTACGAAATGACATTGATTCAGAACATGACATCCAATTCGGGCTTAATTTTTTTCTTGCAGAGGAATTAGAAGGCAAAGTGAAGTCCCGCGCAAACTATGAAAGATTACAAGAACTTCAAAGTAGTTTAGTTTGGCCTTCCATTACTGAGCTGGATCCAAAGACATATGTACCCGAGGTGAGGTGTTGTTATTGATTTCTAGAATAACTGAGACAAAACGCATGCTCAGATTCTTTCGTCGAAAATCTATCGTTTATTGATGAACTCATGGCTTTTCGATAAGAACATTAAACTGCACGTTCAAATGAAAGTTCCTTGTCATTGGGGAAACACCAAAACACTTTTTCATGTTGCCCTACGGTTGAAAACTACCAAATGGCTACAGTCAATCATAGACGGAAGAGATAACATCATTTTCCATCATATCCATTCAAGATAACTCACAAAAACATTTTGAAAAAGGAAAACGGAGGAGTTATAATTATCCGCCTCTTAGTTGTCTTTGGATGATAACTTCTTTTTGTAAATATTCTGTTTTTTCTGTGTAGTTTTTGAGAGGAATACTATCAAAGCAACCCTGTGAAAGCCTATTAGCAAGTCCAAAAAGACAACTGCTGTACGAAGGACCTCTCATGTTAATTGGTAAGTTATCACCAAAACTTGTACGTAATTACTCACTGGCTCACAGCGATTTCTGAACCGAATACTCATGGAGAACTATACTGTGAAATGTAACTGAAACATATTGCAAATCCCAGACAGAATTTGATCAATTAAAACATTCTAACTCAACAAACGAAAGGCAGAACGATTGTGTTTGGTTGAAATGCTCAGTTAACACACGTACCCAACTTCTTTCGATGCCTTATTCTCTTTCAGAAAACGCCAAAGTCGATGTTTATGCATTCCTGTTCGACGACATGCTTCTTTTAACCAGATTCAGAAAACTTCCTCTAAAAGTAAACAAGGTATGAAACGAGAAAGAGTTTGTACTACCTTGTATTTAAAGATTTCGCAATTTATTCTATTCGGGAAGAAATGAGAGAACATCAAAATGTTATAACCCTATATCTTAGCATGTTGTTGATTATGGTTCATATCTTTCATTTGATCAGAAACTGAATCTGGCCGGAATGACAGATAGTCCCCCACCCACTCCTCCCGTGGTCAGACGCAGCATGTCGGGAGCGCAATACACAGTTTACAAACAAGTACGTAATTCAAAATGCGTAAGACACATTATCTTTACTCCTAAACTCCATAGCTGTGCTTTAATAGTTCTCTCTGTTGAAGATAAACAGTGACGTGATTCTGAATAGTTCATTTGATCAGGAAACGAATCAATTCCAAAGAACTAGCGTGTTCTTTGATGAGTGATATGGTTTATTAAATCTTCTTAGAATTGCTTTTCAAGTTATTCACGATGCTCAATATTGTTCACTCTGTCAATCTTTCAGCCAATACCACTGGACAGATTCATTATTATTGATGCCGAAGCCACACATGCAGGTAATTGTTTTCGTAACACTTGTGAAAAATATTTTTTGCGAATCTATATATTCTTTAAGAATGAGGGATGTGTTTCACGTTGACTTGACATCTGTTCTGTTGCGTTCTTTTAGGAAGCACGTTAAAGAACTCGTTCATAATAATCCACTACAGCAGATTTAAACAAACAGTGGGATTGTACACGCTACAAGCACCGTCACAAAATCTCAAGGTAACATCGTGTACTTGAAATTTTGTAAAATTAAAAAACTGTGTCCGTCCTTTTCCTTAGATTTTCCAGCAACGGTAGGAAAATAAACTATTGTGTGCTGCAAACTTTCTGATAATTTTTTCCCCAAATTACTCACAGGAAACCTGGACAAGCACACTGAAAGCCGCTCAGAGTAAATGGTCAGAGGCGGTGGCACTTGAATTGGCTGCGGAAACAGAAAAAATGAGCGCCTTTCAGACTATCAGTGAAAAAGAAGTTGAACAAGAAACAGAACCTAAGTCCCCTGACGACACAACCTTGAGTCAAACTCAAATGCTGTCTTATTACAAACCCATTGAATCACAGTGTTGACGATAAATTTACTATAACCGTCAAAGTGCGGGACATTGGTAGAACTGTTCTTTATACTGTTTGCGGGGTCACAGACAGATTACACGTCTCGATACAGACGAAGAAATTATAAAGAATGCCTCGCCACAAACAATTGATCCAATCACTGCTGATCAACGAGGTTATAAGAAGCGTAATAGAATGTTTACAATTGGACATCCATGTGTTTTAGAAAACAAACGAACTGTAAATAATGAACACAAAAAAAAAATTGTACGTGGTCTATCGAGACACATCACACATGTGTTTCGCAATTTATTGAAGTGGTATTTCCTCCCCAAGCAGACCCAATCGAGACCCAAGGCTCGACTATTAAACAGCATAACCATACATGCATGGTCACTCTTGACTAGATTTGAAAACTTTCGTTTTGTTCAATATTGTGTACATATGTTCTTCGCGGATGCAGAGTAATCTCCACATTCAAAAGAGAATTATGCGCGTTTATTAATGGCTCAAATGTAAACTGATGTTAAATCTGATCATGATAAAGTGAAAATTTGACTCCATATTACCACTAAGACATTTTTGTACAAATCAGGTTAATTTTTTGTTAATCAGTTGATTTTGTAAAATACGTTCTAGATAGGGAATGTGAAAGTAGACATGATAATCCCAACGAAATACCTTAACATCATTAGTGTCTTTTTTATTGTATTTAAATTTGTAACTGGACCAATAATCGTACATTGCATAATTTCAGATAGATGGAGGGCTATGATTATAACAAGATTTCCCGTCCACACTACCTAACACTTAAGAATCTCTTTTGTTCCATGGAAAAATCATCAGTCAATAAATACACCTTACTAACTCTTCACAACTTTGGGCTGTGACGCTGGTTTTTATACACAATATCAGAGGCCTCCCCCCCCCCACCAAAAATAAAAGTTAATCACTTCCTCAGTTTGTGGGTTATAGCAGCCATCAGGTTGCAGGAGCCGATTTCTTGTTTGGGCATAGTATAACTAAGGGATTTTGTTGGTTTTAAGCGCATCCTTGAGGACAGAAAAGAAGAACTGCGAATAATATCACATAAACGTAATCAATTCTCAAACTATCCTAAAGTTATGGATTTGTCCTCCTCGAACGAGGTTGTTTTATTCCTCGCTATAAGTGCGATCTCTCGAGTATAAGGGGGGGGGGATTTTTCTTTCTCCAACTTCCAAAAAAACGTTCATCGACTCAAGTATAGGGTAATTTGGGTTATTGTAGGAAGAAATCTGAGACACGAGCTGCTCAGAGGCAAGCTCAGCAGAAGGCAAGAGACAATGAAACATGCAGAACAAAATCCAAACGAATTTGATGAACACACCACATGCTTGTATTCGCTAAAGCCGGTGACGGGTAAAAACCTCGCCAGGAGACCCACTTCTGGTGTAGATTAATCAGGAATCCAATTCGTAAACGGAATTCAGGTACGCATTCTGACCTAGGTCATTCGCCTAGGTCCTCGCAATTGCTGTAGAACTGAGTCCCCTCCATCAGCCAATGTGAGGCACCCTATTTATTTGAGTTACTTTGATCCTTATGCATCAGTATTTTGTGCAAAATCATCTCTGTCCTCTGTCTCGTCTTCTTCGTCATCTTCCAAACTGCACAACAATGCGTCATTTTCGTAAGTTGGGAAATAATACCTGGAAATGAAAACAGGCACATTTTATCGATTTTCCTGACGTGTAGTCCTTTGCTTGAATTATGTATTGTTGCTATTGTTTGTGTTGCGACCCTGGGGGAAGATAGCTTGAGCAGACTCGCTGAGCGAAGGGTATCAGGAGTCTTGGATCACAATAGCATCTTGTTAAATGTACTACTGCCTTGCTGTTACAACGTCTATTAAATCCAGCTACAACTCCAACTGCAACCAAATACTATTACCAAAAAGCTACGCGCTGATTTTTCCAATTGGCTGTGTTTTCATAACCATGGGAGCTGACACCACACCTGTGCTCTGTGCGAGATAGCGGCACATAGGACCGTGTAATAAACAATCTGAAGCACTAATAATTTAGAGAGAAAACACTCACAGATGTGTACCTTGCGCCGATAAAAAGTCCAAAAGTTTCATGCAAATAAAACACTTTAAACGGTGAAAACTATAGAAACATCGAACTCTAGAACGTATCAACAAGAAGCCCAGAAACATCTAACTACATAACATTTCAATTACATAACATTTGTAAAGTGAACTAAAAAGTTCAAAATTAAGGAGATAAAAACTCACTGTGGTTGATCCCACACCGTACGGTCTTCAGGTACAGAGAAGTGTTGAGCTTTTTTCATGTGTTCTAAAACAGTGACCTTGTCTTGGAAATTCTCTTGACACTTAATACAGTTATTTTTGTAAACCTGCAAAAATACAGTGGGGACTGGTTAATGATAATACCCTCTTATCGCAGTTTCGTTCCACCCACCATGACTGACCTCCAAACCAACCCACTATAAAGGTAACTGTGAAGAACAGCTTCCCTCAACCGACTATCGGCCAACAGTCGGCAAACAATCGGTCGGCCGCCGGCAACAAAGTTCTCACGGTGTTTGACACCAAAAGATCAGTAGAACAAAACAAAACAAAATAAAAACCAAGAAGTACACCGATAATGTTGAGATTCAATGGCGGAAAAGAAGTCCGAGGATTTAAATCGCCGGGGTCGGTCCAAATCCGCTAACGGACTGATATGAACATCTTCTAGGACACTGGTCTAAATCTGTGTAGATCAAGCGCTTGCAACTGACACTGCACATAAACATATAAACATATACCTGTCTTCTTATGTAATTGACGATTTTAACTTGGTGATAAAAGTCCAGACCTAATTGAAAAAATAATAATTTAGACCTTTTAGCCTGTTCATAAATAAATGTCTATGTACAAATATAATGTGAATTAGCTATTATCACTGATTGACAATTTTACTATCAAGATTGACTGACTGATTAATTCACTTCGTTCAGCCAAATTGAGTTTGTGTTGTAGGTTTCTGTAATATTTAATTAGCTCCACGAGCTCCAAAGACACGAAGTTACCCCAAGGTATGAAGAATATTGAATTTGACCTTGAACGCTAAGCTATTTAAAGCTGTCTGTCAGAGTGTAAGGGTTAAACCTTATACTCGAAAGATCCTCTTATAGTGCATTTTGATCGAGTTTCGAAAAAGCAGAACCAAAAACCAAAGTAATGACGACGGCAAATTACAACATGAGATAACATGTCATGGAGCTGATGAGAACCCCAAGGTAAAATCAAGCAAGTTTCCCTAACCACGGGAAAGAGGTGCAGGTTTTCTAGCAATTTACTTAGCGAAATGTTGTCCAATTCCTAATATAGAATTTACTGTTTTACACCCTCAATATGAAAGGGTTGTACATTTTGATCATCTGTTAACTGGAAGGTGAATCAAATTTTGAGGAAAACTGTTCGGAGTTTGAGGGTTCAGAGTGCTGTTTTTAATTAATATCGACTTTACTATTATACTGCGGTTGTTGATTAAACTGTTGCCATACATCAAACTTACCAAAAGAGCTCTTAATAGTGTAAAAATCGAATAAATGCTCCTCCTAAGAGAGAGAGAGAGAGAGAATGTTGTTCAACGACTAAGTAAAGACAAAACAATGAACGGTGACAATGTTTGTATGTAGAATCAGCAATGTAATGCGTGCTTCAGGGCAGTAAATATCAACCGGTGAATGACAAATATCAAATTCTACTTTTTTTTGACAGTCAATTATGGACACTGGCTTCACCTCTATCTACATGTACGTGTACCTTCATGTGCTGTAGAATCTCATTAGTGGCAGGGCTAGAAGATTCACAGAACAAGCAAACACACGGTGGTAAATCACCCTTCCAGTCACTCCAGTCACTGCCGAGAAATTATTTTTGGTGTTAATTTATCAGTGGAGGAAAACAGGGCAGCCTCGCCTTGTTTGTTAATTGATTTAAATTTTAGCAAACTGAGACACTCAGCTTGAAGGAGAGACTTCAGGCCTATAACCCATTGTCTGTTGGTTTGTTGGTTTGTGATTTAGAGAAAAAATTAAACTGATACCTTTGATTTTTCAGTTTTTTGATTAGTATTAAACGTTCACACAGACCCTTAACATTGATGTGGACACAGGAGAAACCTCTTGTTATCGGGAGACTTTGGATGGTGAAAGAAACATGTTTTTGAACAAAAGTTAAAATATTAACTACATAGAATGTATAACATGTTAAGAAAAATATTGAATCACAAATTACCAGTGTACAACAGGATAGAATGTTACACCTTTAGTTACTTGATTACACACGACATTTAGGGGTTAAAGGCACTTTTTTAGCTAACAGCAGCACTGGAATTCAGCCAAACATCATGAAGTTTGTTATGATGGGGAGCCAATTGTGCCAAAAATATCAATCGCTATTTATAAAACTCAGTCGTTAGTGCTTAAACATCATTCGCTTGTGAACCAGTCTCCCGCTTGTTATGCAAAGAAGAACCAATCAAATCTTGCTTACTTTCTTGAAATCTGATAAGGGACATTGAAATGAGACTAAAGGTAAAGACAGACCGGCACGGACTCCCCATGTGTCGACATGTGGCTCTTGTGGTCGCGTCGCATTATCGCCTTTAAATTACATTTTTGCTCTCACAAGCGTGTTTAAAGGGATTTTCCTTGGTAAGAGATGATCGGAGGTTTTGTAAAAATTGTTGTCAGCAAGGGCTGATTGTGTATCAGACTCAAATGCTCCATCAGTATTTGTTTGAAATTTTTTATTTTTAAGGATTAAGCCGTGTGGTACGTTGTCACAAAAGGCAATAAACGTTCGTGACCTTTTGGCTTTTGTGTACGTGTAAGAGCTGATTGTCTAAAGGCAAAGTTGACCCCTGATAGAGACCTCTCTATGATGTTTTCCGGGTACCCTCTTGCTTTGAGGCGTTGTTTAAATTTCAAAAGGCCCTCTTTAAATGTTTCTTTCGAAGAGTTGGTTCTAGACAATCTTATTGCTTCGCCTTTATTGAAGCCATATTTTACGCGTGATGGGTGGCACGAAGCGAAGTTCTCGGTGACGGCTTGTAATGGGTTTTGAAGTCCAAGATGGGATCCGAATCTTTCTCCTTTAAACAATCTGTTATCGAGAAAAGTGATTTGGTTCTCTGATATTTCGGCCGTGAATTTGATAGTAAGGTGGAAATAAGCTCGTTTAATAAACCTATCTACATCTTTTCTGTCGCAATCCCAAAGGGAGAAAACGTCGTCTATGTAACGTCTCCATTCTCTTGGCTTGGTTTCGCTTTGTAGGATAAATTTCGTTCCAGTTTCCGCCATAAAATTATTGGCAAATGACACTGCCATTTTCGTACCCATAGCGGTTCCGTGTGTTTAGAGGAAGTTCTCCTCACTGAATTGAAACGAATTTTCTTTAAGGATTGAGCCAAGCATGTCCCTAAGGTAGTGCGTTAGGATAGGTGCGTTATGGTTGTGAAACTTTTCGTATGCTTCACATACTATATTCGTTCCTTCATCTCGAGGTATATTTGTACAAGCTAGGAACGTCCATTGATACTAGAATAGTGCCTTTTCCTATCTTGTTTTTTCTAAGAAGTCGATAGAAGCAGTGGTATCCAGGATTGTTGCATTTGCGCGATAGGCTGGAGTAGTGTCTCCACAAAAGATGATATTCTCTCAGTAGGGCCGTCGCGACCTGAGATTAGGGACTTTAGGCAGTCAGGACGGCAACGCTAAGGAAGACTCCGATTAAAAAAAATGAATTTCTGCCTTTGATTAGAATTTCAAAAATGGATGCATTTGTTTACCGTCTCATACGGTGCCACACCTCAACTTCAGCATAGCGTATAAAAGAAGCGTTGAGTTCCAAATGGAAATTAAAATAATTTGCCGTCGCGGTTTTGGTTCCCAGACGACTCAAATTGTGGTGATTTCACGTTGTTGTTTTGCAAAAGACGGCTAAGAATGTACAAAGTTTTAATACGCGCGTGCTGAGCTACTGTTCTGCCAATTAGATCTTTTGTTTTTCCACGTCCTCGTTGCCGTCGTGGTTTGCTTAAGGTCCCTATTATAGGTCTACCGACCGGTATAGGTTTGTGTATTTTCGTGAGCGTATAGGATATTGGGATTCTAGGCGGATTGGGAGTTTGTGAAAGCCATTTCTTGGTCATGTCATCAATGTGTTTGCCGCAATTCATTTGGTCAATGATTCCATTAACCCTTGCCTGACTATCGATGCTCTAAGAGGTTTGTAGTGAACTCTGTTGTCGAGTTGCACTTTGGCCTCTTCCTTTTTTCCTATCTTATTCATTGTAACTGTTGTTGTACCTTTGTCTGCTTTTTGGAGGTTTAAAGCAGAGTTGTTTTTCAACTCTTTTAGAGCCGTGACCTCTTTTCGTGACAAATTATTTTTCGGCTTGGTTTAAGTGATCTCTGCAAGCTGTGCTTTGACATTTTCCAAGTGGCTCTCAAGTCCCTCTCAAGGGCAATGGTAGGCTGAACAGGTGGCATCCAGTTTGATTTAACACGAAACGGATGTGGTTCTTTGTTTTTTCCGATCCCAGCGCACTACCTCAGGGAAAAGTTTGGTTTATGAGAGAAAAATATTATGAAAGCGATAATGCGGCGCTACCACAAAAGCCACATGGGGAGTTAGTGCCGGTCTGTCTTTACCTTTATCCTCATTTCATTGTCACTTATCAGATTTCAAGACAGTAAGCAAGATGTGATAGGTTCATCTTCGCTTAACAAGCGGGAGACCAGTTCGAGTTAAAATCGTTAACAAATCGATTCTAGCACTTACGACTGAGTTTTATCATAAGCGATTGATATTTTAGCACTAACGATTGAGCCTTATCACTAGCGATTTATATTTTGGCACTAACGATCGAGTTTTATCACTAGCGATTGACATTTTAGCACTAACGATCGAGTTTTATCTCTAGCGATTGAAATTTTAGCACTAACGATTGCGTTTTATTACAAGTGATTTCTATTTTTGGCACAAATGGCTCCCCATAAATCTCTGAAGGTAGTTGATAGCATAATGCAAACCTAAAATACTTTGAATGCCTTTTCAATTGCATTTGTTATTAACCCATATGAGGCCAATAATATCCTTAAAGATGAAAAATCGATCAATGAAACTTACTCTTCATCACTCTTATCAGTTTTAGAGTCTACATCTTCTTCCTCTTCAATTTCATTTTGAATGTCTTCCCAAGTTTTTCCCAATTCCTTTTCGTAAAGAACAAATACAACAGCAAAATTATCATTGACATGTTGTTCATCGCATGACGAGGTCACCTTTCGCAACAGAAAAGAAAAATCAAAATTTGACATTACCCCTCAAAACTTACAAATGATCTGGCTTCTAAATTGTGAATGTCCTCTTAATATCAATTAACAACAATAACCAAAAACGATCCAAGTCCTTAAACCTACCAGATAATTTATGACATAAAATCGATCATATTCCTTATTCTTGGGGTTGATTTTCTTGTGTTGTTTCTTTCTCATGTGATCTTTGAGTGCTGTTCTGTCTTTGAATAATTTCTCACAAAATAAACACTGCAAACTTAAAGAAAATTACTAGAAGCAAGTTTTATTATGCTTTGAGTCTGTAGAGCAACATTTAGACTCACTTCTCCCAAAAGGAGTCCAAGAGGTCTACATTGGCATATTCATATCAAGATAAGAATAAGTAAGACTTGACTAGAATTCAATTATCAATGTTCATTTGTCTTCTCAAGTAGCACAATCTATCTGAACTATTTCTATTTTAAGTTTTGAATTTCACCACATAGTTTCGAGGAAATTTGAGCTTGTAATTCCTCTGATGTTCAGGTTTCTTCAAAACTTTGATTACAGAGAGCATAAATGATCATACTTTGCTTTCCAATTCACTTGTTTTGAACTTTTGTTGTAACAGGCAGTGAAAGCAGACCCACAATACACAAGATAATTAAAATTTTCTCATAAAATTGAATTTAGAAAACATTACTGTACATTTGCCTAATTTCTGCATGAACAACGCAGGATATTTTTCAACCTTATGACACTGATAGTGGTGGAAGTGTTCATCATCATTATCATCATTATATCATAAATATTTTTAACACCATCATACAATAACAAATGTTAAAACACACAAGAATTATCTCCAAGACAATATTTTCACAAGCTTACTTGGTTAATTTTGTTTCCAAAGTGTCTAGGAATTCATTTACATTCACTAGGAGAAAAGGGAAAAAAAACATTAATTGTGTGGGTAAGTTATTTGGTATCATCACATATCATCTAGATGCATATCTTCATGTATTTGGGTGGGTGCTTGTAATCATGGTAAAATCTCAGCACAACCTCCAAATAGTTTTCACAGTTATCTGACACAAAAAGTTCATATGAATGTCTCTACTAGGCATGTAATAAGCATTTGAATACAAGTGAAAAAAACTTATCTGTTGAAGCCTACATAAAAAAGGTTTGGACCCACACGTGCACTCTAGTGATTTGTGATACTGAAAAACAACCTTAAATTTTAAACCCAGTGCTCCTACAGAGCACATGAATAATTAACCCATTAATTTCCAGAAGCGATTAACATGCAACTTCTCCTAATAATATCCATACATTATACATCAAACAGGTAAAGAGGATAAAGTTGTTATCTAGATCTAACACCACATTCTCATAACTAATTAACTAGGAAATGTGTAGCAGCTAGAGGGGAGAATCAATCATCAGATCTTAGAGAGTTTAAGGATTAAACTTTGATCCAATTCTTTAGGTATCTTAAGATAAGATACTTATCTCACCTAAGTTATCAGGAAGGCCTACATTAAATCCATGATCTGATGCCATATGTGTAAATAATGATGACCTAAGGATAGAACACAATATGTGATTAGTCTCTGACCAGTTGTCTGCAAAACAATTTTGATCAACTTGAATCCTCTTTACATGTGCACATCTACTTATCCAACTATGTAGTACATAGTAGTTTATAGGAGCATTTGTTTGTACCTAGTAGTACAGAACTTAAAATTTACATTATTTAAGCTCTTCATTATTATATTCATTGCTATTTATCTTTAGGTATTTATTTTCATGCCCACGTTCCAACGAGCCACATGCTCCTCTGTCTAGCCAGCTTAAACAAAGTATTGTTATTGTTTTTGTTGTCAGATAGAGTAGCTTAAATGAAAGAGAAAGTTGTTTTAGAAAATATTTTGCCACATGTATATTACAGTGCTTTCAATAAGATTTGATGAAGGAGGTTGCCTTGGTAAAGCACCTGCTGGAGAATAATATGAAAAACAATTTCCTTCTTGTTATCCCGTTACTTCCATTCAGAATAAACTGGCTTCAAACAGAGTTTTGGGTGTTAAACTACCATAGATGATTATTAAATTTCCTCTCCTTTGTTACAATTGTTTAACCGATCCTTTTATTTCTAATTAAAGTCTTCCATTTGCTGATGTGCAAACCTGCTCCCTGAGTTTCACACAAAAAGTCCTTTAAAATGACATATGGTTTCTGGGTGCCAAAATTTGGGTAAGTGTGTTCTTGGAAACTTAAAATCTTTTTTCACTGGAAATGTATGAAATGTATGCTGGAATATATGATAAGACAATATCAATAAATTTTTATCAAAACTTGTTTATAGAGGTAAAAGTTGCCTGAAAGAACTCTAGAAGATTTTGAGCTGTTTTAGGCTCAGTGAGTTTGCTTGAAAGCTTCCAAAGTATACCCAGTTAGTCACAACAGAAAACCCTCTATAGCTTTGGCAGGTGAAAGGACTTATTGAAAGCAATGAATTATTATTACAATTCATGAATCTACACACCTGTCAGGTAGGTATAATTGACAAAAGAATGATAATCATCATTCCAAAAAACAATTTTAAACCCCCTTCAACTCCCAAAGACTCCCTTGTGGCTTTCAGGTCTTTGGGAAAGAGAAAATTAGCAACAGCTCCAGTATGAACAATTAGGAAATAATTTTAGGCTTTTCCTGAAAATTATTCAGTACCTATTATAATTATATTCTCCTTGGTAAAGAGAGGCCTCGTGAGAATAAATTATTTTGCCTGAGAGCACAACACACTGACTGCAAGGCTTCTTAATGCAAAGTTTAGCCCACTAACCATTAACCATGTTCCAAAAAGCTTCTTTTTAAGCATTAAAAAAGCTACATCAGAATCGAAGAAAAATACATTCAAAAGCCTCACTAGCACATGGTATGTTCAACAAACCTGTTGCCTTCAAAGTGTTGTTTACAGAAAAGACAGCCTCTTGAAAAGTGTGTATCTGATCTTTCTCGCTGCTGACACTCAAGAACATCTTCCTTTCGAGAAAAGAAATTGTAAGTTGTTTCTTTACCATTCCTGATTAAAATACTTGAAAACCAGATTCTAGTTTAGGAGGGTGAAACCATGCATGCATACAGGTAACTAGGACAGGCCAAATTGTGACTTAGCTCTATAACCCCTATGAGTGACAAGCATCTAATTTCTTCCTACAATGTCATCCCTGAATTAAATTTAAAGGTAACAAGAATACAGGAAATGATTGCCAGTTAAATGAACTACTGATTGTTAAACAAATTCTCCTTATGCATCTTAAGAAATGCATAGAGAGCAGTATGGAGAACATGTATTCTTATGTTAGGCTGTAAAGGTTTAAAAGTAAGTAGGAAACACCTAACCCTACCAGCCTCTGACGTTGCAAATCTTCCCTTAGATTCCTATCTTCAGGAAGTGAATCACACAAGAGGAAGTATTGAATCTTAGGACCAATATCTGTCAAAATGAAAAACATTTTTGTTCAAATCATTATATTCTACTAAAGCACATAGTGACAACATTTCTATTGAGAACTCTAAGTTTAAAAGAAAAGCTTAAACTCTTTAACCCCTGAGAGTGACTAACATCTAATTTCTCCTTAAAATATCACCCCTTGAATCAAACATTAAGGTTGTGAGAATAGAGAAAAATGATCACCAACTAAAGCAGCTGTTGATTTTAAATAAACTCTCTTTGTCAGCACCTTAGGAAATGTATTGTGAATAGTATGGAACACATGGATACTGATGCTAGGGGGGTAAAGGGTTAACTAAACAAATTAATAATATTTTTAAGAGCAAATTCAATTTATTTATGACTTCTTTCTTGTCCACATAATTGTATTAACCCTTTAGCCACTAAGATCAATATCATCTCACCCCTGAATCAAGCATCATAAGGTTATAAGAATAAAGGAAACTATTGCAAACTCAGGAAGCTATTGATTGTTGGACAAATAAAGTTATCCTTGTAAGTACCATGGGAAATACAGAGAACAGTATGGAGAATTTGCATACTAATGTTGGGTTTTAAGGGTTAGTAATCTTAATCATTGGATCAAATCTACAACTCTTATAGGGATCACTAACTGATAGCATTTCCCTAATAATCAAATGCAATCTTATGAAATGGGAACTCCCAGAATGTTTTGGAAACTCTGATCTGATTCAAGATTAACAGCAAAATTGTCCTCATTCCCTCTTAACTCTACCATCCCATTGTTACTGTGCAGATTCTCGATACTTTCCTCTGTACATCTCCTGAGGTGCTAACAAAGAGAATTTGTTTAACACTTTAACTCCCACAACTGATTAACATGCAACTTCTCCCAATATTATCCATCCATTATTTAGCAAACAGCTATTAATGGAAATACTCAAACTTATCAAATAGAAGTTTTTTTCTTGATCTAACTCTAAATTCTCAGAAATGTGCTGCAGTTAGAGATGAAAGGGAGTGAAAGGGTCAATGACCAAGAGCATCTTTAGTTGGTAATCATTTCCTTTAATCTTGTGAACTTCATGTTTGATTTGGGGGTGACATTGTATGGGAAAAATTACATGCTAGTCACTCTTCAGGGGTCAAAGGGTCAGCACAATTTGTCATGACCCATCCATTAATATTCTATTGGCTACTTTACATCACATGGTGCAAAATCACCAGATAGTTCTGATGCAATAACCCCCATCTACATCCAAATTTTTACTCTGATTATTTCTATAAAAAAGATGGAAAGCCTCAGGAAAAGCCCAACTCAAGAGTTTTCTTTTCTTCATCTTTATTCCTTCACATGGATGAAAAACAAACTTGCTTTGTGACTTTAAAAAAACTACCCAAATGCTGCTCTGTTAAGTTCAAAAAAATAATTGCACTTTTTTTTGTCAACATGTAATATTAAAATTAATGGGAGGTTTATAAAATAAATAAACCTCCTTCTGGTTTGCTAAGGAGTCAGCTGATAATGTCCTTGGGTGAGAGATTGTCCTCAAAATTTTACAATTGTGCACCCAAAGCTTTGCTTCTTGGCCTAATATTCTCTCTCAGTCATGGGCATTATCAGCTGACATAACAAGGGCCTAAAGGTGATTACTTCCTAACTATTATCAGCAGTTAAAGTACCAAAGGGACTAAACAAATAATATCATCAAGGTGGAATATGTAGCAAACGTACCATCAGGTTTGGAATTGATGTTGATGACTGGACACACCTCTGTTATGGGTTTCTCTTTTAGTCTTGTTTTCCAGTAACAAAGATACCTGTGCAAAGCATAATGAATTCGAATTCAGACGAAGAGCCACCCGGTGAATTTGTCCCTGCGGAATATAAATTTCTGTTTATCTAATTATTTAATGACATAAGGTGTCGAAACTCAACGATGAGTTACAAAAAAAGTTCCCTTCCTTGAAACGACGTGTTCTCGTACCTCCTCAGGTCACAGACTTGACCAACGTCTCCGATAACAAGTTGATGTTCTATCAGCATGTGATGCAGCACAGCATCATTTTTCCCTGAGGTGTTTGGGAATTCCTTCTCACAGAAAATACAAGGGACTTTAAGATCCAATTCCGGAAACTCTGGCAAGGACTTCTCTGGAAAAGTCAAAACTTTGATTCCTTGTTGTAATTGGCTTCCTACGAAAGAATATGAAGTCAAAATCAGGTAAAAAAGGAGTTATTTTTCAAATCAGATTGAATGATTTTCCACAAAACCACTCATACCTCGGTCTGCCATGTTGAGTGTTTTCTCAAAGTGACACATTATGCGATTTACACAAAGGCTATTTTAATTCCCGCCAATTTGAAGATAGTACCCATTCCTCCCGGAGCCACAAATATTCAAGTTCTGGGGCGGCTGTTGTCACGTACGAGGTCAAATTAGTAATATTTTGCAGCTTTTTTACGGAATTGGAACCATTGATACGGTAGGCAAAAGCCATTTGTGTCGGTCTAACTTAATTTCGTAAACACAAGACTCAATAAGAATCATGACTTATTTGTAGAGGGTCGTAAACAGATTCGAGGTCATTTGCATGCAAGCTTTTTCGAAGTAGCTAATATGCCGGAGAACATCAACAAAGATGTTGTGTCACCTCGCCTGAATGCTTAAACTGGGAGAGTTTGCGAATTAACATTATCAGTTTTACATTTTGGGTGGTAGAATTTTCTCGTTAGCGTGCAGTTATCTAGAAGAACGTCGTCAGCTAATCGACGAAAGAGGAGGTTAAACCGTTCACGTGGTTTTTCCCGTAGCAAGGCATGTTCAGTTATATTTTGATCAATGACAGAGGTCATCTTTTTACGTGTTTATATCTGACCCCTCGCCATAGTTATGCGCTATCCGTTGTCGGTGGGATTCGAACTTAGATCAGGTTTCTACTTTTGGCTCGACCATTGTGGCCTGCGGAGGGTGTGAATTGGATTGCATGCAGTGAAAGATGAATCCTCACTGAACAGTAAACACGCGATGGAGATGGATTGTAGCTTTCTTTTAGCCAAGAATATGCCTTATGTTGTGTCGCCGAATCACTTAAATGGTTCGTCCCTCAACTTTGAGCCCTATATCAACAGGGTCTTCTTTTGCAAATATGTGCTGTTTCGGTCTCCATTTTCGAAATTATTGTTGTAACGCTAATGAGATAAAACATCTGATCTTGAAATGTGTCAACCAGCTCCTCGCTTTTTGCAGTCACATTTAAAGTGGCCATGGGTGGTATGAATTTGTTTGTTTGTGAGGAAAATAATAAATAAAGAAGTGAGATGCTTGTATCAAAAAACAAAACCAGTGATATAACTCATTGTTTCGCAACAAAATTGTCAGACTGAACAGTAATTTTATGATAAGTTTGTTCTCGGTTGCAAAAATTTCATTATTGACATTTCTGTGGTCAAGAGGCTGCCAGGTTCCTATGGATGCAAATCACTTTTGTGGTAAATTGTCTCCAATTCTTATTGGCATAACTAATCAACCGTGCATTGTATTAGGTAAAAGAAAAGATGGCTTGAATTACCACTCATCAGTGCTTTTGTTTTAGATCCTGTTTACTCTCACATCATGTCCATGAGGTTGTTCTGATGAATGTTTACTTTGTTTGAAATTGTCTTGGACCAAAAAGTATAATATTTGGAAAAATATTTTCTTCTGAAGTTTGAAAATCTCACAGGTATTGTATGTACTTTAAAGTAGGGATTAAGACTCTTAGAAAGGCACACAACTGTCACAATTAAAAATCTGAGTGAAATTTTGCAGTTTCTTTTTGGAAGTTTATTAGATGTGTCAGATTATCATTTTCAAATGTTTGCTTGAAAAATTTAACAGATTTATTTCAATAGTTAAATGGCAAGTACTACTTTTATATAACCAAAGTGCTTTTTTTTTTTCATTTTTGAAGTAGAGCATTGTTTTAAAGGTTACGCTGTTAAAATATTTACTGTAGTTAAGCCAAATTGAGACAATTGCCTAATCCTAGAGGCAGGGAACTAAACAAAAAGACATCAATGAGCAATTTATTTTCAATCTATTCAAATGCAATGTATTTACAGACACTAGATCAATTTGTTTTCAGCTATAGTTAACTTGAAGCCTCAGTTGGCAAACGCATGTTTGAACATCGTATTGAAACAATGGTAAACTAACCACCATAATATAAATATGCAGCATTGTACTGGCAAAGTAAGTAAAAAAGTTATTTATTTTGTCTCGAGCATAAGGTAAAGAAAATGTCAAAGTCGTACATAGGATTCAAACTTCAAACCTTTGTGTTTTGCAGTCTATTACTCTACTACAGAGTTACGAAAAATTTCTTTCGAACTAGGCCATACACTAGGTTCATTTGCGACAAACATCCAACATAATGCTAGGATTAGAAATGGTCATGTGTGTTGATAGATAAAGAAGAATGGTAAACTTTTGAGGTATTTTATTTTGTTGAAATGATTTAGTGTCCTTCTCTAATTGTAGCCATCATGTGGATCAGAGTAAGGACAATGGATGGCCAAAAAGACACACGTGTTAGGGGTTTGAGCAAACTTACCAAAATTGAAGACCTTAGGATCAAGCTTGAAGAAGCTTTTGATGTACCACCCAGTAAACAAAGACTATTCTTTAAAGGAAAACAGGTAATAAATTATCAATTTGAAACTCACTCCTTGTAATTAAAGCAATTATTTTGCCAGCCATTTTATGACATTAGGGCGACAGAAAGTATGTGTATGTCCTTCAAGCTGGGCTTTTTATGTAACAAACTTTTAAAGGAAATGTGTGATAAATAGAACTCTCAGGTAATGCATGGGAATATATTTTGAAACCTATAAAAAGAAATGATAAGGGAAAAATAAATCCCTCTGATAACTCTTCAACAAATTCTATAGAACTTGAACTCCTGTGTATTTGAACAAAATTGGATTACCTTTGGATTACCTTTGGATTTAACCCTTTTTTTAAGTCATTCACTATCAGTTTACTTGAAGTCAGCTAACTTGAACCTTCTGTCAACTTGAAGTAATTTTGTTTTTCCTGGCCTCAAATTTACCCTAAATACTCAAATTTTTAAATCAAAATGACTGAGGATTAACGTCAAAGTATCGGAAAATAGCTGATTGACACATCCCGCTCTTTAATCACGATTGATGCAAGCATAATAAAATTTACAAAAAATAATAGTTGCTGAGAAAATCAAGAGAAAATGGCAGAGGCAGCAAACTACTTATTAAATTATTTTTCAAAGAAGCATCTGCTGCTGAGGGCATGGAAGAAACAGACACTAAATAAGTTTTTTTCAAATGAGCGAAATGTCGCCAGTTTTATTGTTCACCATGCATAATCACCTCTCAGTTTCAGTTTTGTCGTATATGTGATGTTTACTACTTTATGTAGGCAAGCCAAGTGTTCAACAAACATGGATAGTACTGTATTTTTCAGTCACTCCCCATGGAACAGTAGAATTACTCTTGAGTGCGTTCGTGTATTTATAGCAATTTAATTAGTTGTTTACGGTATCTTTGTTGAAAAATTAAGATGTCCTTAACTACTGTGCTGGATCTTAGCCTCTTATTCCCAAAATATATAGGGCAAAATATCCCTAACTAGTTCTTATCTGAAAGCAAATAAACTAAATGTTTCAAAATGACTGTTGACTGTGCAAGAGTGGTAAAATGATGATACCTTGATAAAAAGAAAATTGAAATTCAACACCGACCCTGATAACTTGAACCCCGCTAACTCAAACGTATTTTCTGTTTCCATAGGGAGTTAGAGTTAGAGTTAGTGGGTTCTAATGTAACACAAGCAGATTTTTTATTTATTTCTTATTCTTTAAGGCTTAGGAAAGTACTCTGTAACTGAGAGAAATTTCCACCCCTATATTTCATGAAAAGCCGTGGAGTGAGGTGTACATTTTAATTTGCATACTGTTGGTTCCGGTAGTCTTACTTAATATTCACTGACCTGAGATATACATGAATTTACCGTTGTATCTCTGCACAAAGTCTGGGAACAATTGGAGGATACAAATGCAACTATAAGTTCTTTAGATATTAGTTTGAACAACAAGCCACATTTCATTTTGTGCTGTATTCTGGTAATAAGTTTTTTATAATCATTAAACATCAGGTTGGATTTGGATCTCCGCCAAGTTATTGATTTATTAGTGAGATGTTGAAAAAGAAAGACTACAATAATATGAGGGCTGATTTTCATGGAAGATTCACTCATGATTTAAGAGAACTTAAGCAGTGTGCGTACTCGCTGCCATGGTTAACTACAATATTGTATTCCAACATGTCAGCTACACTCTATAAAGTTGACAAATGCTCTTTTAGCAACCCTTTCATCTCAGGTGTGAAAAAACCAAATTTCTCCCCTAAATGTTAATACACTTTCAAGCAGAAGAGTGATGAGAAGTAAGAAAAATATTAACTCTGGAATGCTGGTTGATTTATTACTAGATTCCTTGGGGGTACAGTCATAAGAAATGTATGGCAGACAGAGCAGAGGATTGATATTTAAATTTTTGGAGCGGAAGGTTGATAATGACTAATATGTTCATATATATCCATGTTTATTATTCCACAAATATGCCATTTTACCAGATTAAGCACTGGAACAAACAAATTCTGCTGCGTTATTACTCCGTTGTTAAGGGCAGTGGTATGGATGGAAATGGGCACTAGGTTTGCTCATTGCTCACTGCTTTGTTTTTCCTTACCCAGACAAATACCTTGCAACTTGCAAAATACATGTATCCATGCATGTTATGAGTTAAACCATTGAATAAGGTGTATTTATTGCCTTTTGCACTGGTGTTGTACAAAACAACTGCTTCAAAGTACAAGGTCCAAATTCTTTCAATCTGTTTGTGGATGTGAAATTTGAGAAAGTGATAATCAAAGACATATTGCACTTCCATCTTTGTCTAAGTGACAGATGACTAGGAAACTCCCAAGTGATGCATGACACTTGGATAGTGAAAGATAAATTAAGGTCTGAAATGTTTTTTTTTTTTTTAATTTGAATTAAAAAAAAATTTTCCTAAACATTCAGGGTTTTAAAAGCAAATGATGTATTTTTTTATTTTACAATCAAGGTCGGAATCATTTATATTTTTATTTTAATAACTCACATGGTGCTGATCACTGCCATTTACAGGACACTGGAGCCAAGATTACCATTCGGTTTTCTGTAGCTAAGAAGTAGAGAAAAGGTGCAATCTGGAGCTCCAGAGTTCAATAGACCTCTTTGGATTGTAGTTTTTGTTAGGTCATGTGATGATTAACTCTAGACAACTGTTTCTTTCAATTTCCATGATTTATGAAAGATTAAGTTGGGAATTCCCATGAGACCTGATATAGATAAACAAAAGGTACAAGCTAAAGAGGTTTATTTCTGCAGATTTGCTTTTTTCCTGTGCTTTTGATGAAACAAGTAACATCTTTCTTTACATGAAGAATAAGCCCACAATTCTCCATCTTTCTTATTTGATATGAACTTTGCTCCTTTGGATGGTTAATCCCCTTGGTGTATTGAACACCAATCAAGCTCCCACAGGTACTCTTTGTATGTAAAAATGAAACACTCTTTATCTTTTAGTTGAAACTTGTGTGGTTAAAATAAAATGTGTAGCCCTGGTTGTGAATGATACGCAGTGCAATGAATTGTTCTGATACATGTGTAAATCAAGTAATCTATTTAATTAATGCTTCTTTATTCTCTTGTTACTATAGCTTGAAGATGGTCACACGTTGTTTGACTATAATGTGGGACTTGATGAGATCGTTCAGTTAATGATAAGAACAATTGCTCCACCCAGTGACAAAAACAATAATAGAAAGCAAACCCAAGATGAAACTGAACAATCAGTCAATAAAGAAGATGACGAGTCTGCCATGCATGTCAATGGTCATGTTTCAGATGAGGACCAGGTGCAGTAATGATTCTTATCAATCATTCAGTCCATTAAGGTTATATTTTTATAGTGTGAAGCTAACACAAATCAGATGAGGTGTAATTTTTGTTTCATTGGTAACAGTCAGGTCTTAGAAAAATTACATTGAAGATGTTTTGAGGCTATAGGGTCTAACAAATATCTCTGTAGACATTTGACTATATGTTGGTGGTTTTTTATGTGCTAATAAGGAGTTAGAGGAGGACAAGAATCAACCAAGTACTTCAGAGGAAAAGGTTCCTCAAAGCCTCTACAAGGTTTGTTGTTTCATAAACTATATATCTTTTAATGAACAAACATTGGCTGAATTAGGTCTTTTGTAAATATTTCTAAAACTTGAAAGCATTATTTCGTGAAGAGGGGTTATTATGGGTACCAAATCATCTTAATTGGACTTAAATCAATATGTTTTTTTTGTAAAATAATTATTATAACTTGAGGTGTAGAATATGTAGAACAATGACATGAAACAATTATCACTCAGATAGGTGAAATGATAGATGGAAAGGATCCTAAGATGGGTGCATGGTTTGAGGCCAAGATTGTGGACATTTCTCTGGCAGATGAAAATAACCCAAGTTCCATTCTGTACCATGTGGTTTTTGATGGGTATGTGAAACTTTTATAGTATACTTTAAGTCAAACTAGGGAGATAAAAGATGTGAATGAAGCCAAAAGACTTTTGACAAGGGAGATGAATTATAGGAATATTTGAGAAATTATTTAAGACTGTATTGTAAAGCGTATTAAAAACAGTCACAACACATTTGTATGAAAATAGAAACAGAAATAGAGGAAAAGTGGTGGATTAGGTCATAAAAAGTTGTGGAATTCTGTTGGTGTAAAAATGCTCTGACCTAGGTTTAAGTAATAGTTTGTTCATAAAAATGAATTCAGCCTGAAATTAAAATACCTTCCTCCTATACAACCCTTACACCCCTTACTGCAAAATGTTTCTCAGGTCACCGTTTTGTTATTCTTATAGTTCTGAGGAAGATGAGATGACTAAGCTTCATGAGAATTCTATTAGACCCATTGCTAGAACTGCCCTTCCTTGGGAACAGGTAAATCAGCACTTTGTTTAATGAGAAGCAAGGATTATTATCATGATCTTGTCACCTTTTGCTTGGTTGCTATGCCTTACAACAATTGGATTAGCCATGCCATTTCTCACTTTTAAGAATAAAAATCAGCATTAATGATTTCGAATGACGTTTGGATGACTTGTTCATCATTTTCAAATTATAAAAGACAGATTCCTAGTTGTTCTCCACATACCAAGAATGTTTGTCAAAGTCTCACTGCATGTGGAATGTAGAGAGTGATTATTAAGTACTAAATAGTTTTTCTTTAATTGAGTCAAATGGAGTGTTCCCAGGTAAAAATATAAGGTGGGATCCCGCCAATCCCACCTGGGATCCCAGGTGTGTCCCGGGTGGGATCCCGCCTTTTTCAGGTGGGATCCCGGGTGGGATTATGGAACATCCCGCATGGGATCCCACCTGGGATTATGGAACATCCCGCATGGGATCCCACCTGGGATTATGGAACATCCCGCATGGGATCCCACCTGGGATTATGGAACATCCCACATGGGATCCCACCTGGGATTATGGAACATCCCGCATGGGATCCCACCTGGGATTATGGAACATCCCGCATGGGATCCCACATGGGATTATGGAACATCCCGCATGGGATCCCACCTGGGATTATGGAACATCCTGCATGGGATCCCACCTGGGATTATGGAACATCCCCCATGGGATCCCACATGGGATCCCGCCAATTGAAGTTGGGATCCCACCTTAAATTCCTAATAGCATCCCACCTGGGAAAGCCTATCCTGGGCAGGATTAAACCTAGAATCCCACCAATCCCTCTTGGGATCCTGCCTCAAATTTCAGATAGTTTCCCACCTGGGAAATCATATCGCAGGTGGGATTGCATCTGGGATCCTGCCAATCCCAGTTTAGACCCTGCATAAAATTACAGATGGCTTCCCACTTTCAGAAAAATCCTTTGAGGGATCCTGTTTATCACTGGAGACCACAGATTTATAAAATGTACCAGATAGGATATCTTATCAATTCCTTTTGTAACCTAATCCGTAAAATTAAGAGGATAAATATTTTTTAGGTGAGCTATAGACCCCATCAATCCACTGAGGGTCCAAAACTTTCCAACAAGCTATAGAACATACTGACACCTCCAATGGGATCCCATTGTCTTACCAAGCTGTTGATCATAAATGATTCAAACAGTACATGAATACACAGACTATATGTGATAAAGATCTCATAATTTATTTGCAATGAACCAGCATGTGTTTGATATGTTTCATTAACAAATTTCTTAACCGAACATTGTTAAATAATAACAGCACAACTCAGCATATTACTTTTTCTTCATCATTTAAGCAGACCATCTACAGTGTAATAAGGCTCCACGTTTAAAAAAATTGGCTGATGTGTATCAAAGAATAGAAGAAAGACAAAACCTCAATAATTCATGTTATCAAAATTTTGACAAAGGTACTGATTGAAAGTCTGCTCTCTCTTCAGTCGAATTGTTCAAAGCAAAGCAAGGTCAGAATGTTCCCAAATGTGACTAAAGTAATCTTGAAACCTTACTCATAGATTTATTTCATTGTAAAGTGTAAGCTTAGGAAACTGCAGCATGCAAGTGACCAATTCGATTCTCAGAATTATTTGAGTTTCAGTTGCGCTGAGCGTTAGGTAAGCTTAATCCAAGCCGTTATATCTATTCTTTGATAAGATTTTGATCACGTAACGAATATGGCAATTTGTACTCACCACAAACTTCTAAAACTCCTAGCTTTAAATGGCCACTCGATCGTTGTTTGAACCACTGAGTCGATATGTCAACTGTTAATTGTCCCTTCTTTTAATTCCACGGCACCAACGACTTTCTTTTCATTTAAAACACTCACGCTGTTCTCGTTTTCCCATTGAACCACAATAAAACTCATCTTTAGAAGTGTTATATTACGCAAAACAATTGAGAAAAGAAACAACTTCAAGCAAGAGCGGTTAACCGATGAAAAGTACATTCAAAGATGAGCGCCAAATGGAGTTTTCTTTGTTTCCGATCATGGGTATGTTCACGTGAACCTTTTAGCAAAGAGAATCCGCTGGCTTGACCCATTGCAGTCTCAAGAGAAGCGCGCAACATTATTCTGTCCGGTTCTCCTCTCATGTTTTGATGATGACATAAATAATGATGTGAATTCACTCTATGTAGAAATAATCGACAAGAATCAAACAAGAATGCACGATTTGTGGCTGAAAGTTTTCGAGGAAAGAAAGACTCGAAACCCACTTGAGTTATGTTCACGGCGAAGGTGAGAAACAACACAAGCCAATCACATTAGGAAGTATAAGAGATACCTAAATGATCCCAGTGTACCAGTACCCAAATCAACAAGGCTTGACCACAACAAGCGTTCAGCAACACGTTCCAACACAGCTAGCCATCTTGATTCCTCAGTCGGTCTTTCCACTGAACTAGCAGTGGTGCCAACAGAGTCAAGTGCGTCTCATAACGGAGAAAACATTTGCACGAGAGACCATTTGCACCAAAAATATAAAGAAGTAATATTTTTTAGGAGGTCCAGTGATTGGGACATTTAAGAAATTAAGTAATGAAAAGAAACTCGGTTTGTACTTCTCACTACTAACAAGGCTTGTTTTAAAAATATTTTCAGATCAGAGTTTCAAATAAAGCAAATTGAAGAAGTCATTTAAAAGGTGTATTTTCTCGAAGGGAACAGTGACCACCTCTGTCTTGTCCACATGCTAAATATTTGCGGAGTGTGTGGATGATCCATAAGTATTGGAACTCTCACAAAAATGTTTTGTAAGAATAAAAACAGCAAAACAATATTTTCGTGGGTGGGATAAAGAATCCCAGGTGGGATATGTAAATCCCGACCAGGATCCCGGGTAGAATGCATAAGTCCCACCTAAGATCCCGGGTGGGATGTAGGAATCCCGCATTAAATGCGGGATCCCAGTTGGGATCAAATTTTCATCCCAGGTGGGAAAGGTGGGATCCCACCACCTAGGGCGGGATCCCGCCATTCCCACCTGGGATCCTGGGTGGGATTGCCGGGATCCCGCCTATATCCCGCCTGACATTTTACCTGGGTTCAGTTTAGGTTTCTTTTCTTGGATAAAGAGCATTTCATGAATTAAGCATTCAGATTTCCAACAACATTTCTCAAGGATGGTGAATTGCTGGTGTAGATCTTTGTTCCTCTGATTGTAGGCATCTCTCAGATGTTTTCCAATAGCTGAGTGTTTGTGTTCATTAATGTGTTGCAACAATTTCAAACAGTCAATGTTTACTGGATTGAATTAGTTGGGTACCAAATCTGACTGGACAATTAGAGCTTCTGCACAATTTCAATCCTAATGGATGGTATTGAAATCTGTATAGGGCTTTTTTGATATTCTTATTTGTTGCTTTGCAAGTTTGCGATATGCATTATTTTGGAAGCCATTGCAGGAGATCAATTTTGAAAAAGGGAAATACCTCTCACTGTTTTTATTTTTGGTATCTTGATGCATGAAGTTTCATACCAAATTAATTTCTTACAAAAGACGCATTTGTGTAAAAAGGAAGTAGGTTTTTAAGTTTTAAAATTGTTGCTGACAATAATAACATCTTTATTTAAGGAGGGTAACACATAACAGTAACTAGTGGCCCTAGATCCTAAAAGTACCATAATCAGAGTGAAAATATATAAAATGTATGTAAAATGAATTCAAGGATTATAAAACAGGTCCATAAGAACGCAAGCTAAAAACCATATAAAGTAAAATATGCCGCTTGGGTCAGGTTAAAATAAAATATGCCGCTTGCGTTGCCTTGGTTTTGCAATTGAAACAAGGGCAAGCAAGATTTAATTTACTATCACATTTGAACTAAAATGTTCTACTTCATCGTGTCTCATTAGAAAATGTCTGTAAAAGGCCTTTCTGAAAGAAGCAACTGTTGTCGTCTCTTTTTTTACGTTAGTAGCTAGCTGGTTCTACAGCCTTGTCGCAGATATGCTAAAGGTCCTCTCCCTTGGTTTCACCATTGAAACGAGGGCAGAGAGATTTAATTTACCATAGCAACAGTTCGTGAGTGTAGGTCTGCATTAAATTTAAGTATATCGTACATATATGAAGGACAGCTTCCTAGTAAATACTTAAAAACTAAAACACACTTATTTCACTTGACTTGATCATTAAAAGGGGGCCACTCTAATTTTTTAAAACGTTTCACGTTGTTCGACCTTGTATCAGCTTCCAAGAAAACTCGGGCAGCACGTTTTTGAAGCTTGAAGACTCTCATTATGTTATCACTTGAACAGTTTGACCAAACAGTTGATCCATGAAACATTAGCTGTTTAAACCTTTGGGTGACCACGTAGAACTGGAAATGCTGATGTTCATAGAAACACAAATGTATCTTGGAAGCTGGCTTGCAATTTCAATTTCAAGCTTATTTTAAGAAACTTAAAAGAGGCTGAAGCACCCCAAAGAAGAACTTTTTAATGGTTCCTGTTTGGATGTAGAGAAGATTACCACAAGCCCTTATCCATTTTGGTGACATTTTTTCAGTTGCCTTTCCTTGTTGAATTTCTTAAAATTCTTTTACTTAAAGCCAAGCTTCTGTTTGACTTTAACCTAAGTGCTCTTCCCCTTTTTATCTTTCCCCATTCACAGTCTAATTTTGTAAGTGACACATAGCAAATATCACCTTGCATAACTGAAATCAGGAGATGGTTACGTGATTGAAATTCAAGAATCAGGATGTTCTGCCGTAAAAAAAACACTTTGAGGGTCGTTTGCGGTGACTTGTTGTAATTGGCTGTTCACACTTTGGCAGCGAAAGAATTCAATTTTAGACTAAATTTTTGTAAAAAAAAATTGTTTCAACGTTTTGGAAAACATGTTCTTGGATGCTGTGGTTAACATAGTAATACCTAGTTTGACACAAAAGAGAAAAAAAATTAAAAAAAAATTGGTCTTTGAAGGCTATTGTACCCTTAAGTTGCATTTATGACATGAAAAATTTAGAGATCAGTATGATTAAATATAAAATTCTCAAATAAATTACTAGCGAAGATTGGTGTCAAACCAAAGGGGGCTAGGATCTACTTGAATACAGAACACAGTAGATTAGCAGATGTTGTAGACTGTACTGAGCCTATTCTCTTCTATTTTGCCAAGACATGGCTGAAACTGTTCAGCAGTTAAAAAGGTATTTCTACAGGCAGTGGAATATGAATGTGTGCAGAGTACAATCTCACTCACACCTACAACAGTGACATGCACTCAAAATATGTTAGATTAAAAGTTATTTGAATAGAATAGATAAATAGGCTTAAAAAATTATTTATGGAAAAAGTATAGATTCTGTGAGCATAGCCCTATCAACAATGCCTAATTGTTATTCTTATGGTCTGTTTATTTTTCCTTCAAGATCTCAGTGGGACAGCATGTAATGGCAAATTACAACCATGATGAACCAGACGAGAGAGGTTACTGGTATGATTTCAAAATCACAAAAAAGGTACAATGATTAAATGTTTGCAAAAAATAACAAAATCTTACAGAGTTGGCTAGGGTTGATTATCAGGGTAATTTGTTATTAAGGTGTCATATCTTTTTGTATAAACTGTGTGCTAAGTTACTGCCTTAACATTTGTATTTTACAGCTGGATGGTTTTACAAGAAAAAGTAGAGAGCTTTATGCCAGATTGTTGTTAGGGTAAAAAAACTATTTTATTGTTTTCATTGTTTTCATTAGTTGTTTGTGGATGTTTTGTTCAGGGTTGTAGATAAGAGCTGGTAGCCGGCGTACTTCGCCGGCTTTTCTGCAAGGTTTTGCAGGCTACTTTCATTGTTTTGAGAGCCCGTACAGAGATGATGTTTATTGGGTCTAAACTTGGGCTTCATAAAAATATAGATTTGCACTGCCTATCTTTTCTGAAAACATAAAAAGACTTCTGACTCAAGGTTAGTTTAAAAATGTTTTGATGGGGACTGTCTTTTTGACATATTTTGATGTGGTGGCAGGAAAGTATGACCGATATGAAGTTTTGTCTGCAATATTGGATTTCGAGACCCACAACTGTTTACCTTTAAAAGGCTCTGGCTACTTAAAACCTTAAAGAAAACCCTGTTGTTTTGTAACAAGTTTGTTTAACAAAGAAATGTCATGATACAGATGAGAAAATTTTTTGCATTCTTTGTTGTGAAATGCCAAGGAATTTAAATTTTTTAAATTTTTATTTGATTAAAACAAGAGCAAGATGTTTTTTACAACTAGATATTTAATTAATTGCATTAACATTTTTAATTATATATAGTAGAGTCTTTACAGTTTTCTTATTGTATTTATATATATATTTATATATATTAGTAATTCAGCCTATGGCTGCTATGTTTTTAGTTAATAAAACTATCTATTTATATATCTATCTATCTATCTATCTAATAACCAAGATTTCATTACGTTTAATAAAACAACAGAGACACTACAGAGACACTTTTTTTCAAGTGATTTTAGAATATTAAGGAATATCAAACTTTGCTTTCTGTATCATTATTTGTGTTAAAAAAAGTTGTTTTTCTGTAAAGCATTTTGGAAGTGAAATACTCTGGTGGAAAAGAAATTTTGAAAAGTAGAAGGTGGTGTGAAAAGTTAGCATCAAGCTTAGTATATTTGTGGATAGTCAAGTATTGAAATAGCTATGGTACTATATGTATGTATCTCTAAACCTATTTCACCTCTTGTTCTAAGAAATAGCACAGAAGACACAGTTGCAGAAGAGTGCAAAATTAAATTCATAGACAAAGAAATATTCCAGATTGAAGGTCCTCCAGGTACAGTGAAGAGCCTTGAGTATGTTTCGAACTGTTTCATCAATTTTGTTTTGAAGCAAGCACCCTGTCTGAAGCAGATAGTGGCCAAAGTCCTTATTTTGTATTCCCTTACTTTTTTATTTATTATATATGTTTAGTGGATACAGACACTGAAATTGGGTCCTTAAGAGGTTTTATCACAGAATGTTGTATTCTTTGTGGAAACTGTGCAGTCTCAAAATTTATTTTAGTTCCTTAAATGTTGTACTTTGTTTTAGAGGGAAATGTGTTTTGAAATATGCATGTTGAAGCACAAATCACAATAATTGAGACTCATTAATCGGCACACCATACAACAAAGTTTATTCAAGAAGAAGGAGGCTCAAAGAAATTAAAAGCAATCTTTTTTTTTTATATACAGATCCATGTAGGTCAGGGGAATCTATAAGTTCGTCCAGCAGTAGATCTTCACCAGCCAAAAGTATGCACATAAAATGTACAAATAGACATTATTCTTAATAAGAACACAAGGTACTAAACAATTTTAGAACCAGGTCAGCACATAAATTAAATCAAGTGTTGTTGTGTTTATTTTGTTTGAGCAATATGAACAAGAAAGAGCCATAGCAAAAAAATCTTTAAGATATTTATATGTCAGTAGCTGGAAGAATGAATCATTTTGTGTTACCAACTATTTCAGCCCTCTCACTTTTAAAATGTGACTTTATTATACATGTAGCTCTCCCTTTCCTTAGCTATATGTTTTCTTATGAGAATTTAGTGTTGCATCAGGGACTAATAATTTTTTCTTTGTCCCATGCTTTTGACAAAACGAAACAAAAATTGTCTCTTTTTTTTAACCCTAGATGTGTTTGTTTTCTCTTTTCCCCCACTGGCTTGATAATGTATCAATATTTTAAGGATAAGTAATCACTGTTTTGAGTTGAAGCATTACACATTGTCAAGTGTGCTATGTTAGTTTTACCTCATTGCTAATCGTGCTGAATGTTATAAAGGACAAGTGAAGCCTGACTGCAGCTACTGTAAAGATGACCCAAAGAAATTGTGCAAACATTGTAATTGCCATAAGGTAGAATAAAATTTATTATAAGTTATGAGAGTTGCAATATACTTTAAATTAGTTTCTCAAATCAGAATAAAATTGAGCTTGTATTAAATTTAAACTGCTTGTTTCCCCTTCATGTAACAGTTTGTGTAAAAATTGCTTGGGTGCTTCCAACAGCACCCAGATTTGGAGACCTTGGGTATGGTGTTTTTCCTTTTTTGTTGTTTTTGTTTTTTTCAATACTGAAATCACACATTGGAACCCTAAATGAAAGGTGAATGCTCCTGTTTTTTCATGGAGGGAAAATAATAAGGGGTCACTTTTAATTGTTGATTGTGGTCTCTCTGTTACAGTGTGGTGGAAAAGAAAACCCTGGTGACCAACTCCTTTGTGATGAATGTGACTTAGCATATCACATCTATTGTTTGTCTCCACCTTTGGAAAAAATCCCTGAAGATGATGAATGGTATGCCTCTCATTTTCTGTTGCTGATATCTTGATGTTACTGTTTATTTTGCAGTATTGGAAATTTTGATGAAATGGAAACTATTATCATCAACTTGGTTCTAATATTGTTTTCAGGTATTGCCCCCTGTGTAAAAATGATACATCACAGGTAAGATGGTGCTAAAGTTTTTGGATTGTAATAAAATCACAGGTTCAACGATGTGTGCCTTTTGAATATCAGTTGTGCTTGTATTCTAAAACACTCCAAAACTGGACTTGAATGAGATGGACCTGTAGAGATTAATCAGAAGATCTGTTTCCATGATGTGTTGTGTTGGAATTTTTGTTTAATTGCCTGTCATGACAAGATTGTATTTGACTTTGCTTTTGACAAGTTTTTGTCCAGAGTTTAGTTGAGTTGAGTTTTTGAAGAAATTAGAGTATTGAGTCTCCTCAAAGAGAGAAGGAAAGTGATTTGGGTAAGGAAATTCTTCTACTTCAATCCCAATAAACCATGATCTTCAAATGTCATCCTCATTTTATTTGTTACCTTGATTTTGTGTCTGGTAGGTCATTCATGCTGGAGAGAAGTTGAGAGAAAGCAAGAAGAAAATGAAGATGGCTTCTTCAAACTCAACTACAAACAGAGATTGGGGAAAGGTCAGCATTGAATTCTTGATCTGTACCTTTGTTTTGCAAGTGGGCCAGATTTAGTAAAGACCTTCAGGTCACTATTTTATCAACTATTTGATTGTATAGGCATTTGCTCTAGGGTAATGTGTAGGGTTCAAGGTTCAAGATAAAATGGAAAAAACTCAGAAATTAATTTGTATTTGCATTAGGTACCAGTGCAATTGAGCTTTTGGTTTCTTTGTTTGAACAGAGTTGATTTGAAGTAGCATTAAATGAAAGTTTTAATGATATTAAAGTGTCTAAATAATCTGTGATGCTCAGAGCAAGTTTTTGTATAGGCTATATTATCTTACTGGTATTTTTAAACAAAAGTAACTAAATGAACCAAAATTGAGCACATTTTCTCTTGACAAAGCGGTATACATTGTCATTATTTGATGAACATTTTTCCTCGTGTTCATCGACTAAGAGCCCATTATCTAATAAATAAATTGTCGTGCTTCGTGATAGACAACTGCCCACAGATAATGATGAGCTCCTGTGTAACACCATCGTACTGTGTTTTTCTGTTAAAAAAAGTAGTTTTCTCATTTGTTGCTGTTCTCATATTCATGATAGATAATGGTAAATTGTCTCCCTGAGTTGTAAGAAAGTATTTCTTGAAAAAATGTGTAGAATAATATGCTTGGTGATCAAATGATGGAAAAAAATTATTTTACTGGGCTATTGCAAAGTCTTACGATTTCTTGGTGGCAAGTAGATTAATTATTTGGGAGCCAGTGATGAATTAAAGTACTCTATTTTTAAGTTTATCAACCGCTAATTATTTGTAGGGTATGGCTTGTGTTGGGCGGACTAAGATTTGTTCCATTGTGCCTCCAAACCACTTTGGACCAATCCCTGGAGTTCCTGTAGGATCTTGTTGGAAGTTCAGAGTTCAGGTTTGAGTTCTTTCTTAAGCATTGTATTGGTATTATCTGGAGTGAAGGAGAAAAATTCTCTAAAAACTTCTTCCATTTTTAAAGCTAAAACACAGAATTTATTTTTTGCTGCTTTTTGAAGGTTAAAATGGGTAGTCTTACCTTTTAACTCCCATATGTGGCCGTGAGAGAATTTCTCAAAAAATCAATATGATATCAACTAGACAAGTGATGAGAATAAAGAAAATATGAATCAGGGAATTATTAGTTGATCCAATACCAACTTCTCCAAACTATCATTGTTAGAATTGTATCGTAGAGAGTGAGGAGAATTACCAATGAGATCTTGGGAATGGAAGGGTTAAACTTTTACTGTAGATGCCACTTTTGGAAAGTGGCTTGGTAGGCTGGATAATCATTTGTCGTGTCTTAGATTTCAACTCAAATAGTGAGAAGTTAAACATGGAGTTCATAAACAGCTTCTGCTTTGGTATTGGGCCTCATCTGTTTTTATGAAAAATTTATGCTCTAATTTTAAATTATGTGGTGTGAGTTAAGCCATGCTTTGAGGTGTTATGCATTGGGTAAGTAGTAAGATTGCTCAGTAACATTCAAAATGGTGGCAGCTGAAAATTATATTTGAAGTTTGGGTTACTCTTTGGACTCTCAAAACATTAATACTGTCTTAATTTCTTAAATATATATATTTTCTAATGGTAGGAATAGAAATTGTTTGGTCTTTGGAGCATAATTGCTCTTTCATTCAGAGTTACTCTATATAGAAACTCAGAGTGAATAAATATTTTTCAATTTTGTTGTGTACATTATGCTTACATTGTATATTTTGTGTGTATATGTAATTTTTGTCTTTTGTCAGCATTTTAATTGCTTGTGTAAGCGAGATCACCGGGAATTATTTATTAAGTAGTTTACTGTTGATGGACACATGGAAGTCCACAGCATAAGGCTAACCAGCCAGTTAATGTTTGGTCTGTTTTTAGGTTAGTGAAGCTGGGATTCACCGTCCACATGTCAGTGGCATTCATGGCAGGGATGGTGATGGAGCCTACTCTATTGTGCTGGCTGGTGGATATGAAGATGATCTGGTGAGTGAGCAGACCTCAGTTTTGATTAATTATCTAATTGATTAGTTGTTATGGTTTATAGGAAGTTCCTATTTCACATCTAATGAGATTTCCTCTTTTTGTGACCATTATAAAACCTGCAACTTATCATATTGAAAGGTCCAAATATATAAGTGTGGTAAAGGATCTGGTGAATCAGTGGACTACAGATATAATATATCATCAAATTAATTTGTTGCTTTAACTCATAGGAAGTGCCCACCCCATCTAATGAGATTTCCTCACTATTTTCTGACCAATATATTAAACTTACCAGTGAAATTTCCAAAAAGTATCTGATGAGTCTCAGGGCTGAGAGGAAATGCCATGTCATACCAGCCACAAAGCATTTTTCACAAGTATTTATAAAACTTGCAACACTTAATAATACTGAAAGGTCATACCATAAAAACCAGTGTATAAGTGACACTCGCAGATAATTTGGAAAAAAAGTTCTGAAAAAAAAATTAAATCAAATTCCACAGATTAATGAGGTTAAAAACCATTTTCATGATTGATTTGGATTTTAAATTGGAGAAAGTTGTTATATCTGGGTGAAAGAGGCTTGACTGACTAGAGAAAGATCACTACCATTTTAGGTTAGATTTTTTTTAATATAAGGAGGATCATCACAGTTATAAATTTATGTAAGCACAGTAAATTTAGCTCCACTGATTCAATCTTTTTGGGTAGGACAATGGAGAGGAATTCTTTTACACTGGAAGTGGTGGTAGAGATCTTTCTGGAAATAAAAGAACAGCTGAACAGTCATGTGATCAAACATTAACAAAAATGAACAGGTAATGCTAGCAAGAGGGCTCTCTAGAGAAGGCTGAGTTTTTGTCCAAAATAAGGAACATAATGCATGTATTGAATAGGATAACCTACATGTAACCCTAAGTATTAACCTAAAAAGCACATGTTTCCAATCTGTTTCAGGGCACTGGCAAAAAATTGTGCTGCTCCATTAAATGATAAAGATGGAGCAGAAGCTAAAAACTGGAAAGAAGGAAAAGCTGTGAGGGTGGTATGGTCTAAATTTGATTTTTCCACAACTGTGTGAAAAGTTTCCAAAAATAAATGTTTGCTGTTCTTGTTGAGATTACTTGTAAAAGGGGAGAGTGCTATAGAGAGAACTTGACACCAGCTCAGGGAACAATGCTTATTTCTTATAACTATGAATTATAACTGTTTTATTGGGGAAAAAATAGTGCACAACCAAGAAATATGTTGGATTTTAGCAAAAAAATCATGAAATTTAAAAAGAAACCACATTTTGACCAGGGGATGTGATGAATTGATCTCCACAGATAAGTTGCTGTTAACTAGATTTTTACTAATTAGAGGAGAACAAGTGTGGATGAATTCAGCCTTTTGCAGGGATTGAACTATAATGGCCAACCTGTATCTGAAAGGCAACGTGGGATCAATCTTCTTTCAAGCCCCACATTGAGTCAACCTAGTCTTTCTTAAATTACAGAATAATTAATTGCAGTTAAACTGTGAACATAACTTCTTCTCTTGTTAGAGTTTTATCTGAATTTGTACTCTATATATGACCACATAACAGGTTAGAAGTGCTAAGCTGGCAAAACACTCCAAACATGCACCAGCAGATGGAAATCGCTATGATGGCATATATAAGGTAGTAGACTACCTTAGTAGTAGATCATACATGTTCACAGAAACACTATAGGGTGTGACGAACTGCAGTCTTGGAAAGATTTCCAAGCCATATGATCTTTAAATCTTTAACTTAGTGTTTCTTTCCATGTGACCCAAATTTTTGTTTTTACCACATTTTGATGTCATTTGTGGTATATTATTGAACAGACACATGTCAATAGGGAATGTATTGATTGAATAGATATATTTTTTGGCCTTTCATTTTCATGTAATTGCATTGAACAACTCCTTTGACAGTCTGCATTTGATTGACAGGTTGTGAAATACTGGCCAGAGAAGGGGAAATCAGGATTTATTGTTTGGAGATACTTGTTACGCAGAGATGATGAGGTAGAGATAGTTTATGCATTGAATGATAATAAAAGTTCACTGTGGATCTTGTATAGAATCCCCAACACGAGGAAAAACAATGTTCCTGTATAGTCAATTGATGCTACAAAGGATGGAATTTCCTCTATTTAACTTTTGTTCAATAAGGCCATGCCCATAAAGTGATTCCTCACTTCTGCAAATTCATTAAACTTGAACAGTTCTTATGACAAATTTATTTAGACCCCAGCACCATGGACAAAGGAGGGCAAGAAATTAATTGAAGAACATGGCTTGAAGATGGTGGTAAGTGAACTTTATATGCTAAACATTTTTGTGATTTTTTCACTAAGCTGAAACAATGGCCATTCATTTTGGGTTTAGAGAGGAAAGCATATTTCATGTTGATGATCACTATTGTGCAGATACAACTATGCGATTCTTGATAGCTTGAACCTTCAATGACCAAAAAATAATATTGAGTTATAAGTTATAAAATTATATTTAAAATATGATTACCAAGGGACACAAAGTTAACATGTGTTTTTCATTAAAGTGAGTTTGAACCATCAGGATTCATGTATCAAGGTTCTACTTATATCTTGTTCAGACTGAATCTCTTACCATGATTGAATTTTGTCTCTGGTGTGTTCTTCTGACTCAATTTTCAGTTATGTTTGAATTATAATTGCTGTTTAGACTAATATTTTGTCAATATTATCAGTATCCTGAAGGATTTTTGGAGGCACAAGCCAAAAAAGAAGAGGAAAAAAAGAAACAGCAGAAAGAAAAAGATGAGGAAAAGGAAACAGGGAAAGGAAAGGGGAAAGGCAAGGGTAAAAGGAAACGAGATAAAGGTTAGTTTAACATTATTTAACTGTCAAGCAGTCAATAGACAATTTCAGAAACTAAGTAAATAAATAAACAAACAGGGCAGAGAACTCTTTTCTGATTTCAATGGCCTGTAAAAAAAATTATGCTTAACATATTCCAGATAAATGTAAACTTTTTCTGAACTATTTTTAATCTTAATCACAAAAATTAAACCAAAACTGTGTGAAGAAATAATTTTTATTCCAATTTTTTAAAAAATTTTATCATTATGAGATTTGTATATATGCTATTGTTATATATTATTTTACATTACATTATTGTAAATAAAGATGTAATTCAGTCCACAGCTGTATCTGTCTAAGCCTTTTAGTGAACTGGAGTTAGGATATTCAATGTTCATTGTACTTATTTTCATGTCTTAACTTTTGTGTCAACTTATAGCTTGTCTGGAGTTGCTTTCCAGTTGGGGATGCTTGAATTTACTTGAATTTAAAATATCTCTAAACAGGGGGGTGAATTGATAAGTTACATAATTGATCAAGCAATCAATTTAATTAAAAAAGATGAAAAGGAGTGGATGTTTCAATGAGCAAATAAGCAAATAATGATAATCTTGAATAAGTGTTGCAACATAAATGTACACAGCATTTATTTGTCAAAACATTTCTCATGTGTTGAGAGTTATTTTCTCTCTTTAATATGTATGTTGCAAGGAAGCTTTCATAATCTAATATTAACCCTTAAACTCCCACAACTGATTACTAAGAATTGTGTAGTTAGACAGTAAGGAGAATTTCTAGTAAGTGAGATCTTGAGAGTGAAAGGGTTCAGGGTGAAACTTCAGCTGCAGAGAATTGTCTTTAGTTTTTCTTCTTTCTCTTTTATTTGTTCTACTCTTGTCACTTTAACTCCTGTATTTAATACTAAGGTGAAGTGAGCCCAACCAAATCACCTCCAGCAAAGAAAAGAAGCTATAAGTTGCCAGAAAAGACCAAAGAATTGCTTGATGTTGATACAATAAACACCAAACTCTGGAGTGAAGTTACCAGTGGATTACAAGACTACCCTGTTAGTATTTCTTACAAGCCATTTGTTATCATATTGATAGTGTTATTAATGATAGTTAAAGACATTTTGACAGATTTGATTACAAAGATAAAACTACTATTGTGAGAGTAGACCTTCATCATCATCATTCCATGCCTGTACACTTTTCTCTTTCTGTTGTTTATTTTGTTATTTTATATTTTGATGAAGAAGTCGCTACAAATCTTTAAATTGATCCACAGACATTTGTTCAAAAGGTGGAAGAGGCATTCACATGCATTTGCTGTCAAGACATTGTATGTGAACCTATAACTACAAAATGTCTTCATAATATCTGTAAGGTAAGTTTTTTCCTTTTTTTTTTTTTACAGCAAGTTATGTAAAATAGTTATTAGTTATGTACTTAGGTAGTAATTAATATTCCAAGATTTTGGCTTCCTGCAGTATTTGTGAAACTCTTAGAAACATTTAGCACAGATGAGTCTTGCAATGGTAGCCCTCTGAGGAAATCTAAATGACACCCTAAAACTAATCTGAGTAAGGTCTTATCAAGGAGGAAAAAAGCAAGGCTCCATTCTGTCAGTTAAGAAACCCTCTGTTCCTCTTTACCAGGACTGGAGTGTTAATGATTTCTGCCAAATATGATCATCAAGGAAACCTGTCACAATTATTTTAAGGGTTGTATGTAATGACCTTATTCTGTATCAAGGGAAAGTCATGATCATTTTGGAATGATCAAATATGGGTGAACTGTGGACATTTATCTTCAAACCTTGGACCCCTAAGAGTGACTTGCATCTAATTTCTCCTTAAAATATCAATATCACACACTATCATTACAATATCACATTGTTTAAGTCACAAGAGTAAAGGAAATTAACACCAGCAAAAGAAGCTCTTGATTGTTAAACAAATTCTCCTTTCAGCACCTTGAGAAATGTGCACAGAACAGTATGAAGAATATGCCTAATGATTTAAGGGTGGAAAAAGTTAATGTAATTTTTTTGTTTTAAATTCAGCAGCTCTTTATTCCACAGTCTTATTGATTATTCGAAAAAAATCCAATTTCTATTTTCACAGAGTTGTCTTCAACGCTCCTTTAAGGCAGAGGTTTATTGTTGTCCAGCTTGTCGCACTGAGCTTGGAAGGAACTACAAATTCACAGTGAACACATCTTTAGATGCAGCTCTCAATCATTTGTTCCCTGGTTATACCAAGGGGCGGTGACCCCCTCCCTCCTTTGGTTGCATTTGAAATGCAGCTAAACAAAATTCACATGGCTTTTGCATATCATAGACAGTTGTCTTAAACATGAAAGACTCTACGACCCTTAAGACCCTAAACCTTGAAAACACAACACCTTCAAAAAAATGGAATACAAATTTTCAAGTATTTTTATTGTAAGCCCATACTAATGCAGGTAAAAATTGAGAAGGATGCACTTTCCTTACTTCATTGTCTCAGTGATTTCTCCCCTAAAACTTTATTTCCATTAATTTTTTTTTTGGTTTGAAGAATTAATACATGGAACCCTTAGAACCTTGGAGTTCAAAATGACCTCTATCATGATTCTTTTGGTTGATTAACCATAAATATTGTTATTTTGGGGGGTCTTTGTTTTCAAGTTTTTGAGTGTGATGGGTCCTTGTTTGCAAGACATACTATGAATGACATTTATTAACATTGGATTATATCTTATCAAGTACATTGGAAAAAAACTTGAAAAATACCTATTTGGAATTTTGCCTTATTTAAGATCATAACATGTTGTTCTTTTAATCAATAATATACTTGACATTATAACTGAATAGTTCCTTATTATATATTAACTGTATTTTATTGAACATGTTAGATGCTTGAAGTTGATATTAAGTTTGTTCTTTCTCATGAGATATGTACTTGTTGTACTCTTACATATTAGATGTAACAGAAATTTTTGGTGGAGTTTCAACAATTATCCAAGATTGCAGTAGTTCTTCATTACTTTGCTCTGTGCTTGTTTTAAAAAAATTGTGCCACCTCCTCACCCATTCAGATGCAACACTAAAATCAACCATGATGAGTTAACCCATCACAAGCAGTCTTGTTTTTACTTTGAATTCTCTCAGGTTCCTTGAAATATTTTCATTCATCCTCACTGGCTGTTGTGATTACTTTGTTTTTGGTATTACCACACTCAGTGGAAAGGCATCCTTCTACACATAAATGCATCTATGTCTCCAGTGGGTATTGGCTCAATATAGGAGTGAATTATGAAGTACACTGTGGAATTTCTTAACAGAGTGAATTATTTCTTGACAGTGAAGCAGCAAAGTCCCACAATAAAATTGTAAACCATTCTAGGCTTCAATTATTGTAGATTGATATGATATTCTTCAGACAATGTTGAACATTTGTTCTCTATGTTGTGTGCCTTCAGTTTTTATTATGAATGATGTAAAATTATTTTTGATATCATATTTTAATAAAGGGCTTTTCATTTTCAATAGCATTCTTGATGGGGTTAAGTTTCATGACAGAATTCCAGTTTTCTTGTTCCTAAATTTTCATGAAGTAACTGAAATGCTGTGTACTCCCCAATCTGTCAAACTCCTGTCATTTTTTGTAACTCTCAAGAGCCTTTGCTGATTTGTAAGAGCAGTTGGGTGCAATCTCTGGTTTTGCTGCCAAAATAAGTCATAGGATTTAAAGATTACCTAAATATTACAAGTCATGGTATCAACTTATGATTGGTTATCTTCTAAAAGTGTTCTCAAAACATTCCTCAAAATTCTGGTTAGAACACAGCTACACTTTTCAAGGCTACCTACAACCTTCTTCAATTCCACCAAACCCTTGTAGTTGCTTCCTGTTTATGGCTTCCTTCCCTCATTATTGGGCCATCAGTATACATACATGTCCCTGCTACCTTTCAGGAACTGAGTCAGCAAAAATTCCATGAGGTTAAGGAGAGGTTAGGAAATTACATTGTGATTCAGGGGAAATAAATGGTAAGGAAAAATTGAAACAACAATAAAATTGCAGATTCACATCATGTAAAAATTGATTTGTTACAATATTAATGTCAAAATTCAATTCCCTTGAAGCAAAAACATGAACTATCATATTTTGTAAAATAATTGAGACACTATGGGTGCCCTTCTTGGTCATGAACCAATTTTTTATTTCATTGATAATCCCATTTATTTTTCAAAAGCACTGGACTGCACTTTCTATTGCTTTATTGGCATGACAAACCACTTAGGATGTTGGGAGAAACATTGAAAAGGTAGAGAATTACTCCCCTTCAGCTCCTCATTAACAAACTTTTCTTGTGTTCTCCTGACATCCTGTATGGGGTAGAATGCTTGTAAGCTGATAGAAAGTGCAGTCTATCTCTTCGAGTGGATGCTGAAATTTTACTGTTTAAAAAACCCAGCCATTGTTGAGGGTCAGTCTTAAAAATCAGTGAAAATTGCATTTTGAGGATACTGATTGGCTAGATTGAAGGTGATTGGCAAGAAACAAAACCAATCTGACCAGAATGACAGCTTTGATTGATACATGAAATTTGACTCCTAAGCAAATGTTTGTATCCACTTGTTCAGATCAGCCAATACTTACTTTGCTGCTTTGCGGTAGAACTAAATCAGAGGTAGAAGGCTTTAAAAATAATTTATTCAGGGTTTCTACCAGTTGCAAATGTTGTATGCCACATTTCTTGTATTTCTTGTACTGCAGAATAGCATTCTCCTTTCATAATGGTGAAGCTTTAGTATGGTTGAACTGTTTCAAAGCAAACACTTTTGAAACCTTTCATGAGAAGACACTAATTTATGGTCTCAAAAAACATTTCATTTTGGACATGCTGCATACAAATACTTTTTCACATCCTACAGATGTCCCTCTGTAGGAAGATGAGTGAGTTTCCACATTCCACCAAAACTGACCCTTTCAAAGGTTTTAACCCTCTTTAATGAAGGATTTTAAACTTGCATTAAGCTTATGATAAAGAAACTGTTCCAGAAGCATCATACTTCTATTTTCATGATTACTGGTCCAGCCAGACTACTTTGAGTATCAATTTTTAGAAATCCTTTAGAAGTACAAGTGGTAAATGTAAGGTGTCTAAACATGTTTCCACATTTAATTTGGTTGGTCAGACATTTTCCACTTTCAAAATGTTTGTAGTAAAGTTTGACTTCCAACTCCAATCTCATATTTAATCAAATCAGTAATGATGTACCCATGGCAGCTCATGGTAAAATATTGAAGTACAGCTCCACTTTTGACTCAATAATCAGCATAACTAACACCATCCAACAATGTGCTGGTTACACCTGACATCACAGATTCAAAAGGATGGGTGTGCAGTCTCCAATTGCATCAGAGGGTCACACATACCCTGGAATGTTGCATGAAAATGAAGTCAGTGTTGTGAAACTGACGAGGCAATTTATGATGTTCCAAGAAAAAAAATTGTGAATCAGCCACTGAGCTGAGTGCTCCTGAACCCAGTGCTAACAAACAAGCCACTTGAACCAAAATCTCTTTGATAATCAGTTTAATAAATGTAATGCCATCTAATTGTTACACTCAAAGAGTTAAAAAAAGTATGTCAACATGCCAAATGCACATGAACCAAAGAAGGCATACTTTCCATCTAACTCCAACTGGATGAAAGTAGAGGAGATCAGGGCCTCAATTCTTTACATCCTCCGAGTTACCAAGTGGAATAAATCATTGGAAACTGTAATATGTATACCAATAACCATCACGGTATAGAACCTACACATAGCCATTTTCATTCTTTGGGTAACAGTGACAAGCTTGACCACTACAAAGATACGTATGGATTAACAATTTGCATATTATAAAAGCAAACTTCTTGGCAGAACACTAATTACCGGTTAAAATATGCATGACTTTTAATAATACTGCTTCCTCGAGGCTGAAATGCTTCCTTATTCAGTTTCAAACTGTTAAAGGCAATTTTCAAATGACTGTCTGTGGTTATCTGGGATTGAATTTGGCACATGAGTGCACTTTGATTGGTTTAAAGTCTTAATTCCAACTGATCAGATGCAAAAGTAAGAGCAATTGGGATTTGGTCAGTCTCCTTCCCCTGCAGTTGAGCCTAATTTGTATCACCTCTTATAAAATTGCATTGGCTCTAATAATCTTTGTCCTGTTTGACTGCCTCAGTTACCTTGGTTTTGTTTTAAGCCAATCAATTGAAAAGAGCCCTGTCTAACTTTAAACAAGAGGGAGAGTTGCCTTGATTAAACACCAATTACCTTGAGAGTAAACGAACTGAACACACCATAATTCATAGATAGATGCTTACTCCTTTTGTCTGACTAAATGCAAAAATTGTTCTCAACATTACCACCAAATCCATGAAAGACGATTTACCCTAGTGTTATATCTACACCAAAAACAATTCAGAGTTTAGTTATTTTACTGCTAAGATAGTCATAGGTAGGCATTTACTGCAAGTTTAACGTGCTTTATGAGGATGTTTGTAGCTCTAATGCACTCTTGGTGCTATAACCCTTTCACTCCCTGGATCTAAATAGTAATTCTCCCTATTGTCTGCTATACAATTACTAAAATATTAGGGTGGAGAATTTGATGTTGGACCAAAAAAATTATTCCCTGGTTGATATCTTCCCTAATGTCATCACTTATCTGCTTGATATTTTATTGATAATGGAGTTATAAAATCATGTCTTGGTCACTCCTGGGAGAGAAAGGGTTAAAAGAGACACCACTCCTCTGACTACCCTGTTGACCACCATTACTGAGCAAGATTAAGAACATAAACTACTCTTAAGAGTCCTCAGTCCATTATGACACACAAATTATAAAGGCCAAAAGCTAGATTTGAAGATCTGTGAGAACCAGTGAACATTAATGCAGCTTAACAATTTGAAGAAGGCACCTTCCAAGCTGTAAGCCTTGTAGATATTTAAATGCCTGTGCTTCAAGACAAGGCAGAACAAAAGGTAACATGACAACAAGGATTTCTTTTCAAAGTTATTGGTAATAATAAGGCAACTTGGCAAGAGTTCTTTACGACGAGACCTTGATCCAAATGACAAAAGAACTGCAGACAATATGATGAGGTCATTGACACAAACACTTAATTCCAGTCAAGATGACAATAAGCCTTTGGGCCTTTTGAGTTCCAGGAGAGAGTTCACAATTAAACAAATCTAATGAAGCCAGTCCTCCAGTAAAGAAGCAGCATTTAATATACAAGAGTGATGAAAAAACTTTAGAGTCACACAGAAACTTTTTAGCCACTGCCACGGATAACAAGAATAACCAGATGATCTTCTTTTGATGGTTCAGGTGACAAGTGTGGAGCTATACGTACCAGATGCTCATGTGAAAACTGACATGGAGGAAATGCATGTAAAACACCAACATCATCCTTTGTTGTTGCCGGATTTCCAGGAGTCACAGGAAGGTTTACAACTGCAGCTGCTTGTTTCTGCTTGAGATAGGTCATGAGATTCCTCAATGGTCTTTGTTGCAAAGCTTCATCAAATTCTGGGTCATCAGGAAGTGGTGTTTGAACACCAGGTAAAGCAAGTAACAAACAATGCCCGCTAGCTCCAGCAGTATTAATCCTTCGGGTGACTTCCTCCAGTTTAGGCTGGTCCAAACGAAGACGCTGAGTAATACGTAAAATTGAATTCTGTGAGGAGCCAGATCCATCTGAACGAAGTAATGAGTCAGCAACTTCAGGATTTCCACCAATGAAATGCATTCGAACAGGAAATGCACTATTTTTAAGGATGAGTCCACCACGCCAAGCAACAGCAAATCTTTTGACAAGATCTTGTAAGGTTTCCCTTCCAGTGGCGATGGCATTCTCATTTCCCTGTTCCGCTGATTCCTTTGGCTCGATGTCTTTCAGAGAATCTTCTTTGTCACTGGGAGTTTTGTTGTCATTAGGATCATTACTACTGCTCCTTTTATGCTCAGTACCATTGCCAGAATTTAGGCAATCTCCTCGTGAACGACTGAAGCGCGTGTCTAAAGAACTTGATCCGCGATGTGAGTCTGAAGGTGATGTTGTACGCGAGTGGTTTGTGTGGTTTGGAGAGGGAGACCTAGTTCTTGGGCTTTTGCGACGTTTTGGGGGACTTCCATTATCCCTATATTCTTTGTTCCGCAGTGGGGAGGGTGGTCTACGTTTTCTAGTCCTGCTGATGTCAATCTCTCGCTGAGGCAACGGTGAATGGTCATTAGGTGGAAAATCATCCATTGGAGGAGGCCGCTGTCTGAAGCGTTGCTGCCCTCTAGAATTTCGGTCCAGAGACCTCTTGTCCCAATTATCTGAGTCATCAACACAAACATTTTGCTCATCTCTTGGCCAGCTGCTTGAGCTAAAAGATCTCTGGGGAGGAAGATCATGTTGACGTCCAAGATCGTGTTTAAACGAATTACTCTCTTCGCGCCAATTTCTGTAATCACTTTCATTCGTAGGAAGAGGCTCCCGACCGCGGTAAGGCGATGGCTCACGCTTTCGATCATATACTCGGTCACTTTCGTAGGTTCTATTTCCCTGATCCATAGCAAACAAGTCATCATCAACTCTGTTTTCGACATTGATCCGGTTTCTCGGTGGAGTTAGCGGTTGTCTCAAACGCGGGTCTTGTAAATGATCTTTATCTGCAAAATCAATTTTCAAACGACGATCACGGCCGCCAAGAGGAAATCCACGCATTTCACGAGCAGCGACCGACGCAGCATCCAAACTGTCGTACAAAATGTAAGCATGATCGTCGCCTTTTTCGTAGTCAATCTTTCTGATGGCACCAAACCGATCAAATTCTCGTTCCAGCTCGACAATCGAGGTCCACTGCCCTAAACCACCCACCCATAAACGGGTAGTTTGTTGACTTTTTCCGTAGCCAATTTTCACGCGGTTACGACCGATAATTTCACCTTGCATATCCACACGCGCTTTAGCGGCAACATCAAGATCTGCAAACTTCACAAAAGCATAGGTGTTACCTTGTCCACGAGCTGGCCGTTTGATATCAACATCTAAAACAGCTCCAAATCTCTCGAAGGCACGACGCAATTCCTGACTAGAAATGCCCGTTTCCAAGTTTCCGACAAAGAGCGTCCTCGTAGCTTTAGGGTCATCTTCTGGGGGAATGTACTCTGCGGGCCGAATTTGATTTTGCTGTCCAAACATGCCCGTACTTTTATAATTCTTTCGATCGTTGTCACCGCGATTTCGATCGAGATCAAACTGTGGGTTATTTCGTTGAGTTCGACGTGTAGGAGAAGGCGGTCGACTGTAGTTCTGCGGGTACTCGTTCGGACTATAACTTCGTCGAGACGTCCTTTCGGGAAAATCGTAATCTACAAGAACCGGCCGTTCGAAGAGAAGAAGACGTCCACGGCGTTCAATAGCACGCCTTGCCTCGCGAGCATCGTCAATGTTTCGGAAGTATACAATTCCATAACGGTCATCATCCCGTCCAGACAAGTGCACGGTTATCTCGGCTCCTCCGAACTTTTTGAACTCGTGGAATATTTCTTGTTTCACAGACTGGTCTCCGACATTACTAGGAAGATTCGAGAGCCGGATGTGGGGTTCAGACTCTCGGTCTATTCTCTTTCGCTGGTTTTGATAGTTATTTTCGTTTCGCATATTTACATTTGAGCTGCGCTTATACGTCCTAACATCGATCTTCCTTGTCAATGAAGCACTTCGGCGGATCGGGGAACCACTATCCCGTGCGCTTTCCGGCGAAGATAATCTATCGCGAACCCCATTATCGTCGAATTCCCTCTGTGAACGAATTCGTTTAGGCTTCGAAAGCGTCTCTGAATCAGAAGACCTCTTCATGACCATTATTTGTCCGCTTGCTACCGAAGAGTGTAAGTGGTCCCTATTACGATCCAAGATGGCGGTTAGTAAAGTCAGCTTGTGTAGCTAGCGCTGTGACGTACACGTGGGGTCTAAATGTTTTTTGTACTGAGAAATCGTATTATGATCTTAAAAGAGTTATCAGCCATTTGTCCAATTGTTTATTAATGTGAAAAAATCGGAGGTCTCTATTCCAAGTTTTGAGAGTGAGAAGAAGTCTTTAAATAGGGTCGTGGGCTGCAATACTGCAGAAAATTAGGGAGGTTAAGGCGATGATTAGTGAGGATACTTAACGTACTTGCTAATTCGTTTAGCTGTCAAGTGTTGTCTGATTGGTCACCATATTCTTATTACTTTACTCCTGTACCAATGGCGTTTGAGCAATCGATCATGAAGGCCTAAGGAAGACAAATCCAGATGGCCGATGGCACTTTTACTTTCATTTACTGCAAAAGAAACTTGAGAACACGATGGAAACTGAAAATTCCACTTTGAGAAGAGAAAAGGAAAATAAATTTATTTCTTCTGTTCTAGTTGGCGAATAAATTGCAGTTATGATCAACGAAGCTACACACGCTGAGGAAAAAAAGAGCACATTGATATATATCCTACAGCTGTCCTAGAGCAGTTGTTATGTAAATTTATCTAAAATGATTTAAACTTTCATAAATGAACGCGAACATCAGAACAGTGGGTGTGGACATCAATGATAAAAAGAATCTCTTTAACCCAAATTATAAGTTTGATTCCATTGTTGTTTAGTGACACCTACGGTGCTTATACTTGAGATTTATGTTAATCGATTAGATTTTAATAACTACATCAGCACACTTAGCCTCTCGCCTTGATGTTAATTTTGAGCTTTAAGGGGAAAAATTCAATTTTCTAATTCTATGAAGAATGTATCATGTTCTACGTCTAATTTCAAGAGGCAAAATATTTTGTAAACCGGCAGTTTACCTGATCAGAAAGATGATGAAGAGTTATGATTAATACAAGAAGTTTTCATCTTTTTCGAATGTTTCTCACTTTCGTTGTAGGCCATTCTCAAATCTTTGCGCCTGCAACCCGTTACAGAGTGAAACAAATATGACAAACGCAGCTATGGGTTTCATATTTCATTTTAGCCGGGGGGGATGTCATTTTTTTTGAGCCGTGGCTTATTTTGAGATGGATGTGATTTCACATTAATTTTAATGTGTATCATTGTTTTATAAGGAGTAAAAGAGGGTTTTGTACCACAGAAACCAAAAAGTCGTATCATTCTGTTTATGAAAAAAAAAAAAAAAAAAAAAAAAAAAGTGAGCTTCATTTACATATTTCCTCCAGAAACCAAAACACACCGCTCGTCAGAACTTGCTAAAAGAATTCCTGTCAATTTCTTTTGGCCCTCGTTATTAGTTTAGGCAAGGGCGGTTTTTCACCCTCAGAGAGTATGATGCCTTGAGCAAAGCCATTCGGCGAGAGATCTTCTTGGGGTCCAGTGTAAAAATAGAAAAATTTACGTCATCAGTGAAGATTCGAACCTCGTCCGGTTTCAGTTCTGTGCTTCAATGCTCTACCAACTTAACGAGAAGTTTATAAGCCTTGGTTACCCTTTTTGGGAGGCTGTGGAACATGAATCTAAGTACAGCCCTTCCTCCTCCCTGCAGTTAACATCACCGTAGCGCCAAAAGACCGGTTCGGAAAGTACATTTCAGACCGCTGATTTTTGTAATCTCTTGTTAGGATCACTGCTTACTTATGTAACAATTCGACTGCGATCACACTTGAAATAGTTAAGATTGCTTGAGGGTGGATGTTCGCCAACGAACTATTTTAAGGACAGGTTAATTGATAACGTAAATTGGCCACCGTAAAGAGTTTCAAAGCTGACGTTTCGAACGTTAGCCCCACTCCATTCACTCTGACGAGCGTTGAAAGAGTTGAAAGAAGCTCCAGATATCCAAACGTTCAGGATTTAATGAAATTCAATTATTAACAATTATTCTATTCGCCCTCCTTGGATACGAGATTGAATATAGCTAACCTGGCGCTACGCGCCTCGTTGGCATTTTACATCGCGCACTTATTGATTAATTGTTAAATAGCTGGCAGCGCTCGTGGGCAATATGAAGCGAATTGGCTACCCGAGCGGATGGGCTCATCCGCACGGGATTGCACGCTTTGATCCCGCGAAAGTAAAATAGTGGAGCGGAGTAAGAAATATGTCGTAATTTCGGACAATTTCTGGAATGGTATTGCAAAAAGCGACAGAAGACAGTCAAAACAATGAAAGCATAAACGAGAACGTACCACTTACTGTTGGCTTTCTTCCGAAGCACTCGAAAATAAAAAAAGTCATTCTTGATTCTTTTTAATCTTTTTGATATTAACTAAATTTTTCATTGACCAGGCTTGATCGATCAAGATGGGTGCATATTAGCCTCGTTCTTGTTTTTAACAAATTGAGGAACTAAGGCGATACCCTCTCATCTTAATCGCACGCTTGGTCAACAACGCTTATATCAAGGCAATTTAGTATTATCAACCGAGTTGATAACGTAAATTAGCCACCGTAAAAAGTTTAAAAGCTCACGCTTTGAGTGTTAGCCCTTCGTTATGCCACAGTCTCTTTAGTAACTTATCCTCTTTGTTCATTTGCATATTTCAAGGGTCTCACTTCTCCACGCCCTCCAAAGCTTGACCGAAAGTGGCTGCTTCAGTAGTTTATACAAATTCCTTTTTTTGTTGCTTTGCAAATATCTTCCACTGACAACTGAGATGGATGATAATACCCGAGTTATGGTCTTGACAAAAAAGGCATAGTGCTTTTCATTTCCCCATGGGAAATGGAAAAAATAAAGAGAAGGAAAAGGGGTAGAAAAAATGTATACAAATAGGGAACCAGAAAGGGAGAAAGAACGAAGGCACAGAGCAATTTGTATGGAAGATACAAAAATGAAAGACAGGGAGACAAAGGAAAGAGGCTGTTGTATTTCAACAAGAGGCTGCTGAAGGGCATCTTTTTATGCAAATTTAGCCCAGTACTTATAGACTCAAAGACATAATTACGAAATGTTTGAGGACGTTTTCGGTCGCAAGTAGTTTATTAAATTAAACATCATGTAACTGTTCTTTCGTTTTGAAGTTAATGTACCGTTACCCAAATAGTTCAGAAATAAATGGCTTCTTGATACACAATGAATCATACATGAGGTGAAACCTCTTCAAATAGTTATTAAAAAAGAAAGTATAAGCTGACGATTGACAAATACATATTAAGTTTCTACTGAAATCTGTCAACCCTTTAACTCCCAAGATATTTTTAGTAATTCTCCTCACTGTCTGCTATACAATTCTTCTGATGTTACTTCTGGGAATTTGGTATTGGATCAACCAATAATCCTCTAATTGATACTTTTCTCGGTTCTCATCACTTGTCTTCTTAATTTTGTATTGATATTGTAAAGAAGAAATGCTGTCTTGGTCACTCATGGGAGTTAAGGGGTTAAATCTTTTCTCCAAGTGCACACAAATAGGTAAATGAAACAATAATTGATATTTATTCAAGTGCCTTTTGATTGAGTGTTGTAAAACCAAACCCAAGGCAATCACAACAGCTGGATATAGCAAAGAAAACATCACCAGGAGTAAATGAAAATTGAACTAAAAACAGGCAATCTGCCTGAAACATGGGAAAATGCAATTAACCAAGTTGCAATTAGCTTTAGTTGATTGGTAGAGAAAGTGGTGAAAGTTTTCTGTACCAATCACAAATGAAATAATGCAAACCAAAGTAATCCAGGAGTACTATTAACACACAATTGAAAATTTATCTAAAAAAACCTTACATGTGCACACCTTATGAAAATATACTAATTGAAGATGCCTTACCTGAAAAGGAAGTTATAGTTACTAGCACATTCACTATAATAGAAATTGATTTACTGAACTTTCATGATAAGGCATTTGCACAACAAGAAACTTCCACAAAGTACTACTTGCAGGAGGACTGACAGGATGGATGACAAGGGATATATTTCCTTTACAATTGCCTTCAACATACAAAGGCTAATAAATGGTTTTGAAAGTCAATAAGGAAACCACGCTCATTTGTGGAGAAATAGAGAGCATAACACCTTTGTGATGAGACTTACTTATAACATGTTCTGCTGGATTATTGCTGGTGTTTTCTAAATCTAGGTTTGAAGACATATACCCAGGAAGTTAGACTCATGTTGGAAAGGGCTGATAAACAGATACATTGCAGTCAAATTAATTACACCATGGTGAGAAGTTTTGGTTACTGGTAGTACTATTGAAAACTCTTGTTATCATTTAGAAATATAAGAGCATCTTCCCCATGCTATGAATCAAATCTTGCAATTGGCCACATATCAATAATTACAATGACCATAAGCTAGTGAAAGTCAAAATCTAATTCCCCTTGTAAGTACCACAGAGCACCACTGAATGTGATACAGCTTCATTGGAGAAATACCACACTCCCCCCCCCCAAAAATAAATTATTGAAATTGTTCACATTTCTATAATACAAGAAGTAGATGGGATAGGGTTTTCTACAGTGTCAGTGCTGTAAGAAAAACCCAGAAACTTAACTAATGTCATATTTTTATGGACTTAATCACAATACCAAGCATTGTCACTACTCCTTCAAATAAGATCTTTGAAAGTATCTTCCTCTTAGTAAATGTTTCCTTGAAAACCACACCCATGTTTAAGAATGTGTTCCCTTGTAGTCCTTGGCAGGGACATGTAAACCCAAGCCGCTCTGTCAAGTTCCTTTACTTCAGGATAAGAATATAAAGTGCCATTAAAACACAAGATAGTGCCACAACCCAGTGTAGGCGAATTCCTATAACTGCAGCTACAAGGAAATAAACACAAACATTTAATTCAAATATTGCATGTACCTTAATGAACCTAGTTTTTCTTCAGTGAACCTACGAAAATCTGACTATACTTTCACTACTGGAACTGCTCATAGCCTTTTTTCAAAATGGATACGGGGACGAATTTTAGATTTAACATATTAAAAATGTGCTTTGTGCAGTTACTAGCCAAAACAATAAAGTTGATAGAAATCATGAAAAAAAAAATATATGCAATAAGGATAAGAAAAGCAAAAAACATATAAACTGAAATTAGTGGATGACCAAAATGCAGCATAAGTAAAACAGAACATTCTGTTGCTGATGACCCAGATAGTGTCAAACTTCACTGCAAGCTGATCACACCATTTTTTTCAGGCAAAATTGTTAAAGGAAATGGTTGGTAATTAAGATCAACAAATGATGGCTTGGAGGCAACCACAAGAGAGAGCTAAAACAATTTTAAAGAAGCATAAGACATTTGGGTTGTGTTAGCAGTTTAATTATAAGAAGGTGACTGCAATGTGAAGATCCACTGTAAATGGAATTAACAACTTCATGGCTTACCTTTATAAAATACACCAAAGAATCCCTTCTTTTCAGAGAGAAAGAATGACTTCAGTCTGGGAACTCTTGTTATGTATGCACAAGTACAAATGATCAACAATGCCAACACCAAAACACCATCAAAAGAGTATACTGAAAAAAAAGAAAAAAATAAGTGAAATAAGGAATTAAATAATGGGAAAGAGACTAGTAACTAAAAACTAGTGGGTTGGTAGGCTTGGGTTTTCTCACTAACAAGATAAGCTGAACAATTAATAAATAATTTTGCTTTGCTAAACAACATGATAATGAAAAGCACTATGATTTGTGGTTTTTGTAATTTCTGACATTATTAGTAATACTAGTATATTAGTAATTTACTTGTTCCAAGTAAATTAAAAAAATGCGTTCGAAATCACTTTAAGCCTTTGACCCCTAAGGGTGACTGGCATCTAATTTCTCCCTACAATATTACCTCTGAATCAAATAACAAAGTCAAAAGAATCTAGGAAATCATCACCAACTAAAGAAACTCTTGATTGTTAAACAAATTCTCCTTGTCAGCACCTTAGAAAATGTATAAAGAACAGTATGGAGAATATGCATACTGATACTAGGGTGTAAAAAGGTAACTGGCCTGAATTTTATTTGAATCTACAACATTTGCAGAAGAAGACTCAGATCAGCTAAAGTTCTTTACAAGGGTGACTGTGTGATGTTAGACTGCATCTATAAACAGCTGTTTCTCCTTTTTCCCAGTGAGTCTATCTTAGATTGACAAACTTACACATGTTTTACAGCACTTAATCAGGCCTGGATTTTTTTAAGTGTGAACAATGCTATTCACTAGATAAATCTCAATCCACTGGATAGCCCAGGGCATTTTGTTAACAATTGTCTGGAGAAGAGCGATTTATTGGTTGAATAGTGTAACCCACTCATTGTAAAACTGGGTCTAAAAGCTAATTTCACATCAAAACAAGTGGCTGGTCTTTGTTTACATGATACTGAGAAGAGCTTTTGTGCTGGAATTACGTTTTTACTTCAGTATGCAGTCTGGTTCACAATCAGGGTGAACTTGTACCGGTAGATCTCACTTCTGCCTACCAATTTCTGGCACTATCATGTAAACGAATACAAAGCCACGGGAAGAAATTGGGGAGGTCTTGTGTCACATAGTTTTTACTACCTGCATCCCCCTAAAACCCTCCCACTAGCAAAGTCATTAATTTACGGATTTGAGGGCGCCATTTCCCCTTCTTTACAGATGATCCAAAAGATGATGCTGTTACAAAATTTTGCTGAAATATCCACCGGTTACAAAAAAAATATGCCTATAGTTTTTTGTAACGAATAAGTAACAAAAAAAATCATCAAACGAAAGACCCAAGTACCTCTTAAAGGTAAACACGACACGCTAAGCATTTAATTTGATGAACGTATATCAACTAGCGATCTGATGGGTGTAAGCAAAATCAACCCTTAAAAGGTAGATTTGTCAAAGTTACACATGAGATTCAATTCAAAGAACATTCTCTATGCTTTAGTCGAGAGTTTGCTTGAGATTTGAAGAATAAGAGTGAATTTCCATATTTCAACTTGCCACGTCCGTACATACAATCTATGAAAGCAAGTCGACACAAACATAGAATTTGGACGAGCAATTTTGGCTTCAGTGTAGTCTGAATTAATCAAATACTTTACCATTCATTTTAAGTCAACATTATCGTCCCAGATGATGGCTGTATTCAATTATTTCGCTTCCCATAAATTCCGAATCCTTCCTTCTTCGCTTGATCAAGCTCAGCAACCGAGAGGTACTGGGTCTGGGAAAGCGATGACTTGACGGTTTTTCAACTCAGTGGTATATCTGTTGGAAATGTAATTTGGTAAAGTTAATTCCTTTCTTCGTGAAATATGTTGGCCTTGCTCAAACTATCCAAAAATTGCCTGTAAAAATTATTATGGTATCTTAAGGAGAAAGGAGGCAGTTTTTGACTCACAAGTTCCTTAAGTTTCTTGTAAGACAAACTACTCTCCGTCCCCTCCCTTAAGACTCCTCAAGGTACTTTGAGTCGATCACGTTTCGTACAGGATCTTTACGTCATCGCCGGTTATTTCTTCTTCCCACTTGTTGGGTCAAGGTGTACAAATTCTTCTCCCGATGAATTTTCGAAGGCTTCAGCCTAAAAACACGTCTAGCTACAGTTTCATCGCCAGAAAAAGAAGAAGTATACGAAAGAAAACGTATTTTGTGGTGAAATAACACACTAGGAGGAATTTTAACGTTTGATTCCCGAAATCAACATGCCCAAAGGAGACTCGAAGGGCAAAGGGAGTCGCGGAAAACGCGGACAGCAACCAAGAAAGAGAGGTGTGCTTCTGATAGTTTAGTCCTTTTAATTCAATTTTTAACAATCTAGAACACCCAAAAATTTTTGTTAAAATTGTAGGTCGAATCGGATCTCAGCAGTCCGATTTTGGTTTTACGCCGTGTTGAGAAATCAACAGTTACGCGCCATTCTCCATTCATTCATGTGCTCGGTTTCCGTTCGATGTGATTAATCCTCTTCCTAAAGTAGTTTGTGATTTTCCTTGTTTACTATTTGTGTAGGAAGAAGAGGAGGCGAGGACAGTGATGAGGAAGATTTTGAAAACCAAAGTGTGGCGAGTCATGCCTCTACAACAGACACTCACAGTGCAGAAGAAGGTTTGACTGTTTTCGACGGCACGTGAAAAGCTAATGCTTCCGCGGATTCTTATGAAGTACTTATGATGTAGATATTTGCTTCAGTATCGTTAAATCTGATAGCAGTTTTTTTTGCAGCTGATGGTTTCGACGAAGGAGCAGAAGAGGACATCGAAGACGATTTTGAGCATATCCTTGCAGAAAATATTGATGGTGCAACTCAGAAAAGGTACTTTGTTTGGCACGTTATTGTTTTTCATTTTAACATGATTGTTTTCGCTTTGATTTGTTGCCCTTATGCACGGCTTAAGTTAACTGAACACTTAAGTTAAAAATCCTGAAGTTTTGCACACTTTTTTGCTGTTCATGTGGATGGAATGGTTTTAAATATATTGCTTGACCGTGATTAAGAAAATGGAACTACGGTTTGTGCTACAAATTGATCATTGAAAGAAAACCTCTCGTTTTCTTTTAAGCCTAGGAGCAAGTTTTCGTTATTTCTCTCGATACCTAAACCTATTTCATTAACTGGATAAAATTTTAAGAAATACCCGGACTCCGTCTATTATTTTGCGTAGATTTCGACAATTGTTAGAAATATAAATGTACGCTCTAACAACCGAAGTTATTCTGGTTTTAATGGTTGGTGTCGATAATTCCCTTATGGATTTCCTTTTCTTTTCTGATGTTTTCATATTGCACCACAATCCAACATTTGAGAACCGTTGATATGCTTACATAACATGCTTCATCCTTCATTGTTCGTTCCGAAGCTTTTTCAAACAAATAATGTTTCATGTAGCAACCTGAAGTAAATACTCTCATCATCTGCAATTATAGTACCAGCTTGAACTTGTAAGAGGGTTGGGGGTAGAATTCGTTCAAGGGGTCAGTCTGTCTTTCAAGTTGCAGTTAAACACACAATTATGTGGCTAATTCATGCTATGACCCGTGGAAAATTTTCGGCTAAGCTGCATAATACCCTGCCACTCATGTACATGTCTTTGAATAAGAATAATGTTTATTGTGTTAATGCCACGACCTTCAAAGCCTCCCGACACATGTAAATGAGGTGGACCAAACTGGCAGGGTATTCTGCAGTTGCTCCAAATGTTCAATCAGTTGAATCTGTCTCAAGTGGCACCATTTAAATTAACCAGTTACCCTGTATTTAGCGGTTGGTTGTCAAGGTCCTGAATATCACTGTAATTTTAACCTCTATAAGTGGCTGCCACAATTGAGAAGTTGTGTTCACCTTTGAGTGAGTCCCAGTGGCAACACTGCAAGACAACTCTTTATAAATGTTCCATGAAGTTGTGCTGAGGGGGAGAGTTGTCTTGAGTACCCAAGACCTATAAATGGAGCCAAACACTGCAACATAGACTCAGTGATAAAGAGGGAATGCAGAAACAGAAAGGAAAATCATGTCTTCAGACTTTGTTTTGATAGAAGCTTCTACATATCAAAGGACAGGTGTAATGACAATATATTATGGACTATTAAATGTCATGTAAACAGTCTTAAAAAATCGGCCTGAGGAGGTAAAACTGAATGTGAGATGAATTTAGAAAATGGAATGAAAATGGTAAAAATGTATATTTTTTTCTAAATCAGCAGCTTTGAATTTCATTGAATTTTTAGATCATGTTTAATTTTATTGGCAGTTCTAAGGGAAGGCAGTCTGCTCTGGTTGCTGTTCAAAAAGCTCTGAAGTCAAGGATCATTGGTGAATTTATCTTATACAGGTGTTTTTCCTTTTCATATATTATTTTTGTTATTATCCCTTTTTCTATTATTATTATTATTATTATTATTATTATTATTATCATATTTCAATGTATTTGTCATGCTTTTTAAACTGATATACAAATTTCATAACCCTGCTTGTTTCCTGACCAAATAGGATATTAGTTTCTAAAGAAACTGTGGTGCTGCATTGTGCTCTAACAAGATAATTAGGTTTTCAGACATGGTTTGATGCTACTCTGGTTTAAAGATTTAATGAGTGTAACTGAATAAGTTACAATTCATAGACCCAACATTTTGACACTCCTGTCTGGTGCCTTCATCAGTAGTGATCTAAACACTGCAACAAGAGATCCTCTTGTTGTATTACTTAACCCTTTAAACCCCAAGAATGACCAAGAATCTTGTTGCAATGACCAAGAATCTTGTTTTCATAGATGTTGGGTCTATGAATTGTAACTTCTTTGGTTACATTCATTAAATCTTGAAACCAGAGCAGCATCAAACCATGTCTGATTGTCTACCTGGTTGCCATGTGAACTTTAATATAGTATAATTAGGTTTTATCGACAGAGTTGATAATGTAAATTAGCTCTGTTAAGAGTTTGAAAGCTGAAAGCTCAAACTCAAAACTCTTTACAGTGGCCAATTTAAATTATGACCTCAGTTGATAAAACCTAATTAATTTGTAAAGATGGAGTAGAAAATATTCAGCAGAGTCATTTTTTTTACCTTATTACAAATTTTCACAATGGAAATGAAAGCACTGTATGACAGTTGGTGGATGATTTTTAATGAGATATTTGGAGTGAAGGAGTGAAAAGTTAGACCATTCTAGGGGACAAGTTGTTGGGACAAATCTATCTGCTGTGTGTGGTATGGATGATTTTTGCAAAATTCTCTGCTCTGTAACATAAAATTTGCCAAAATGAAAAGTTACAAAACTTCACTCTTTTTGAATTTATGCAATGACTGCGGCTATGATATGAGTCGCACTGATTGGTTCAGGAAACAGTGCACACAAAGTAGTATGTTGTAGAGGCATGTTAAAATAAGTCATCTCTCAGGGCATCCTCACCTTAATTCTTTCCTCTCATGGTGCCCTTTTTCCTTCAAGAGTAAAAGTTGTGCATGTTGTTAATTTGTCATAATGTTAATGATCTTATAAAAATACTCAAACATAATAAAGATATGGTGAAAAGCAAACAGCATATCTTCTATAAACCCCTCTATTGGTTGGGATATAAATGAGGGTTTCACTTAAAACCATGCTACCATGATGCCAGTTTTAAATGTTTTTTTCCTGTTTTTTTTCTTCAGGAAAATGACTATTCTGGATTTTATTGAGAAATGTGTTAAAAAAGGTAGGTTTTAGCCAGCTATTAAACAAAATTTGTTTAATGTAAGTAGTGAGTACTTCTTGTATCTCCATCTTCAGGTAGATGAGGAAGAATAGCTTTCAAAATTAGCTTTATATTCTTAAGTAACGATTGATTATCATATGTGCAATAAAAAAATAAAACAAGAGAAAAGACTTGAATTCCTAGATTCAGTTAGACTCTCATAATACTTAGCCCCTTAAGCCCCAAGAATGACCAACATCTGTTTTCTGCTTCTAGCACTACTGCTGTATCATTAATTAAGATCATGAGAATTAAGGAAATGATTGCCAACCTCAGAAGCTTTGATTGTTAAACAAATTCTCCTAGTTAGTGCCAAAGGAAATGTGGAGAGAAGAGTAGGAAGAATATGGACAGGGATGTTAGCATGTAAAGGGTTAAAATTTATGTGAGTAACTTGTCACCTGAATTTCCCATGGAGACCACTTATGAGGTTTTCATTCCCAAGATAGTCTGCACCCAATTTTTGCTTTTGTGGTCATATGCTGTCAAATAGTCCACAGATTATTGAAGCAATCCTCGCAGTTATGAACACTGCTGAATTAGTAGTTGAATAAGGCCTGAAAAAATTCAGGCCTGTATGGGATTTGAACTCGTGACCTCTGCAATACTGGTGCAACACTCTACCAACTGAGCTAACAAGCCAACTGGGAGCTGGTCGTTATGTTGGATCCAAAACATAATCGAGGATTGCTTCTATATTTGTTTCTTCAACTGCAGTGCACATATACAATTTTCATATATATACAGTCATTAGTTCACAGATTGTTTAATGATGTGCAAAGGGTACTGGCACTGAAGGGATTAAACACAAGTAAAAGTCAACATTCTCTGTGTTGACAAGTATGATTAAGTAACAAAATGGAATTGTTTTAGGTACCACAGAAGATCGAGTTCTGGCATCATCCATAGCAGCCCTGTTATGTGTTCAGTTGGGTGCAGGGACTGAAAGTCAACATGTCTTCAAAACTCTCAAGCCATATCTAATCACTGTTATCCAGGATAAAACAGCTATGCCAGTTGCCAGATCCAGTGTAAGATTGGCTCACTTTATCTGACTGTTAGCTATATTTGGTTCATGGTTACTTAACCCTTCAACTCCCAGAAGTGATTAACATGTAACTTCTCCCTATAATATCCATACATTATCTAGCAAAGAGGTAATGAGAATACTCAAACCTAAGTAGAAGTTGTTATCTTTATCTACAACCAAATTTTCACGACTAATTTAAAAGGGAATGAGCAGAAGCAAGAGGGGAGAATTAACAATCAGATCTAGGGAGGTAAGAGTTAAGCATTGAGTTGTGTCTGACGTTACCATTTTTGCTTACAAACACTACATTTAAGTTTGCTTAATTGACTTTTATTGCAGCCTGTCCCATGGTTTTCTACTGTGTTTGACCATGACATGGGTTTTGCAGGGACCTATTGTTCCTTATGACAGACTCTTGAGTGCTGATGAAGAGTTAACCCTTTCACTCCCAGGTCAAATTTGTAATTCTCCTTACTGTCAACCATCCAATTCTTATAATGCTAGCTCAGAGACTTTAGTATTGGATCAACTAATCCCCAAATTGATATTTTTCTTAATTCTTATCAATTATCTGGTTGATATTGTATAGATATTGTTAGAAGAAATTCTGTCTTGGTCACTCATGGGAATTAAAGGTTAAGGCTGGATATCTTTTTCTTGAGTTACAGTTTCTAGATCATCCTTTTTTTTGCTCTTTTAGTGTGCAACAGCTCTTTCTGTCTGCTGTTTCATTGCCAATGAGGATGCTGATGTAAGTATCCTAAATATATAATTAGTATTGATTTCACTTTATCATACTCTAAATATAATAGTTACAGGTGTTGTAAATTGCTGCTATTTGTATAATAGTGCTAATTGTCTTTAATTTTTTTTTAAAATGCCAAGAATAAATTAAATGTCAAGAATAGCTGCCAAACAAAATAGATGTTGGTCTTGCTAAGTGTCAAGTTGCCCTTCAAATGTTACTTGGTTCTTGCAAGTAGAACCATATTGATTCTCTCATAAAGCTATCACAACTTGACAATCATATCCCTCCATTGTAGGAGCTCTTTGAATGTCTCAGTACCTTGGAAGCAATATTTGACAGCAAGAAGACTGTTAAAGCAGATGAAGTGGAACTTTACTATGGCATTTTATTAGCATGGGCTCTCCTTCTATCTGTGACACCTCCCCCAGAAGCTTACACGCTTATTAACAAGTAAGAATACCCAGAGCTTTAGAGCTGAGCAAAATCACTTTGAAAGGATCTTAGAGAAAATGGCCAAGACCAGTGTTTCTTGCCATTTTGACTCTCAAATTGTGATGTTGCTTACTTTAAATCTTCCTTTTATATGCTGGTTCAAATGTTTAATTAGTTGGTAAAGTGTGTAGAGGATCTACAGAACATAACTTGGTTTATGTGTATCAACTAAATGTTATGTTTTAAACAACTTACTTTTTGTTTTATCAGACACTTAAGAAGGATGAAGTTTTTGCTAGAGACAAGTGACCTCAATGTGCGCATTGCTGCTGGAGAGATCTTAGCTCTTATGTATGAGATGGGGCGTGATATTAATGCAGACTTTGTTGGGGACAATAATGGCTTGTGTGACTTATTGAGGGATCTTGCTACCGATGGAAACAAGCACAAAGCAAAAAAAGATCTCAGACAACAGCGATCAAGTTTTAGAGACATTTTAAGAACTGTGGAGGTACTTAGATCCTTTATTATTCTTTGTTTCCTCTGGACACTTATTAAAGCTATAACTAGTTGCAATAAAATGGTGAGACACCTTGAGCAACAAGTGCCGTTACCGACTTCATAAGATATTCAATGTTGTCTATCAAAGATTTGTATGTGATATGTGATATGTGATTTGTATGGTGATCATTTTTCTCTTGTCATATCAGTGTGTCTTAACTACTTTTGTAACTAGTTGTAGCTAATTTACTGAAGATTTCAACAGTTTTTGCCCATAATTGGGAACTTTTTAGAGGTTTATCACTCTCATGGGAAGATGTATTAGAGAGCATTAATGGTAAATGAGAATGTAGACCTGTAACTTACCTACATGTTGAGCAGAATCTTTCAGTTGTACTTAGTAACGAAAGTTTGGAATAAGCAATCCTCTTTGATAAAAACTACTAGATAAAAATATTAGGCAAAATGATGTTGTGAGTATTGTATTTTGTAAATGCTCTTATTGAAATATTGTTGTACATTTACCCTAAGTAGGTAACAGTTCACTGCAAGTGATAGTTTTAGTGGAAAGCCTACATTAAATTCCTATTCATGTATTGTACTTTGTTCAGAGAATACATATATACAATATTCACAGAGGCTTGGCAAGACTTCAGAAGAAAGACAGTTGCTTGGAAAGAGTAATTAATAATGTCTGACCTCTTTAATAAGCCTTTTTGTTGAAGGTCTGTAAAATTTCACAGTCTCCTGTGGGCTCATCAGTTGGAACTTCAAAACATTTAAAAGTAAATTTAGTTTTCACTAATCAATATCCTGTATTAGGATGGTGTTTCACCAGATGAGGTTGTAAGGTTTGGAACAGAAAGCATTGCATTACACTCCTGGGTTCAAAGAAGACAGTACTCTGCTTTAAAGGAAATCCTGGGAACTGGAGTGACCATTCATTTACAGGTAACAATGTGAAGTTTTTTCCCCCTAAGCTCTATACATCATTTTAAGACACAGTGTTTAACACTTCATGTAGGTATAGAACCATTTTCAGTGTTATCATCCATGCAAACACTAGCACTGTTGGCATACCTTCTGTTTTCTGATGCTGAATCTAAGATTGCTTTCTGGGCTTTGTTTGATTTAGAATTAAAAGTTGTTTCTACCCTTTTCCTTCATTCTGTTTTTTAATGGCCAAAATTGGCCATACAATTACAGTCAGGCACAATATTCTCATTTTAGTGGGACAAAAATGTTGAGATGAGACTCCTCACCAAGAAGCCTATCTCATCTGTTAAGACTTCTGTTATTAAAAAGCCAGTTTAAAAATGTCATGCTAGATATTTTTAGTGCATGCATTGGTGGAATGCCTTTAATATATTGTTACTTAGTCGCAATATTGGGACCTTTGGGATAGTTCTGTCATGCAACAGATATTTGGCACAAGGAAGGAGTGAACAATTGGGGATTTCTTTCAGTTTTTAGCATAAAGGAGGACTGGAAGAGTCATCATTTTGTAACTTGATGTTTCTTTAGCTTGTGGAAGTGTTTCTTTCTTATATTTGCCTTTTGAAGCACAATTGACTAATCTTAATTAACAATCCCTTTTTCAAGGAGAATGATTTACTTCGAGAAATATTTGACCTGGGACCGCAAGTGAAATCTTCAGAAGCTCATAAATGCTCACGCTATGAAAGGGTAAGTGTAAGATGCATCAGTGTATTTTGCAGAAACTTGATTTTTATAAGTAAAGTAGCAGTGCAATGTCAATCTTTAACTGATGAATCAACATTGCCCCCTGCTTCCTTTTGTCTAATTTCCTCCATTACAACCAGAAAAGAAGGAAAGTAAGAAAGAAAATGAGATGTAAATAGCATTTAATATTTTTGTAACCATAGTTTGTAATGAAAAATTATGACTAGTTCCAACTGTCATATGGTAATTCTCAGGTCACTGGTCTGAGTTTGAAACTGATGAATCCTTTTTTTTACTGCAGCAACTTTACAATAATGCTGTCTCCAAGGCAAGAACTTTGGCTCGTGGAAAGAATAGAGACAAGAGGAATGCATCAATCATGTTCTAGACACTTGGCATTTTAATGTACACTTTAATTAATGCTAGTTAACAATCTGATGCACCAAAGTTATTTTACTGTACTTGGCTTCATGTTGTTCACATTGAGTTTGCAGAATAAGCAATGATTTTTTAGTGAGAGATTTCAATTTTTCCTTGAAATGATCCATGACTTCATGTGTGGCAGTGGTACATTTAGTTAATTTACTAGGTCACAAGATTTTGATTCCAAAAGCAGTTTAGGCTAGTGTAGTCTGAGAAGGAGGGTAGTTACAGTATATTTGTTGCTTTGCTCAATAGAAGTCCTCTTATCATAAGTGAATCTGTAATAGTTGTAGATTTAAGTTAGATATTTAAAGGAGTCATTGATTTTGGGATTGGTTTTTAATTATGGGTTATGAGTGTTGATAAAAATGTGTTTATGGACATGACTGACTTGATGACAAAGTCCTAATATGCCATACACTTTATTGAAGACTATGTGGTGATGAAGATAAACACCACCAAATGAGCAAACACAACAGCCTTAAATTCAATATATTATTATTAATTTATTTTAAGTATCCTTTCAAAGCTGTAATGTATGCTAAATTCTAAACTAATTTGTTTGTTTGATGACTAATCGAGATTTTGTCTAAAAAGTATTACTAAAACTGAAGAAAAGCATATTATTTTGGCAATTGTAAATAGACAGTTAATAGGGAAGTATTGGTTAATCCTTGCATCCTAGAACCAGCATGCATATTCTCTATACTGTTCCATCTTCATTTCCCAAGTTACCAAAAGAATCTGATTAACAATCAAGAGCTTCTTTAGTTGGTGATTATGTTCTTTATTTACATTACCTTAAGGTGTGATTCAGGGGTGAATTGTAAGGAGAAATTAGATGCTTAATAAGAGGGTTAAAGAAGAAGGTTGCCCAACTATATGATATAAACCTCTGTATTTAAAAGCAAGTTTTTAATTATTTTGCTGGTGACAATTTGAAATCCAAAAATTGAGAGTGTAGTTGTGACAACCCAGAGAGCTCATGCCTTACATATTAATGTAGTTGTCCTTTGAAGAATGCCTGGATAATAGTTGTTTTGCTTGGATTGTACTAGATCTTACTTTTTCCCTTGAAACACAGAAATTTTTACATCTTTGATTATGGAAATAATACCGTTTACAATAATACTGGTGTAGGATATTTTGAAATATTAAGTAGGTTAGTGATATTTCCTTTCTGTAATTGCGCAAAGTTGTAACAATTTTTGATTGCTTTATTTCATATAATCTAGCTGGACTAGGTATCCTATGTACTAAAGTTATCCTTAATTACTTGGAAGGAAACATTCCATTTCACGGGGTAGTATCTTCTACATACTGAAACAACTGCATTAAATATCTGGTGTTAAAAGCTTACTGGCTGCCTATTGCTGCAAGTTACACGGTGTTACAACCACCAGGTCATCGGTAACGTTTGCTGCTCCTCCTTAAAGGAATACTCGTTCATCACAGGAAATTTCGTAGCAATTCATTATTCCTTGGGCAACTCCCTAGTACCTAAATACATCCCCTGTTAGATTAAGTCTGTATGAGAATGAATATTCTTGCCCATAACCAGGGTTTTCAACTGTTTTGTAAAGTAGCGGACATACTTCTGAAAGCACCGGACGTGAATGTTTTCTTGGCGCCGTAAGGCGCCTCGCGAGCGCCGTAGTAAAAAAAAATCGCCAATATTGATCTCAAAGTACCGGACGTGGAATGGCAAACGACCGGACGAAACGTCCGGCCTCCGGCCTCAAATGAAAACCCTGCATAACCACGGCTCAACTATGCATTTACCCCCTTCTTTTAACCCAACTTAAAGTTTTAGGGTTGGTAGTGTTCAGCGCGGTAATCGCGGTTCTATCGCTTCTCTCGCATTCAGAGTGCATTTGAAATGTTCGGATAGCAATGTTTCGGATAGCAAGAATTTGATTTGTCCGAAAAAAAAAAGAGGGAATCGCCCAGAACGGTGTCCTTCTAGAATTTAAGACGTTGAGTATGATAGGGTGAAAAAGATTTCGGGCCGCGCCCACACGACGAAATTATTTCGCCCCATCGGGTATATCAGAGTCGTTTACGACACTCCTTTGAGCACCCATGTCGTGATAGCCTCTCCGTCCCTTGCTCTTCTCAAAGCTTCCAAAGAGAGGAGTTGCTAAAAGGTAGCATACATGAGCTAGTTTGATTTTACTAAGTATCAAGGGAGAGACAGGGACGGGAAGAAATGGATAGAGGACAAAAATTCAATCTGGCAAAGTGCCTTAAATATTTTGACTGCAATGAAGGCCGATAAGGGGTATGCAGGTTTACATGAAAGAGGAGGTGTAACGTCCATAATTAACTGTTACTTTAACTTTTGAATAAAAAAATATGTGAATCATCCATTTTTCAGCATTTCGTTAGAGATATTTTCACCAAAGAAATGGAAAAAAGGCTCTGACTTCATTATATAATTTTACGCAATTGTAGCACTTCCAACTTGCACAAACCAGTGTGATTCTCTCTTTCTTAAGGTCTGAAGAAAGATAAATTTTGAACTTCAAGGCTGTCGCTAGTGGACTTCCGGAGAGTTCGTTTATTTTTTTTTAGCGACAAACATAAGAGAGAATGGAAACTTGGATTTTGACTTTTCCGAAGGTAACGTGCTTTCGTGACTTTCTCCATGTTTCTTAAGTAAATATGCAAGTCCTCACGATTATCTTGTCAAGTATGACAAGTATATGTTTCCCGAGCAATATCGAAAGTGAGAAGATTTACGCATGAGAGGAGTTATTATAGTTTAGACAATAGAACAAATTAGGTCCTCTCGTCTCAATTCAAAATGGACAAAGGACGTGGAACAAAACGAGAAATTAACTTGACAAAACGTGACATTCGGGACAGTTCTTCTAATTAAAGGGATCAACTCTGAACTAATCTATCGTTTTGCCTTTTGTTCTCATTTCAATTTAAAATCGGGGTCTAATTAAAAAGGATTAAAGACATTTCGCGACGACAAAAAGTATGCGATGAAAAGGCTCCATACGGTAATCAAAACACATCTGACTTGAAATGCCAATCATTAATTATGCATAGCTCAATTTAATTTCTCCTTGGCGACGGGTATATGCCTTAGATCCTTGTAAGTTTTTGGGCAAACATAGCTGAGAATGGCTACGAGTTGATCGGTTGTCGCATTAACTTAGAATATGGAACGAAAGGCAAAGGAAATGCAAGTTTCATATCGAAAACATGTTGTACCGTCGAGACGGACGAGAATTCGATTAAACTGACACCTTTACCAAACGAAAAATGGCGGCATCTCGCGAACGTAGCGAGGTAAGAATCGAATTTGATTTCACATTTACTGTGTTATTGTGGAGCATATTTTGGTATTATTCATTTTTGTAATAGTTATGCTACCGCATAACTTTGAGTATCTCTTTGATGCATGGAAACGGAAGCTCATTACAACTAACGGAGTCGCACTACAACAATACACCCAAGAGATCGAATTGTTAATAAAAACAATCAAAATGAGATAGAGGATCTGTCTTGTAACTAAACTGTAAGCGCTTTTCTTTGGATACAATTTTTTCTTCAAAGAGAAAAGGGATACCGGTTTGTTCGATCACAAAATTTGTACAGAAGGAAGGTTAGAAAGTGATCGGCCAGTGAGAACCAGTAGTGGTTCATTTGGCAGCCACAAAATATAAACATTCAATTAAAACTACTACATTAACTTTAATTTTCAGCCTGTTCGACCACGATGATTACATTTCATTGTAACGTAAGAAGTGTTAGGAATTAGCGTCTGATGATGAAGTACATTGTCAGCGATTTGTAAAAATGAGTACGATTTTGAATGATGAAAACACATGGTGGGTACATCATCGATCATGACTCAGCGTCTTACTAAGTGTTTTTATTTTTATCTCTGTAAATATGCACGTTACAATATTATTACCTGAAAACTCCTGTCAATAAAAACATGCTGGGTAATTTTTGGATTTATTATGTATTTGCATTTATTCGTTCCCTTTGTTGTTGTTATTGTGTTTTATTTAAGAGGCTGAGTCAGGGCTTAAATAGGGATTAGGAAAAATCGGGACATAATTGTTTTTGTCTGGCTGAACCAATCATAATTTGTCATTCAGGGCCTTGTAGTTAAAAGGAGTTGAAAGGGCACATAACGGTATCCAACCGATCAATTGCTTTTGGGCGAATATGTTTCACAAAAAACACTTTGCTTTCCACAGGATTGAAATTTGTCCAGTACATACAGTTATCCATTCCTTGAACAACTGGGGCTAATTCTTTTTCTCATCCTTTCCTTTGGCCGAGAGGCCAACATGCAACTTGTTATTTATTTCTTGTTAATAACAGTCTTCTCATGTGAAATATTCTGCTGACACAATTGAGTTTATGCTCTTGAAAAATTGGCTACTCTGAGCTCTTAGAGAGTAATTTCAAAAAAGAAAAATTTGTGGAAAACAAAATTTTATGGCTGTTTGATAAATAAATGATTGAAAGTGGAAAATATTGTTATCTTCCAGGGTGTCTTGTACAGACTAGCTTTTTGGTTCAGCTTTGGCTGTCAGTAACTAAGTGGTGTGCTTGCCACTAGCTTTTCAAGTCTAACCCTTTGCACCCCAACATTTATTAACCCTTTTACTCCCACAAGTGACCAAGACAGAATTTCTCTTTACAATATCAATACAATATCAAGCAGGCAAGTGATGAGAATAGAGAAGAATGTCAATCATGGGATTATTTGTTGATCCAATACCAAATTCTCTGAACTAACATTATAAGAATTGTATGGCAGATAGTAAGGAGAATTACTAATTAGATCTTGGGAGTGAAAGGGTTAATATTACAACAACAACAACAAAAATATACATGGACCCAAAAAGCATAACTAAACCATAATATATGTGCATGTAAACGTGAAGTGTTGATTGGAAATAAGACACAAATACTTTGCAGCTTGATAGAGTATTAGATTATTTTGTTACTGTTAGGTCACGTAAGATGCTTATTTGTCAGATTAATCTTACTTTGGCTCTGTTGTTCACACATGATGAATAAATGTTAAATATTTGATACTATTAGTTAATATGAAATATGTGTTTCTTATCTTAACCCTTTAAATCCCAGAAGTGACTAACCTGTAGTTCTTCCCTATAATATTCAAACATTCTTTGGAAAACTGGTGATGAGAATACTCCAACTTATCACGTTCAGGTAGTAGTCGTTATCTTGTTCCAACACCAAATTCTCATTAATAGTTTACAAAGAAGCTAGTGTTACATAAAAGGGAGAATTAACAATTGGATCTTGGGAGTTAAAGGGTTAAATGAATAGTTCGGATAATTGCAGCTTGCACATCATATTTCTTTAAGTTTGTAGCTTATTGAGTGTTTAAACTTCATTTCTAAGTGTATGTGCATCAGTATGCAGCATGGGCTTATAAAACATATTTGCGCTACAATTTAACAACTGTGTTGTAACAGTATATTATTTTGAGTGAGCTGAAAGCCTGGAAAGCAAATGATGTATCTTATGTTTATGTATGCACTTCATTAATATATAATTTTTGTTTCAGTCAAAAGACCTCTCAGATACTCTTTTCAACATTAAACATCGCGACATCTTTGGTCACCTTCCTCCTTTGAGTGCACCTCAGGTAAACAAACTTTATTAATACCTTTAGCATTTTCATGCACACAGCACACAGTTGATATCTGCCAGTGATTCTTTTTTCTTGTGCTCATAAGCCTGTTTCAAAAGTAGTTTCATGAAACTTAATAATATTATTTAACTACCATGTACCTTCATGTACCATAATTAGTGTATTTTATAAGGTTAATTAGTGTAAATTTTTTTTCTTCATTTCATTTTTACTTTTCATTTGTTTTTATTTAAGTATGATAAAAGCTTAAATCCTTGAAGGCTATAATGAGTGGTGGATATAGATATCCCCTGAACAATGAGGTGATAATACTCCATCAGTGAGGCTCTTGGTCAAGGGTTGGGTACCTGTTACCTCTATGTAAATATTATCTATGATAATTTATTTCTTAAACAGACTTCAATGTATCTGTTGGTTTTGGGCTCAAGACAATCTTCTAAAAGCATCCTACATAGCATGTTGTTAATATATACCTAGACTTTCACTCAACAAAATGAGCACTACGATTGGTTGATTCTTGGTCACTTGCCCCTGATAAAATTCAAATGTGTCCTGATGGGGATATAATTGTGCAGTTGTTGCCTGTGTACCTTTAAGGGAAAGGCTAAATATATATCACAAAGCACTTAATGTATGGTCCCTTGGGAAACTGGCTCTTTTTGTTTTCCCTCAGGACCATGCATTAGGTGTATTTTGTCACAATTGCTCTGACAAAGGGCAGATGCTTGAAATGCTAGCTCTAGGAACTATTTGCAGCGGCAAATTTATGCTATCAACTCAGCTGATAAAGCCAACTTATTGTACTCTCACAAGCTTGTATTGACACCCAAATTATTGCTAGCTAAACATGTAGTGGGCTGGCCATTTGTGAGTAATGTCATATAATTCTCTGCAGCCTGCTTTTAGTGAAAGACCAAAGATTGTGGAGTATGGTGCATACACCAAAGCATCACCTACCAAAGAAAAAGGTCATTATAGACATACGAGGTGAGTGCATACTGGTACTGTAAATTGTTTATAACTAATGTTTGTTAGATTTCCATTTAGGTATTCATAAACAAAACCATAACAGTCTGTACTCAAGTGGCCCATCCAGCTGGAGCTTATCCCATTTTTAATTCCTCAGCATGAAGCTGTTAGGAGTAATACTACTTCCCTCCTGGATGGGATGCCAGTCCATGGCAAGGTTATCTTCCAGCATTTCATCAAATTGTCAGGTTTCCCTGACAGTTTGATGGTAACCATTTATACTCCTGGGTGGAGAGAGGCACTGTGAGAGAAAAGTGTTTGCCCAAGAACACAACACATTGACCTGACCAGGTCTCAAACCTGGATGACCTGGAGTCCAATGCACAGACCATTTGGCCCCATCATCTCCCCTTCAACCAAAACCATGAGATGTGCGAAAAAAGATGAATTCAACTCAGTGTAATAACTGCAACCAAACAGCTCACATTGTGATTTTTTTGCTCTTCTTAATATTTGGTTGTGCGAGTATATAAAGCTCTAACAATGCATAGAATGATGTGACGTTACAAAAAATAACAATGTCACATCTAAGGAGTCCCTTTAATTATAATTACAATATGAAATATTTTTCATAATTATTAAACAGTTTTTTTTTTACTGTTTGTGCTTCTAAATTTGTGTAGTGATGCAGTGGCTAATAACTACACACCATCTGCCCAGGCTTTGACAACAAAGCTGATCTATAAAAGACAAGGCAAGTCATCTGGCTCAGGTTAGTTGAGGCACACCTAACTGATTCTTAGCTTCTAGTATGTGTAGTCCTTAGTGTTTTGGCTTGTCAAACACTTATATCATGAGCCTGACAGGTTAGGAGATTAAAAAGCCTCTCTCTGTGTATTTGAGGTTCAATATATTATTTTATGTTATCTTATCAACCTATTTTACTGAAATAATTACATGTATTCCTTTCTATCATAGTTTCGAAGAGGACTAATCTGAGGAAACAGCATAATTCCCTTAGGAATGTGATTGAAGGAAAACTGCAACCCCTTCATGGAGGAAAATCGCCATTACTTGCTTCTGGATACTATGTGAGAAAAGGGGCATTGGAGGTGGAGCTGAACAAGGGGCACTCAAGTCCACCTCATATGGGATCACCCACTAAATTATTACCCCAGAATGAACAGGAAACCCCTGAAGGAGGGAAACAAATTGATGTTGATGCAAGTCCTCTCTCAAGCTCAAAGCCTCCAAGGGTTAAAAGACCTCAGTCTGTAGAAGAGTTTGTCAAATCAAACAGCTGTTCCCCTAGTCCTCAGAGTAGTGGTATGCATTATAACAACAAATCCCTGTCTGAGTCTCCAGACTTCAGAACAGCAAAACTTGCATGGGAAGGGCAAAGCAGGATGACTGAACCAAGCAGAAATGAAACAGAAATCTCAAATGGTCATACAGACTCAGTACTCCAGGATTTTGTAGAAAGCTGCACCCTAACAGCTTCACAAAATGTCTCTTCTATGTATTCATTCAGAGAGCATGATGATGAGACACTGTCTGTTCTAAATATCTGTTTCCCTCCATCAACCACACCTACTTTTGGTTTATCACGTTCTGTCTCACCACTTGAATCAGATCGTGAGAGATACAACAGTCTTGTGGAGAAGGCAATTCATACCAGCATGGTAGCACCATTATCTAGGGAATGGAAGAAGAAGACACATGATTTTCTTCCAAAATCCTTGAAACAGGATTTTAAAGAAACACTTGATGCGCTCGACAAGGTATTTGTCTTAATTATTGCATTTTGTTAGCCTTATGCACAAGTACAAGTTGTAATGATATCAATAATGATGTTTTTTAGGGAACCCAACTTGCCAAGGCAGTTTTCATTGGGACCCTCAAGTTATCATTTATCTTTATGGTCATGCAGTGTGAAGTGCTTTTGGGGAAAATTTTTCTACCGTTTGGCTTTGATCTCTGTGCTGCTCCACATAATTTTCAGATCTTTTATTACCTCTTTCTAATCCTTTATGTTCAGGTTATAAGTTGAACTATGGTTAGGAAAAATGGTAGCACATACAGAGGGTAGAAAATGCTCCATAATCAAATATATTCCTTTCTGAACTTAATATGTGAAATTTCTTGATCTTCCAGTCTCCATGGGGGTGGGGGAAGGGTTTGGCTAATCACTGCAAAAGAAAAAAAGAGGTCATCTATCATCTACAGTTAGTAGTGTGTTTTGCAGGTGTTGCATATACAATACAATGCATATAAAATAATTGACAAAAGTACTGAAGACTTTTCACCGATGAGACCACTATCCTGAATGATCATTTTTCCCCTTTTTTATGCTACATTTTCCTCTTTAACCACCTCCCCCCCCCCTGCTCCCCCCTTTTGAATGTTGTTTCAAAGCAAAGTAAATGTTGGCAGTAAAAGACACCCAGAGTAGAGGGTGGGAAATTGTATGAGGGAGGGGTGTAACTTGTCCAACATTAGTAAAAACAGGTAAGTGCCACAACCCTTTTGTCAAGGTGAGTGTCAATGCTGATCTGACTTTGGAGACTAGAGACATATGTGACTCTTTTTCAGTTATGAAGCTGTAGTTCAGCTTCATAAGATAATTGTCTGACTGAGAAAGCCACACTGTATGTAACTTTATATACAAAATTTTTCCAGGAAATGGAGACAGAATATACAAGAAGTGTCAAGCAAAGTATTCTGGACTATGTGCTTTTGGATTTAAAAGAACAAAGAAGACTAGGACTTCATATGCCACAACCAGTAAGACAAATCTTACATGATGTTGTTATAACCTTTTTCAGTCATATATGAAAAAACAGTAAAGAGTTTATGTCCACAGGCATAAATATGTTTTGGGCCCAACTAAGAATTGTTTTAAGATGACTCTGAGAAGGGCTCCAAACATACTTATGCCCAAGAACATTAATTATTAATATTACTATCATTATCGCTTTAGAGGTAATTGAAAAATAAGAAATGAAAAAAAACAACAACAACAACAACAAAACAGTCTGAAAAATTATGCAAGCATGCAAGTGGGCTCAAATGCAAAAAAAAAAAAAAAAAACAACAACAACAACAACAACTCCAAAAAAAAAAGAGCAAAACAAAAATGCATCACAGTTCCTGGCAAAGTTATAATGATGTGCCTTTTATAATGTAGTTCTTTGTAAACTTTTTCTTGTGTCTATCTTTTAGGTCATATATCCAGCTGGAAGAGAGACTTTTCCTTGGCATGTTTCAGTTATCACCTCACGGGAATACCTTGAGAATAATCTATTTGTAACCCATGTTGTTCAGAGAGAATTGTTGTACCTTTGGGAATCAAAGTAAGTTGAACCCTTTTAAGTTGGGCATGAAGAGGATACGTCACAGTACTTTTACTTTCATGAAACAACTCTGCTTATTTAGTTTATGGTAAAATATTTTCATCAAAGAAATACCTACCAAGTTAATTTTTGAGATATTCTTGTGAATCAAAAGGTATCATAATAATGGTGCTTTTCAGCAAAATTTCTCCATTTCTGTTTGAAGAGATTTGTGCCAATTAAGTGTTTGAAGTATTTGTGGTTATTGTTACTACCAGAGAGCTGTTTGGAAATTAAGTTCAGTGAGGTATAATATACCTGCCCACTGTCTTGCTTTGCTCTTGATTCCTATACCTGCAAATCAGACACATGTTATTCAAATTAAAAAAAAACGGTCCTGGAAAACAAAAGCTTTTTTGAATGATCTTGATATTCCTGAAACCTCTGATTTGAGAAAGAAAGGATATTGAGGAGGAGGTTGTGTTAGAACTCTGAGTCATTTTGGAAAATTTCAGAATGGGTCCTCTACCAAAAATGTCAAATCTTTGACTTGGAAAAAGTTGGCAAGTATATGCTGTGTTATGCTATCAGTTTTTTGGGCTGTCATCAAGTGTAGGTCAAGTAGTGATACTTTTAGCTGGGTATCATTGTTGTAACCCACAGTGATATGCAACCACAAATATACAGCTTACACAGGAGATTACCAGCTTCATTGCATAGCTTAGAAAAGCAGTTAGCAGTAGGAGCAGTAAACATTTATCTGGTAACTTTTTTATTGATTGATTGCAGTTATTCAGACTTAAGGCTAATTGACATTCAGAGTTTAAAGGAATCTCTCCCCCTGACAATAACTGAGCTCAGGAAAAACACTCACAAAGCAACTCAAAAAGGAATAAAGAGACTTTTGGATGGATGGATACCATCTTGTGTTAAGATCATCAGCGACAGAAGAGATGACATTGAAGAATGGATGCCAGAGGATGAGGTGAAAATTGACTCCATGTCATCAAGTACTATTTGTAGTGAATTGTTGTATAGAGCGCTTTTCAACTGAGTTTCATAAAACGGAAACCACAATTATCACACGACCAAAGCGCGGGAAAACGCGGGTGACAAAGTCGTGATTTTTTCTAGTTTTGTATCTTATTGGCTGAAAGACTGGCGTAAGTTTTCAGGACCAATCATAGAGCGAAATGAAGCGAAAACTAAGCAATCAGAGGATTACTTTCAACAAATTGTAAATAGCTCAATGTATCACAACAATGACAGATCAATTCACTTGCAAGCTTGATTGACCTGATGAAGAGGCATGACATGCCCGTTCAAAAAATTGTCAAATCAGTTTACTGACGTGCAAGATGGCGGGCAAGTACCTGAACATTGAGTCTTGAGTCTCGTTATTGTTCTTGTTTACTTGTTCAGTAAATGTATCAAATTACATATACGAACAGGCCATCTTTGTACACGTCTTAACGTTCTGTTGCTAAGTTCCTTCACCAGTCTGTGGTGTAGTTCGGTGTTTCTGTTCCCTTGCAAAGCCTTTAGGTCTAGTGACAATGATAAGTAAGTTCATAATTGGAGAACAGTCAAGGTCTGCCCTTGCAAATTTCATATCAATCCACACATTAATAATTTGAAAAGCCATTTTATTAGCTATCAAAAGAACCGAGAGAAAAGTTTGCTTTCAATTAATCATATTATCTTTTAATAAAATTTTAGATTTCCAGAGTGGAGAAGATGGATCATTTCTTCTCATCAGTGGCATCCCTTATGTCACACAATCTTCGCAGTGCTGTGTATTCTTCTATTGACGACGTGGTGCAGTTCATAGAGATGTACAAATTTGGAAATGATTTCACGGAACCATTTGAAAGAAGTCTTCCCATACTACCACAACCAATCATTCTTACAGTGGTAAGACGTCTGTATTTTCTCTGTTAACGTAATAGTACTTCTGTTAGTAGTATTTGTTAGGCAGTATTTTTGTAGCAATCTTTTCGGAAACATTTGTGGGCGTATTCATAACTAAACTTTACTTGCATGTGCACATTATGTTGGAATCCTCTTTCATATATCTTGTTGTGCCACAATATAGAGTCACCTTTGCTTAGAAGGCGGAACGGATATGGGAAGATAGGGGCAAAAAGGGGGGGGGGGTTTGAGGGGTGTTTGGGGGGTGGGAGATCTTCAGCCTCTCCTTTACGGAAATTTGGGAGTGGGTATCCACCGGTTTTGATGCAGAAAATAACTTAAACACAAGATTCAATTGGATTGAAAAGATATTTAGTTGATGTGGTCTTTTGACTTATTATTTCATCAAAATGGCGCCCGGCGAAGTGTTTATTTGTAGCGTATGTCGTTTTTTCAAACAACTACTCACAAATGCATAGTGTCAAATAGATTACGGGCACATTGGGCACGGTTGCGATTGCAAGGAGATCAGCGTGTCTTAACGAACTACAGACAACAGAAATGTTGGAAATATTAGTAGTGTCATGCAGTTTTCTGAGTGAACGATGAGCCCTAGGATCATTGTCAGTCTTGGAGCAACTGCGTACCTACCCCTCCCTTAACCCAACATTAACTTAACTTGCTGGGTGCGCAGTTTCTCAGACACTAAAATTAATCCAAATCCTTCATGTTTCAACTCGCTCTGCCGCTTCTGTTTAATTGTAGATCTCGACGATTCCATTGTTGCATGTCGCATATATGTTGCATGTTGCATGCATGTTGCATGTTGTTGCATGTTGCATATATTGCATGTCTTCATGGGGTGATGAGGTCAAATAAAGCGTCGCTTTACTTAGCACATTGGACACCTCGTTTCCGGCGCGCTGTCATTTTAGATGTATTTCAAATCCTATTATTGTTTATCTTATTTGGAGCGATTTCAGATTGAGTATTGTTAAAGCAAAAACAAGGAATTCAGTACGGCCTGTCAGAAGGAAGGAGAATACCCTGAAGAGCCAATGAGAACTCAGAATTAAAACAAGCCAACTGCCCAAAGCGCAAGAAAACTCGAGTGACCAATTCGGAATGGGGTTTAGTTTTGCATCTGATTACTTGAGAGAGTCAAGCAATCAGATGCTGATGTACCAACCATAGAGTAAGAAAGCAAGACTTATACAATCCAGTGGAGTTCCTGATTACCTTCCATACTTAATTGAAAACTGCTCTATTGGAAACAATGTGAGCAGTAAAAACATTTTTATGAACCCATTCGTTTTTTGATATTCCTATTTCATAATTGAAGGTTCCTGATGTAGAGGAGGTGACGGTTGCTTATGAGCCAAGTTTCTCAGATGTGACCGAAATCTTACACGAAGTCATCGAGCACATGGTGAAAAGTGTCCAAACCCTCGAGCGTGTTGAGCACCAGCTTTTCTACGAAGATGAAGGGCTAAAAAAGCGTTATATCAGCAGTGTAGAGCTCGATGAAGAAAGAGTTCTGGTGGCCAAGGCAAAAGTGGCTGATGTAGTGGAGAAAAACAGCGCTGGGCCTCTCAAGTAAGTCATGGCTTTGGAACTTTGTGTAATAATCATTGGGAAGACATTTTTACCTCTCAGTGCCTTTTTCACTCATCTTATGAAGTGACAGAGTCTATTTTACGGTTTGTGCTTCTTAAAAAACGTTCCATTGCAACCCGAAATTAATCTTGTCCATTTTTGACCATCCTTGTTCCTTCTTGGGGTTTTGAAGGTCGTCCTTTGCAATTCGCCCGAATCTCCTCTATCCTTGACTAAAGTGGTATTTTTAGTTTATTAACTTTTCACGTCGAAGAAAACTTTTTAAAATTTACGACACAGAGTCCTTCAACTGAAATAATTCCTCGCAGATGATTCATTAGTCTGCTGAACAGGGCTTACTTCTTTTGCTTCCTTCAGGCGAGCTAAGGCAAGCGTAAGGCGAACTTGAAGGCGAAGCGTGCTCGTATTTTTTTTTCTCAGCTCTTCGTCTCGAGCTCTCCACCGCTTTTGCACAGTTGCCAGTTCGCTCTGACGAAGGGCTAACGCTCAAAACGTCAGCTTTGGAACTCTTTACGTTATCATTTGATACTATCACTTGATAATACTGAATCTCCTTAATACTGCCTGTTCTACGAGCTTTAATTTTGTTGCAATTTTGCTCCCCACATGACGAAAATGATAAACTACGACCAATTCCTAGTCGAGAACGCTGACCGAGTCGAAGTAGTACTACACAGACTGTCTACAAACTTGGCTTTTTTTTTAAAGAGGAGGGTTTAGAGCCAGTGATACGACAAATGTACTGGAATGTAAATGTTGTGGCCTTTTTCTCCTTTTTAAGATTCCGATCAGTTTATGAACCTCTACATTACTTACTAACAAGAGAGTCTGACGTGAAAACGATGAGATTCATATCCACTGATCGTCATCTGCTGGAGTATGGCAGAGAGTTACAAAAGGTTTACGACCTTACAAATATGGCCGCCTCTATGGACCTTTTTATTCCCATGGAATTATTTGTGCTTGACTGTGCCAAGATCAAAGAGGTAAGACATGTAAAATTTGGCTGCAGTCACCAAAGGCAATGGGCAGGTGTTTATGCCCCCCCCCCTCCTGAAAGCGAAGCCCCTTTTTTCTAATCTGTTTGTAATTGTTTCTCTGAAATGTTAGATGTTGCTTAATAAATTAGATTGTTATACTTTAGACTTACTATGAAAAAAATAATTGGTCGGGAGCATTCAATCAAAATACAACAGCGTGTAACGTTGACGTGATAATGCAATATCTGCAGCGGATATTGCATTTAATGTGCCTAGTTACCGAGCCCCTTTGTCGGTGTAGTGTTCTCAAACTTTAATGAAAAAAAATAATTGATTCGGTTTTCACATGTATCATGAATTATCGAACTTCGTGTCTGTGTTAACTCAGACCTCGGTTTTGATAAATCAATACATTATGCTCAACCTCATACAATGATTAGTTACTAGTGTCCGATAAGGTGGTTAAGTTAGTAAAAAAGTCTGCTGAAACAAAACAAATTATTTTCGAGTAACAGCTGTCATCCATTATTTTGATTAGAGATTTTAGGGGTTTGGGGATAAGCTTCAGAGGTTATCATGTTTAGTTGTAGTCTAATTACAGCCGGCTGTAGCTCTTGTTTTTTTTTTGTTTGTCAATGAACCATCCGCGACGTTTGGAGCTGTACCCAACAATATTTAACTGTTATACACTCTTTGCAACTCAATTTAGCTTTCTTTTTACTGTTATTGATAGTTCCTTGTGTTACGTGCCAATGATCTGGTGGGCTTAATGACGTCGAAGTTGGTCAGGAAGAGTTTTGATTTCAATCGGTCCATTTGTCATCAGTATGATTATATCGTTAATCGTATAACGTCATCCTCAAAGACCACTGATGAGCTTGTGGATTTGGAGAAGTACATTGACAACCTGAGGAGTGGACCTTTAGTTCATTTGAAGGTAGGATTGGTGAATTTGCACCACTGTGTTACACCTGCCAACTTTTCATCACTCAAATGGGTTTGATTTTCGTCTTCACATCCTCTGAATCTCCCAACAAATCCGAGGACTTCCGAACATTACCAAATATGTTTCCGATTAATCTCGAGCGCTCTGAATGTGGCGGTGTAAAGCGCAAAATCTTTGATCCAAAGGTTTGTGATACAATGAAAGACACCTTCTATGACTGTATCAAAGGAAGACGGACTTCGCTCACGATTTCCATCGGCTACAAGATTTTCCTGGTTCGGAGTGAGAAATTGCCTCTTGGGTCGGCTGCGGTTTTCTGGTTTCTGATAGTCCCCCAACCTCCCTCCCCCCCCTACACTCCACAACGATCAAGCTTGTTGCTGCCTTAGTTGAGGGGGAGGGGGGTATTACTGAATGTAGAGATGAGTTTAAGTTTAGTATTGTAAGCTGAGTGTATGGCACTGCTGTTATTTTTCCAAATCAGGTGGAACTTGAGGAAGCAGCAGATCTTGTTCTGTTTTTGATGGATCACACGTTCCTTGCTGATGATCATTTGGCTCTCAATGAAACCACATTTACGTGGCCTGACCGGATTTTTCCTATTATAAAGATGAGGTAAGTGTGAAACTTAAATTTTACCATAGCTGTTCGGCGCAAACCAGTGAATTTGAATTCCAGATTTTTGGTATATTTCGCAATGGAAATTGACTTGAGCGCGACTTTCAATTATCTATAATTTATTTACTTGCATTCTTAGCCTAACCCCTCGAACTCGCCTGATCTTATTGTCATTTCTCCCTTCTATTGTAAATTAGTCACAAGAACTTGATGTTTTATCAAGTTAAAAACTTTTACCTGATACGTTTGAATATTTTCTCTACCTTTTTGTTGGATAATGTATGGATATTTCAGGGAGAAGTTACATGTCAGTCACTTTTGGGGGTTAAATGTTGAATTGATGAAAGGTTGCTCTTTGGAGACACCTTGTATTATTTTGTCTTTGTGTCTGATTTTTTTTTTTTTTACGTACTCCTCAGTGAAAACCGTGTTACAAAAGAACACGACACGGCCATGAACAAACTGTTTGATTGGCTGGCGAGATTTGAGCTGCAGTTGAACGAGACTCTTCAAAGTGTCAAAGAATTCCACTCTAAAGACAGGATATCTGAAGCAAAGACATACGTGGTTCAGTTGGACGAACTTAAAGATAAAGTACAAGAGTTTCTTGACGAGGTATGGTAGCTTCAAACAATCTAAAAAGTCAACCCATTATTGCAAGGGTGCGTTCAGTGCGCTCTTGGTAACTGCGTACACCAGTTATCGTGTCACGGTGGTTCAACAGTCTTTTTGAGAGCTAAAACTACCATAATCAAGTAATCTTTTACAACGTCATCTTTGACTGATGGTATTTTATATCTTAATGTATACTGAGTTTACCTGAGTTTCTTACAGTGGCTATTTTGGAAAAGTCGTTAGTGCCGTGACGAAAGTAAAAAACAAATTTTAAAGGCATAAACAGCGCCAGTTTTTTGCGAAACGACCATCGCCTAGTACAAGAATTTTCTTTCAAACTTGGCATGGTTTACTGTAGGAGAATTAAAAAAAACCTATTTTTCTCGTTAACTGTATCTCAAAAACTTACAATTTGGTAATACTTGGCTGTAATTAACCCAACTTGTTATCATTTGACTGAAAAATCATCAAAACGGCTGACCAAGACCAAGGAGGATCTGTCGAGGAGCTGATGACCTCGTGAAACGACGGAAAGCGCGAGTAACCGATTTGCCTTTAGATCTTAGTTTGCGTGTGATTGGTTGACAAATCACGGAGCGAAGTAAAGCAAATCCAATGCAATCCTCGATTATAACGGGATACGAAGGAGACTCAAAGGAAAATTATTTTATATTGAGCGATTTTTATGTAAGATAACAGTAAAGAGATGAGTGATTTAACTGTTGGTTTAAAGTCGGAGTCTCCCATTTATTATACATGGCCTCTTTTATCTTTATTTGAAAAGTTTAGGTGGCAGAATCTTAAATTATGAAAGGTTTTGCAGAGCATCAGTAACTTTAGCTGCGCTGGCCAACAAAACGAAGCTTATAAAAATGTGTACGTATTTTGTCATAGTTGAGAGAATCAGTCTATTTATCTGCAAGATTCATTCTCGTAGAAATATATCTATGAATAATCTCATTAATAACCTAAATGGGAAATCAATGTTTGCATTTTTTAATGATAACGGAGCCGGGGGGGAGGAGGGGGTTAGTCACCGCCTAAGTATGAACTAACAGTCAGCTAAAGGCTTGAATGTGTATTTGTATTTGTTAATGTTTCAGAGAAAGAAAATCAACAAGGAGGAGGATTTACTCGGTTGTGAGGTGTACAGTGGATTTCCTCAGATCCAAGAGATAATTGACGCTAAGGAGCCATTTGACAAGTTATGGCGCGCACTGGTGACATTCCAGGACAAGCAAGAAATGTGGCTGGCTGGGCCTATTTTGACACTGAATGCAGAGGAAATTGAAGAACAGGTGTTGCATTTTACAGTTGATTGTTTAAAAAGTTGGAAATTGATTTTTTATCTTCTGATTTTGTAGATTTTCCAAGTTTTGCAAACTTGTCATCTCTACCGCCAATAGTCGAGCAAATGTATCACATTTGATAAGCGGATGTCAGTTGAATCACGCAATATTCGGAACATTTTTAATCACTTGACATCACTGTCATTGCTAGATTTGGAACATGCACTCTACTAAATCCAACGTTATATTGTATAATTTTTCTCAGGTCTCTGAGCTTTGGAGAACAAGTTACAAGCTGACGAAAGAGTTCGCGCACCCAGAGTTTCGTGGTCCACTCAGAGTGGCTTCTACAGTAAAAGCGCGACTAGAGAACTTTAAAGTTAACATGCCTTTGATCAACGCTTTGTGTACTCCTGGCATTAAGGATAGACACTGGGAAGCCATGAGTGTTAAGGTACGTTGGATAAAAAAGTCTCAATTGTACACCTCAGGTGCGCAAATATTAGTCTGCCCACATTATCTATTCAAAGCAACGAAATGCTTTGCAAGAGTGAAGCTTGACGAAAATAAAAGGTAAACTTTATGCAACATCCTTCAAAGAATTTTTTCGTACGTGTGACGAAATGTTTGATAGTATTGCTACTTATTTTGGAAACATTTTTACTGCGTTGGTTTTAATTTTTACTGATTCTTGTACGGCTTCACCGACAATCAAGGTTAACTCACCTCTGCGGAGACAACGCAAAACGCTCCTCTTATTTTAACGAATTTTGTATCACATGGTAATATTATCCCGCGGATTCCGTATACCTTCTGTTTGTGCTTTATAACCGTGAGAGTAACTTTTATTTACATTTATGCTTTTCAAAATAGATTGGCTTTAATATTTCTCCGAAAGAAGACACTACTCTGAACGAGATGTTAGTGCTCGGTCTGGATAAGTTTGTTGAAGAACTTACTGAGATCAGTGGAAAAGCAGCCAAAGAATTCTCTTTGGAGAAGGTATGTACACTCCACATGTAGGATCAATTAGTGCAGTCTAGCTACGTTTAATCGTCTAGTCATTCATGTAACATCAAGTGTTGGGTACTGACAGGGAGTTCGGTACAACTTTTGATAAATCTTGATGCAGTCTTTATGCCTCAATGTAACGTTGAGTATTATTTACTCACAATGGGTATTTCTACTCTTGCGTTATAATGTTAATCTATTTTTCTGTTATTCGGTTGCTTTGCATACTTCTGAAACACTGCCCCTAAACTTCAACATACACAAAAATAAAAATTAACTTGCATCGTAATCTTAATAGTTTAGGAGAGGTACACATCAACGCCACTGTCCTTGTTTCATACAATTCAGCCTTAAAAGTTGGGTCTTGAGATGAAAGTAACAAAACACCTGAAATCCTCAGATATATTCCCATCTTGATTATAAACTGCTTCCTCCCATCTGGCATATTAGCCAGACTGAAAGAAAACCAAAAAATGTTTCAGTTTTTAGGTTCCATAGATATACGTTTTCCATCATCCCCAACGTTTATGAATTTACACGAAACACCTTTCGAACTCGAAAATCATGCAGTTAATTTTATTGTAACTGTCTCTTTTCCCTATCAGGCACTGAGCAGAATGAAAGAAGATTGGAAGGACATCGAGTTTGTGTTTGTTCAATACAAAGACACAGGAATTAGTATTTTGTCAGCTGTGGATGATCTGCAGGTCAGTGATTAGAGTTTGTGGTCAATTGTTGTGTAAGCATTGAAGGGGCTTGTCAACAAAGATGATAAGTGACTGAATTTTAAAAGTACTGTACGGTTAAAACCTTTATTTCAGCTTCACAAACACACAGGACGGATTGGTCATTTTACATGAGATCTGGACGTTATATCGAAACGAGATGAGAGATATCGTTCTAATAGATAGCAACATTACTGAGACGACGTGTCTGGTAAAAACGGAATTTTGCTGGTTTTTGTTTTCAGGTTTTACTTGATGATCACATTGTGAAAACATTGACAATGAAGGGATCTCCTTTCGTTGTTCCTTTTGAAGCAGAATTAAGAGAATGGGAAACCAAACTGGTAAGTTCCCTATTTTGATTTTCATTATTTCCTATAACTTTTTAGGTCACACTTTTTTGTGGTGAGTGTGTGATATCTATTATCAAAGACATAGGGTTGGTATCTAAATGAATTCTAACTTGGGAGGGGGGGTGTGTTTAGACAAACAGACTTGTATTGTCAAGAACCTTTTCTCAATTAGATGCTTTCTCAGATACCTCAGTGCTTTATGTAGTCGTGTTTGTTGTCAACCATGCTTGAGAAGCCTTTTTGTGTTATAGAATCTAATGCAAGATATTGTGGAGTCGTGGCTGAAGGTTTGTTTTGTATTTTCTATCTTTTTGGCAGTGGTGTAGGTAATGTTTAATTGAAATAGGTTCCTCAGGGGAACATGTGTCCTCTTGTGAATACGTGGCGTACACGACTGGTCTATGACATGGTCTTGTAAATTTAAATATTGTGATACAAGGCAGCGAGTATGAAATACACATTCGAAGTAGGTCAACATTGGATGTATATGACTTATCTTTACTCTAGTTGTCACTTGTATCGCAGGTGCAAGCTTCATGGCTGTATTTAGAGCCCATATTTTGTTCTGAGGACATTCAAGCTCAGATGCCAGAGGAAGGAGAAAAATTCCGCACTGTTGATAAGTACTGGTAGGTTTCAGCTTTATATTGTTACTTAAGAATTAAAACGAAATTTCACTATTTCTGGGAATATTGATCCATGCTGCACAGAGTGCTGTATTTCTCAGACATCTTTTTTGCTTCCATCCACCCTTTCAGAGGATAATTGCATTAACCCTTTATACTCCAACATTCAGTATGCATTTTCTCCTTATACTATATTTTATGCGTTTTCTAAGGTAGCAACAAGAAAAAAAAAACCAAGAGCATTTCCTTTATTCCCGTGACCTTAATGTTTGATTCAGGGGTGATATTGTAAGGAGAAATTAGATGCTAGTCACTCCTGGAGGTTAAAGGGGTTGATTTCGAGGCTTCACGCCATGTAGTAAATTTTTTCATTTATAAACTAATCTCAGTGGTTGCTCCTGAAATGCTCTGAAAACCAAGAGAAATATACGAAAACTCTCTGTCCAAGATTTCTCCATCGTTCCCTCTTTAAACATACACATGTTGCTATTATGAAAGGTACCAGACAGCCATGCTTTCACTAACGCTCTTACATAATAAATTTAGTTTTCATCCGGCTCCACTGTCTTCCTTCCCCCACACGTTTTCGAGTTTGTACAACAAGTATATTCTTCACTAATTTGATGAGCCTCACTGACGTTTTGAATCACACAGGAGGAAGATAATGACTGAATCAGTCAAAGATCCTCGTGCCTTAGTAGTAACGCGACAGCCCCAAATGTTGGACAAACTTCAGCTCTCGGAGGTAACAACGGCGTCCTTCCGTTCCTATTCCTTATAGTAATTTAGGTGCTGGTGGCTAGGAGATGTAGAAATGGGTGTGATGTGATTTTGGTCTTTGTTTTTCTCACTTGTTTTTGTAGAGCCTTCTTGAAGACATACAAAAAGGACTGAACGAGTATTTGGAAAAGAAACGCTTGTTTTTTCCAAGGTATGATTTACTACATAAATCAGTTTTTTTTACTATTGTGTACTTTTACGCCTTTTGTTTTCTCGTTTTTAGTTTCGCGAACAGATCTCCGAATGCTCCAAATTAAGTTTTTCCCGCAATTAACGCTGATATGAGGTGTTTGATGGGTGTGTCTTTTCTACTGAAACGAATGACTAAATTTGAACCACTGACAATGGATGTATATGCAGTAAACATAAACACAATTAAGTTTAAGTCTTGCATTCTGAGAGGCCTATTTCTTTACAGCAATACCTCAATCTTTGAAAGCAAGCCTCAGTTAGGGTTATAAGTGATCCTTGAGCAGATTCGTAGTGATCTTAGATCGGTTCTCCGGTACCCACTTGTATTCCTGCGGGGAGAGAAACTCTGTGACAGTGAAGTGTCCTGAAAAAATATAACAGAGTTATTCAGAGTTCAGCGCGCTTAACACCAGGCGACCGCGCTCGCCTGGAGTCTTAGTGAGGCTAATTGAAGCTATGCTATTTATGTTACAGATTTTTCTTCCTTTCAAATGACGAGCTACTAGAAATTTTATCCGAAACGAAAGATCCTCTGCGTGTTCAGCCACATTTAAAGAAGTGTTTTGAAGGTATTGCAAAGTTGGAATTTAACGAGAGGAAAGAGATTAATGCTATGATATCAGCCGAAGGAGAGACTGTGAGGTTCTCTAAGAAGGTGGTGCCTGCGCATGCCCGTGGTCTGGTCGAAAAATGGTTGTTACAGGTATGGAAGCTTCTGTCAACCTAAGACTGCGTACATATTTTGAGTTCCAATGTAACTTATCCTTGAAAAGCTAAATAAAGAAACCAATCTAAGGATGCTTGGATGGTAGTGTTGAACTAAAATCATTCACTGATGTTGTGTCTGCATAGATCGAACAAACGATGAAACTGAGCCTGCAAGAGGTGATGTCCGAAGCGGTTACCGCCTATCCACAAAACCCTAGGACAGAGTGGGTTTTATCTTGGCCAGGACAAGTGGTGCTGGCCTCCAGCATCATATACTGGACCAAGGAAGTCACTCAGGTAAAATATCAAAGGCGGATGTATCGTTAACCAATAAGGAACCCTTTTGTGTGACTAAACAAGAAGAAGAAAGAGGGAAATAAGAAAAAGAAGAAGATAAATGAAAAAAGCAGCCTTTAGCGTTTATTTGGCGTCCTCCTGTTTTACTGACTCCCTAAACTTCCTAATTTACCGAAGTGACTTACAAGTTACAATTTCAGTTTGCCATTCAGCAAACAGGTAATGAAAATCGACAAATATAAGGGTAGACGGAGTTAGCTAGATGGAACAGATAATTCTCGTAATTGATGCACAAGGAAACATATACTAGCTAGAAGGGAGAAACTTTCCAATCATAAAGAATGCTTTTAAACTTAAAGTATAATTTATTGCTGAATGATTTGTCAATGCAGTGAGAATCACAAGTGCACCAACGGAACCGTGTTTCCTGCCTCAGAATTTTATCAAAATCGACAGATAATAAGTGGCCCCTCATGAGTGGTCCCAAACCTTCTCTGACGAGAAGGGAAAATACTTGTAGGTAATGCTTTAGCTGTGTTGTTTTGATTTTACAGGCGATGATACAGAAAGATGGCCTAGAAGATTATTATAAACAAAGCACTCAACAGATTGAAGACATCGTCGGACTTGTTCGAGGAAAGTTGTCCACCATGTCCCGGATCACTTTAGGGGCTCTCATTGTGATTGACGTGCATGGTTAGTTATATTTTTGAACATGGACTGTAAATTGTATCCAAACGTTCCAAATCCTGGAAGTGAAAAGTGAAAGATGCAGATGTGTAGGTTGATTGGCTGTTTCACCAATTTCTTTTTCATGTGGTATGATCAATTGAAAGTGTTGATAAAAGAAGAAGAAAATTATCTTTGTTGATTAAATTTGCTTCACAATATTTTGCCCGGTCTATTTAGCCAAAGATCATGAGGTGGTATCATGAATCAAACGTTCAAAGCAAGGTTGGAAATCTACCAAAGGTTTCGAATGGTACTTTACAGGATTTGCTCGATTGACAACAAGAAAGTGACTAATAACAGCAAACGTTGGTAACTTCGCCTCCTAATTTTGCCCAGAAAACTTGCACCACCTTCTTCATTCAATCAGATGAAAAACTAGGGTAACCGTGACATGGTGTCTTGCCCTTTTTCTACAGTAGTTTGTCGCCGATTTCATATGTTTTCTTTGCCTCTCATTGTTTCTTGTGATACCTTCCTTTAGTCCTGATAAGCCAATGTGACTGCTGTAGTTTTGGCTTAACGACCCATCACTACTTTTGTCGATTATGTTTTACTTGTCGCTTCTTCTCGTCAGCACGTGACGTGGTAGCTAAGCTAAAGAAGGAAGGCGTGACAAACCCTAACGACTTTCAGTGGATCAGTCAGTTACGTTACTACTGGGAAACAAAGGCTGTCATTGTAAGGATGATTACCACAGCGGTCAAATATGGTTATGAGTACCTTGGCAACAGCGGAAGACTAGTCATCACTCCTTTAACAGACAGATGTTATAGGTACGTGTAATTGGGTTTAAATCGCCTGAGTCTAAGGCGTAGACTAGTCTCACTAGTTTGGATCAGCTGATTCCATTTACAATAACTGAATTAAGATTTTTCCTTCAAATTCGTAGGACTTTGATGGGTGCTCTCTTGTTGAACCTAGGAGGGGCCCCTGAGGGACCTGCTGGTACAGGGAAGACAGAGACTTGTAAAGATTTGGCGAAAGCTGTTGCAAAGCAGGTATTGATAAAGTTGCAGATTTAAATCTTTCTACGGTTTGTAGAATTTACTGTTTGGTTACTATTTTTCTAGGTTTGTAATTCAACATTTATAAAGTTACTCATTTATTTTGTTCTTTTGATTTACTTCTAGTGTGTTGTTTTCAACTGCTCAGATGGACTGGACTACAAAGCCATGGGAAAGTTCTTCAAAGGTCTCGCCCAGGCAGGGGCCTGGGCCTGTTTCGACGAATTTAATAGGATTGAACTGGAAGTGAGTCAGTCGTAAAGTTATGATTAAAACTGTGTTCGATATCTGCAAACCCTTAAAATAACCTTATTAAAGCCAGATAGGTGATTTGATCACCTATAATTTCCGTCGGTTTTGTTTAGAATTTAGACAGTTCTACTGGAACTCACGCAAATGTCAGTACAGTCAAGAAATGGATTTAAAAAATGTGACCTGCTCTTGATGATTTTGTGCAGGTATTGTCTGTTGTAGCGCAACAGATCTTGACAATACAAAGGGCCGTTATGGAACAAGTCGACAAGTTTGTGTTTGAGGGAACAGAAATTTCTCTGGATCCGTCATGTACCATATTCATAACCATGAATCCTGGTTACGCTGGCCGTGCAGAGCTCCCTGATAATCTGAAGGTAAATAGGGTGATGCTTTGATAAGTTTCAGTGTTATTAGAATTAAAGAAAGTTGGATGCAACCGCTTTGTTGTTTTTGTTTCTATTCAAACTGTAGGCTTTTGGTAGTTTGCAGTAGTTAAAACGGCGCCTATTAATCCTTTTAACTTAACATCAATATTCTCCACTCTTTTATCTGTACATTTCCTGAGGTGCTGACAAGGAGAATTTGTTTAACAATCAAGAGCTTCTTTTGTCAGTGGTCATTTCCTTTACTCCTGTGACATGTGTGATACAGGGGTGATATTGTAAGGAGAAATCAGATGCTAGTCACCCGGAGGGGTCAGAGGGTTAACTGTCACTTGATATAGGCTGTGACGGGATTCGAACCCAGGACTCTCAGATACTGGTTGGACGCCAACCCAAACTGAGCCACGAAGCCCCATGTTCTGAGTAGGGCACATTTTATTTCATCAAAAATTAGAAAATAATATCACTGGTGATTGTTATTGCAGGTTCTTTTCCGTACAGTCGCCATGATGGTTCCTGATTATGCCCTAATCAGTGAGATCAGTTTATATTCTATGGGTTTTGTTAATGCGCGGAGTCTGTCGGCAAAGATTGTGGCTGTGTACAGGCTCTGTTCTGAGCAGGTAACACTAACTCTCATGATTAGGCTATGATAGTAAGCGCAACAAATGTTTCTTTGAAGCCAACATTAACTACTTGTCGCTTGTCTTACTTCGTCTCTGTTTGTCAATGAAATGGAATTACGTGATAGAGCTGTTTTTTCTCAAGTCTTAATCAGACAAACAACATGATTTTAGAATAACCAGTGACTTAACTGCTGGAAAATACCTCCTCAGCATTTCACGTTTTCATCGCAGTTGGCCTTATCCTGGGTGGAGAGAGGTCATGTGAGCGTTAAATATCTTGCCTAAAAACACAACGTAATGGCCCGGCCATGACTAGAAATCGAGGCAAATTAGATGCCGGTCACTCTTGAGATTTGAAGGGTTAGTTGAAGAGAGAAAAGGATGTCATAATTTTTCAGGTTTTCGACTTTTCATGCAATTGAATATTTTTCTCTGACAGCTCTCGTCCCAGCATCATTATGATTATGGTATGCGGGCGGTCAAGTCGGTTCTCACTGCGGCAGGAAATTTAAAACTGAAGTATTCTGAACAAGACGAGGATATTTTGTTGTTGAGGTCCATTATGGACGTCAACTTGCCAAAGGTTTGTTGAAATATGTAAAAGAAATTTTGAGTAGTTTTGAAATGAACTGTCGGTGATTCGAAAGCTTTGAAATGGAGCTAAAAGTGTCCTTAGGGAACGAAGAACCAAAGTCCTCAAAGAAAAAATGACGGTAAGATTTGGCTACTGCCTCACGCCTGTTACTTTATGTTCGTCCTAACTGAGAATGGTTATAGTGAAAAGATCTCTCTTCTTGTCTTTAATTGCACGCTTTTTTTTTTGCAGTTTTTATCGCAAGACTTGCCTTTGTTTGAAGGCATTGTGTCAGACTTGTTCCCAGGCATCACTCTGCCATCTCCTGACCACGGTGTCCTGGAAGAGGCACTCAGACGGAACAGCGTGAAGATGGGACTGCAGGCGGTACCATGGTTTGTTGAAAAAGTTGTGCAGGTGTGTTCACAATTTAAGGGATAAAAAGGAGATTTTCTTCGAAGCCCTACCAACGCATCAACGAATCCAGAGTTTTCTTTGTTTGCGTTATGGTTGAAATTGACCTTGAAATTAGTGAATGGTTTTCTGCTTTAATTTAGGTTTAAGTGTTTGAAGCAGAAAGAGAGAGAGCTCCAAGATGGTTAATTCTTGTTATTCAAATGTTTCAGCCGTCTTTAAGGGAATGTTATTAACAACAACAACAACAACAACAAAAAATGTTTTACTACTCGCAAAAATAGGTATTACAATAATAAGATGACTAGTTATAATCTACCGGCAATTTTTTAGAACATAGTTTACTGGAGCCCAGAGGCTGAGGAATCGTAAAATTTTTAAGTTGGCCCCTTATCATTCTTACCTAGAGACTGGCTTGAAAGCCTCTCTTGGGAATATTCATGTTATTTTGCTCAATACGATTATTGGAGTCCACATTTCCTTTGAAAGGTGTACGAGATGATGTTGGTACGCCACGGCTTTATGATCGTGGGCGATCCCATTGGTGGAAAGACATCAGCGTGGAAGGTTCTATCTGCAGCCCTGACTGAGCTTGGTAAAGATGAAGACTCGGATGAAGTTGGGGTATGTCAGTTCCGTTACCTATTTTTTTCTCTGCAAGTCTTTGGTTATCCTTGTAGTATCGATTGGTGCGTGTCTTTTTTAGTTACCACGTTTTCCTGACTGCGTTAAGTGGAGGTCTGTTTTAACCCTTTTGCTCCGAAGATCTCATTGATAATTCTTATTACTGCCTCCTAAACAGTCCGGATCAATATTAGTATCTGGGCCAGATACTGATATTGATCCAACAATTCTAATGATGTTTATTTGGATAATTTGATATTGTATCGACTAATTATCCCCTAATTGGTGTGTTTCTAAATTCTCGTCAGTTGTCTGCTTGATATTGTACTGATGTTGTAAGGAGAAATTATTTCTTTGTCACTCATGGGAGTTAAAGGGACAATGTTTTGTCCTCGGCCAAAGTAATTCACTTTGACAATGCTTCGCTCTGTCTACGTAGATAACGGTTTTGACGATTGGGCGAATTACAGTTGATGATACAAATGTGAATCAAGAGAGATTTAACACTTAAAGACCAAATAACAGATACAAGGAGGGAGAAATGTACTGTGAAAAATACGAGGTAATCACGTGATGTTCCACGTGATATTCACGTGATGACTATGTCACGTGCCACCTCGTTGTTTCGTTTCCTAGTATTCCAGTTAACTCATTACTGACAAACACAGGGTATTAACAAACTCACTGAAAGTATTCAAACGTGGACAATAGAAAACCATAATCTCTTGCAGGTTCAGTACACGATCATTAACCCCAAGGCTGTCACCATGGGCCAGTTGTATGGAAGATTTGATCCTGTGTCACACGAGTGGTCAGACGGTAAGTGCTGTATTTCACGAACAGACCTCAGGAAAGATTACTTTTGATTAATCGAATACAATATTTTCATTACGACTCCCATATAGGGATCTTCTGGCCCAATTACAACAATGATTAAAAAGATTATTGAGTGAAAAATAATTGACTCTACATTAAATATGGAAAAACTACCATAAACATAATGTCCACTTCTATGGATAACATTCTAGATGATGATTCCTCAACGTGTGTCAAAAAGTTGCCAAGACTTCGCATTTCTGGTGGCAAGGAGTTCCACACTAATGTGCCTCTATACGATAAATATATTTTTGCCAAAATTATATTTATATATTTCTATTTCTATGGTTTATATGCTTTATTTATTTTCAGGAGTACTTGCCAATACGTTCCGTGAGCACGCAAGCTCAGTCAGCGAGGAGCGTAAATGGATCATATTTGATGGGCCAGTTGATGCAGTATGGATTGAAAACATGAATACGGTGCTTGACGATAACAAAAAGGTGCATTTATATCGATAACTTATTTTTTTTTAAATTGTTTACAATTTTTAAAAAATTAGTGATCAGCACTCTGCGTTCCGTCTAACTGTCGTAGACTTCTTCAAGGAGTTTTAGCTAAAACCGTGGCCTCCAAATATTTTTCTAACCTAGCCTGCAGAATTTTCAAACATTTACACAACTTCGCCTGTTCCTGTTTGTATGTCCTGCCAAGCCTATGGTCATTGGCCCCCGTAACTATGGCATTTAAAAATTAAATTGATTTTTGTCATTTTCTTTGCAGTTGTGCTTAATGAGTGGAGAGATAATTCAAATGAGCTCTCTACAGAACATGATATTTGAACCTCAAGACCTGGAGCAGGCTTCGCCAGCGACGGTAAGCAGGTGAGACACCATTTTTTTTCACGAGCCACCTCGTGAAATTTCCATTGCTAAATTCCCAATGTTTTTGTTATTTTTATTATTGTTATTTTTATTTACCGCCTAGAGAATTTTTTACTTGCTTTCAGATGTGGTATGATTTACATGGAGCCAGGTCAGTTGGGCTGGGAGCCACTTGTCGCTTCGTGGATGGAGAAAGATTATCCTGCAAACCTTAGCTCTGCTAGCAAAAATTCTGTACAGGTCGGGGTTACCTTTTTGTAATGAAGCAGCAAAAATTTGATTATCCTCAGTTTTGCTTGAGGGTTTGAAGGATTTCACAAAGCATGACGGCATCTATAGTCTCTAATCATGTCTTGTTTCCCTCTCAGATGATGTTTGACTGGTTGATTGCCCCGTGCGTGGATTTCGTCATTAGACAGTGTCGTGAACTGGTGCGCACGTCACCAATGCGCATGGTCAAGTCCATGTTAACCATGTACTCCATTCTGTTGGATGAGCTGAGGTAAAACGGCAAAATGGCTCTCGACTAAAATTAAGGGCAAGGCATTACTGGAACGCTGGCTATCACTAAGTTATTGTTATTTTTTTTATGAAGAACATATCAAGGGAGGTAAACTGCATCCAAGCAGTTACCGAAAGCTCGTCCCGTGAAAATAAACTCAGGCTTCGTCGGGGTTTACCCGTTTTATCTGAGATGTTGTTGGTTGATCACAGACTTATCTAATGTATGTTTTTGCAACCAGAGAGCCACCCCAAGAGGAAAAGAAAAAGACCGTTATGGATGAAGAGGAGTTTGAGGGATTCATGGACGAGAAACCAGCCAAGACCGAGGCGGAAATTTTGCAATGGCTCCAGTCTCTCTTTCTGTTCGCTTTATGTTGGTCAATTGGCGGAAATTTAGACACTGACTCCAGGCTGAAGTTCAGTGATTTCCTGAAAGTCTTGGCAGCTGGAACCAACAAACAACACCAAAGGTTTGAATTAGTTTTTCTTGTGTTGAGATAAATTATCTTTCATTGCGGGGAGGAACTGGTCATGTTCCAAGCATTTAGCAGCTTACTTCATGCAAACGCTTGTGTTCTTGAAAAGGACATATGCCTATCTCAGATTTGACGTCTCCATTCTGCTAACATTAATTGAAAAGCGATGCGAACGTTTTGGAGATAAGGATTGAAAATGGCTCAATAGCACTAAGCAACTGTGTGGTTTTCCACTTAGTTACGTAGGCAAAAAACGACATGGCAACCAAAACATGACAAGAACTTAGAATTAATGTTTTCCAACAATCTCTGTCGGATGCTATCGGAGGCATTCATTTAAAACTTTCTTTTATCTTTTTAGACCCAAAGATTTAAAGCTTCCCAAGAATTACCAGTTTCCTGGAAAGGGAGTTATTTACGACTTCTTTTTCGATAAGTCGACCTTTGGTACGTGGCATCCGTGGGAGAAGAATGTGTTCATCGAGGAAATTCCTCCGAACGCTAAGGTGAGTTGAGGGTAGGATATGGCTTAAAATATGGATCATCCCTCAGACAACCTATACTTCTTTTGAGCTAGTCAAATAAGAGGTCACTGGTGAATGTCGAACGTATGTGAAGACATGTAACACGAAAGTTGGAGTCGTTCATTCGCGAGGAACGTAGAGTCTCAATCACCCAATCGAAACAAAGCAAATGTTACAACGAAACAATGAGGTCGCAAGTGAAAACATGCAAATTGCTTGGAGCGCGGGAAAACGCGACTGGCCAAGTTGTGATTGGTTTGTTTGGTTTTCAATTTGATTGTCTGAGAAAGTGGCGCGAGTTTTCTGGATCAATTGGACTAATTGCGCTATGAAGTAAAGCAAAACCACAGCAATCACGGATTATTTTAGATTCTCAAAACAAATTGCTCTATTCTGAATTAAACTAAATTATCTTGTATACCCTCATTATATGAAATTACTGTGAGTGTTTTTCTTACCGAAACTTATCCAGCTAGGTCATGTGTATCAAGTTCTGAATCAAAGAACGGTGCTTGTGAAGTGTTTTTATTTTGTACTTGTAGCCGAATGAGCTGATCATACCTACTACAGAGACAGTTCGTCAGCGGTATTTCCTGGAGTTATTCCTCGATCACGAGAAACCTCTGCTATTGGTTGGCCCGACAGGAACAGGAAAATCAGCTATAACAAACAACTACATTCTGCGCATGCCCCCTGAAAAGTGAGTATACTTGGTGTGGTCCTAATCGTTTATGAGGAAAGGCGATGTAAAAATTCGCGGCGACTAGCGCCCAAAGTTATCGGTATCCTTTTGTCTCGGTATAAGGAATGGCCACCTTTGGAAACTGAGATTTGTAAGATTAGCCCCTCCTAAGAGCTGCCCGTAAGTGGAGGATTCAGTTTAGAAATTTCTTTTTCGCATTTGCATTTGCACTGCGAATTCAAATGCTATAAGTTTGAGTTTGACTTTTTATTTTTTCAGGTACATCGCTAACTTCATGAACTTTTCCGCCCAAACAACTTCCAACCAAACCCAAGACATGATTCTCTCAAAATTAGATAGGTAATATTTAATTAATGAGTAACTTTTGCATGTTGTCCTTCATGAGCGTGTTGGAGAATCAAGCGACATCATTGGGTGACTCAACATCTTCGATGGCCTTGTAAATCGGCGAAAGCTTAGAAGATTTGTACGAAAAAAGAAAAAGGAGCCAAGAGTCTTACTTTAGACAATACTTTATCAACTCGAGCAATCTGCTTAAAGGACAGGGGATTAGTGGGTCCCGAGTTACTTAAATAAGTAGCTCCTGGCTTGCTAAGCCCTCTGGCGGAAGGTAGCTCTGCAGTGTAACTTAGCCTCCTAAGCCCTCTGGCGGAAGGTAGCCTCGTAGTATAGCCTGCGAGTGAGCCGTTATTTTCAGTGTTTCTGCCTGAGCGTTTCTTTGCCGCATGAAAGTATGAGACCCTGAGCAATGCGAGCCGGTGATAGGTATGTAAATGCTAGACCCCCGTAAACTTCTCCTCGACTCATCTCAAATCTTCCCACGAACCGAGAACCGCGCGTTCTGCACCGCTAATAACGAGGGCAAAAAAATGAGGAGTTGCTCGCGGGTTTTATAATATGATGGCGATCCTCTGTCTCTAGAAAGGTTAAATAATCGTTGGCCAATTCCTTTTTTTAGACGAAAGCGAGGTGTATATGGCCCGGCTATTGGTAAGAAGGTTGTGGTCTTTGTAGATGATTTAAATATGCCTGCTAAGGAGAAGTATGGTGCCCAGCCTCCCATCGAAGTTCTGCGACAGTGGATTGATCATGGATACTGGTTCGACAGGTAAATTGTTACGGATTCCCAGAAGTTGAGACTAAAGAATTGCATCACATACCAAAGAAGTCCCTGAAGTCTCATCTTTTCAAGTTGTAGCGTTAAGCTACTTAAAATGAGTATTCATGCTTCGCTACTTGATCCATTTGAGTGTTCAGGGCCACGATTCTTTTTCTGCAAATATAAGCGGCAGCGGGTTTTTCCGCCGAAACAACAAAATTTTGCTCTGGGGGGGTTTGCCTAAAGAGGAGACAATGATAAGAAGCGCTAAAGTGATAACAGGTGCTACGAACCTCGTAGCCATATTACGGTTGCTCAACTTCAGTCACTAAATTCACACCTGTTACCACAATGTTTTTGAATGAGGTTCGACAGACATTTTCCTGAAAACGGCAATCTTATCTGTTTTGGTTGGGGCTTATCCCCTCGAAACGAAAACGAGCGGTGGGAATTTTAAAAATGCCGCCACTTCGCGTTGATAGAATTACATTGGAAATATTGTCGTTCCCATTCCTTTGCACGCTTAAATTTTTCGCACTCGTTTTGCCGCTGTGTCGCCATAGGGGCAATGAAATCATTTTTGAACACGAAAATATCAAGGAAATGCTTGCTGTACAAACTATCGAACCCCTTAAGAACCTATCGAACCATATTTAGAAAAATTTTCATATCGCAAGTGTGGTCCTTATTTATCACCTAAGGGGGGAGGGGGGGTTGATTGACTTGATCTTCTCCATAAGGCTCTGTAACATTCTTATGATCTCCCCGTATTTGCAATTGGCAGTCCACTTTATGCCCCCCTTTATACTCTGCTTTATCCTCTGTTGGGGACGATTGATTCCCCCTCCGTTCCCTCTGAAAACTATGTGATCCCCTCAAAATCCTCAAACCCTCCCCCCCCCCACACCAACCTTCTGGGCCATGGATAATTACTGGTCCTCAAACAAGGTTGAGTAATCAGTGTTAATCAGGACCATTACAATTTTCTCGAATGTGATTAGTGCATTTGTTGCTTTATTTTTCACTAATCATTCTTGACAGTTGCGATTGGATACCTGTAATCGGACGGTTGAAGCAGCCAATCATATTTAGTCCTTTCAGTCAAATCCACCAATCAGAGAATTGATCAAAATAACCATAGCAACAACCACTTATCCTAAGGAAAAACTGTGGAAAAAAATGTCAGTGAAAACGTATGTTAAGAGAAGAACATCAGTCGATATTGTTCTGTACTTTCTATTATTGACAGGAAGGACACATCAGTACTAAAGCTTGTTGATCAGTTGCTAGTGTCTGCTATGGGTCCCCCGGGTGGGGGAAGGAATGAAATTACTCCGCGATTCCTGAGGCATTTCAATATCATCTCCATTGACTCGTTCAGCACAGAAACCATGAGAAATATCTTTTCTGTCATCATGGATTGGCATTTTAACAACAATGGCTTTGAAATGCAGATAAGAAGGTTCTCCAAGGTACAGTTTAATTGCGTCGAGGTCAGCTGATCACTAGCTACCTTATAAGGCCTTCATTCGTACTGTCCATTTCAATGCTAAGATCGTCACCGTCCCGCATTGCATGATTGGATTTGTTCGCTCGTTGTAAGGACATGTTGTCTGTCTGTCTGTTCTTCTCTTTACCTTTCTGTTGATTGATTTTATTTGATCTTCATGTCTATCTATTTGTCTGTCTGTCTGTCTGTCTGTTTGTCCTTCCTTCCGTACGTGTAATCGTTAGGTAGAAACTTGTTCAGTTTATATTGCCGTGACCTTTAATCCAACCATACTTTTAGCAATATCCGTGAGAAACGGGGGAGTCATGATGAATCAGGAGTTTCTGGTTCTATCAGTGTTATGCCCGTCTCAGCTTTGGAGTTTAACCCTTCAAACCCTGAGAACGACCAGCATCTAATTTCTCCTCGCAATAATACTGCTAAGTTCTTGTAAGCATCACAGAAATGTATCACAAGCGTATGGAGAATATAGATACTGATGTTAGGGTGTTAAGGGTTAAATGGATACCGAGCGACTGTTAGGGAAACTATGAAAATACTTGGGGAATGCCATTCCATTTCCTTTGTCGCTTACTTCCTCAGTCTGGAAACCATGGATAAGCATAAACATTCACGGGTTACTATCTTTTACTGTTTGTACCTTACGAAAAAACCTTCACTGGTCTCGGACAAATGTAAGTGGTGATACAGGGCAAACAAATCGAATCAGTGATGATGGTGCGTCAGTTGTCGTCATTTACAGCTATTTTTATAATATTTGTATTTTTTTGCTTTATTAGATTATAATCAGTGCCATTACCGAGGTGTACACCCAGGCCATTACCAGCTTCCTTCCTACACCATCTAAGTCACACTATGTGTTCAATCTTAGAGATTTTGCTAGGGTCGTACAGGTAAATAATTTTGGTGGTAATTTTTCTTCCTTCACCCTCGCCAATAAACTAAAAGGCCTTTAAAGAAGCGAGTGATCCGTGTGGGTCATAAAGAGCAATTTACAATGCAGTGTTGAAAGTAACTCGGGATTACTTTGGTTTCGCTTTACCTCGCTCTGTGATTGGTTCGGAAAACTCGCGCTACTTTTTCAACCAATCAGATGCAAAAATTAAAACCAATCGCGACTTGGTCGCCCGCGTTTTCCCGCGCTCTAGGCAGTTTGTTCGTTTTTACCTGAGTTTTCATTGGCTCCGAAAAGAATTTTCCTTTCCTCTGATTGGCCGTTGTGATTCCTTTGGTTATGGTTTTTCGACGCTCAACCGAAAAGTGCTCTACTTACAGCTCGTTAGTACCTTGCTGCATCTTCAAACTAAGGAATATTCTCTGAAGGCTTTTTAAAACAACCTCAATACCCTTTTGAATCTTCAAAAAGGCAAATATTCCGAGGAAGTCTTCCTTAATAACCATATCAATACTTTGTCGATTCGCTCTTTGTTTCCCTTTTCCTCCTTTCGTCTCGCTACAGAAATTTAGGTCCACTATGGTACACCAGGGCAAATCAGAATTTAATCTTTTGATTTTCTCTTATTTGCAAATGTCTCATTAAAGGGGATTCTTCTATTTCCCGGAGTTTGTGCCACGCACCCTAGCAAGCTGATCAGATTGTGGGTTCATGAGGTCTACCGGGTGTTCTACGATAGATTGGTTGACTCTGAGGACCGGCAATGCTTCTTTGAGATAGTTAAAGTATGGTAAAATTATATTACTAAGTCTTGTCTAACAAGTTGGTTATTGTCGATTATTAGCGTTGCACGACGTCGCCGTCCGCGGGAAGATTTGTGACGAGTCAGCGAGAGGTTTGCAATTAGTGCCAGACCCCAAGCAAACCTCTCGCCAGCTCGCTTTCCTCAAGGAATCAGATTTTCTCGCGGGCTAAGAAACGCTCGTGTCGCAGCGGTGAAAATGTGAGCCTTCTTGAGGGGTAGCTATATTTTACATCAGAGAGTTAACCAACCTAGGTGACTTAATCTTATATTGCGTCATGCTGAGATTTAATTTGAAGAATATGATAGAAACTCTAAAGGCTTTGAAGTGTTCAATTAATTGCAATAGGTTGATGCCTGCGACTTTTCAATCGACTGAAATAGAAGCTGATTTACTGAATGTCGCAAATCATAGTAGAAAATTAAAAGCGGTTTTTAGCGAAATAATTTTGCTATGACTCTGAATTTAGCTGGACCTTGTATACTCTGTGAACCGTTTTTTTTAAAGTTCCTTCAGATATTGTTGTTGTTGTTTATGTAGAATGTAATGGCTTCAGAGTTTAAGGAGAAGATGAATAACGTCTTTGAACATTTGTCTGGCAGAGGAGGTGTGGTTACTGATGACAGTCTGAGGAGGTAAGACTTGATAACTGGTTTTCGTTTATGGTTAGCACACATTTCGGTATAGAACAACACATTGGTCAAACGTCTGCGCATGTACGAACCTTCTAATGATAAGGTGGCGTGCTTCCAGGCTGTCAGAACCAATTGTTTCATACAAGCCATTAAGTCCTGGAACTCTTTTCGTTCGAAAAGTCTCTAGTTCTCCTATCCCTACTTTTGTTTCTCTTTACAGATTTCTTTGAGCGTTTTGATTTTCTTTCGCTTTTTTCTAAGACAGGGTTTGCTTCTTTAGTTTTCCTTTGAAATCTTTTGCGGGAATTGGATAGAATTGGTCCCTTTGCGCATGCGTGACATTAGATCGCTGTTGTTGTTGACCTAGAATTTCACCTTTTTCTCCTTTGGGTGTTGCTTTGTAGACTGCCATTTTTAAGAACCCTTTTTTTTTTTTGGCAAAACCAACCGATGCGTGTGCTATTCGAGACTATTCCCACCGGAAAGCTGACAATATTCCGAAATTTGAGGCAATAAGTAATTTTTAGCCCCGTGTTGAATCGTTCGTACCATTAGTTGGAATCGGCTGGCCACACAGGAGTCCAGTAGAATAGCCGATACAACTATCAACTTGATTAACTTGATCAGAAGTCTGTGGCCAATGAAATATTTCACTCTATTAGCCTTTGGGCAGGCCCTCATTACCTCGGGACGAGCGTCTCTTAGCCCGCAGAAAAGCAGGATGCCTCGCGCAACGCGAGCCGGTGAAAGGTCTCTAAGGGCTCCGGCACTGAGTACCAGACCCCCAGTAAACCTCTCCCGGATCGTTTCAAACCCTCACCGTGGGCGGTGAAACGCGTGTCCTTCAGCCTTAATAAAGAGGGCCTGATCCCAGGATATCACTCGATGAAAGGACTTGTCTTACCGGCCAGTTCTGATTGATGGTTGGCATCCCAGGAGACGGAGCAACGGTGGTTTGAGCCGGGCCTAGTCTGGCAGAGGTCTGGCACGGGATTTCTAGATAGAGCAAGACACTGAAATATTTTTAAAATATAAAATTGATGGAGACTGAAAGTAATCTCTGTAAACTTAGTTTTTATTGTTGATCCACAGTTTGTTCTTCGGTGATTATATGGACCGCAAAGCGAATCCCCGTCTATATGATGAAATACAAGATACAGAAGGACTTAGTTCGGTAAGAACTTCTGGGAGATTGGGAATGTGTAATAAATATGTGGAGATTAAAGCCAAATTAGGAAAGAGCAACAAATTACGCAGTGTTTCCTCAATCAGTATAGAATTATGGTCTATGATGAAAAATGCAATATGAAATGTTAGTTAGGTCACTGACATGTTTGTGAATGCGAATGGGCGTGATCAAGATTTGACCCGCTAAACACAGGACCACATGATAGTGGCTTGTGGTGTCTGATAAAGACTGACCCCACAGTTTTCGACGAACCGTTGCTTAGCAACTTGCTATATCTTACTGACAAGATAACTTTAGAGGTACTCTCTAGAGCTTGAATGCTTCTTTGACTCCCACTGGAAAAATACGTTATGTGCTGCTCAAACGCTTTTTGTGAGGTAAGGTTTCATCCAAAAAGTTCAGAAATAATTGTGCCTTCATCATGTTTACTCCAAAGCCGTAATGTGTTCCATCATAGCTATGCACTCCACGAGTTAGATTGAATGTGTCAAACACTGGAACTTCAAAAGGTTCTAGAAACCGCCTCATTTCTTGGTTGTATTGAATGATTTTATCATTACCTTGGGATACACTAAACGGAATTGGTTTAAGGGTGCCATGTGCGTGCGTTGTGAGCCATATAATAAGCGGCCATTGGCTTGCTGCTTGATTCTTAAGTTGAAGGATTGGTTTTATGTAACCATTAAACACTTTGTGAGCATTCAGACCCATATGAAGTCCTACTCCAATAGCGATGACTGAGTTTGTCGCGTTAAGTTTTCCCCGAACCTTTTGCAGTGCCAACTTGGCATGTTCGCCACTAACATGCCGAATTCGCTGCCTCTGTTAATTCACAGTATTAATTTCTCTTAACCATAAACCATAAGCATTATCTGTAATTTATGCCCCCAACTGCGTGATTGCAGTTTTTTTTCCTACTTCTTGCGAGGTAGCATTTTATAAGTTAACCTGATTGGAGGGTGGAACGTAATGGCGAAGTCAACAAAATTGTAAGTTTTGTTCCACGAGAGCATTAACACAACTTATTATAGAACTCTAAGACATTTTCAGATAATTTGTTGTGTCGTAGAATGCAGCTTTGCTAAAGTGCCGAATCCGAACGCTTTTCGGGATCAAGAAAAACTAAAGTTTACACAATAAGACTGATATTGATACTTATCGATCAGATAAGTGGCAAAATGTTTAGCACTTGTATGCAAGTAAAAAATGGATAGTTATTTAGATAACAGAATATTTAATAATCATCTTCAAAACATTAATAAAAACATAAGTCACCGTGTTTGTAAAAGAGCAAACGACCGTCGCACCTGTTTGCCTTGTCCATTGGTTAAGTAAAAGACAAAATACCGTCACGTTATTGAAATGCACGAGTGCTTATTGGAAAGGACTTAAGGGAGACGTCATGCACAGGACAAGATATGCAGCGCACCAGTGACTAAGCATTTTGAAAGATGGGAGAGGATGCCTAAAATGTTGGCCCAAACACCAACACTTCGTTGAAAACGGAGAGGACATATTAAGTGTTATCTAAAATGCAACACTGCCTGCGATCAACTAAGGAAGCTTCATCCAACAGATGTTGTTTGTGGGTTATGGTTAAAAGAGAAACTGATACTGTGAATTAACAGAGGCAACGAGTTGGGAATGTTAGTAACAGCCTCGGGAAGAACGTGAATAAAATATTAATGTATGAGCATTAATAGTTTTCATATCAGTGTGCTTTGTTGAGCATGAAACATTTGAATTTCGGTTCAGCTTTTCGAAATTTGTAAAGTTGCGTTTTGCGACACCACACTGTAAGTAAATGAGTAAAAAGTCTCAGAAGATGATTATGAAACATTCCTTTGTTTAAATAACTATCCATTTTTTACCTGCATACAAGTGCTACACATTTTGCCACTTATCTGATCGATAAATTTCAATATCAGTCTTATTGTGCAAACTTTAGTTTTTCTTGATCCCGCTAAGCTTTCGGATTTGGCACTTTAGCATAGATGCATTCCACGACACAACAAATTATAGGTAAATGCCTCAGAGTTCTATAACAAAGAAGTTGTGTTAATGCTCTCGTGGAACAAAACTTACAATTTTGTTGACTTCGCCATTACGTTCCACCCTCCAATCAGGTTAACTTATAAAATGCTACCTCGCAAGAAGTAGGAAAAAAAACTGCAATCACGCAGTTGGGGACATAAATTACAGATAATGCTTGTGGTTTATGGTTAAGAGAAATTAAAACTGTGAATTAACAGAGGCAGCGAATTCGGCATGTTAGTGGCGAACATGTAGCGAACTCCAACGTAGCGAACTCGACGAGGAGCGAAATGTCCAGGAATTCTGCGCGATGTTTCCCGTGAATACTATCAAGCGAATCAACCAGTGGTTAGAGTGGAAATTAGCACACCAGGCGCACTGAGCACTCGGCGCTCTGTCCTAGTGGTCAATGAAAGAGCTGTACTAGGTGTCGATTTTTCTCTTGCCTGTTAACAACATAAGCGGCTTTCAATTCTTCAGAACAGTAGACAGGCAAGAGTCCTGTGTACTTTGACAAGCCCTTTGCAGGCATTTATTATCTCGGCGAATTCCTAAGTAAGAGATATGCAGGTATCTATCTAGTAATGCTCGCATCAAGAGTTGTTATGCAGACCATTAGAGTTTACACTTCTTGTGTTTGTTTCCTTTTTCGAAGATAATGGAAGGGTTTCTAGAAGATTACAACATGTCAAGCAAAGCCCCCATGGACCTGGTCATGTTCAGATTTGCCATTGAACACGTGTCTAGGATCTGTCGAGTCCTCCGCCAGCCCAATGGGCATGCGCTGTTAGTAGGTAGGCCGGTTTCCATATATTGAAGTTCCTAGGAGTATTCCAACCCCAACCCTACCCCCACCTCCCGTATGTTTTTCCGGTCCATGGCAGATTGCTTCAAAGTAGTTCGAAAGGTTTTTCTGACATTCTACCCTCTATCCGCCATTAACTCTTTCACTCCCAAGATCTCATGAGCGATTATCCTTACTGCCTGCCATTAAATACTTATGATGTCAATTTGGAGAGTTTGATATTGGATCAACTTGTAGATCCTTAACTGTAATTGAAAATGTAGTTTTCTTCTTTATTCTCGACATTTGTATGCTTGATACTGTATTAGTAGTGTAAGGAGAAATTCTGTCTTGGTCACTTTTGGGAGTTAAACGGTTAAGGTTCTTGAATAGAGAGAGACTCTATTAGAGTGAAGAGTTTTTTCCAAGAATTTTAGACACAAATCTGTTCAAGAAATTATGACCTTTCTTAGTGTGTTGGTTTCTGGCGTGTGCGTGAAAGGTTTTTTCGTAGCTTTCTTCTGACAGAAAATTGATGACTGTTTTATGTTGTCGCAACTAAATTGTATGTTTTTGGCTTGAAAGCACTCGTAACGCCATGGGGCTAATAGGTTAAAGTTATTTTCCACTCGTGTAACAAGTCCTTTATTATTCAAGGATGCTCGAGAATGTACGAAGAGAATATCAGCCCTTAGCCCTAAGTCGTGGGTCGCTTACAGTTAAGACACCCCGATCGATATACTCCCATTACAGTTCTTGTGCTTGGTTAGCAAGATATATTTAATGACCTTTTACTAGTTTTCAAAGGTCTTTAACCTGTTCTTAGGATTTATAACATTCATAGATTTTTTTTTTGAATATGTCCATAGGTATCGGCGGTTCTGGTCGTGCTAGTGTAACCAAGCTGGCAGCCTTCATGTCAGATTATGAACTCTTCCAAATCGAAATCACCAAGACATACACATTCACGGACTGGAGAGAAGATTTAAAAAAGATGCTGAGAAAGGCAGGCTTCGATGGAGCTTCTACAGTGTTCCTGTTTGGTGACCACCAACTCAAGGTCAGTTTTCAACTACTGTGACGCTAAAAGTTTTTAATAATGGTAAGTCTGTACTCCAACCCAGTGACCCGCGTAGCCGGAGCTCATCCCAGTTTCAATAGCATGAAACAGCTAGGAGTATTAATACCCTCCCCTGGATGGGATTCTAGTTGATCGCAAGGTTACATCCAAACATTTCCTGAGGCTTCCCATTCATGATTCACTACTGCCCATTCCTACTCCTGGATGGAGAGAGGCATTATGAGAGTAAAGTGACTTGCCCAGGAACACAACACAGGTCTCGAACTCTCGACCCAGAGTCCAGTGCTCTAAGCATCAGGCCACCGCGGTACCCATTTAAGCAAAGTAGACGCCTTTCTAATGAGTTAAATGATCTAACTCCAGATGAAATTTGGAAGTCATTGTGACATCAGCAAGAGGTGTTTGGAAATAAAGAGTGATGTCTTAATCACAAGAGCCTTGCGGTGATGTTTTCTGTTTTACCCATAACACATAACTCACTCCACAAAGGCTATCTTGGGAACAACGAGTAGAGGGTGTTTTATTTAGGTAACCTTTATGGAGGCATGGGGGTGTTGTTTATCATCTGTTTGGGGGTTTAAAACGTTGCGATTTACCAAAATGCCTCCAGTAGCATAGAGGTACGTACCACAATCTGTCAAAATATATAGTAGCTGGAGGAAAGCTAACAAAGAGTAAAAATCAGGGAAGAGTCGTCAACGAAAGGATAATTGAAGTGAATACCTTAGTTTTTACAACGATTGCTTTTAGTTTCGAAGACAATCTGTTGATCAAAATGAAACAAAGTTATTCGTATTTCGACCTGCGGTTGTTTCACGAGTAGTAAAATGATCCTTGCCGGGGAACTGAAAACAAAGAAATTGTCTGAAATAATTCAGGCTTCGATGGGATTCGGATCTTTGCCTCAGAGATACTAATTGAGCACTTCAATCAGCTGAACATTGAAGCTACGCGTTTATTCCCGTCGAGGAATATGATCACAATTAAATTGAATAAATCGTTAACGAATGTTATTCTTTCCTCCCAAGTATAAATATGCTATCAATGTGTTTCTGGATTTACTTTCAATTTTTCTTTTTTCTTTGGTCTAAAGGATGAAGCATTCCTGGAGGATATCAACATGATCCTAAACACTGGTGATGTACCTAACATCTATGAGTCTGACGAAAAAGCTGAAATCACAGAACAGGTAGCTTTTGATTTTCAAGCTTGGTTTTTGAACTGTTTTCAAAGAAAAGCTCGACATCTGTTGTCAAGAACGTCCTGGAAATTGTCAAAAATGGGTTTTCTCTATTCTCTAACCAGATGCAGAACATTGTTCAAGAAAGAAACCTTAAGGTGGATTCCAGTCCTCTGGCCATGTATAACTTCTTTATTGAGCGGGTTCGCCGTAACTTGCACGTGGTTCTGTGTATGAGTCCCATCGGAGACGCGTTTAGAAACAGACTAAGAATGTTTCCTTCGCTGATCAACTGCTGCACTATCGACTGGTTTCAGGTTAGACATTCAACGTTCAATTATTAAACTACTAAAAAATTCTGGAACCAGTGGTAACAGCAACACAGCGGTCAAACCTCTGTGCATGTGTGAACATCGTAATGGCTAAGTAGCGTGCTCTGCAAACGACCACACAAGTCTATAAGTCGCGATGTTTTAAAAGCGTATAACCTTTTAGATAAAGCTTTCCATGATTGTTACGATTTTCGTCGCATGCTTTGCGTGACAACGATTGTATCTCATGTTTTCATTGGAGATTTGCGCGGAAAGCTGGTGCACGGCGGCTGAATTGAACCCCCAGTGCGCATATTCAACATTTGACTGCTGTGTTGGTAAGAGCCCTTCTGTACTAAATGCGTTTACCTGTCACAGACAGTTTGTTTTTAAATGTTAGCAGGGGTAGTTAGTCGGTGTTTGTTTAATAAAATTATGACAGGAACCCTCCAAAAGCGATGCTATCTTTTGGATTATCGTGAAAAGCCTAAACATATATATATTTCTTAGGCCTGGCCCGAAGACGCTCTAGAAATGGTAGCAAACAAGTTCTTGGACGAAGTTGAAATGTCTCGTGAGATAAGAGGGGAATGTGTTTCCATGTGCAAACACTTTCATCAGAGTGTGCGAGGAATATCAGACAGGTACGCAACGATTGTAATACTGTTTATTGTTAACCGGCAATGTTTGCTACATAAAGTGACAAGAACGGATGAAAGTCAGGTAAAATTACGAATTAGAGTATCTGTTGGGCTACCTGTGGCTGCCTGTGAGAAGTATTATGGAACAGGTTTCGGTTAAGAGAGAGACACGTGCGCCTGAACACGGCTGAAAGGTGTCATTACGGCTTAAAAGTGAATAAAGGAGTATTACACGATTGATAACACAACCTAAATAATTCAAGGGAAGCCGTGTGGAAACTCAAGCCGTTGTCAATCATGTCGCGGACCTGTCGGGAAAACATGACTGACAGGTGGAGGATTTCAAGACATTTTGTTGGGTTCAGCCTCAAGATGGCTGTTAAAATAATGATTGACAGGAACTTGAAACTAACTCGAAAGCTTGACTCTGAACTACACAGTTGGCTTTTTAATGACGTCACTGTATGCGCAATTAATGCTAGAGAACAAAGTCTTGACGCACTCAATCTTCCTGCCGTAATGTTGTTGTTGTCTCTTGTGCTATCAGTTCCAGCTTTTTTTGAGAAATGCTGGAAAATTTGAATTGTGTCTCTTTTACTCCTTCGATGGGTTCTAGGTTTTTTACGGATATCTTATTATTATTTTTAAAAAAGATATCCGATAGATTTTTTCTTCACTGCGTATATGGAAGCTTATTTGCTAAGGTATCTTCAAGTTCCTCTGTTGCTAGACTGGTTTATCGAAATAACTAGGAAAACATTTTCAGGTTTTATGCTGTTCTTCTTCGGCGAAATTACGTCACTCCCACGTCATACCTGGAGCTGATCAAGACTTTCAAGTCACTTCTCGGGAAAAAGCGATTCCAGATACTAACTCTGAAGACAAGATATCTCAAAGGTCTGGAGAAATTAGACTTCGCTTCATCGCAGGTGAAAAGATAACGATTTATCTGTAGAAACAAATGAAGAATGTTGTCTTACTTTTTTATTGCACATATGCGTGATGATAAAAATGTGTGTCAACGTGTCGCACTGTCTAACTTGCGTCGGATTTTGTGTCTCTTGGTTATTTCTTTTCTCTTCATTGGCTTTTATTTTCAAATTGTCAGGTGTCGATTATGCAGCAAGAGTTAAAGGAACTGCAACCAGAGTTGATTGAAACCAGTAAAGAGACAGAGCAGTTGATCAAAATCATTGCTGACGAGACTTTAGAAGTGGAGGATAAGAAACAGGTGAAAATAAATTATTTCTGAACAGTACAGCAAAAGGAACAGCTTAAGCTTCTGGTGATGAATATGTCAATTTAAAATTGATTTTGCTAGTTACATAACTGTGTTCCAAACAAGACGATAGTGAAGATTTGTGAATGATCGTGGTATTGTGAAAAAATGAGCTGAGTTGTTTCACAACAGGTGGTGCAAGCTGACGAGGCTACGGCTGATGCAGCAGCACAGGAAGCCCAAGCTATCAAGGTACTTCATAAGGCACTTACTGAATAGCAATGATAGCATTTGCATTTACAACAGAAACTTCTTGGAATCTGTCGTGATGAAGCAACTGTAGGAATATGTCATCCGATTCTCAGTGAACTGATGATAATGATAAGGATAATGATTCAGTTATGCGTTCATCAATTTGAAGCCTGGACATTCTTCCAATCCCCGGGCATTTGAACTTTTGAAGATTAGTTTGTTCAAATTCCGGCGTGTTCATATTCCCACCAATTTTTTGGGAAGGGCAACATTAGCGAAAGTATCCTTCTACACGTTGACCAAGCTTTAAAACCTTGACCTTTTAGAACTTTCCTTCTGAGCCATTCGCTCGCAATAGTGAAACATTTGACTGAAACACCTGCATATTTATAGACATAACACTTGTGTTCCGCTGGAAAGAGTTGACACTTCCGGTTCAAATTCCCCACCCCAGCCAGGCAAGGTTCAAATTCCCTAGATCCCCGGGCAGGGAAGACGGTCAAATGCCCGTGGGTTGCCCAGTGAGGGATGTTGAAGCTTCACATTGATCAGTGCATTATACAGCACATTCTTCTTATGAATATGCTCTAATGCTCTTTACAACAAGTTGCGGAGGACTTTGGCCAGACTGCATTGAGCAAGTGAAAATTTACAATTTTTGAAAAAGAATTTTGCAGGTGCCCCAATTTTTTGTTTTTGTGAGATTTGTGTATACTTGTTTATGAACAATTTAGGATGAGTGCGAGGATCAGTTGGCGGTTGCCATGCCAGCATTAAATGCAGCTGTATCTGCACTGGACACCCTTAAACAACAGGATATTTCTTTGGTCAAAGCCATGACAAACCCACCCGCTGGTGTGCGAATGGTGATGGAAGCTGTGTGTATATTGAAAGTAAGTCAGTCATTGACTTCGAATTCGTTAACGAGCTTGCCTATTTTGAAAAACAGTATTAGAGTAGAAATCCGGGATGGCATTGGTTTTGCTTTACTTCGCTCTGTGATTGGTCCAAAAGAACTCGCGCCGCTCATCAACCAATCAAATGCAAGACTAACATTAATCACGACGTAGTCGCCCGCGTTTTCCCGCGCATTTTTCTAAGGCATTTGTTTGTTTTTACTTTGAGTTCTCATTGGCTCTTAAGGTTACAAGATACTTTTACGGGTGCGTCTCAGAAAATTACTATGAAAGTGAGTGCTCTGAGGTAATCCCTATGAAAGTACATATCATTTTAAAGCTTATAAACTCCAGAATTCGAGTATGTTTTTTTTAATTGATATTCTGAAGTGAATCAGCACAAATTTTGCTGAGAACCGTCTGGTCGGTTCTTTATTTACGTCTTCTTTCAAGAGTTATTAGCTTTTCAACTTCAAGTATGTATTTTTTATTGCCGACCTTTGCACTCTTCATCATATCTCAAAAAGTATTCCAAAAATAAAAATTTGGTCACATGGTTTCATTCCTCAATTATTAATTTTACTGTGACATTTTTTAAAGGAATCTGTTTCGAAATCGGTTTTGGCTAATTGGTTCGAAAATCGAAATCGGTTTTGGCTAATTGGTTCGAAAATCAAAGAAGAGAAAAGCGCTTCCAAAGTTTCCTTACACAATTTGTCTTCTTTGATCCGAATTTGATTTTTTCCTAAATTCTCACCAGAAATAATTTTTTTATCTACTAGAGTTGTGAATTTCGATAGATTACGTAAATACCTGAAAATTATTCAAAAAATCGAAAAATTTCGTCCCTGAAAGTATCTTTTATTCTTTAAGGTATTTTGAGATTACTTTGATTTTGGTCGTACAGCCCTTATCGAAAAGCACTTTATCGGTTATTTAAGTTTGCTATTTTTTTTTTGTAAGTTAACTATTTCACTCTCAACATCTACTTTTATATCCTCCGTTCAAGCTGCTGTATATTTCTTTGAAATTGTGAGAAGTTACATGTTAACCACCTTTGGCAGTCAAAGAGCTTCATTTGTTTTATTTGTCACTGAAGTTTTCAAACAATAAGACATTTGATTTAGAAAATCCCTGGTTGTTGTTTAAAGTTTCTTTACATATGAGATGACATAAATTTTTAATCGATTCTCCAGGATACGAAGAGCCACAGAGGCGTGTGCAAGATTCACGAAGATTAGGTAGTGAGGCAGGTTTTTGTAACAGACAGATTGTTAACGATGAGTTATTTGTGTAGCTTGAGTTGTAGATAGCGCAAAGTACTTAAAATGATTTTGGGGTAGTCTATGATCAGATACCAGAGAATATGCAATCGTAGAAGCTAGTTATAGTCGTACAAATTAAACTAACACAAATTTTGTTCTAGAAGGATAGCACTTCCCACAATACAAATTTGTTGTCTGGTTTTGTTGTTTCATTGTATACCACAGGTTTGACACAGGCCGTTTGATGCCTTTTTAGCTTTATTAGAATATTTTGAGGTAGTGTAAAAGCGGATATTTCATTAGTAGATGTCGTCACTCGGAAGTTTACTTAAGTGTGGCAATTAATTGACAACTGGGTTTAGGACTGACCGGGCAGTCTTTCTTTGTGCTTTTGAGGTAGTTACTGCACTTTGTCCTGTTGATAAGTTGGTGTTCATGTTTACCCGTCCATTAATTTTCTATTTTTAGGGAGTGAAGGCTGAGAAGAAGATGGTAGACGGCAAACAAGTAGATGACTATTGGGCGGCTTCCAAGAAGGTTTGATTGGTCGATTTATAAGTAAATAAATGTGGTAAGTTTCTGAAGAAACTGTGGTGCTGCGTCGGTGGGAGAGTGTCACAGGATAATTTAATGTTATCGACTGAGTTGATAACGTAAATTGGCCACCGTTAAGAGTTTTGAAGCTGACGTTTCGAGCATTAGCCCTTCGTCGATGGCTCTAATCGCTCCCTATACGCTTATTCAGCCGCAGTACTCCCATCCTCACTCACGATTAAAATTATGCGTCTCAAGCCCCCGTATCTTGTTGCTAAATTGTTCCATTGTGGTAGTTAGCTTCTCTCCTGAAATTGCTCTCGTTTTTTCTTGCTTTGCTCATCCACAGGTTCTTGGTGATTTAAAATTCCTGGAGAGTCTCAAGCTATTTGATAAAGAGAACATTCCCGCTGCTACAATCCGTAAAATCCGAGATAAATACGTAACCAATCCTGACTTTCACCCGTCACTTATCAAAAACGTGTCGTCCGCCTGTGAAGGACTGTGTTCGTGGGTGCGGGCCATTGAGGTGTACGACAGAGTTGCCAAGGTAACAAGTATCACGCCTTTTGTTATCTCATGTTTCGTAAAGAGTGAGTTTATGATGCACATATATCAGAGCTACTATGTTTTAACCCTTTGAATCCTAACAGTGATTAGCATCTAATTTCTCCCTACAATATCACTCCTAAACGTTAAGTTTACGAGAGTAAAGCAAAAGTTCACCAAATAAAGAGGCTCTTGATTATAAAACAGCAGCTGAGGAAATGTTTAGAGAACACTATGGAGAATATGCATACTGATACTAGGGTGTAAAGGGTTCAAGAATTAAACCGATAAGAAACATGACCAAGCATATACCAAACCTGTAAATTCGGACTTCCGTCTAAGGTCGCTCACGCACAACAAATTTCTAAATTTTGTAATCATCCAAAATGTTCATTTTTTATATTCATCCTTGGCGTATGTCAACTAAAACCGTTCTCTTTTCGCTCGGAGTCTGGTCGTTTCAATAAAAAGTCGTTTCGGTACAGGTCCATACAAATTGAAGTTGATTCGAGACATCGACAAAGTCGATTTGATACAGTTAGAAAGTCGTTTTGATACAGCTTCAGTCATTTCGATACAAACTAGTGAAGGATACATTTGGATATTTCCGACTTTCTACCAGTCCGATAAAGGGAGTTAGAGATGTTAAATTTTATGACACTTTGATTAAATTCTCGTCAAGGCAATGAATTAACCTTTTTCTGTTTTATGGATCAAGCTCGTCGCACCCAAGCGCAAACGTCTGAAGGAAGCGGAATCCCTCCTGGCTCAGCAGATGTCTCACTTAAATGAGAAACGAAGTGAGTTGAAAGAAGTCATGGACAAGTTACAAAACTTGAACGATGACTACCGATCAAAAGTGAACAAGAAACAGGTGAGATAAAATTTAATGATGTAGCATTCAGCATTTAATTCATCTCCATGATATCAATAGTGTTAAACAGACAGGTTCGGGGAAGTGAGAAAATTGTCAACTATAGTATGATGAGAAGCATTTCTTTGCCTTTGGGGTTGAGTCGTCCGAGCCTCGTTAGTTCAACTCCTCCCTGGAGCATTCTAACCATTTTTTTTCCGAGTTTACTTGTGTCAATGACTAAGAAGATCGTTTTTCAAATTGAAGAAACTGAACGAAATTGTTTTTATCTCCTCAGGAGCTGGAACGAAACATTGCATTGTGTTCCAAGAAGCTTCTGCGAGCTGAAAAACTCATCAGTGGACTGGGCGGAGAAAGGACGCGATGGACTCAGGTCAGCGGTTGTGCGAAAGACCGAATGTATTCTTTGGTTCGGCTGTGGGTAGTTTCGAGTCGAAATTAATTAAGTTTGATTTATATTGCAATGTTCAATTTAATTCCATTCGAGAGCCGAGGTGTGAGCTAATGTTTCTTATGTCGCAAGTGGGTAGCCAGATTTGCTAAGCAATATTCAAAATGGCGGCGTCCTTGATCGAATTTTTGGCATGTTTGAGGACAAATTTTGAATTTTTTTGTTTAATCTTTGGAATTTCCAAATCTAGAAAATTTTATTTTTCGTAAATACGTTCAAATGGTGGTGATAAAAATAAATGGTTTCTGTGGCAAACTTCTCCTTTTAAGGCCATGAGTTTTTTTTTCCAGGTTGCCCAAGAGCTGGGTGAGACGTTTAATAACATCGTTGGTGACGTCCTGTTGTCAGCGGGCATTGTGGCTTATCTCGGCCCATTCACTGTGGAGTTTCGACAGGTAAACGCTGGTAAAACTCTCTTTAAACAAAGGCTCTTTTTACGCATTTTTCTTTGCGATAATTTATACAATGTGCTCTTTTCTGTGAGGGGCGCGATTGTATTATACAGTCAGAATGTACTTGCTTCGATAGACGGACCTATTTTGTTACCTCTTACATTAAAAATGCAACAAAAAACCTTGAGTTTGTTGTGGAAAGAATAATTAGGCCGCGTTGTAATGCAAATAAATTTTCATCAATTTCCGTCTTAAAATAGTGTACATTTTCATCGAATTAAAGACATTTTCTATAAGGTATTCTTCAAATCTGGGTGACGGTCGAATAAAGTAGAGACTCGGGATTTTGATAGTTAAATAGTTAGTTTTTGATGAAACTTCCACCCTCCACTTATTAGCTCACCTCTGCAATAAGTTCAGATCAATGTCAGTATCTAACCCTCCCCTAACCCAACATTAACCCTAACTTGTTATCAGTGGACTGTTGTTGGATTAGGGGAGGGGAGAGTACGTAGTTGCTCAGATACTGGGATTGATCCATAAGTTCTCTGTCTAGAACTTAAAGTTTACCAGAAGCCCTCCCTCAGGGGGCCTCCAAAGCGTTAATGGTAAGTTCATGAGTGGTACTGGTAACTAACAACAACATCAACTCCAACATCGCTCTGACGCTGGACTAAACCTCGAAACATCAGCTTTGAAACTCTTTACGGCGGTCAATTTACATTATCAACTCAGGTGATAAAGCCAAATTATCTTGTAATACTCCTCACCGACACAGCACCACAGCTTCTTTAGAAACTAACCCCCCCCCCCTTCCCATTAACTAACGTCATGGCCCTTTTCAGGAATGTATCAAGGAATGGTGGGGTTTGTGCCGACAGAAGAACGTTCCAGTGTCAGACAGCTTTTCGTTGTCGGCGACTCTGGGAGATCCTTTATCAACACGTGCTTGGCATATCGCTGGACTGCCGGTTGACAAGTGAGTAATTCTCCCTTCAAGATGCTCTACTTTTCCTTGTACATCATATTACATCACATCGTGTTACATCGCAACGACACCGACCAGCTGATAGGTTTGCCTACTCTCCTGTTTGGTGAATAATGCATTGAAATTGATAGAAGTTAAGTATCAATCACATACGGGACTTAGAAGGTTGATGAAGTGAGCGATCTTACGCACTGATGTAAAGCGAGGGAACTACTAGGGAAACTATATTATCTCTTTTTTAACACTTAAACCTCTGAGGTTGACTAGCATCCATTCTCTCACTAAGGTTTAACTACTGAATCAAACATTTATGAAAAGAAAAGAAATGATCGTCAACTTGAAAAGCTCCTGATTTTTTTTACCAAATTCTCCTTGGAGAATGCCCATGCTAACGTTAAGGTATAAAGGATTAAGGATCGCACATTAGGGTATAGGAAGGACAAGAAGGTTACCGTTTATCATTTAAATTAAGTCCAAGTAGTTTTTCTTTCCACTAGCACCCACTGGATTGGATGACGTTGAGAGAAAAAACGTTTTGTACTTGCAAATGTCTTGATTGTTGTTATTTCGGGGAGAAGTAGTTAGTTTTCAATTTTATCCTATATATTTACCTCTGCGGCTTGTAAATGATCTTTTTTAATTTCATTGCCTCAAAAAGACGTTTCCTTTGTTTGTGAATGATTTCCTCTTCTGCGCCTCGTTTCTTTTTCAGTTTTTCACTCGATAACGCAATTATTGTGACGAACTCTCACCGCTGGCCATTGATGATAGACCCTCAGGGTCAGGCAAACAAGTGGATTAAGAATATGGAGAAACCAAACAGCTTACAGGTTAGGACTTTTAAACGGTCAGTTTTGGGACAGGTTATGATTTGTCTCAGGAGGGGAGAAAGGGGGGTAGAGCTTGGAGAATTTTGGTGTTGTCACGATAAAATTCACTAATCCCCTCATAAGGCTCTGTCGTATTCTTTTGATTCCCTCCCTTAAGTAAGTCTTTAATATCTCTCGAATAAATTATAGGGGTACTGGCTGCCGACTTAAGTGGTCTCTAGAGTTTAAGTTTCAGACAGCCAAAGTTGTGTCCTACCACAGGACTGATTTGCAGGAAAAACGATTGTGATATTCTTGAAATGTTTTGTTCCAGGTGATAAAATTGTCAGACCAGAACTACGTGAGGACTTTAGAAAATTCCATTCAGGTAAACGATATTTCTTGCTGAATTTGTGAGTAGTGGGTCAGAATATTTTTCATAACTGCAAGGTGAGGCAAAGCCAACGCAATCCTGGATTACATCTGAAAGTCAGTTGAAATTTGCTGCAGTATTTTATTTTTTTCTCTTTTGTGATAGTTCGGGACGCCAGTTCTCTTAGAGAACGTCGGAGAGGAGCTGGATCCCTTACTGGAACCCATTCTGCTGAAACAGACGTTCAAACAGGTTGGTAAAAGGCCGAAAAGCAATTGGTTTTTACCCCTTTCACGCCTAAGAGTGACTAGCATCTAATTTCTCCTTACAATGTTACCCCAGGATCACTCATTAAAGTCACGAGAATAAACGTATTGATCACCAACTAAAAATGCTCTTGATTGTTAAACAAATTCTCCTTGTCGGCACCTTAGGAAATGTATAGTGAACAGTTTGGGGAATTGCATACTGATGTCAGGGTGTAAAGGGTTAAAGGAAAAATGCGGTATATAATGACACTAAGTACGTCTGAATTTGGTCATATCCGAAATGTCTGGAAATGTTTGTGGTGATATAACAAGGTGAAATACTCTGCTTCTTTCAGTTAACGTGTGGCTTAAAAAGGTCAGAATATTAAAAAAACTCTAGGGAAAAAAGCAAAACAAACATACAATGGAAAATATAGATGTATTATGCCTGTAAAATTCCTAAAGTGGGGTCCAATATTAACAAGGTAAAGTTGTATAGGGCAGGCAGTATAAGAATAAAGTTTCTTTTCTATGGCTTGGAACTCCGGACCTCTCGATCTGGAATCCAGAGCGCTAACCGCTCTGCCAGTGCGTTGCTACAATTAACAAGTAAACCATTATTGCCTTCATGCAGGGTGGAGTCGAGTACTTGCGGATGGGTGATCATGTAGTTGAATTTAGTAGGGTGAGTTCAAATTATATTTTAATTTTTGGCTGGAGTTTTGCTCTTTTGATAAGGAGTTTCACATCTCACACAAGAGTTCGTTGTAACGTTACCATGTGTGACTCTCTCTTTGCATAACGGAACTGACCATTTCAAAGAACCCCTTTAACCCTATCTAAAGACGCTAAGTGTTCTTGTCTTTTGTTTTGTGGTCAGGATTTCAAGTTCTACATCACCACAAAGTTAAGAAACCCACACTATCTTCCTGAGGTCTCCGTTAAGGTAAGCTGCGAAAGATGAAACGTCTAGACGTGTTTAGGAATAAGTCCTTAGTGTTAGGAACTCACAGAATTTACTAGCATAGTGTTTAAGTTGTACAGCTGCTTGATATATCATCAAAACGTAAAACACTCGTGCATCGTATTTTCTACAAACTTGCTATCAGGAATTTTTGATCGTATTTATCCTCTTTAAGAGGTTCGCGCGACAAAGGGCGGCATTAAAAAAAAAAAGCCAGGAATCAGCAAACTTCTTCTGATTGCAAGTGGAGTGCCACTTTTAAAACCACATGTACTATTGATCGGATAGCATTTTGATCGCCAGTGATTCACCCAGGCATTTTATCTCTGCACACCAAATTCCTTTTAAAGACTGTGGTCCGGCCTAAAAACACCTTTGTTCAACATTGTAGCTCCTTATAGGTTATGATTAACTTTTCACCCACAACTGTTTGATTGACAGTAGCGAAACTCTAGAGATACTCGGCGATTCCCGAAGCTAACTTTGTACACCAATCACAACGGACTATTTCTTAAGCCATAGCAGTGACATGTCGTGGAAACTAGTTATAAATGTGAACCTTGTATGCTGGCGCAGCGCAACAGCTCCTTTAGAAAAATGTTCTCTGTTCTTTTTATAGATTTGATTTTTTTTCCCCCCCACTTTAGGTGACCCTTTTGAACTTCATGATCACACCTCTTGGCTTGGAGGATCAGTTACTGGGGATAGTGGCAGCGAAGGAAAAACCTGAGTTGGAGGAGAAAAAGAATGAGTTGATCATAGAGAGCGCTAAGAACAAGAAGCAGTTGAAGGAGATTGAGGATAAGATTTTGGAAGTGCTGTCTACTAGTGAAGGCAATATTTTGGAAGACGAGACTGCGATCGAGGTACGAAGTCATTATGCGGTTTACTAGTGCTGCAAGTAAACACGGCTGTGCTTAGATAGGTGAAATCTTTCCACGAAAGGATCTGTGAATTTGTGTGCCATGACAGACTTCGATGTAGTCGTATGTGAAGATTTTGATCGGCTGTTTCCATTAAAACTGTCATACGTTCTTCTTTACTCACACTGTGTGTGTTAGGTATTATCATCCAGCAAAAAGCTGTCAGAGGAAATCTCAGTCAAACAAGAAATCGCCACTAAAACTGAAAAGGAAATTGATAAAACTCGAGGAGGTTACAAACCAGTGAGTAGAAAAGCCTTCTAATTCTTTTGTTGTAATTTACAGTACAGACAAAGTCATTCGGAGAGTGAAGCTATGAACTTGTAGTTATTTGTATCGTTCATTTTTTTCTTGATAACCCAGTTATTCAAGCAATTCCTGACTTCTTCCGTCATCATATTGGTATTTTTAGCAAGCATTACTTATTTTAGGACGGGCGCTCAGAAACCATCTCAACTTTTGAGAAAGTTTTTAATATCAAATGCACAAATACTGTCTAACTGTGACGTATTTCATTGCTCTGTTGGTCTGATATCTCTTGTTATTGTGTATTGTCAGGTGGCTAAACACTCCAGTATCTTGTTCTTCACTATATCCGACCTGGCCAACATTGAGCCGATGTACCAATACTCGCTGACATGGTTTATAAATCTTTACCTGCAGGTAAGTACTTTGCTATTTTATTTTTGTCCAACTTAAATACGTTAATAACGTTACTTGAGGACTGTGAACGATCAGGCAGATATCATTGCTTATTGCCAAATCTGTTGCGTCCTTGTTGCCCCATGCCGAAAGAACGCTCAAAAAACCACTGCCAAAAATCTACGTCTTTCAAAGTTTTTTTTTTAATGGTTAATTGGGACGCTCTCTCCTTTGCAGTCAATCCTGAATAGTGAGCCGTCCTCAGACCTTGGCAGAAGGATATTGAACCTCAATGATCATTTTACTTACAGGTAATGGGGGAGATGCAATTACATTGTTTCTACAATATACTTCTCTATTTATGTGCGAGACCTATCAAGATGATAGCTCGGTGATGTTGTTATTACAATTCGCCCTTGTCATTTCATACTGTTGACCATTTCATGTTGCCTGTGTTGTTTCATAGTATCTACAGAAACGTGTGCCGATCATTGTTTGAGAAGGACAAACTGTTGTTCTCGTTTTTGTTGTGCATTGGTATTCTGAAAGGAAGGTATGAGGTTTATTTCTACAGGCTGAGGGGGGGGGTTGAAAATTATATCTTAATTGTGTTCATTAGTGTCCAGATTAAGACAACATATTAAAGAAAGGTTTAAATTATTTCGCTATTTCACTTCTTCAAAAAGGTGAATAATGTAGTAAAAGAGTACGATGAAATTTGAAGTCTTTAAATGCACCAAAGTGATCAGGGAGAGCCAAACGTGAAGGACATGCGTTATCTTTTTCAGTTTTAATAGGATAAAGGTCAGAAATTTATCTTGTGGCTCGCTATACCTAATGGGATAAAGGTTACTAATTCATGACTGAAATACATTTTTCTCTGAAGTTTGTCCCAGAAATATTTGGATCAATATATGTACGTTGTTGTGAGAAGATGATAAATTTTATTTGTTTGTTGTATTTTCAGCGGTAAAATTGATGAGCAGGAATGGCGTTTTTTATTGACGGGCGGAGTGGCCCTGGAAAACAAATTTCCAAACCCTGCATCGGATTGGTTGACCGACAAGTCTTGGGCTGAGATGGTTCGATGTTCAGCGCTACCATCATTTCAAGGAATCCTCAAACACTTCACAGCGAGAGTAAGTTTTCAAAGCTGTATTTGGTTTTTTGATTTGTTACTATCATTATAACCGCAAAGAACTTCGTGATCACCTACTTAAGCTGTTCTTGGGACATACGTGATTGGATCTTTTGAAAAAGCTTTTTGGAAAAGAGTTCGGCATTTTAAAGTAACCCTGACTAGTAACTTTGTTTATTTGATCCCTCAGATTTCGGAATGGAAGGCGTTCTATGACTCTGCCACTCCCCAAACGGAACCACTTCCCGAGCCTTGGGAAGATGATCTTAATAAGCTGCAACATTTGATTGTCTTGAGATGTTTGAGGCCGGATAAGGTGAAGATTGCAAAAAAATTTTTTTTGTACTTTTTAAATAACCATCCAGGCTGAGGTGAGAGTATTTAAGGAGCTGCGGGAATTATTTTGGTTTCAGTTTACCTCCCTGTTTAAGGCGTTTTACTCGGTGAGGGTCTTGTTAAAAAGGAGGAAAATATAACTGCTTATAAAAAGAGCACAAAAGTGTCTTGCAAACTCGATTCAGAAGTAACCGAGGACAACAATCTTCTCTCCCAACTCCATCTGAAAATGTTTAGACGTTTTAGTCTTGTATCGTAGGCTCGTCTCGTGCATATTCTCGCTCTAAGGATTAGCTTCTCCTTTTGCCACCTGGTAGCTATAGTCGCTCTCAGCATCCAAGTTCAGGCTAGCACATCGCTTTCGAATTCCAATCTAATGAAAAAGTTTCCCAAACCTGGCATGCAAACAAACTCTGAGACGGCCAGGTAAGGTTTATTTACTGTGCCGTCACAAGAAGTTCTTCGTAGATCCATTTCGAATTTCCCTATATCCTACATTCATTAAGATGTAGTGTACTTCCAGCTGAGTGATCTCCTTGCCATTGTCCTTTGTTTCTCTGACCAGCATATATATTTATACCGTTTGACCTTCCAGATCACACTCGAGTTCTTTTCTTTGACAGGTCACCTTAGGCGTACGTGACTTCATAACATTCTACATGAGTCCAGCGTACATAGAGCCACCCACATTTGACCTGTCCAAGTGTTATGAAGACTCAGATTGCTGTGTGCCGTTGATTTTTGTGTTGTCACCCGGAGCAGATCCCATGGCCAGCTTAGTAAAGTTTGCCGAGGACATAGGTATGAATCGTGGAACCAACCATCAAGTAATAAAGTTGCTTTCCTGGTGAAAAGCTAGTTTTCGCCCACGACGGAGTCAGAGTCGTAATTAGACGTGCATAAATTAAAACCTGCATAACCTTGTTTTGTAACCTGTTGAGGCTCGGAGATGACTCGCTGTAGACTGCAGGTTCTTCAATACTTTGTTTTCTATCAAGTAATCCAGTTATTTCCGGCCCAATACTGTTTTGTATCGTTTTGTTTTTATGGTAGGTGTGACCAGGTCTCATTTTCAGACCATTTCACTTGGTCAGGGACAAGGACCCATTGCTTCAAAGATGATCAATGAAGTAAGACGACTGTTATAGAATACTAATCATAAAAACTACAATTTCCTCGATTGTGATCGGTTTAAAAAACTCCTATTTTTCACCAATTAACTTGCCAAGTTATCGGACCGTTTGTTATCGAACAGTTTGTTTGTTTGTGCGGTCGCCTGATTGTGTTAACACTCGTATGATTACAGACCATATTGGACTCCATTCAGCCCTATTACCGATACTTATAGAACCTGAAAAAATTTGGTAGTGACTTGACTTATATTCTTGATAGACTGCGACCCTTCACCCTGAACCAATCACAAGTTCACCAAAAGTAATATTTGCACACGCATGCGTAAAGCTACATTTATACAAGCAAGTTCCATTTGGTAGGGTTGATAACATTTAGTAGGTCGTCCATGGCAAACTCCGTTGTCTGGAAATTGGCACTTGTTTCACAAGTAGGCTTTTTTTGGGAAAACTTGCCTTTGTTTTGTTTTTAATGATGGACAATATTGTCGAGTAAATTATCAACGGCTAAAGGGAGAAGCAATAATCTCGTGGCTTGTGCGCTGTATTCTGGATCGATGGTTTCGGTTCGATTGCTGGCCGAGTATCTGTGCTGTGTTTGTTAGCGAGACATTTTTGTCTTACTTATGTACATTTAACAATTTTTTTTGTAGGCCATCGCTGTCGGGGACTGGGTTGTACTACAGAATTGCCATCTTGCAACATCGTGGATGCCTATTCTTGAGAAAATATGCGAGGAGGTGAGAAGGTTTTCAACAGTTACTATATTTTAACGCGATAGTTAAGTGTCGAGCATAGATGGCTGGTTGTTATTCGTGGGCTATCATGCTGCAGTCACAAAATCTGAGTGCTGACCGCCCCCCCCCCTTCCCCATCCACTTCCTTGAACTTGATGATAATACATTGCTTTGTTACATTAAGTGACTGATGCGAACTTTTGGTAATTTATGCCATTAATTTCGCCCAGTTTATAATTTTCCAACTTCTTATTACCAGTCTTTTTGACGGAGTATTTAAAATTGTATTGAACATTTCATTGCTGATCACTCCTTGTCAAATGAACGACCTGTGAATCAGCGAATTCGTTGAGCAGCAGCAGAGCGTCGTGAAAAGTGCAGCGTATGCGGGGTTAAACATGTAGCATATCACCTTTACTAGGAGTCAGTAACAAAAATTATAGGAATTAGATGAAGCTCCCTCGTGCACTGATTAATAAACACATATTTGCACTGTGGTATCTCGTTTAGATTATCGTCCCGGAAAAGACGCACAAGAATTTTAGACTTTGGCTTACAAGTTACCCCACCGAAAGATTCCCTGTGTCCATCTTACAAAACGGTAAGAGACAGTTTGCTTTCTTTTCAGTAACCTCCTGTTTGATTTTTTAGTATGTTTACCTAAAATAACGGAATTCAAAGATTTAGTAGGGTTTTTTCCCAGTGTTTAGTTTACCTGAAGTCTCGCTGAATGTACGAAAATTCAGCATTTTGAAAGAACGAATGTACCACTCCAGCTATTGATGTGGTCAGGAGCTGTGATCTTGTGTAGGGTCTCAAGCGCTCGTCAACCCGTTATTTCGAGCTAATTTTAGCAAACGAAGCCAACAACGCCTGTTTTACACATCTAGACAAACACAGCCTTTGGAATAACTGCCTCGTTGAAAAAAAAACACAAATATTGAAATAAATTCTTATTAAAGGATGATGAAAGAGTTAAACCATCCATAATTTAAAATTTCTTCCGCCAATTATCTTCCATAGGTTACTGTGATTTACGTTCCACTTTTCATCTGAGGGAAAGCATTAAGAAAAAAAAAACCACGAATTATTTCGATCTGTTCGTCGTAAAGAAGGTTGACTTTTGAAAATCATGCGAACCTGCCATTTCGTCCAAATCTACTCGCAATTTTTTGTTTAATGCACTTTTTTATTTATTTGTTTATTTTTGTTGCTGTTTGAGGATAGTGCAGTTTTCTGCCTTAGGTCACCTTGACTGTTTTTTCGATGAGTCAGCGCGCTATGTCTGAGTCATTACTGACTCCCCGATCAAGGCTCGTGATGTATTGTATATTTGCTCTGCACCGATTGAGCATCTGTCGCTTACTTGTCCGCTCTCCTGGCCTCTCATACTGAATTTAATTTAATATTCATGACTATTTCTTTGTCTTTCAACCTATTCGCAGGAGTGAAAATGACCAATGAGCCACCGATGGGACTCCGGGCCAATTTATTACGGTCGTACCACAGCGATCCCATATCAGACCCTGCCTTTTTCAGTGGCTGCAACAAACCAAAGGTAACATGAACTGGAATCATAACTCAAAATTATTTAATGACTATTTTTTGTTTAACTCTCTTGTCTACTTTCTTGTTCGTAGTTGGTGCATCTACTGAAGCGACAATGAGCGCTTTATGTATTATTTCAGGATATACAGTTACTACCAATTTTTGTTTGCAACGTCTCTTTTGCTTTACTGTAAGTTTTCGTCAAGGTTATGGGTCTAACGCACTAAGAACACTGAACTAACCAGCTATATAGCGGCACTAAATTCACCCTCCTAGCCTAATGTTGATATGCAGTACAGCAGTCGAAACGTCGCGATGAGCCGTTGAAAGTGACTTCATATCGAGACACAAACATTCATACGTTAAAGAGTAGTTGGTGGGCCTCTTAAAGAGCTTTTCAACTGAGTATCGTAAAACCAAAAGCAACGTAATCACAACGGCCAATCAGAGGAGAGGAAAATATCTTAAAGAGCCGATGAGAACTTAAGGTAAAACCCACTGAATTCTCTGAAGCGCGGGAATTCGCGGATGACGAAGTCGTGATTGGTTTTATTTTTGCTTCTGATTGGTCGAGAGGGTGGCCCAAATTTATTTGGACCACTCACAGAACGAAGTAAAGCGAAACCATTGCAGACGCTCCATTGAAAACTCCTCTAAAACTAGTTGCACTTTTCGAAATGTGTTATGTCGATGCGATTTTGCAGGTCTGGAAGAAACTACTTTTCAGCTTATGTTTTTTTCACGCGCTGGTTCAAGAAAGACGCAAGTTCGGTCCTCTGGGTTGGAACATTCCGTACGAGTTTAACGAGTCTGACCTTAGAATTAGCGTTCGTCAACAACAGGTGAGGATTTATCCTGAAGACATGTGGGTAAGAGTACTTGTTTTTTCAGTCACCCTCGATCTCTTACGGATCTCCTGTAAATAAATGATTTGATTGACGTGAAATTAGAAAAATCTTCGGCTTCATCCGAACATAGCTTTTTGAGGAGTTTAGTTCCTTCAAAGAATTTTTTTTTTTTCTTTTTAATGGAGCCCTGAATACACGATAATCCATCTAGACTATCTTGCAAACATCATACTGGTATAGTGATCGGAAATCTGAAGCCGTAGGCGTATCTTGAAGCTGTTACTGCTATTGCTATGAAATGGCCTGCTATGGAGCTTTGTGATAATTGCCGGCCGAAAAACAATCCTGATTCGAGGCTTCAACTAGCTTCTTCGCATACTGCACTTTCAAGAGTATTTATGACCCAGCACCCAATTTTGATCCAAGCCATCTAACATTCCGCTGTTGTTTCAAAATATATACGCATCGCAAAAGTCAGGTTTGCGTTCTTCATCGCTCCAATCAAAGCATGAGGAGAGAAAAATAGCTGGATATCGCGGCAGAAGACTTATTTCCATGCCTTCAGCTTCAAGACTAAAAGTGTGTCATGGTTGGTTTTACAGATGTTTTTGAATGACTATGAAGAAGTTCCCCTGGACGCTCTAACCTACCTCACTGGACAGTGTAACTATGGAGGACGGGTGACCGATGAAAGAGACAGGTATGATAGAACTCAATGGCTCTGTGCTGTGGCTGAAACAAGTCATCAACCTTTCAAAGTGCCATGGCGCTAAGTGAAGCTCCGAATGCCTTTTTTCTTTTAAATGTCGGACTTTCGTTTAATGAAGTTAAACTTCATTAGTGAAGGGGGTAAATTTCTAAAGAAACTGTGGTGCTGCGTCTCGGTGGGGATTACAACAAGGTAATTTGATTTTATCAACTGAGTTGATAATGCAAATTTGCCACTTTCGAGACTCTTAACGGTGGCCAATTGGCATTATCAACTCAGCCGATAGAACAAATCATCTTGTAATACCCCACCGACGCAACACCACAGTTTCTTTAAAAACTTAGTCCCTTAATTCATTTGCCATGTAATCGCTGAACTCTTGTCTTTTTATTTTTCAATCCACATATTTAGCTTTAGAAACTCTTCACGGTGGCTAACTAACATTATCAATTCAGTTGATAAAATCAAATGATCTGCGTTGGCGAAGGCCTATAAACTGATCTTATTTGGTTTAAAAGACACAGTTGACGCAAAAAAAATACAGAACAAAAGACAAAACGGAGAAAACGTTGAAAACAATAGGCTAATAAGCGGTGTTTCATAGTGACGTGTCTTGTGTCTTCCACACCGAGAAGGAACGTGTTTCGCTCCGAAAATATTTTTATCCAAACAAGGGGAATTTGTTATTGGAAACTTAAACAAAGACTCCTAGGACTCTGCATTAAACATTCTTACCCCTCCCCCCCTCCCCGGTTTTCCCCTTTTTCTAACCCGAATACTTTCTCATTTCCACAGGCGTCTTATTTTGAGTCTCTTGTCCATTTTTTACTGCCGGGAGGTCACAGAAGATGAGAACTACAAGTATTCCAGTAGCGGTTCATATTTCGCGCCTCCAGAGGTCAGTGTCAGTTCGTTAAGGGACAAAATTACTATCCTTTATATGACACACCAGTGCTAAAAGTTACACTATAACCCCAGTTTGGTGAGGCATACCAGACAGCAGAAGTCAGCCGTTGAAGGCAATTCGTTGATGACGAATAGAGATAAACTTAAACGGAACGTACACGTGGAACTCAGGGGCATTTAAATCCAATTACATACATCATATGTTAAAATTTAATGGACAGAACTATAATGATTGAACTTGGGTTTACAGAAGAGGAATAAGGTTTACAACTATGCAAAACCCTCCTATAACACTAAATAATAGAGGAGTTCTATCTCCAAATCAGTGGCCCTTAATTTTCTAAACGTTCCAAATGGGCGCGAACGATTAAATTCCCCATAGACAAATTAGCGGCTTTCCGTGTGAATGATGGATACCCTAGATATTTCTTTAATCTCCGCCCGTGCTCAATGTTGAATAAAGCAGCTTTGGAGAGAGTTCCAGGTTCGAGCCCCTGGCTGAGTCATTGTTTTGTGTTCTTGCGCAAGACAGTTTCACATTGCCTCTTTCCACCCAGGCCTCGAAGCTTGCATAGCACAGTCCATTAGATAAATCTCTATCCGATGGATGGCGCGGTACGTTTTGCTATCAGTTATCCGCCGGATAGCGATTAATCCGTTGGATAGCGTTATCCGTGGAAAAGCGTTATCCGTTTGATAGGGTTTCCTTTGGATAGCGTTATCCGCCCTTTGAATAACTGGGCCTAGGAGGATAATTACGTACTAGCGAGTTTTCAGGGAATCCTTAAGGAATGCAAGGGGGTGGGGTTGCCTACGTTTGATTAGCATTCCATCCAGGGGTATTAGCAAGACTCTTATTCACTTTATGCAACTGAGACAAGGATGGTGCCGGGGCCACTTGGTTCGAGTGCACATTTTAATTCACAGATTGGTTGAGATTTCAGTACCAATCACAGAGCTAAATAAAGTAAATTCCAAGCAATTCCGGCTAACTTTATACACTCAATTGAAATCTGCCCTAAACTGATGCTGTTCTTGTCTTGTCATTCTACCGTCACAGGGTCCTTATGATAGCTATCTCGAGTACATCCGTAGTCTGCCTCTCACTCCAGATCCTGAGGTAACTTCTGTTAGATAGTCACAGCCGTTTAAGTCTCCATCCTCCATCGTGAAATAGAAAAAGAAGTCAAATTCTTTCAGTGGCACTTTACAATAAGTGCACTGAAAAGACCTTAGAAAATACGCGATATTAGGCATAAATACTGGCTTTATACTCATAGCTTATCAGATCTCAGGATTTGCATCATCTTGCCCGCTCACGAAGCCATGCAGTCATATAAGAAATTTAAATATAGTCTACAATTTGTTTGACAGGTATTTGGTCTGCACGAGAATGCTGATATAACAAAGAACCAACGTGAAACTCAACAGCTATTTGACGGAATTCTACTCACGCTACCCCGGCAGGTAGGAAATGATGGAATCTCAGTGTTTCTTCCCTTTACTTCATACTTCTGGAAAACTACACTGTGATTCTATCAAGCGTTTATTATACAATCCTTGACACCACTTCTGAGCAGTTCCAACGTTCACACATGCGCAGACGTTTGACCGCTGTGTTTGAGGGGCGCAGTGCTCTTTAAGGATCATCAGCACCCCGTATCAGTGAGCAAAATAGCTCCTTAATTCCTCAATAAACTACCATCTTGGCCAGTATTGCTAATTCACGCCCTACAATTCTTTCGTATTCTGTACGGATGGTCGATTTGAACAAGAGAGTGATTCCTTGAGTCAAAAAAAAAAAAGAAATGATGGGTAACCGCACTTGATTTTGACGAAATAGCTAATTTCCTCTCAAGAGAATGGCGGCTGTTAAGAAAATACTGCTACTTTTCTGCTTTCGTGGGAAATTTTGTGGGTGCATGTGACAACTTTCGTTACGAGATTTAGATCTGTATAGCGGGTGATAAGTGATAAGAAATAAAGTTTTTGAGTAAAGATGGATATGAAAATCCACTATTAAAATTTGGACATCTTGACTATTCCTGATGGTGTTTTCAATAATTGTGTGATTTCAGACCTCTAGTGGAGGGAAATCTTCTCAGGAAGTGATTGAGGATTTGGCTTGTGACATCCTGTCGAAAATTCCTCTGCCTTTTGACACAGAAATGGTTCAGGTGAGTGGTTCGGTTATTCTAGAAGCAAAAAAAAAAATTTGTTATTTGATCTTCGTTGGTAGTAAAAACTTATTAGGTCTCACAGTTAGTTCGTGCACCATGATTGGTCAATTGAACGGGCCGTGTTTTACTATGGCTCGCTAAATGTAAAAGTTTGAATTGAATTGAAATCCTATTCCTCTATTTGAACCATCCATGAGAATCCTCGTTTTTCCACACTCGGATTTATGGCCCGCGCTCTCCGCGCTTGGGCCATAAATCCAAGGGGAGAACTCGGTCCTTAACTTGCAGTACGGATCTCGAAATCGGTTAATAAGAGAGTAAGATGTATGAATGAGTTATTTGATGTTGTGCCTCTTCGGTTCATTTTCAATCCATTCTCGGTATCTGCAAACTTACCCCTTTTATCCATTTGGAAAGCTTAATTCACACTTTCTTGTGCTTCAGAAAAAGTATCCTGTACTTTATGAAGAATCCACGAACACCGTATTGCTTCAAGAACTGATAAGGTAAAACCACTAAATCGTTTTTCTTTGCATAAACCAACTGACAAATATGAATCCCTGATTTTAAACTTCAACGCTACATAGATTTCCTAGGATTGCATCTTCTTTTCCTGGTGTAATCAACATTACTCTTAAAGTAGTCGAGTTGAGGTATGTTGTAGTGGGTTAGAAAGTTCTTTTAACTAATAACCAATATTTTAAGGTTACTAAAGTTACATTAGCCAGCACGAGTGCTGTCTGAAACATTTGTGGCTGAATATGCAATGAGAAGGGGCTATTGTCACTCGCGCTCGACTGAAATACTGGTTAATTTGCTAAATATTTGCTGGTTTTCATACTATAAGGCGGGCGTCGTGATGATCTATTTCGTGTAGTGCACTTGTTTATGAACAACTACCTTGCTGTTTCTTTTCACGTAGGTTTAATCGTCTTACAAATGTTGTTCGATCAAGTCTCGGGAATATTCAGAAAGCAATCAAGGTGAGAACCCTCTTCGCTTTTGATACAAAATGAGCCGAACCTATAATCATTTGCTCTGCTCAATTTAAGCCGGAATTCTTTAAGATAATCTCATACACATCACTTTGCACAAGGGCACACGTGTCAATATATCAGCTAAAATAGACCTAATGGATTGCAAAAATACATATCTGTTTTAGGAAGTAAGCAGTTTTCTGACAGAAAATTTTGAGGTTCTCGTTACAGAAAATACCTAAAGTCAAATATACGAACCAATTTTAAGCCAAATGACTATGTCATGTTATTTGTCTTTCAAATATTTTTGTATTGATGGGGGCAAACCCTACAACAGCTTGGCGTCAAAATCTATTTATTGCGGGGTTGTGTAGTCCATGGTGGCGGAACAGCCAACACTTTTTCATTTATATCCAGAAAATTTGCCAGTACTTTTTGACCATTTTTTAATGGATGAAAAATACTGTAATAAAAAAGCACATGTTCTTATTGCAAGCAGTAACCGGATAACCCAAGAAAGTTTAGCATAACAGAACTTAGCAGAAGAACACTTCCCTCCTATTAAATAAAGCAGTAGCAAAGCCACAGTTGGCTGTACATTGATATCCGCTGAGTCGCAGTTATATTTTGTAGCAGTATAGTACTGCTATTGATTCTGTCACCTTTGTTCTCAGGGTCTTGTGGTGTTGTCGTCGGAGCTAGAGGATGTCTTTGGGAGTATGATGGTGGGAAGGGTAAGATTATTTAACACTTACAATAGCGTTTTTTCTTGCTTGTAGAATAGGGGAATCCAGTTGATTACCAGATTTCCTGGAAAGGAAGCTTTTACGAAAACAAGTATTGTAAACGTATTAAGAGAAGATAAAACTCTTGAAAATCATTGAAAGAATTCTTGAGCAGGTGTATGAGAATTGGAGAAATGTGCTAGCAAGTTGAAATTTGGCTGGAGTGCCCTCTTTACCCCACTACCCCGTGGGATTATTTTTGCACGTAAACATTCCTCCGTTGTTACTGTGTTTTCGCAATGTATCATGGGTTGCTGGAAAAGTAAACACACTTGTGCGGAAAATTTGGAGTTTTACGTTGAAAAATTTGTACTTATTCTACCCTACGGAAACAGTTATTTCTATGCTTCGATCACCTCACACAGAGGAATTTCTTTTTAGTTTTGCAAGGTGTGTTTGATAATAGCACCTGTGATTTCCTCTCATTTCCAGGTTCCTAGTATGTGGGCGGCCAAGTCTTACCCGTCTCTGAAGCCGTTAGGTAGTTACGTGGCAGATCTCGTTGCGCGCCTCAGATTTTTCAAGGTAAGTTTCTTAGTGCTGTTTGATTTAGGTTTCACACCTCGAAGGAGGTTATGGATCACACTTAAAACGTTTGGTATTGTTGTTTATTTAGGACTGGATTGACGAAGGTTCTCCAAATGTGTTTTGGATCTCTGGATTCTACTTTACCCAGTCCTTCCTCACAGGTTAGTGCGCGCAGAATCTGAAACGATCCAGTATATGACTGCTGAGTCTAGAAGAGGAAATTTGTATTCCTTTAATTTAAGTGACGGAACTTATCTGTGGACCTGGCCAAGTCCGTGTACGAGCTATAAACGACTCGGGCCTCAATTTAACAAGTCACTAATCGGCTATCTTTCGATAACCAAAGCAAGAAACATTTTCTTTATCGGCCAAGTGATGCCTTCTATGACAAGGATCGTCGACTCGTTTTGATTATAAAGCATGAAAATCATCGATACTCTACTCTCCATGGTTTAAAACGACTTGTAAGTGTCACTTGGTAACCCCTTAACACCCACCCCTCCATTGAAACATTTTGCCAGCTCTCCTCCACTCCCAAATTCTCACTTTCATTCGCGACTAAAAACAGGCATTTTGAATGGAGAGTGTTGGAGAGCAATAGACTCGCTGTCAGCTAAAAATTCGAAATCAATGTGTGGGTATTTTCAGGCGCAATGCAGAATTTTGCCCGACGTTATAAAATTCCGATCGATCACCTGGGTTTTGAATTTGAAGTGATGGATGAAGAACAGGATATGAAGAAGAAGCCCGTGAGTACATGAATTGTTGTCTTACGTTCTGAACTACAGCTTTCGCTAAGGAACCAGTCATTATTTAGCGCCTGTAAGGGGGGGGGAGGGACAGAAGGATTTTGGGGTAGATCATATGGTTTTTAGGGGAGAGCGGAGGAGGGATCAGTCATTGCCAACAGAGTATAAACGGGGGAGAACAGAAAATTGAGCGTTGATTAACTTGCAATGAGGTGGTTGGGGTGGGAATCATAAGAATATGAAAGGGGGGGGGGGAGGGAATCCGAAAATTTTATCGTGACTCAACCAAAAGCCTCCCACCCCCTCAGGTGATAAATAATAACCAGTCCCTAAATTAAATGAAACTCATTTCTCCACCTGTTGTGGGAGGTTTTTGTTTCTTTGAGTCAGCTCATTTTATTGTTCTCTTATGCGATGTAATTTCTTAGTTTGCAAAATAATGCAACGTTTGACGTATTGTTTGTGTTTGTTTATTTGTTTGTTTACAGGAAGATGGTGTATATGTTAAAGGTCTTTTTATGGAGGGCGCTAGATGGGACAGAGTAAACAAGGTTCGGTTTTTTTCTGTGCTATCCATTCCCTTTTTGTATGTGTGGTTTTTATAGGCTGTATTAAAAGTATATATACTATTATGACTACACCATGCTAGGGAAAAAAACAAAAACAATAACGTTAATGTTAAAGAGGGCCGCCATTGATATGGTGAAAGAGTTTTTCTTACGTCTATGACTTCAGTATGGCTGTTCGACTGAGTCTCGGCCTGTTTCCTCTAGGTTGTTGGAGAATCTCTTCCAAAGATATTGTATGATACTGTTCCAATTGTATCCTTTAACAAAAAAATTAGTAACATACACAGGATTAAAAGCTGGAGACGTGCTAGCCTAACAGTCAGTGCGCTGGCCGGATTCCGGGTGGATAGGTCCGGATTCGAGAGCTGGCCAGTTCATTGTTTATTGATCCTGGGCAAAACACTTAATTTGCCTTCCTTCCCCGCACCCCTCCCTCGTGCGCTGTAATAGAAACCTGATATAATGCTTGGTGAGAGAGCTGCCCTGTACTACTCACGGAAATCAATTTGACGTCGGGAAGCTTGGGTCACCTGGCTCAAGTGCTCAGCTGCTTTACTTTTTAAGATTTCTTTGTGTCAAATGTCCTGTTGATTGTCTACTTCTTACTTACATACTAATAATCGACCGCGATGTGATGATATTCTCTACCTCTTCGAAAGTATTCTCTTCAAAGGGGGACAAAAATGAAACTACCACAAACGTGAGCTTCCTTGACAAGTCAATAGATATGGCTCAAGCCGGGGGAAACAGCGGATTTTCGAGATGAAGGGACGTATTCATGCCCAGGTTATTTTTTGATCAATATTTTTGTGTATTTTATTCCCAACCACCGGAGTAGAAAGATCGTAGACCGTGGTGTTAGTACAGCGATAAGTCTCAAGTACAGTAGTTATGTGGAAAACTCGTGGGTAATAAGTATTGTGCCATCAATGATAATCGTTGCATCAGTGTTGCCTGTTAAATATAAAGGCCAATCAGTATTTTGGCCCTTACCAGGTCAGTACATTGCCAAGGGACCACTCATTATTTGTCACCTGGGGGTCGAGGGACAGCACGGTTTTCAAGGGGAACGGAGGGGGGGACGGATGGGGATCAGTCGTCGCTAACAGAGTATGAAGGGGGACTATCAAAAATTCGCTGTCATTCCGGGGAGAAGTTTTTTAGATTAAAACAGTTTTCCAAAGCTTTGAGAAGCCGTGCTCAAGGATTAGCGGGCAACCCGACTGAAATAATTTCCTCACACTTGTTGCCACAACAAATTGATACGTTTTCTGTTTGTTATTCTAGTTTACAAAACAAGTGCTCGCCGAGGTGTACTTTCCACAACTGGTCATTCGACAAATTATGTCCTGTCAATCAACCTACCGTCCAAGAGAGCGGAGAATCACTGGGTTGTACGAGGAGTCGCCATGCTTTGTCAGCTGGACGATTAAAATGGCACGACCGAGAAATGTACTTAATAATATAGGACTATTTTTGGTTGAGTTTGGGTTGCTAAGTTAGTCGAAAAGAACACCAGGCATGCGCAAGATGTTTTTTAGCTTCCTATGCTCAATTTGATTTTTTTTTTAATGCAATCAAAGACTGATCAAACTTCATTTATTGTTTTCCTTCATAGTAGATCACTTGAGAAAGCTCTTATTAGTTGTGCAGACATCATACTCTAGCATTCCTACTTTAATTCCTTGCTGGCATTTTTAAGGGACACCTGGTTGTTAAGTTCGTTGTATTATTATTTTTTTCTTGAAAAAGACTGGGGGTCACACATACTCCCCCATTACCTCCCACCTCAAAGTTCGTCCTTGAATACAACAAAATACTTATCGAACCATACATGCTTTTGTTACTTATCATGTGGTACCTACTAATTGAATTTGTTCGCGCGGGACGCGGGTCAATCTGCGTCCGTTACGCTCGACCGGGCATTTTCCCACTAATCGAGAGATTTTCAAAGCATGACATTTACGTCTGCTTTCAGTTTTTCGCACACCAAAGTGAAAACAATTGAATTTGAATTTCAAAAAATACGTTTTTACTCTATTCATTGTTGATTTAAGGTTCTGAGGAAGAGGAGAAGAGAGTATAATTTAACTTGATTTGCTCGTATTGGCGTTATCAAACTGTCCATTCATTTCATCACTTATGCTAACTTAATAACTTGCGTACTGTAGTTTTGAAAGGTAATGGGAAACCCGTAGAAACTTTCTTATCGCATATAGAGTCAGTAGATAAGACAAATTATTTATCGCTTGAAGAGTTTTTATCGCCTAAAGATGATAGCTAATTGCATTTGCAGTAATAAACATAGTGAATTATTTTAGAATTATTCTTCACAAAAATAATTTATTACACAGAGGCATATATTTATCTCTTTGACTCAAAATTAATTTAATAATGAGCGCAATATTTGATTAGTAAATTAATGTGTTGTAGTCAGGTTTTCTAGAAAGCTCGTCAGTAGTAGTTCTAACTGTTTTTATTAAAATATTGTTGATCATTTCAAATGAAGTGTAGTGTTACTGTTCGACGTCTTGGTGCAGTTTGTCCCAACCGCAAAATGGAGTCCTAAACACTTCCGACGGGTTTTCATTTTAGGACGTGTTTCGATGTTTCACACAGAACATTACTGTCCAATAATGTTTCGAAAGTCGCCGTTTGACGGCTGATGAAAGCGATTTGCCATTTTCCACTAAAAAGCGTGGGTGTAGGCACGCATGAGCAGAAAATAATTGCAGCAAACACAATTAGACGGTATTACGCATGACCAGATTTTAACTTGTCGGCAGTGTCGTCGGCAGTTATTAGGGAGTTTTAGATGTCACTACGGCAACGTGTGTTGTCGGCTTGCTTCAAACTAAACTACTGTTGAAATTTTCTTGCTAAGAAGACGTAAAATTTGGTGATTTCACGTTTTTGTTCTGTATGGCACGGCTATGAATGTACAAGGTTTTAAAACGAACGTGTTTTGCTGTTGTTTTGCTCATTAAATCTTTTGCCTCACTACGTTCTCGTTGCCGTCACCGTCGTGGTTTTCTTTAAATCCCTTTTTTCAGTTCACGTGGTGGGCTAGGAAGAAGAAAAAACATCGATAGCCAATTTTATTTACTTTCTGTGTTCCCGTTTCATGGCACAGTTGCACGCACGACCTGCTTATTATTATTTGGTCACCAGTTCCATTCTCTCTCCAACCTTCTCCAGTATCACAGCTCTTCCTCACTTTTAAGAAAATTGCAGTTACACTGCATAAATTAACGAATCCTTCTTTAACCCCCTAACCTCCAAGAATGACTGACTCCTAATGTCTCCTTACAGTAACACCCTTATAATCAATATAAGGTTCCCGTTTGTCAAACAAATTCTACTTACCTGTACTATAGGGAAGTATAGAGAACAGTGTGGAGACTATGGATACTAATGTGGATTAATATCAGTATCTGGGCAACTGCCCACCTACCCCTCCCCTAACTCAACAACAATTAATTGACAACAGTTAATTGACAACAAGTTAAGGTCCTAACATAACATAACATAACATCCTAAGGTCCTAACATAACATAACATCCTAACATATACTAATGTTAGGATGTAAAGGGCAGTCTAGTTCAGTGCAGCGATTGACATTGTGTTGTTATTACGGTCAAATCAGCCAATATTATGTTGTTCTCTTGTCTCGAGCCAGCGTCTTATTTCTTACCAATTGTCATCTAGTCATTGATCGAACAAACATCCCTCGTTAATTATCAAACATCTCCTAGATCATTTAATATTCAAAATTGCTTTAATCGCCATGTCATTACTCATACAGCCATTATATGAAAAACAAAATTAATTCTCGGGGATTTTCCCACGTTGTTTGTATGGAAGGGGATCCATTTAAATTCCATTCACTCCTCTCCTTTGTTTCCCTGGAGACCCTCACGATTAATTTGTGTAAAGATATCGGTTTCAGTAATTAGCGAGCTAATTAGTTCTAATTAACCATATTACAAATGCCTTTTTCAGAAATTAAAATAATTGACAGGATAACTCTCCTCATTTAACACATACGAAACAACCCCAGCTGACGGATAAAACAACGGTTAAAGTAACGGTATGTTCACTGATATGGCTTTTGGATTTTATCTTTTTATCTCTTCGTTTCATGTGTCTGTTTCCTTTTTAAATTTATAATGGTTTACAAAATGACTGATAATTATTCGGTTCACAGGTATTGAAAATGAGCAGAGAAATACTGATCTCATTTTGTGTTCTCCATTTTTTTAGGCTCTGGTAAACTTAAAAAAAAAACTGCCAAGCCATCTTAATCACCAAACTTCCTGATTTACAGGTGACATTGGGTAAATTCAAGAATGATCACTTCCTGAAATTATCTTGCTTGAGGCTTGCAATGGCCTCTGTAAATATTTTGACATGACAGTAGTCAGGGAGCAGATACAGAAAAAATTAAGTTTCGTTCCATCATCGCCACAGAAAAGGTCTGACACTTGATTTTGGCCGAGAAAGACCTCCTGATCATATGAGGTAGTTCGTACAGTGGAATTGTGGTATACTTTAGTTCCATAAAAACGCGACAAAAAAAAAAACGTGGCGAATATCTAGTCATCTTGACTGAACCAGTGGTCAATAAAGGATTTATTATATAACAAATAGATTTCGCTTATTAAGAATCAAGAATGACCTGTTAATTTCGAGAATCGGGAGAGAAAGCCAACCATGTTTATAGCACAATAAACCCACGAGAGCTTTATGATTTGTGTATTTTGACTGTCCACCGCTGCTTTTTGCATCTCCATCGCAAACATTTTCCAAAACTTACACACTTTGTAAGTCCGCTCCACGCAACTTTTTTTCTTGCGCGGGATGAAATCGGGTAATCCATAACGGGCAAGATGGGCTTATGTTACTCGCGCGGGTAGCCAATCAGCACACAGATTCGCCTCATATTGCGCTGTCAGCGATAATATAAACCAACGTAGCAATCAAATGGAAGAATCGTAAAAGTGCACGAGATGCTTACGTAACAATCCATTGAAAGAGAATTCTAAAAGGCCGCGAGATATATACATATACCAATCCAATGAAAGAGAATTCTAAAATCGTATTTGCTTATCCATTGGGAGCTAAAAGGCTAATGTAGATCTCAGTCTCGTTTTCATGCTAAAATATTAACGCGTGACAAAAGAGCCCAGTATTTTGAAACGTATACCACATTTTAACTTTTCGAACAACCTCACATCGAACAGGATGTCTTTCTCTACCAGAGTGAATTGTCAGGCCATTTGACAGACAAGGAGAAAGGGTTGCAGTCAAGAATAGCACATGGACATCACCGTATGTTGTCAAAGAATTACATCAGAACTTACTGAAAAGGCCATGAACTATAACCTGGTAAGCTCTACCGTGTTACTGTAAAGGACATAGCAGAATGGTGGGCGATGGTTGGACGAAACTCAGTATTTCCAGTTTCTGCTCCCTGACTACAGCCGAAGGCGAAGTGAATATTAGATTATTCAACAATGTTCACTGAGCCTAAGGCGAATAATTGTTGTAGTATAATTGCTCAGATCCTTTCGAATTCTGTTGTAAATAAAGAGAGAATTGCGCATATTTTGTTACAGTTGTGGCGATTACCTGTAACAAAATAAGCAAGGAAGTTTTAGCAGGTTTATTTCATTAATCAGCAAAAACTTCATATCTTTCTTTTGAAACGTGTTTCGAACAAACTGGGTAGCACATTTTGTGTTCTACGTAATTGAATTTCTTCTATCGCGTTTGTCACTTCCTCAGAAACATGACAGAACGTGAGGCAGCCATTTTGAGATTTAGGGAACCTGGTATAATCACCTCGCGCGAGGTGATTACAGCGAGATATGACACAATATTCGACCAATTAGAGCGCGTTCATCTCTATAATCAATGAAGCAGTTACACAAAAATATAAACATCATATATTTGAGCTGCGGTTAAATTGTAGGCATATGTCTACAAGCTACACCCAGTCACTTATTGTGCCTACTGCCTCCAGCATTTGTCTGTCAAAGCACTCATACACTTTTTAGTTTCATCAAAAACTGACTTATATCGTTAAATTATAGCACGCCATTCGACCTGCTCCGTCGGGAAAATCTAAAAGATCATTAAAAGCGGCCAATTGTGACCTAGATGTCAAAGTACAGTGGATTTTCCTTGGCAGTTAAACTAAGAAACAATTTTTACTTACTTTCCAATTCTACTCATGGCGTCATAGAAACGCAGTAGAGTTTACCAGGTTATGATTTATTTCCTTTTCAGTGGGTTTTTATGTTATTCATGAACATCATATTGTGATGTTCATTTCAGCCATGTGCTATTCTTGATTGCCATCTTCTCCCTGTCCACGCGCAAACGCCTGCCGCCAGCAAAGTAATCGCAGACACCGCCTACCACCACGCCTCTGTGTGGTCTCTCCTTTCGGCCAAACGAACGCAACATTGCAACGCAACATCTTGCAACATTGTAGGATCGTTTTGTTAGACGTTGTAAAGGAGCTGGCCAAACGTGCACAACATCTTGCAACATCCCGCCAAAAATGTTGCAACAAACTTTGACCATCTTCAAACTTGATCCAACACCATTCTACATCTTGCCAAATGGTGTGTTATGAGTAATCGTGTAAATATAAGCTTCTAGAAACCTCCAGACTGCTTAGTCATGCTGACACTTTCACTATAGAACTTTCTAGAACATTTCATCAAGTCACGCACTAAAATAGTTCTTTTGTAAGCTTCTGGAATTGTTCCAGAACACTTTATAAATGTATATAAGGACTCATTATGTTGTGGTAGTTTTTGTTGTCGGGAGTGACCGACTGTGTAGAGAGCTATACCGTGAGAGAGAGCGTTGGTGGGAGATTGCTAATTTTAAGAAACGTTCAAAAAGTTAAGTGTATATGCACAATAAACTTGACTTAGAACTTGACTTGAACATGTCGCGTGCAACAACGATGTAAGATGTTGCGTTGAAAAATGCGTGCGTTTGGCCGGGCCTTGGTGTGACATTTCAGCGAAGTGTCCCAGGCATCACCTACTACCACGCCTCTGTGTGTTACAGATGGATGGAAGTCGGTGATTTAAAAAATATTTTAAGATAATTCAATAAGCCTGGAAACAAGTTTTTTGCAAATGTTTGTAATATCACAGGCAATTACTTGCGTCATTCCATAATCCCTCGTTCACAAATGATCACGGAATATCTTTTCTGAGAAATCCATCCGGATATCGTAGATATCACCCTCTCCCCCATCAAAACAAATACTTAAAGGGCGAAACAGAAGAAAACATCATCTAGGGCAGAAGCTTTCTGTACTTCTTTGTTTTACAAAAATTGTCATAGAAAGCTGCGCTAATCACTGTGACAAAAACTAAATTCTTCTCCCACATTTTAATTTGGGGACAATGGAAGTAAATTATTCAGACCTCTCCCCTGGGGATATTTTGACGCACGTGCTTCAACAAACGCTGCCATCTTGAATGGCAACTGCTTCTGATCAATGCGACATAAAAGTCAGTATTTAATGTGACATACGGCCCGTTGTTCATTTTCATTCAAGGGCGATTCAACAACGCTATGGCTGACTATCTGATAGCTGGCGGCACAGGTTATGTGCCTCAAGACGGAATGACTGCCATGCAGTTATTTGGTTGTGGCGAAGGTTTAACTTACAAGTAAGTGAAATAAATCAAATTTTGCAAGGGAAATTTTTTTTCTTTTCTCGTTATTGTGGCACAGGCAAGGCTTCAGTTGGTTTAATTTTCTGAAATTTTCTATGGACAGTATCGCGTGTGGCACTACGTGAAAACGAATTTTTACGACGCACGCCTTACTTTCAAATTGCGGAAACATTCACGAGGAAGTTTGATCAAACCGCCTTATACGTCGCTTCGCCTTCGCATCAACATAATCTGAATTTTAAACGCAAGGATTCTACTTCAGCACTTGAATACATTTACCTATGTGAAAAATTTTCCGAGGCTTCCCCATCAGAATTTCCTAAAACCTTTCACAATCTTGTGATTGGAAACCGATTGAAGGTTTTCGATTTTCTTATTTGCTCATCAAAGGCATGTCATACACGAATATACAACTGATTTTTTTCTTTTAGTCTTATTTTATTTTAGGTTTTGAAAAAACCGCTAATATTGTAATGATGTTTTGAAACGGTGTGGTGTTAGAAATTCCTTACTTGGTTACATAGGTAGAGAACAAAAGATGAAGTTATCCTTCAGGCGTTTTTGTGTTCGATGTTTTGGTGGATTTTTCAGTCAACAGCCAATCTTCGTCTCTAAGAGTACTGAGATAACTCAATCTAAAATCTGATTTCTGTATTCACGGCAAAAAATAATTATATTATTCCGGTAGAAAGGACTCAAGGTTCGTTCTTAAAATTTCTTGACTTTAGAGAGAATTTATAAATATTTTTTGTTTTGAGGCAAATAGATTTATGTTGCTGACGATGTAATTTATATGCTGAGTCATGCGAAAAAGTTGTTCAGCTTGTCAACAACAATTTTTTGCCATGACCAAGTTAGTTTGGTATTAAAGCATCTCGGTCTTCTTCAAACAAATATTTTATGAGGACAACATGAACCTTTGTGGCTAACGCTTTCAGGGCAGGTGAAGTCAGATTGGTTCCCGTTAATTGGCAATTCAGATTATTTCTTAAATAGTAATATGAGCTGAAGGGCCCTTATTTCCTTAGTATGAGAATTGAAAACATTTCTTATCTGGTCAGGCTGTTAAAAAGTTTGTCAATAGAAGGCTCTAGAAAACCCCTATCCAGCTGATCAACACAAGAATTATCCCGATTATAGCATTAGCAACTTGTCAGACAATCAGCCCTATATGGTCTGTTGACTTGGTAACATGCAGATTGTCTGTATTTGCAAAAAAAAAGGAAAGAAAGAAAGCAATAATTCAAGAGGCTGTCAGCTTTACCTTCCCCTTATTGGTCTGTGGATGGGTGTATCTCAGGGTGGGAAGGTGGGTGTATCTTAGGGTGGAAGGGTGGGTGTGTCTGAGGGTGGAAGGGTGGGGGTGGTTGAAAGATACTATAAACTTCAAAGGTACAAAAAAGGTACCCATGGATGAACAGATTAAGATCCAAATGATAAAGTGGCAAACCCCCTAGCTTCAACTTCCCCCATTTTTTTTTTTATGAAATAGTTTAGATGTTAATGAACTATCATATTTTCTCCTGTTCCCAAAGCATGATATCTTAATTAAAAACTTTCAAAATCTAGACTTTTTATCTTTACATTTAAAGATCACAGTGATGTCATTGTAACCAGCTTTATTAATATGATATTTTCCTTCTTCATGAAGGGCTCTATCACTAACCAACATTACCACATCAAAATTAAACAATTTTCTTTTGATAGAGAGAGAGAGAGGAGATAATTTTTTTATTGACCCCTTCACTGCTTGTATGACAAACTTGTTAGGTCACATAATTTGCGGTTGGTGTGTCTAAATGACGTACTCAGTATGTTGTAAGTTAAAGAGTGAAAGTCAAGTCCCCTTCATTGGAGATGTAAAATAACCTGGCATCTTAAACTCAAAACAAGTTCAAATTCTGGAAAAAAAATGAGTCAATTTTCAGTGGCACATGACTTCTCAGTGGATTTGGCAGTTAAGAATTTGTATTTACTTTGGATGGTGATGGTAGCATTTTTGTTGGCTTATTTTATGTGCAGGTAATCTTAGCATCAAATTTCCACAAGGTGTTTCAAAAAAAGTTTCTTTGATACAAACTAAAATTTTATTTCTGAAGACAATTTTATATTTTTCGTCACCTTTTGGAGAACACAAAAAAGCCTAATAGATTTTTTTTTTCCTTTTTCATCAGTGACTTCATAATTCTTCCAGGCTTCATTGACTTTTGTGCAGATGAAGTGGTAAGAAGTTTCTGCTTGTGCTTTTTGTACAGTAATTTTGATTCAGTTTGTTTTTGACAATGTTTGCTGATCATGATGTTCACTAGTAGTTCATTTGTTAAGAAGTTGGAGATGTCTTGAAGTTCAGTGTTGTAAGAATAATGAAACTATTTTTGTATCTTATATCATGTGGTGATGTGCAGTAAAAAATGAAATAGATCAAGCCCTCTGTTTTGTGTTTTAAAAAATTTTAGGATATGAGGTTTTTCTGGATGGCTGTAGTTTTACACTGAAAAACAAAAGGACATTTTCAACTCATAGATAAGGGTTCATCTTGCAGGACTTGACCTCTGCTTTGAGTAAAAAGATCACTTTGAAGACACCACTTGTCAGCTCTCCAATGGACACCGTCACAGGTTTGATTTGTCAATTATGGACTTGATATCTCTCACATGTGTATGGTTACACATCAGGTCACAAAAAAACCTGTATTTGTAAGTGTAGATTACATGCATGTACATAACTTTTTTTGGCTGAAAGAGTTAAATGTTGTAAGAAACACTTAGTTAAGACATCTTTACTATTTAGCATTAGCTTGGAAGTAACCTTTACCTTAAGATTCTTTTTTGTCAAGCAGAGGTAAATTGAAGAGTTAGTAAGAGCAATGAATGTTATTCTAAACTTTTGCCTTAACTTATTTTCTGCCAAATTGAAGTTAATAACCTACTTACATATTCTAAACAAACAGTCTTTTAACTTGTGTGAGTTATCAAGAAAACTGTATTTTCCAAAAAAAAATTATGAGTTAGTAATTCATTCTTATCTACCTAAGGCATGAACTCCCCAGTGATACTTTTTGTCAGATTTTTGGATAGTGTGTGTTATCTTCGTAATCACTTTGTAATTTGTGTTTTTCCTCAGAATCGTCCATGGCAATAGCAATGGCTGTGAGTATGTTATGTTGTTGTGGATGGTTTACTTAAATTTAGGAGAATTTCCTTTAAACCCAATTGAGCAATTGTGAATGAATCAGTGATTTCCACAGTATTTCACTTTTGGCCAACAAAAAATTCCCATCCCATCCTTGGTACAGCCACTTTTTTTTTACTTGTCTGGTTCCATAAAATAATTAGTTAAAATGTTCTTTTTTGTTTCAAGTCCTACCATGTAAAGTTTCTTCTCTGAATATGAGTTACTATTTACCTCTCTTTGAAAAGAAAATTATTGCCTGCAAATTCATTTCTGGTCATGAAAAACTTTTTTCTTTTTTTTGGGAGGGCTTGTGTTTCTTGTTTTAGTACTGAACAGTTAGTTGTGATGCATTTTGTGTTCTAAATTGTGATTAAAGTAAAGTAAACTTCATCCTTAATTAAAGTGGAAATCTCAATTTTAATTATCCACATGATTGTTCAGAAAGTGAGCATGTATTTGAAAGAGATCATATCTGTTTTTCAGCTGAATGGTGGAATTGGGATAATCCATCACAATTGTTCTACAGAATTTCAAGCTAACGAAGTCAGGAAAGTAAAGAAGTTTGAGCAGGGTTTTATTCTGGATCCATTAGTTCTCAGTCCAGAAAACTGTGTTGGTGATGTCCTGGCAGCAAAGTCAAAACATGGCTTTTCTGGGATACCCATAACAGGTGATTCAGTCCCCAGTCTTGTTAAAGCATCTAAAGATAGTTTTTCAACAAGTGACTTCATAGTTAATTTGTCATCGTAAGAAGGACATCTGCATTTTGTGTTTTTCTTGAGGAGTTGCTTACATTATATTGTCTAATACTACCTAGACTAAGGAATTTTGCTATCAAGAAAGTGGGCAGTGACACTGAAGCAATTACGGTCTACTTAATAAATACAGTCATGTGACTGATATGTAATGTCAAATATTAGTTAACTGCTTGGGTTCAGCCTCTTTGGGTACAATGTTCTTCTATAGTGTACTGCATATTGCACATGTTTTTAAAGTTCTTTCATTTAAGTAGCCTTTAAGAGCTGATACAATTTAGTTGAATCTGATTGAAATCATTCCTAGGAGTGATTCAAAAGGAATTTCCTCTGATTGAAGATCTGAATATAAATTCTCTTCACTGCTTACTAAACAATTCCTAGAACCTTAGCTTTTAGAATTTGGATTTAAACTAAACAATGACTCCTCTCCCCACATCCCTTTTTTTTGTACCCTCCTCATTACCTTTCTGCTTGAAAGCATTTCAATGTTGAAAGGAGAAATTAATTTTTGTCACTGCTGGGAGTGAAGAGTTACATCCCTTAGATCCAAGACAAGAAGTTGTACAATGAAGTGTTTTTGTGATTGAAAGCATGATTTGAATACATTTCTTTTAGAACAAGGTCTTTGCAATGTTATAGTAAATTTATTGTTCAGAGTGATTGATTTTCTTATTATCATCCATTATAGAAAATGGTCAGATGGGTGGGGTTTTGGTTGGCATTGTTACCTCCAGAGACATTGATTTTGCTCATGAACCTGACATGTCAAGACCCATCAAGGAGGTGAGTCTAATGTAAAGTTTATGAAGAACCTTGCATCAGCAACAGGAGTGGAAATAGCAATGGTGACTGCATCAATAACAGCTTGAGTTGTCTCAAAATTGCAATTGACAGCAATTTCAGTTAAAATTGTTACTTATTCAGTGCATTTTTTTTTCTGGACTGTTAATTACATGTAGAACCATTAAATACTAGAACCATTGTTTTAAAATATGAATTCTCGATCTCAGAATATAAGATAATTTGGAAGCTATGTAGAAGTTTTCAGATAGGATCAATTAAACAAATAGATTCAATTGTGCAGCAGATGTACATTTGTTAAGTATTGGATGACAGGAGATGTCAAAATGTGGTAAGTGACACACAAGGCACAGCTGAGTGTGTCACCAATGTCACTAATGTGATCTAAGCAATTCTCCAATAGATCTAAGTAAGAGCCGATCAAAATGCAAACATTTCATTTCTGAATTTGAAGGTGATGACTCCTCGTGAAGAGCTGGTTGTAGCTAAAGATGGTGTGACGCTTCAAGAAGCCAATGGCATTTTACAAAGGAGCAAGAAAGGTTAGCCTTTTTTTTGTTATCTTTGTTCTAATTTATATATTCTGGTTATTGTAATTTTTATGTCAGTCTCTTCCAACTTCCCATTTCAAATTACTTAATTACCCTCACATATGCTACAAATTAAGATACACGTGTTCATCACTTGTGTTCCAGGAAAGCTTCCTATTGTTAATGAAAAGGGACAGTTAGTCTCATTGATTGCCAGGACAGATCTCAAGAAGAACAGGAATTTTCCTCTTGCTTCTAAAGATGCTAACAAACAGCTGTTAGGTATGCAAGGTACTACATTTTTATGCATGAAAAAACTGTGCCATCTGGGTTGGGTTTAATCCTTTCACTCTCAGAATCGATTAACATGTAACTTCTACCTGAAATATCCATACATTATCCATCAAATGAAAATCCTCCTAACTACCAGGTAGAAGTTGTGATGAATCTTGATCCAACACCAACTTCTTGTGACAAATTTGCAGGAAAATGTATAGCAGAAAGATTGGAGAACTAAAAGTCAGATCTTGGGAATTCAAGGGTTAATCTTGTTTTTATATTCTTGTTCAGAAATTTGTGGCCTGTATGTTGTGTGTCAGAACTTCAGAGTCATTTAATGTTTTTTCTTAAATAGTTGGTGCAGCCATTGGTACTCGAGATGAAGACAAGGAGAGGCTAGAAGCCTTGGTTCAAAGTGGGTTGGATGTGGTTGTTATTGATTCCTCTCAAGGAAATTCTATCTTCCAGCTGAATATGATCAGGTGAAGATATTCACTGCTACATAATTAGGGCATACATACATGTATACTGAAGGAAAAACATTCTGTCTGTACTGTTTTGCAAAACAGCCCTCATCATTTCATTCTGTGGGGAATTTTCTATTTGTAATGCATACTTCCACTGGTGTCAGTTTTCAGATGGTGAGATGTAATTGTGAGATAACACAGTGTGTCAGATTCTGCTTTCTTTCCTTTTTAAATGAAGTAGTGTTCATACTGTATGCCACATCTGTTCAGTGATCTCAAGATATTCAATCTGTCTTTGGATTGGCTATTAGTTGTCAGAATCAGTACACTCCAGCCAGCAGGTGATGGAAAAATCAGTTGGTTAAATGAACACTCAATAATTTCTAGTTTCACTTTTTAGAACTGTTATGTCATTTATTTCATTTCCAAATTGTGCCACTTTGATTTATGATAATCCATTCAGATTCTACACAGGAATATTTAGAACTTTCTCTAGTTAAACATTTTTATAAAATTAATATAACTTTTTCACTTGATTGGTTTTTGGAGACTGTAAAAGTGATGGTGATAATGACAACAAGAGCAATTAATATTGTGGTGAGAGGCAATTGTACTAGATAATTATTATATAATTATTGAATTGGATGATTCAAAGACCTTGATGAATTGGAATATCACAAAACCTCATACGGTAATTGCTTGTTATTATGACAAAATGCAAGAGGCTAAAAAAGAGATAATTATAATTAAAAATATTATATATAATGATCTCAACTAGATTGTCAAAGACAAGCCACAACAATATTTCTTTAAAAGTAGTTTACAATTCAGATCTGTTATTTTTTTAAAGTTTTTACAAAATTGCTGGTTTGTCGGATGCAAAGTGACAAAGCATAGTAGAAGAGTTTGAAAATTATACCTTTTAACTGAAACTAGCCTCAAAATTAAATTTGATGTAAATGGGGTCTGTTTGACTGGAAAACATCATATCTTCAGGTAGTGCAGTGTTCTCCTTTTCAGGAAGTAGCCAAAAAAATTTTCCATTTCTATTACCTCTTACTACTGCCTAAAATCACTTGCAGTTCTTGAAAATTCAACTGGTTAAGGAATTGCTTTACCAGTTTGAAAATTTATTTTATCGGTCTCACTTAAGATAAGGGAGAAGACTGTAGTGTGAAATACCTTTAATCATATTTCATTTTTCCTTTATCAGATATATAAAGGAAAAGTATGCAGATCTCCAAGTAGTTGGTGGTAATGTTGTGACAGCAGCCCAAGCAAAAAACCTGATTGATGCTGGAGTTGATGGACTTAGGGTTGGTATGGGAAGTGGCTCTATCTGTATTACACAGGAAGTCATGGCAGTCGGCAGACCACAGGGAACTGCAGTGTTTAAAGTGGCAGAGTACGCCCGCCGGTTTGGAGTCCCTGTGATTGCAGATGGTGGTATCCGAGATGTGGGGCACATTTCAAAGGCTCTTAGTTTGGGAGCTTCAACAGGTTGGATGACATGAGTTTTTTTTCTGTTATATCCCCCACACATACTTTTTGTGCCAAGGACCTTTTTTTTAAATTAGTATCCTTTCTCATAAGGCAGGTATATCTTTTTTGGTATTAAATACAGTATCACTCAAATGTAGTGGTAAGTTGACATTCTTGATCTAAAAGTTGAAATTAAGCTAGAAAAAAAAACATGACTCAGGCTCACAAACTTAGGTCAAATAGAAAAGAATCCTCATAAATAATGAAAATCTTTGCTGAAGATGGCTTTAAGATAATTATGCTGTAAGGGCATTATCAAGTTCCTAAGAAGATGTAATGACTTGTAGTCACTTAATAATAGAGCCATTGTGTGATGGGTTAGCAATAGAAAACACAGTGTTAAACAAACAGAACCGCATGGATCTCACTCTGCTACTCTAAGAAATCAATTGTTCTGCTATCAAAGAATGCAAAGTACATGTTATGTCCATAGTAGTACTTTCCAAGGATAATTTGCACTCTCTCTGTGGAATTTAAAACATACATTGTCAACAAGGTGTTCTGTATCTCCAGATGTGCAGTGAGATATTTTGTCAATTTGGTTTATAGTTATGATGGGATCATTATTAGCTGGAACTACTGAAGCCCCAGGAGAATACTTCTTTGCTGATGGTGTTCGGCTTAAAAAGTACAGAGGTGAGAGTCAGTGTTGTCTTTAGTGTACTGGACTGACAGCTCAAGGGCATAGTTGTGTTCCAAATTTACAAGTAATTGAAAAAACAAAATGCGCCAGAAAAAGTGTGAAGTGACAAAATAAATGTCTTTGTTTTTTCAAAACTGACAATAACTACATTTTTGTCTTGATGTCTTGAAACTCAGTGCACACAATGTTATGGAGTACAAATGTGAAAAAATGGAAAAAAAAAGCAAATACATATGTGGCATAAATTCTAAAGAATAAAAAATTATGTAAGAGGCTCCCAAGATGACTTCAGGACCACAGTGATTAAGACCAATTGAATAGTGTGTTGGGGTGGGGTGGGGGAGATGGGGAAAGACAGAATTTGATTGAAGGACTCCTGGGCAAATGTAACAGGTAAGTAAAAACAGGTCAAAGTTGAGGCACACAGTTGGATTGTTGTGCCCAGTTCTTAAGAGCTTTCATAAAAGAAAACTTGTAAATGTCATTTGAAGGCAAAACTAGGTCAGTTTACCTTGTAATCTCAGCCTTGCTACAATGCAGCCCTCTTTTAGGTCAATTCTTTCATTGGCGTAATATTCTTTGGAAACCAGAAGAACCCAATAGTTTGGAGACCATTTCAGAAATAGAGTTCACCTTAATTAATACTTTCAGTGGTGTTTTTTCATCAGGAATGGGTTCATTAAGTGCCATGGAGAATCAGGGTGGAGCACAAAGATATTTCAGGTAATGTTACTGCAGTTACATAGCAACTTTGGGGCCAGAGGGAAGCTACAGATTATACAAGGTGTTTCTAGACTGCTTTAATAACATACTCTGTTTATTTAAAGCTGATGCATTGAGTGGGTAAATTAAAGTGAATTCTTTGTTTTGATTGGCTAAATAACACACAACAACCTGTTTTGATTCTGATAATTAAAAAGAGTGCTCTTGTTGACATACTTTGCAACTTCTTGGCAACAACAGAGTCACTCATGTTTCTTAAGATCCTTAATTCTTTTTAAAGATTATTGGCCCTTGGTGGTGTTCTCTCAGGTGTTTGCCAACTGGGAGTATTTGTAGTTTGCTGTTTTGCCATTAAAATACAGATACAAGGAAATTCAGGAATACCAGTTGTGAAAAGATCAGCAATGCTTAATCATCAACTAATATTGATTTGATAATTGTTTTTAGTGAGCATGACAAGGTAAAAGTTGCTCAAGGAGTGTCTGGCTCTGTAGCAGACAAAGGATCTATTCACAGATTTGCTCCATATCTTTATACTGGGATTCAACACAGCTGCCAGGACTTGGGAGCAAAGAGTCTTACTCAACTCAGGTTGGTTTCAGTGAAAAAATGCACAATACTGTAAATTTATACATCCCACATAGAGTGTGGAATTCCTTAAAAATCGTATGAATTCTTGACCAAGTAAAAGAGAAGAAAATAGCAATTTTACTTTGCCACAAATAATTTCAAGTAGAGTAAATATGTAGATTTAGCCAAGCCTAAAAGTGGAGCTTGCATTTTTTTTCCTGCATGTCTCGTCCACAAAACTAAAGCCCCTACTATGGATAACATGTGTATATTAATGGCTTTTCATTCACAACTTCTCTGTGTCTGTGTAGAGAACTGATTCTATTATAGATGCTATAGGGTTAAATTTTTAAGTCAATAGGCAATTTTTGGGGGTCTCCATAAAAAAGCTTGTAGCGAGAGGTTAAAAATTTTCAAAAACAGGAAAGAAAATTGTGTAAACTGTTGAAAAGTTTTCCCAACATTAATTTATGCAACAAGAAAATGTAAATCAATCTCGAACCCAGAGTCTCCTCAGCTATGTACAAGTGTTGCGCACATGTTATGCTCAAACATCTGCTGAACAAGAGTAAATCTATGGCGTTGATGTGCCCGCGGTACAGTTGGCTGTGTATGCTAAAAGTAGCACCTTGTACATATGGTCGCACGGTCGTAAGTCCAAATTTTTTTGGCTTGATGGGTTACTAACTATTTCGTATAATTATGGGGCTATTCTGCACGCTGTGAGTTCCACTACAAGCTTATCGGCTACATGCATGCAAATGTGCTCCCCTTTTGGGGACAGGCCTCAGAAGAAATTCCAGATTGTCTGACCAAGATAGCATTAAACAGTAACAAAATTAGTAGTTGGGTGAGAATGGAGTTTGAAGTTGCTTCATGAGATGTTTTTTTCCTATCTGATATCAGGTAGATGGAAGCCATTTAAATCATGGTACATATGAGTAGATTACTATGCTATTAGAGGGTTTACTTTTGGCCTTTTTATGGTAATATCACCTTTAGATTCTGTCTCCAGTTCAGTTTGGTTATTTTTCAAACTGTATGTTCTTTCTTATTTGGTGTAGAGCCATGATGTACTCTGGTGAGCTCAAATTTGAAAAGAGGTCAACATCAGCCCAGATAGAAGGAGGAGTTCATGGACTTCATTCGTAAGAATATGCATTATAGTTTTTTTTTGTAATAAAATTCACCATAATCACTTTGTTGGTTCAGCTCTAACAGGTTTAATGTCTGAGCTTCAGCTGTAAATTTCCTATCTCATGCTCTTCTTAACTGCAATATCATCACCATGAATTAATAGACCTTGGATTTACTAATTGATCAATAGAATCAATAAACAAGCAACACAAGGCTATGTGTCAGTAGTCTAGTCATGCCTTTGATTGGTACAATTTGAAGAGTTTTTTTGAAATTATTGCAAAAGAGCATCCTCAGTGTTTTTGCTGTGATTTTACTTTGGTTTTGTTACTGATATGGTGGAAACTCAAGAGGGAATCATAGGCTTTGTCTATTCTTTCAATATCTTTGTTCCACATAAATTGAGGGCTCTATTGAGCCTTAACACCTTAACACTAATATCAATTATTTTATACATCAATCAATTTGAAACTGTAACTCCCCCCTCCCTAGGCAACCCCAGGCATTTGAAGTTTTGAAAATTGGTCTGCTCAAATTCCCTCCCCCAGATCCTTAATTGTGTTCAAATACCCCACCTAGGTGCCAGATTTGATTGTCAATTCCTTTTGTAATAGGCTGAATTAGCAACTATGACTTTCTTATAAACACTTTTTCCTGAGCCACTTGCTCACAAAAGTGAACTTTTTACCTTTTGTCACCTCTTCACAGCTTCATTAGTTTAAATTACAATCAATAAATAACTGCCACAAACAGCAAAAAGGCTCAATTGGCATCAAGTAATCATGCCCTCTTGATTACCAAAAAGTTTTCTCATGATTAAGAAAAATGCCCTCTGTTTCAGCCAATCAGTATTCAGCAATTTTGCCCTGCATGTGATAAAAAGATAAAACACATTCATTCTGTTGGAGAGACTTGACAGTTCCAGTTCAAATTCCCTATCCCACATAGGCAAGGTTTAAATTCCCACCCCACAGATGATGGTCAAATGCCTGTGAGTTGCCCAGGAGGTTGTTTAAGTTTCAAATTGATTGGTGCATTATTTTCCACATTATTATCTCTATTTTTTCTTATGGTACAGACATGGAGAATTTTTTTGACAACCTGAAGCCTCTTGAATTGGTGATCATTTCCTTTATTTTCATGTCCATTTTATTTGATTTAAGGGTTATACTGTAAGGTGAAATTAGAGGCCAGTCACTCCAAGAGAGAAAAAGGGTCAAACCAACCTAATCTGACAAATTTTCATGGTCTACCAGTGATCATATCGCATCAGCATCACACTCTCCATACTGTTCATTTTTCAGGTATGAGAAGAGACTCTTCTGAACTACAAGACTCAAGCCATGCACACAAAGATCATTCAATTAACCTGTGCAACAATCCTCAAATGATGCTGATTAGAGATTTGTAAATATCACAAAGAAGAAATTAAATTATCGAATTATGTTTAAGTAGATGATCATAGGTCATTATCATGCACCTGATGTTTATTTTGGGGGATTTCAAAAGCAGTAGTCCATTTTTCAGTTATGTGCTTGGTTCAGGCTAAAGGTGACCTTGTTATTATACAAACCTTGCTGCTTTTAAATGCAAATTACTTTGTCATCATGCTAACTAGATACTGGTCTCTATCACAACAAGGTGACCTTCAGCTTCACTCCAAATCAAAGACTTGGCAACTAAGTACACAACTGTAAAATGGCCTATTATGTTGTACCCAGCTGTTTTGTTCTTTTTTTGTTTTTTGCTTTTTGGAAAGCTCAGTAAAATTCTGCCCAATTTTTGAAGAAGAATTGAAATTTTTGCAAGGAAACAAACTGATACGATAGAGATACATATATATATTTTTTAATGAATCCTCCTCTTCCATTCATTTGAATACAACCTGACACAGTCTACATAACAGCAAATCCTTGGTGATTATTACCACAAATTCTCTAGTAAATCCCCAGTGACTTGACTTGACCAAGGTCTTCTGCATCAGTGATTGAATAGTTGACCCAAAAGACTGCAGTTTGCAAAGCAGATTCCTGTTTTGTTCACTGACAGTAAACACAGGCAGCTTGGAATTGTGAAAATTCCCATTATGAACATCAGCTTTGTATGGACAGGTTATGGTGCTATTTAAGTTTTAAAAAACTGTTTTCCTAACCATAATGCTATTACACCACTGCAGAAGATTATTTAACTCTTTATTTCCAAGATGTGATTAACATTTAAACTTCTCTCTTTGACATCCCTATATTATCCAGCAAACAGTTAATGAGAATACTTAAACTTAACAGTTAGAAGTTATGTTGATCTAACTCCACGCTCTTACAAATTTACAAGGGAATGTGTAGCAGCAAGAGGGGAGAATTGTCAATTAGATCTTGGAAATGCAAGGGTTAGGAGCTGGTCTTGGCTTGTGTATTATCAATCCCAGTCATTATCCTTGAGATTATTTTTTTAAACCACATTAGTCACTAGTACAGTCACCCCTCTCAGTTTGCTATTTGTATAAGATAACTACACACAAGTTAGTAGAAAGAAGATATTTTGTCTGCAATCTCATCATTACTTACAATAAAGAGAGCAAGAGAAGATAAGCTCTGCTCATTGAATGCCTTCCCTTGAACATGAGGTAGATTGCATAAAAGCAAAATCTCTAAAACATTGGCTGGACATATGACAATTTCCTCCTTAGTACCCCTCCCCCCTTCCCCTTCCCCTTCCCCTACCCACCTTTTAACCTCACTGCCTAATCCCCAGTGCCGAGCAACATGTTCTTCCTAGTGGTAGAGAGGCATTGGCCTTATCCGGCTGAAAATTTCTCGCCGATATTTATTCAGCTTTTCTAATGCGATTATGAATTTACTTGTGCTTTGTCATAGGTTACTAGATCGTAAATTGTTGATAGAGAATATTTATAGGTTTATTTCATAGATTATTGGAGTTGTTAGCTCATTGCCGCCGCCGAAATTCTTATATAGTTAAAACATTAAGGTTTTTAATTTACATGAAAACCTTTACTTTATTAAATCGTACTTAATCATCTTAATATGCTACTTGTTCGTCTCGCAAGCCTAACCATTTGCTTAATGATGTATATTGTTGTCACTGTTCCTTCCAAAGGAATCTTTTCTTGTTTTGTCAAACATTCTTAATCTACCTGTCTTGTTCTCTGTGATGGTCAATAGGTGTCATTTTCGTTCTAATAATTATTAAAACTATGAAAATCGATTTATGAAGTAACATTGGTACATTTTCCGCCTCTCTCCTCTCAGTTGATGTTTGTTATCTTCATGTCAGATTCAAAGCCGTTTTTAAACAAATGCAATCAAGTGTTTGATCTGCACTACATACTCTTGTTTCAGTGTAATCTTAGTTTTAGGCTTAAAGTTTAAGTCAAGTTTTTTTCGTTTGGCTTGATAAGTGATCGCCACAAATCATTTTATCTTTATTTCCGCCTTTCTATTCACCACGTTTTGAGATTCCAAGTGGCAGCCGAAGTGTTTGGGAATTATCGTTCATTGAGCGAAAGATTCCCGAATATATACGCCAATTACCGAAAATCAGGATTCAAATCTGATGAATTTCGTAAATTTGATTAAATATGTTGTAGAGGTGTTATTAATGAAACACCAGTTTCTCCTGTTGCTGAAAAAAACCCTCCGGCGGGCGTAGCGAATAAATTATCAATTTGTTGATATTTGTTTTCCATTAATTGGTTGTAGTTATTCCACTTCGGCATTAAATTTCCCTTTTTCATGAAGTAGTCTCCCTCCTTGAAAAACGTGGATACTGGGCCGCACCCTACTGGAGTATTCTAAAAGCATAGGCCTGATCACAACCTTGCAGCCAATAACCGTTGTAAGATTCTTTTGATTCTTACCTGCCGCCCTCTCTTCACTGAGGAATCTAGAAATCTTCCAGCGCTATTTCCTCACCTCGCGTAAAGTGTTTCTACAGCTACTGCTGCTTGCCTATAACCATGATCGTAACCCTCCCGATGGCCTCGTAAACACCTCTGTGGTACTGGTAAACCTGTCGTCGGGGTTATCTCCTTGAATGCATTCCTGTTATCCTTTGTTCTCGCATTCTTATCAAGTTCATTTCTGAACTAAGCTTCGTGATCTTCAATAGCAAAACGGGGCGTTCAGGAGAGGAAATGCTGCCGCGAGCATCCAAATTGACTTTTATTCTGAGGGATAAGGTATTCATTATGCAGATGACGCCAGAAAAAAATTTTCCCAGTTAAATCGCAAGTTCAAGTGTGCAGCTGACACATCTTCAGACGACTGCCTACGGGCTCGATTGCACCCCTGAGCCGTAGGCGTCATGAAAGCGACTGGATAAGAACTGGCCGGGTTCTGTTTTGTCCCTCTGCATCTTTCTTTCGGATACAACTGGTTACATCTCAACAATGCATTTCGAGAATATCTTACTCTGCTGCGGGACTTCGCAACGAAATCGCTGCAAGAAGCATTCCATCTTCAAATTTGAAGCAAGTCAAATTTCGACTCGCGGTGTTGAGTGAATGCGTGCTTCCTCTGAATTATCATACCAAACTTCCTGAGAGTGTAATGAAAAATATTTGACTTCCTAAATCGTGTGATCTGACCTGATTTGCCAAAAATTAGTTTTCAGCCCGACCACGTCACGCAACACCCCGTGCAGAGCGTTTTGCGTGACAGGACCAGAGACGCTTGATTCCAATAAACAACAAGAACAACAAAGCAGTCTTTAAAATCATCCTTTTAATAATAGTCTCTCATCGAATCATTCAAGATCCCTAATATACAGATAAGATCCTCTTGAATTATCACAGCAACTGGTAAATAACAATAATATCATTTAATAATTAACTTAGTGACACACATCAAGGCATGACCGTGAAATTTTAAATCATATCTTTTGATAAGTCCTTCACCCTTCCACTGATCTTGGCGTTTTTCAGTTCAGTTCAGTTCAGTTACTATTTCAATGTTTCACACCACAGTAAGCAAACTGTTGGAAATAACTCAGCCTCCTTGAAGTCATAACTGTTCGATAATTTCTCTCAAAAGAACAAAATTATCTGATGTGATGCACGTTTTATTGCTGTAACTGACTCTTTTTTATCAAACCCTTGGCAGAAGTTTAAGTTTTTTTAAATATTGTTCGTTCCTTTCAGCCTCCTCCATAAAAGCATTAAGTAATACATCATAGACATATTTCTTCTTTTTTTTCTTTTTTATGTTAATCAAGTCACTCTGCTGACATAATAATGCATTACTAATTACAAGCTTAACTAACATACAAAACAAAGTGTCCAGTAATTCAACTTTTTCCCTCAAAGTGCCTCTGTTAAATTAAATTAGATTCATAGCTGTTTCTTTTTACAACACTGAAATAGTTTTGAGTGACTTTTAAATTCTTTTATGATCTCGTGAAATTCTGTCAACGGCCATGTTGGGCGTGTACGATAATTAATACTCATTAGGTTTTTTTAACTGTTTGAGGTCACATAATGGGGAGAGCAGAGATAAATTACTTGACATTATATAAAAACATCTGCCTTGGTCTGTACACAAAACTAATCTTCAGGACATCTTTTGTACAAATACACCATCCCTCAGACCTAAAAAAGAACAAGAAATCCATACGACCCATGAAACTAACCTTTCAACTCTCGTAAGTGACTAAGACAGAATTTTCTGCCTAAAATATAAATACTATATCAAGCAGACAAGTGACGAGAATAAATAAAAATATCAATTAGAGGATTACCAGTCGTCCCAATACCAAATTCTCAGAACCAACATGATAAGAATTGTATAGCAGAAAGTAAGGAGAATTACTAATGAGATCTAGAGAATGAAAGGGATAACTCGCTCTTCTTGGTGCACACACTCCTGTGACAGAGATTAATCAAACAAACACTGTACTAACAGAAATACAGACCCTCATATGTTCACTTGCAAATGTTGGACAGAATACACATTTTCATGATTTTGTTTCTTTATGTTGTTTAAAAAGACGAGTATTGGTCCATAAAAAGACACTGAACACCTTTTTTTCCCCTCAAAAGAAAAAGCAATGGGCAGCTCAAAAGATAGCAACTTCATGAACACAGATAAGTTTCCAATTTTAATGTACAAGATGAAAACATTGTGAGGTGGCTGAAATGGCAAGTTAAACATATTCGTGTCATGTTTGCTCTGCTGTATTCTTAACCAAAGCCACATGGTGAGAGAACTCTGTGAGCAGATATAGGAAATATATAGCATAAGAAAAGCAACTTACTGCTCAAATAGTAATTGATAGCTTAGAACAGTCCACAGTCTTTGAGGTTGTTCTTGATAATGACGTCAGTGACAGCATCAAACACAAACTGGATGTTGTTTGTGTCAGTGGCACATGTGAAATGTGTGTAGATCTCCTTGGTGTCTTTTCTTTTGTTCAGATTTTCAAACTGAAGCTGAATGTATGCAGCAGCTTCCTCATACGTGTTTGAGCCTAAAAATGTTGAAGATACAATTCATTGACTTAGCACCAAGCAGATTCAATGAATTATCTTGACCAGAACATGCATGAACTCTTGTTTCCTTATCACCACACAACTCTCTATTCTTTTCCATATTGAACTAACAATTGAGTAGAGTTAACAAACCATTGCATTTATAAATCTTGTAGACAAAGAAAGTAAAGGCAAGTACTGTGTATCTAATCAAATTACTGAAAGTTGTACTGCCGGACACAATGACAAGAACAAATCTTTACCAGTGTATTCAGGAAAGCAGATTGTCAGAGGAGACTTGGTGATTTTCTCTGCAAACAAATCTTTCTTGTTGAGGAAGAGAATAATGGATGTGTCTGTGAACCATTTATTGTTGCAGATGGAATCAAACAGCTTCATGCTTTCCATCATACGGTTCTGCAAAACAGAGACCAGCAGTTTCACAAATTAAGCCAAAAGAATTGAAGCAACAACTACATCTGTTGATCCTTTGATAAACATGTGCTTAGAAACTTACATATTGCACATTCAGTGGTTAACCTCTACAGAGTTACATTCACCTAAGCCATTAACTCAGCTGGCTGGTAATTAGATACCATGACCTTATTGCAATTTTACCATAACAAAAACCTGCCTGTTCATTTAACTCTACACATCAGAAACTTCATATAAACCAAAGATGGGCTAGAAATAACCACATTTCTAAGTATCATCTTCAAGATTAGGGACCTTAAGCAGTCAGGATGGCAATGCCACAAAATTAAAAAAAAGGCATCAATTACCAAAGGAATCTATATTAAAGCTAAAATTTTGCAAATGGCTGGATGTGTTTACCATCCCTTACGGCAACATAACTCAACTTCTGCATAACATTTATCAACAGAGTTGAATTCCATATTGAATTTCAATTAACTTCTTTTCTCAGATCACACACAAAGTTTAGTTTTTCATTAATATTGCACAGAGAACAACTAAGAATTGTACAAAGTTTAAAACACAGATGCTGAGCTATTGTTCTGCCTGTTAGATCTTGTTCTATCATGTCCTTGTTGCCAATCTTGTTTTGGTTCACTAAAAATCCTTATTAGCTAGAAGTAGACACCTGTATGTACATGTATCTTAGCCCTAACTCATGGGATATGAAGTTTACTTATTAACTCCAGCTGCTTAGTATTTTTTTAACTCTTGGGTGAGAGAATGGAACTAAAATCAAGATAAAAACTCTACCAAAAGCATATCCATAACTTTACTGCCTCTTTTCCAGCTAATGTAAGGATTTTTAAAGAAGAATTTAATATGTTTATCACAATTTAAAGTTTGAGTGGAATAACAAACAAAATAAATTTTCTCACCATTTCCTCATCTTCTGCCAGGACCAAATCATAAGCACTCAGTGCCACACAGAAAATTATAGCAGTGACTCCTTCAAAGCAGTGAATCCACTTCTTCCTCTCAGATCTCTGTCCTCCAACATCAAACATTCTACAATTTAACAAAAAAAATATGAGAAATTTAAACCAGTGAATCAGTCAAAACAAGAATGTAAGAAATTACAGACTTCTAAACAAGATTTTCACTGACCATACATTTGGTTAACTATTAAAGAACCCTATCACACTCAAGATCTCAGATGATTCTCATGAGGTTAGTTTGGAGAATTTGGCATTGGATCAACTGATAATCCCATAATTACTTTCTCTTCGTTCTCATCATTTGTCTGCTTGATATTGTATTGTTATTGTAGGGAGAAATTATGTCTTAGTCAATCATAGGAGTTAAAGGGTAACTACCAAGGGAACTTCAGATAAACCCATTACTTGGAGAATACAAAAATCTATAATTTGCAACAAATAAAAAAAAAAATGCAGCTTTGATAAGCAACCTTGATGGAAAAATTGCAAGCGCACCATTGAGAATATGGGAAAGCCCCACGCAGTTTTAAAGACCAACCCCTCAGTATCGAAACTGTGCAGAAGTTTAATTTGTGTAGTCAAGTTTGGTGCCAGATTAATTAGCACAAGATATTGCCAGTTTAGCATTGTCACTTCTCAGTCAGTTTACAATTGGACTGAGCTAACACAGAAAAAGTTTTTTCCAGATGGTGCATTTCATAACCTCTCCATTGACTTATAGCTAATGGTAGTCATGCTTCTTTAGGTGAAAGACACCAGCAAAGGTCCACCATATCCTTAAAGACATGATTTATTTGAATATGTTTACTTACTTGAAGTGGAGATCTTTGAATGTAAAATGAGTCTCCACTATACCAGTGGTTTTCACTCTTGTTCTTAAGACATCCTGCTCTGTGGGGACATAATCTGGTGACCCTAGTCTGTCAAGTGCATTCAGGTAACTATAAATAAGAAAAATATGAAAAAAAAAAATGAAAAACCTGGGTATACACTGTTCAATATCAGTCTAAACAAAAGCTAAAATTTATCAAGAAAGAAAATACTGAGCACAATAAATAAATAAATAAATAAATAAATAAATAAATAAATAAATACTTCCACAAGTAGAGGTTACTTCCCACCTTCAGAGGCTGAAAATATAGATCTTTCTTTTATTTGACTACACTGAATTCAAACATTCAAACTGATGTTTCCTAAAAAAATTTTTCTGAAGTCTTTAAAAGCATCTGGGTTAGTTAGAATCAAAGTGCTCTGTGAGCAAACTTGTGAATTGACACACGATTTTTTGGATTATGTTTAATGTTATCTGGTTTTGGGAATTTTGTGGTTGATTGTCATATCTAGAGTATGAGCAGTAGTTCAGTGTTTGCTAATGTAGCAAAGAAACAAAGTAATGTTGGGATAAGAAGGCATTACAATTGAAATGATCATGCTATTACATTTGACAAGGGTGGATGATGTCGTGTTTTAAACGTATATCATTTTTGTTTCTGGTTCAAAAGAAAAGGTTGGAAGTAAATGTGGGTGAAAAGTGAAATTTACTGTCTATCATTGTAAATATTAGAAAATCAAGGCAATCCTGTCTTAATGAAAACATTAACGATTCCCTTGTTATCAAATGAGACAAACGGGAACGAGTTTTGAGTGATATAACTAAGCCAAGACTGTCACCATCATTTAGAATCTCCGCCTGGGCAGATTTTAGTCTTGTGCTAGGCGACGTACTGAATCAATAACAAGATAGAATTTCATTTCAGGCCTATTTATCAATTTTGTGGTGTATAACTTTCGCATTTTATTATGTAATATGTATTTTGAATCTTCAAATTGTCTTTAAACTTAAAAGAAAATTGTTCTTTAAAAATTCACTGAAAATCGGTAGCTAAAATTGTTTGTTTAGGTGTTATTTGATTTTTGTGTTAACTTGTAATTTCATCAGTCGCCGGCATCTTCTGTTGATTCACACAGGAAAAACACACGATACAAAGCGTAATGATTGATTTTGTTGTCAATCTCACGCCATAACAGAAAAAGCTTTTGAACATCTGTAAACTCTGAGCACTTCGCAGTAACTGATATTTTCAATGAATCTTTGGATTATTTTCAAGTTCAAGGATTGTAAATTACAATTTTATGAAAAACGAAGGTTGTTCTGTTATTTCAGTGTGAATTCTTGCATGCCTGCCAGTCGCTGGCGCCGCTTGTTGAAACTTAAACAAAAAAAAAAAACTCTTTTAAGATTATCATTGGCTTCTTTTTCACCCCACCACTATTCTTAGCAACAAAGGTCGCCATTTCGTTTGTTTATTGCTTGCCAAAAACTATCAAATGCACTCAAAAGCCTAAAATCGAAAAAAAGTTTACAGGAATCGACCAATCAAGCAAGCGAGCGAGTGCTATTCCCCACATCGTACCTACAACTTGCTATTGTGCATGCGCGCAATTCACAAGTTAAAAATATATTTTCAAATATAAGTTAATAAATCAGGAAGGTGTCATAATCTCAGCAGCTGCCTATATTGAGGCTCATTTTCACCTTATTTCTATATTTTGTTTACATCTGGAACTTGACAAAATGTACATGTGGAAGCTCTTTGCTTACAAAAAAAATCTTTGCAAATGGAAAAATCAAAAGAGGAAGGAAGTCGATGGTAAAAAAGAAAAAAAAAACCATGTCTAGAGAGGAAAGAAAGAGTACAATTCTGTCAAGAAAAGAAAAAAATTCCTTTGTGAAAGCAACTGGTATTGGGAGAGCTCCATGCTGGCGTCCAGATTGATTTTGAACAAAGAAGTTGCTGTTAAACTGAAATTTGCCATACATAATGCTAAAAATGAGGTTTCCTTTTCTTTACGCAAGTACCAGCCTTAAAACAAAAACATCAACAATTGACTCAAATCATAATTTTGAAAGCTGTCAACTGTCTTGCTCCTCAGTACATTTTCCAGTTTTTTCATCGATGCCACAGGTTTTTCTTTTGCCTTTGGCACTTTTGCTTATTATTGTGTCATCCTCCTCAGTGCTCCACTGAGTGATCAAGATTAAAAACATGTGTCTGCAATTGGTTACTTTTCCCAGGAAATCTTAATACATTGTCAATGATGCCAGGAGGTCCTGTGTTCCCAATGGTTTGCAGTTTCAGGAGGTGAGATAATCTCCTTGTGTAGCAGGAGTTGTTTGCAAACCTTTTTGAGCTAAAATCTCCCATTTGATTTTAGGAGGAATACAACCTCTTTAAGCAAATTTTTTAGGGTATAGAGATTTGAACAATTTTTGTCAAATTTCACCAAAACATTCCAGGAATAGTGACAAAAGAAAGTATGTTGGGAAATTTTGATATCTGAAGTACTTGTCCTGTGGCATCCATTTACACAGCACACTTGGTGTATTTTTAGCTACCCCAATATCTAAATATATTAGATTTATTATATTTTTAGCTAGGCCAATATCTAAACCACCAATCAGAATACTGAAAAAAATATTTGTTGATTGAAGCCTTGTAAACAAGACTGTAAAGCCATTTTGCTCGTGCTGCAACATCCGATACCCAATGAATTCAACATAAGAACCTTTGATTGTTTCACGCATTACCGGCTCCTGACACTTCCTTAAGAGAAAATTCGCTTAAATTACATTTATATTGTAAACTGCAGTTATTAAGCTTTCTTCTGATGTATAGTTTGCTAGGATTTTAGTAAAACTGGCATTCATACAAATTTTTCCCAAAAAGACTCCTGTGAAGGTAGAAAGTAACCTTAAAGCAACAAGGAAAGAGTATAATGGCACAAACAATCCAAAAAAATCTAAGAAAATGAATGACTACAAATAGGTTTGAAATAGCTTTTCAATTACCGTACAAAGTTTAAAGTGGATGTAAGTCAATTGTCTAACATAAGTTTCAACAAAGAGCAATCTCATGGTATAAAAGTTTTTCAAAATGATCTGTTTCTAATAACCTTTACTTATTGCCATAAACACTGTCGGATAAGCTGCAGTCGCAGATAAGCCGCAATTGAAAGAGATCACAAGTGGAGTATTGAGAAAGTTGCTTTAAGTTGGTAACATCATCAAACGCAAATCCATGTAAACTCACTCACTAGAATACTTTGAATCCTTACCTACAATTTTAGCTTTACGTAAAGAATTTTATAAAAAAACAAGAAATCTTAAGTTTGTTTACCAGGTCATTCAAAGATAATAGCTAAGCATTTGATACAGACTCAGGCATATTTGATGAATAGTAATCATTAATACAAATTTGGGCACTTTTCCAGATATTCTTTCAGATAACACACCCCTGTTTTGGGAAAAAGGTGCAGCTTATAGCCAATGTCTACAGAAATAACAAAAAGATTGTATTGTACATACTATGCTGCAGAGTCATTTAGCTGATATTCTCTTGATCTTGCAAAACAGTTTTGGACTCCATTATCATTCCATAATCTCTTCATGATTGATACAAGTTCTGGTGTGAACTTCACATCCTCCATGCTTCCTGCTAATGCAAAAAGCTCTCTGGCATCATCCTGCAACAAGCAGAGGAAGAAGTTTAAGTCAAGCACATAAACACATCGGTGCTCTTACCTCCCAAGTACCTACAGTACTGCTCGCGCATATGTTAACCAAAAAAACGCAAATAAAATATGCCAAAGATTGCATGCAATTGTGAATAAAAAAATTAGAAGCATAAAAAAATTGCACATGCGCACATAAACTTGATATGTCTGCCTATCAAAAAGCATGAGTTGCAAAAGCTTGGGAATTTATTAAAAATAAATTTTTTCTTAGTGTATCATAATTCAGTAGAATCAGCTAAGGCACCTGTTTACAATCAGTTGTCACATTCTGAAAGCAAAGCCACATGCAAATGCTTATTACATAGCTTTTATCATCAGTGAATATGCTGTTCTCAAAAACTGGTTCATTCATCTGGCCATTTATACAAAAACTAAATAAGTTCTACTTCCTTGTTTTAATGGTGTTGTGTGTATGGTTACCTGTCACATACGACTATGTCTAGTCCTGACTTGCAAATTTTTATAGGAAGCCGGATTTTCTTCTTCTTTTAATATTTGTCAAATCATTGAATGACATTCATCAAGTTGCTCGAAAAAGGGAAGGGAAAGAAATTAAATACCAGATACATGTTTGTTTAAGACTTGCTGGCACGTGCAATTAGGCAATACATCAATACAGCTGTAATTGAACTTGTGCCTGTCAACATGGTAATACAAGACTGGTAAAATTGGCAGCTCCTAAAGGAGCTGCTAGTAGTCCAAGGCTCTTCCTTTGCATTGGACTACAGAAGGAATAACTTTTCAGATGTGGCTAATGTATTTGCAACACTTCGCAGCAGTCACAGATTCCCAGAACCAATAGATGCCTGTGACAAATTTGTCCTTTTTGGTTGAGTTGACAACGCAATGCAAGAACATTTTCAGTTTGTGCCAGAGGAGCGCTATGGGATCCATGTCTGGGCTTTCAGCAAGAGTCAGGCAGTTAGATTGTGATTGTGATTTACTCAAACTTGACCTTTTATCATTGTAATATAATGCGTTCTGCAATCAAACAAATCATCACGTGCCATGCAAAATGAAATTGTTTACATTCTGGTGTGTAAACACTGAAGTGAGTGCCAATTGCAATGAATAAAATAAATCATCATTCACCATCTTAATACATGTAGTACATTTTCCTTCTGATCCTCATTGAGGGTGTTCAAGGTAAGTTTGAAGTTTTGAAGAAATTGTCACCTGTGATGCAAACACCAAACTGTTTGCATTCTGCTGCATAAACATTTGAGCGTTGATGGCAATGAATTAATTAAGAAGCATATTAGTGAGTTTTCGCTTTGTTACCTGCTTAATAACACGTGTTTTGATGCCTTGTGTAAGTGACATTTTCCTTCCCAGCTGATTCATCAACAACTCAAATCAAGCAAGTCTACTGCTACAGCTTGTAATTGATAAATTCGCAAAGCAATGCAATATATGTGTAAATTTCCGATTGTCAACTCATTGCTTTTTGTTTACACAACAATGTAGTACAAAGGAAACTTAGAGCATTGAATAACAAAGGCCAGAGTCACCCTTTTTTTTTCAATTGCATGCAAAAAAAATCATTTATATGCATCTGACTACCTCACATTTAAGCGTATGAAATTTGTCTGCATATTTAACATATATGTGAGCAGTACTGTACATGTTAAGGCTCTCACAAATCTGAGGTGTTATTGTAAACTCTGTAGAGGAAAACGCATTTGCCTAAAAGTTAACATGCTGGACTCCAGGTTAAGAGGTGTGGGTTTGAAATCTGGCCAGGTCATTGTGTTGTGTCCTTTGACAACACAGTTCACCTTAGCAGTACTTTCACTTCCTTTCTTTAACCTCTCCTGGAAGTGGATGGGTTCATCTTTTGGAGGACACATTTGCACATCCACAACCTTTCAATTCATTGATACATCACTAATGATTTTGAACCCTTAAAAGTGACTGGCCACTCATTCATCTTTACAGTATCACCCTCGAGTTAAATGTAACAGTCACAACAATAAAAGAAATGATCAGTAATTTAGGAAGCTCCTGATTGTCAAACAAATTCTCCTTGTCAGCACAGAGGAAATGTAAAGATAACAGTATTGAGACAATACATGCTGCAGGCCATGAAATTGCACCTAATACAGGCGCCAATGTGACTAAATTTTTTACTTTGGCGACCAAATTCTGAAAATTAGTCGCCAAATTGGCGACTAGAATGTTTCATCAGAATCCTACCAAGAGACATAGTGAATTAAAAAGATTTGCAAAGATAATCCCCGTTAAGTTTGTTTCCAAAATGCAGCACTTGAAACTCGATCAATAACTAGACGCCATCCTGGATTTAGGTAAGCTTGAGCATTGTATATCATCCATCCTAATGTTCACTTAGTAGTACGTTAAAGATCTTTTCCCCAACCTAATTTTTGAGGGTCTATCTAGAATGCTGACAGCATACAGAAAGGTTTAGTCTGTCTTTGAAAATGGCAACCAACTTTTTTTGAATTGACTACCACTTTGAAGAATTTAGGAGCTAAGTGGCTATCAGAGAAAAAAAATTAATTTCACGCCCTGTGCTGATGTTAGAGAGTAAAGTGATACAAGTAACTATAAACTTACTGCTCTGTCGCCGTGACCAAATTCAATTTTTAGTGTCCCTAATGCTCTGATAATAGCAATCATGGACTGTATTGTGTTGCTATACACTACTTGTCTGTATTGTGCACATTCTTCTTGAGTATAGCCATGTTCATGAATAATCCTATTAGATGTAAAAAGTAGTTTTAATTATTCATGAACTGTCAATCAGTTACTCAAATTAAGTAACTTATGCTTGGTTAACTGCAGAGGTTAACCAAGAAACCTCTTTCTGTGAATGTTTTAAATATATGCAAGTCAAACTTTACCTTAAGTATGTTTTTTACCATATTTTTTCTCATATTTGCATAATCTTAAATTGCCAAACTTAAAATTTTCCATCTTTCGTGACGTTGTTATTGAACAGAAGCATCACATATTGACTTGCCTACTAAAAGTCTTCTATACCTCAGTGTTAAAACATCTGAATTACTACATGGACGATCAGAAGGTTGTAGAGTTTGACTTCTAATAGATACATTGGGAGTTCTTTTTCTCTGAGTATGGTTGTATCATTCACAGAATAAAACCGTCTTTCAAATTTTACTCACTTCATCTGTTTCACTATGGTACTTTTTCCAGATTCACCAGCACCTGGAAAATAAAAATCAACCTTTTCAATAAAGTATTTCATATTGTTACCTCACATTTTTCCCTACAGGGACTGTCTCATGGTTTTAATTAACAGTTACATCAGTAGCTACTTCTGCTTTTAAAACAATTCAATGACATGTTGATTAAGAATAGTTTTTGTAACTGAGGAATAAATTTTGCAGTTTAAAGACCAATTCTACAGGACAATTTGGGTAAGTTTCATTCTTTTCCCATCAAAGTCCCCTCCCTACATGATAAAAAGCTGATGGTTTCACCATAAACACAGCTTATAACCAACCAATAACCCCATTGAAAAGAAAAGATTGCAAGAAAAGACTAGATTAAATTAATATAAGCATCCATTTGTTGTTTGATAATTATGTCACTTTATCTCTTTCTGGCTTACTAGCTTTTTTTTTTGTACAAGAACATTGAGAAAACTTTGCACGAGATGATTGAGTTATCACTGAATTGGATCAAAAAGCCATAAATATACTCAGAGAAAAATACAGCACAGTAGTTCTAATATACATTACACTTCAAAACTAGATGTCTCTAAAGTTTTATGCTATTAATATTTCACAGAAATTCTTTAAGACACCATAACTCTTCAGCCGGCGTCTCTGGTACTCATTGAATAATCCTTACTGATGTCCACATAATGAAAAACACAATTACTACTGTTAGATAACAGATATGATATGTAGCCAATTAGACTGTGGGATTTCCTTACATGATGGATTTGAGCCGGAAGGCAGATTATGTTTCATGCAACTGCAAAAAGCTTCTGATTGAAAGACATGGGTGGAGAAATACACCACAAAATAAATGGGCTAAACAATCATCCCCTTATGAAGCAAAAGAACTTACAAAAAATATAATAACATAATGGAGACTCTTTTCTGATGCACTAGACAATCATAACTCAACATAAATAGGACACCATTTTTGGCTAGCAAGCAGGCGTGAAATTAAAAGTTATTTAAAAGTACTCCTCCCATGGGGTTTCAGAGACAGACTGAACTGAAATTCGGTTTATTTAAGTACATAAATTTTTTTTATGTGTCTCTTTTTTAATTAATCAATAAATTAACACAGTCACCGTTACATGCAAGACTGAAATTCTTTCTCAAGAGGAGCTTGTAATTAAGTTAAATATGGAATGGTTTCTCGTTGAATTCACAATCTATACATCACTTCTCAAATGATTATCTTCCTTTGTATCAAGGTATACTCTACAACCAAACAAGAGTTTTAAACTATATTCAGCAGGCAATGACCATTACCACAACATAACATCTTTTAAGAAACAGGACTTTCGCATTGAGACTGACAAGTGACACAATAAGCCGTCAATAGACAATAAAGCAAATGCACACATCTTAAGTGTAAATCAATAATTCTAGAAAAAAAAAATTTAAAAATGAAGTTTTAAAGTATTGTGAAATCAAAGAAACCTACTATAGCTTGAATTTGGGATGGTGGTCTATTGGTACTGACTGTCTCTTAGATAGAAAAAAAAAATTCTTAAAAAAAAAATAACCCAATCACATTGCTATCACAAGACAACTGCAGAGTTTCAGAAGAAAAACAGCTTAAATTAAGAGACCAAACAGGATGAACCAATGTACAGTCACGCATGGATCAGTGCAAGATGACATCAAAAGTAGCACGAGTCAGGAGTGCAACTAACAAAAGGATAAAAATGATTTATTACATGACAATAATGAACTAAAAAAAAGGCATTAATGTAATTATACAAGACATATTGATTTACTTTCTCCGGTTTTGATATCACCTTTACATGAGGGCACCAGTTGGCACCTAAGCACCTTTTTCAGTCACTGGATGAAAACTTTTACTATACCAACTTCTGGTAACTTTGAAGAACACTGAATGTAAGATTTTAAGAGATGTTTCTTTGCTTGTGATAAATTAAGACTCCTAAACAATTATCAGTAGAGTGCTCACAGATACAATGAAAAGAATGAGGGCACATTTGCTCATAGTGGCACTGACTAGTGCTAAAGATCAACCTTTGTGACTGTACAACAATCACCTGTTTACAGTTTGGTAGGCCATGTTCTATCCATTCTGTATAATCTCTTTACTCATTCTGAAAATGCATTTTGAAGATTTGGAGACCATGTGGCAAACCTGTGCCCAACAAAGCTCCAGCAAAAAAAAGATGTGCTCTGAGTCCATGAAATGACTGTCCTATGAACTCTTTGAAAACAAGGCCACAATAGAAGGACAATCAGACCAACTTCAATGCCTGTGCAAGCATACAATTGTTCTAGAGGTCAAATTATGTTGATCTTACCTTCATTTTCAACCTAAATAAACATCAAAAGAGTTTACAAATTTCAGCTATACCAAAAACAAGAAACCACTGGGAAGCCTTGCACTTCAATTTGCATTCCATTTTTAATGCACAGCTTAGAGTATATTTCTTGAGTGCAGGCCTAAAAAATTGACAAGATGTCAGGTTCACTGCCTCCTGGTGCCTGGTCTTAAATTTTTCCTCAAAAACCAGCTGGTTGCAATTTCTGACCTGGATTGTGTTTGACCAAGCTCTTCTCTAACAACTGCAGCCTATTTACACGAGCAGCATCCTTGCTAGAGGTGCATGCATCTGTGCTTAGGATATCCAGGTAAGGTAAAAGACAAGAAATCACTTTTTTGCATGAAATATTTCCCACCAACGACTCCACACACCAATTGCATCTGTGAAATCTACTGTCAATGTATGCTCATTGAGTTTTCCTTGTGCACAGTATTCACAACCTAATATTCAGGGTAGAGAATACCGCAGACCAGCATGTGATGTTGGTTAAGTCCTTATCCAGAAAGACTAGAATAATCAATCATTTACTGATTACAGAGGAAGAGAAGCCCCTCTCTCAAGTTGCTTTAATACCTAGAGTGTTCATCCCATTTAGGTAAACCTCATCCTTCCCCATGGCAGTCCAGCACACTCCCAATCAAGCACACCACGCACAGTGGTTTTAATAATTGAATAATTCAAAGTGTGATCTGTGATTTTGGACTATCAAAGCTACAGTAGATTAACTCTACAGTATTGTTCAACAAAAAAGAGCTCCTTTGGTGTCCACACATAACTATAGCCTTGACTTGTGCTCCAATCTCAAAACTTTTTCAAATCAAAGATCCAGAAAGAGAACATGATCTGCACAATCTACACTATGTATATCTACTTTGCATACTAATGAAGGAAGGAACCAATAACTTGAGACAAAAAATATTTCTTTGTTTATTTTGAATATTCACTTTTCCTTATTTATGCAAAACACCTCTGGGAGAAATGCAAATAAAATTGGACTTTCCCATAATTAAATCTAAAATCAGAAATCAGTTAAGTACCCAAATGAAATAAAGCACAAAATTGAGCCCAGTCAGAGGAACTTTTCTCCATTTAACAAACCAGCTTTACAAATTCAATAGCATGTGGTAGAATGTATCGTAACTGCATTGTGTTCCCATAGAAAAAAAAGACTTTTCAGGAGTTGGAGTATGTAAGCTTACAAACTAATAGTAGTGAAAATGTTACCATTCTCTTAGGTAGATACACATGCTGCCAAACTGGACGAGACAGACCATATATCACGTCTGTCAACTATCTCAGACAGAAAAACAAACATTTCCTACATTGAGGTCTTATTTGATTTTCAAAAAATGCACTCAGACTTTGCTGTTTATACAGATCATTGACTGCTTGAAGAAAGTGAGAATATTGTGTTTCTTTAGAGTGGTTTTAAAACCAGAAACCTATAAACACCATAGAATGAAGCAGCCAGAACATGGTTTCATGACAGTGCTATATACAGAGACTGTTCAAACAGCAAAAGCAACTCTCTGGTAATTGTAATGCTAGACCCAATTATACCACTGTCCAATTTGAGAGCAATATATTTGTCCTTCTGAGCAGAGAAAGTACCAGTGATAATAATAATAATGATGATGATAATAATAATTTTCATCATAATAATAACAAGACAGTGATCTTTGATAATAGGGAACTAACTGGCAAATTTCACCAAAACTATACAAATGTTTCTAGAAACCCAAACTGTGTGTGTCAATATTGTTCCAATAAATAAAGAGCAACTTTTTGTTTCCTCTTACTGGTAATATTGACCATAGAAATAGTTAATGCAAAGATCACTTTATCAGCTCTAAGAAACTGGCAATTTTTTTAAGCCTTGAGATTTGAAAACCAATAAATATTGTGAAAAAAAAAATTTAAAATATCATGAGTGTGGTGCTGTGGTCATGCCGTTACATGCTTGTCTATTTGGTTTTGGCTGACTTAAGTAACTGGAGTTGAAGCAAAACATCAATTGAATAAGGAACATCACAGGTACATTATAACACTTGCAAACAACAATGCCACAACAAATGGATCACAAATTTACAATGTTAGTTTTATTTATTGCCAATACATCAATGTCTGACTGATTTGTATCAAAGATAAAGTATTTCTATAAGTCAAAGCCAGTTCTCACAAGGAAGATCACTGAAATAAACAGTGGAGAAAGTGATCCAGGGTAATTTCAAGATCAGGATGGGTAGATGCCTTTATGAATGGGCTTCATACAGCAGTCACCACCTGTTTATGAAAACATTCAACTATCCATGGTGACCAAGTTAAAATAACAAGAGCAACAGTTCTTAGCCATCTCAAAACTTTTAGAATTGAAAAGGGAAAAAAAACCAAAATCTTGAAATTTCCTAGGTAGCGAGTTTTAAGATGACTGTTTTTATTGCTGAAGGTGAAGAAACCCCAATGGAAAGACCAGTGTTATTTTTCAAAAAACGCAATATATCACTGACAAGAAATTATAGATACGTGGAAAAGTGTTGCTAACTGCGTAACAAATGACAGCTATGCTTAATAAACGAGACGATATTTTGCCTTTGGCTTTCCTCAGAGATGGAAAAGAACACGTTCCAACTACCCGCCGATATATTCGATTTGAGATTCACATGATCCAATATTCTTGGTCCTGTAAAGTACACACGATTACATAAATTGAACTTTAAGTCACATTCGGCATTAAATCCAAGAAAAACGCTTAGCTAAACAGGATCACAAATATAGGAAACGAGAAAAGGGGCTCTTGCAAATTTCAGTTTCTTTTCATTATTTCGCGACAGCAATATAAAGGTGCGATTTCTTAAGTGCGTTCGAACGAACGATCAATAAGTGACGGGCGAAAAAAGATTAAAAAGGATTTCTTCGCGTTGTTTCAGCCCAACTTAACGGCAAGAGATGAAGCGTTTGTTTCATACAAATGTAAGGAACTCTTCATAGAGCAGCAAGAGAACGTTCCATAATGGCGGCAAATTTATTTTTCTCACTCTGGATGGAAAATTAATAATATAACTCTTTAAGTACATTTGCAAAGGCGGATAAGCCGAAACTACGATTCATCTTTGATAGAAAAACCAGTGAAGCTAAAAAATTTGAGTAAGTAATGATTCATAGCCAGAAATGTGATCATAAAATGTTGCTAGGCAGAAAAAAACCAGCTGACTAACGGCACATTCAGTATTTCCCAGCATCAAATTCGAAGCCCTTCTACTGAAACTGCTACCACTAACGATTTTATTTCCACGAAGCTTTTACTTTTAAAAGATAAACTTATAAGACGATCGAACTACACGGCAGATAGTCAACATAACAAATACATCGACTTTACGAACATGTTGGAAAGATTGGCTAGTGCACGCATTCGACATGTTGGAGCCAAATATAATTCATCAGCCGTGCGCTTCGATCGACTACGGAACAATTCATTACTAACCTAACAGAAGAAGCTTGACCTCTCGGGCGGCCCTTTCTCCATCTGCCCGAAGATTTTTGTCGATCATTTTACTCCTCTCCACAGCAGCCTTGTCCTCGGCACTCAAAGTGCAACCCATGTTGATATTCAAGAGTTCGAAAATTTAAGCTGAAGCTTCACTCAACGAGACTCGGCCGTTCGTGGGAACTCTCGAAGTCCGGCAAATGCGTAAAACCACAAACAGAAGCCTTACAGTAAAGTCTGAATGCTTGGAAGGATTCTCACCCAAGAAGCATGTGTTAAAATATCTTACGACTTCGCCATGAAGGCCGTTGTCCGGTTTTCCGAGTTAGTTATGGCGTTCGACTTCGCTTTATTGCAACAACCAACCAGAACCACGCCCGCACACTGAACAAACCATGCGCGACACGACCGCTGGGAACGAAATGTCCCGGATTTAAAGCCGAGGGCTGCAATCTGCCTGATCCCATATCAGCGCATCTCAAGTTTTTCCATTACTTTCCCCTATCCATGCAACGAGGATTCACGCTTTATCTCAAGTTGCATTGTTTAAAGATCAATTTTAACATTCATTTCACACTTTTCTGTTCTAAGGACAACCGGCAATGGATTTAAATACAGCGACAAAAAAGAAGGAAAAAAAAAAAAAATTCACAGGTCACGTGATCGAAATATTTGATTCACTAAGTCACCAGAAACCGACATCAATAAGGCGCTTGTGAGTAATATCAACTTGGAATCAAACACATTAAAATAATTATACAAAATAGCACGATCATGTTTTCTGTGGTAAAAGTACACTTGTCTAGCAAATTTTTTTTTTCTCTTTAAAGAAAGTATGAAATGCGCATTAGCGGGAATCTTCACGATCACGAGTTATCCCTTGATAAAAATGTTCAGGTTTACCGGATCTATTGTTCGACGAATATGTAGAGAGCGCAGGGTTTTTTTAATCGCAGACGGCCAAAGTGTACACGCTTGTGTTAAAGAAAGCCTATTTTTAAACAGTTAAGTGCCTTATGGCTTGTTTAGAGATCTCCGGTCGAAAGAAAATCGCCAGCTGATGTCAGACATTGAGAGCCACCATCACTTTATTTTTTAGGTTATTTTGTGTCGATTTCACTCTTAACTGTCCATCAACAATCTCGCCACTTCTAGAAAATCAACTGAATTATCGAAAGAGACTCGAGCTCTCAAACGAATTTTTAGACCATCAGCAACAACCGTTGAAACGCTAAAAAAATTTTTGAACCGTATTAAGGAAAGTGAATGACAGTTCACTTCAGATGTATGACAATTTTTTTAACTCTTTCGCTTTCGTGCGTCATCAAATGAACGCGCAGCATTTTAATAGTTTCGAACTGAACAATTGACTGAACTGCGCATGAATTTTGCACGTTTCATTTATAACAGTCACGAATTAAAAGCAACTTCCTTTCGAAAGCATGTTATTAAGTCGTCGAATAAACACTAAAAAAGCATCTGTTTACTTAATCAGTCAGAATTTTACGACGTATTGATATTATGAAAACTATTCATAGCTCATGGCTAATATAACTAGGTACTGGAGCCCGAAGCTTGATATCAAACTTGAAAATCTAAAGTGATGTTAATCTAATAGGTAAATTCTTCCCCCAACCCGTTTGTCATTAGTGTTACAATGGTTTTTCCTGGATCAACGCTGGTAAAATAGGGTCTAAAATTTGTAAATAAGTCCGCAATTTGCTTACTTTTGTTCTCTGATTATAAAGGCTCATTCATAAAATATTCCTGTTTAATTGGTTTCTTTTTTAGTAACATTTTGTTTCTCGCCCACCGGTACCTCAAAAATACGTACATACTTTTCATTGAAGAAACACAACCAATCTAATTTATCAATTCTTACTTACTAGACCCCAATGTATTTCGTTCTTATGTACAGTTTTGTCTTATTATCCACATATGTAATTTATCGTGACAACAACTTCTGAAGGAGAACAATGGAGAATTTTTTGTATGGATAAACACAGTGCGAGGATACCAGTATAACATTTCTGCGTCGTTGAGATGCAACTAACTAACAAAACATACAACGATTTAGGCATTAAGCAATCGCAGATTTTTCCAAAGTCAAGAACAGCACTCATTCACTCCTTAAATTTTGTCCTGGTTTTCCCTAAATTTAGTCTAATGATCTTTGAGTTTTCACTGTAGGTGGAAACTTCTTGAATTTAGCGATATATACGCGGGAGTTATTCACAGATGAATTAATCGAAAATAAACCTTTAAGTATTCTGGAGTTGGCTCCATAAATTCGTTAATTCAGAGGAATTGACTTCCACAGTGTTCTGGGTAAAAATGAACGATAAAGATACCTAATTGATTGAGGATACTTGCTTATCCAAAACTCAGAATTAAATAAAACCCGACCGCTCGAGGAAATGTTGCGTCTAAGAAATTTTAATGAAAAATTAACATTCGGAATTGTTGTGCGTTGCTATGGGGACTACTCGGGAAGTTAAAAACAAAACCAAACAAAAAAAAAACTGAAAAATCCGGCTGAAAGAAACTGCTAGAATTCGTTGCATGTTCTTCGTTTTATTTATTTAATTTTAACACGTACAAGCAGACGTATTATACATAGTTATTGGTTAGGAAGCCATTGTCAAATTGTTAAACAAAACCACGGTATGTGCCAAAATGATTGGCAGTATCTCATAAAACGCGACTTTACTTTCTAGATCTGGGATATCAAACGACAGTTCGTTAATAAACCGTTACAAAAATCGTTGCTAAATCTACTGGTAAGCAAAGCTAATAGCAAAATCCATAATTTCAGTTTCAAAAAGCGCCATTTTCAAAGGTTTAATAGCTTGGATAATCTCTATATATTATTAAAGATACACGGTAGCTGTCAAGATATTAGGGAATTCTGTTTGTATCAGAGTGGAATTGTTTAAAGCCGTTAAACTTATGTCACAGTCATCACACGAAATTAAAACTAAGAAAAGCTGCAAACCGAATGCAATTATTTAACATATTTTAGTTACACTTCAGCAATAGCAGCATATTTGAGTCATACTTAAAATTTCCGCTTTAATCAGAGTAAAAGATACGCAATTTTTTCATGTGCACAATTGTCGTAGGAAATAATTAAACGTCAAGAAGTTTTCTCATTTCGCTATAATATTGGAACAAGAAGAGGATATCACCTGGCAATATTCAAACTTGCTGTTCATGTATTTTTTTTAGTGTATTTTAAAAGCATTCAAATTTCTTTCACTTGAAAATGGAATATTTTACGAAACTCTACCTTAGTTTTACGGGAGAACACAAATTCTAAAAAGAATAGGAATGAATTATCATCAGTTGCAGTTTCGACGATCCTGTCTTATCGAAATTGTTAAGCTATCGAAGAATTTATGCAATCAATGAAACTTCTCACGAAAAGACCACGAAAGACTTAGATCTTGCAACAGACGTTTTTAATCAAGTGTGATGTTGACAATGATGATCAAAACACCTAGCTATGCTGACAGCATAAGTTAGCAGTTAATACGACTGGTATGAGCGTAATGTCGTATAAATTTATTTTGATATTTTCACATTTGTTTGGCGTTATTTATAAACCAAGAGAGAGTGTTCGTCTGCATAAATAGATCTGCGGCAGTATTTTTCATTGTGGCGGAAATCAATTTAATGAGATAAACTTCTTTTAGTCGACTCCTTCGCATATTTCCTGTATATTATGAAGCAAAATGCCAAGAATTTTAATTGTTTTCAAGAGTACTTATTTGTGAACTAGCTTCTTATCACTGTTATGCAACCCAGTACTAATATTTTCCGAGCTGCAGTGGTATTTAAGATATTGATTTAAAGTGAAGGAATTGTCACAAAATTGTTGTCATAGTACAGAAACCCTGAAAATATTTTTTTGCATGTCTAGAAAATCCCCAAGAGGTGACACCTTTTAAAAAACTGAAGAAAACAATGAGTAAAATGTACAAATCCCATTTTCACTCCGTTAGGGAGCTTATTGAATGGTTATCATATATCTTAATGATTTAAGTCGACATTTTGTATATTATGATTGATGGCTTTGTGCATGAGAATATTAAATCTCCCCGTGTTCATCCCATGAGTTTCACACAATGACGTCAATTAGTTCTCACGTGACATTAACTACACGTCGAATTCTGATTGGCTCGTCAATCTCATCGGGATAAGACTTTCAGTGCTAATTTTCCGGAAAAAGGAAAGACGGATACGATACTGGTGGATTATTTTATGACAAAAGGGAGTGGGGGAGGGGAGGGGGTTCGCCTGGTTTTATTGAAGTCTCCAGTTGCTTTGGCTGGAATCAGGCACAAAATGTGAAATTTCTTTACGGATTTTTTCGCGTAAAAACCTTTAACGCGGTCGGTGAATTTTTTGTTATCAAACCAGTCCCTTAGAGGAAAAAATTGCGCGCATACTTTCTTGATGTTATTGGATGAACGATCGTACAACACCAGAGATAATTCGCACAGCACAGTAATCTTTGAGCACGTACTGGATTTGTCTTGCTTTAGATTCATCCTTTTTAAAAATCTAATGAAAAATATTGGCGGATACAGAATTACGTGCGCACAATAAAGAAACAATGACCTCAGAGATATTACCGTAATCGGCTTTAGCGGTTGGCATCTCTTAGTGCTCCATTGCAGTGTGCGAGATGGCAACTTATTGTCATGAAACATCACGCAATCGCTACTCAACCCCTTTGAAAAATTTCAGAACTGCTAAACTGAAAGAAATAGAGGCGAAGGATGGTAAAGTGCCAAGATCAAAAAGGGTTTATAAATTATAATGAACATTAGAGTAATCCGGAGCAAAAGTAGTCATATGAGAGACAGTAATGGCGAAATGAAAGCTAAATATATTTAAGTTCCCTAACTGGCTTAGAACAATATAATGTTGGCAATGAAGAAAGAAAAGATTTAAATCGATGTAATAGTCTAGACATGGAAGCTATGACTTTTGTGGTCTTAAGACATAAGAAAAAAATTGGCCTTGATTCAGAAAGATAGCCCACATTTTTCATAATTCCATTATTGTATTGCACGAGGACAAAGTAATTTTGTTGACGGTTTCACGCATGAATCGGATATCCAAGAACTTAATCCATCCTGTGACAAGATTAAGCTTTTACTATACAGCAACTTAATGAAAAAAAAAGTGTAGTTACAAACCTTAGACTTATTTTAATTCAACGCGTGAATTTAGCACCGCTTTTGAGGAAGAAATAAATCATTATTGCTGTCAATTTTTGATGGGTCTCGGTCAGTTATGGGTGACTTGTCAAGAAAATCGATAGAAAGACAGATACCTTTTTCACTAATCAATAAAATGGTAGAACTTACTAATTATTTCCTCAAATTATGAACACTAAAAGTACTTCAAATGTCACCGATCATGAATGAATACGGTAAACAAACCGGCAAGAACAGATGTAAAAGCCCTCATAAAAAGCCACATGCACTGTGGATGACACCGAACGGATCGCCTTACACCACGGCAGATCCTTTTACCATTCAACTATGAATCACGAGACAAAGCTGAAAATCTTCGTAAAAACTTTCTAGGTTTCAAGAAAAAATGCTGATAATTTGCGGCGAAAATTAAGTATTTATGAACCATCAGTGGTAGTTTTTCATGTTCTGAATGAAAACTATTCGCTTTGTTTCTTTCTTGCCGTATTTCATGAAGAACCGAAACGCAACGTTAAAGAAATCCTCTTTCGGCTTCCTTTCAAAGCGATAGGTTTACAAATTGGATTGGTCACTTTGACGCATGATACCAGATGACAGATCCTAAATCATGTAATCGTCCCATAGCGTCCAGGCAAATATATGATAAAACATCGTTCCTGAAAGCCTCAACCATTTTAAAGATCCTCCATGACTATTTTCCTTCTCTTGAATTCCTCGGAAAGAGCTTTGTGAGACGTTTTCAGCTCTTCTTTCTCACGAGCTTAGTCAAAGCTGCATTCCAAGGAGTGGCTGGCAGTTTAATCCGATTAGACAAATGTATCTGTGACAAGCTTTTGCTCAGAAATGTCAGAATTTCACGATATCGAGACTGCGTTCTACGAAGACACATCTGAAAGGCGTACAAACAGAGCCACGTGACCTCGTGCTCGTCCAATGAGAACGAAGCACCACTTGGAGACAGCTGGTGACACTTACGAACACTAGCTGAGTAGAAATACAGCGCCAAATCCAGAATCATTCGGGAGAAGAATGATGGGTTATCTCTTGGTTTGCTACCTGTAACAAAACAAAAGAAACAAAATGCTGAACTAACTCAACTCTTATCTACGGATACCTTATTGAAACTCCGTCTACTACACACTACATTCATTAGAGACTGAAGATCGAATCTTAAAATCTCCTTTGTTACAAACTATCAGGCTGAGTAATCGAGAAGAATCAGAAAGTTATCCCTTCCACCATTTCAACAACATCGCAGTTCCGCGCATCAGGTTTTCTTTCTGAAAGTAAGAGTTCTAATGGCAAACGGAAATTAAAGTTTGTTAGAAAAGAGACGAAAACTTTGTTTGAAGATGAATTTAATCAAATGTAACGACGTCGCCATATGCATAATAAAAACGGCTTCATCTCTTCTCCTTGATTATAAGAAAACTGAAGCTGGTGGACAAAAATAGACACGCCCAGCGGAATTTTAATCACTACGCTATTCATAGTTGAAACTTTTGAGCGGAAATCTCAAAAGTGAAGATCTTCGGAAATATTTTAGGGTCAAACATCCCGACATCAATTCTTTCTTAACTCTCTATTTAAAGAAACAATGAGAAAATTGATAAAAGAATGAGCTATTTGCTTCCCTGCTTTAGGCTGCGAAAACAACTTGATGGAAAGATATTCACATAATTGACCATAGGGGCGATATTCGTCCGTTCAAGGAGCCACAAGTATAGGTTTCTCTCTTGTCTTATTATCGTGAGTGGAAGTTGTATTAAGCAATTCACAATTAACATCACACCCGATATCTGAAGGATACTACAGCCTTCGAGGCCTTGCTCATCGTAATGTTGGTAACCGTATAGAAGTCCAGAAGGGCCTAAGTTGTTCCTCTGACGTTCTTCGCCGCTTGAGAGAGAAATTTGCGTCAAACAGCCCTTGATTAATATTTTGGTCTGTTGTGCCAAGTTGCATTTATACAAATTTGTTTTCATCAACCAGATGCTGTTTCTCGAGTTTTTTTTCTCCATTTAAAGGCCATTATGGATAATTAACAGAACAAATTTTATGATAAAATATTCAATGAACGTTCAAACTATATGACCACAATTCTACCAAAACACAAGGAACACTATTTTAATAAAAATCCATTCTTAGGCGAAGGTAGGATCAATAACCCCTCAAAAAAAATTGATGTAATGGTTGTATCTGAAAAACGCATTAATTCTTGGCAAGCTCAAGTATACTGCTACAACGCTTGCAATTATTTCAGTTTACTGAATTTATGTCGAATATCTCACCCATGGATGCAATCACCAGAGGACAGTCTTCCCTTCCCTGCAGGAAAATGGAAAACTAACACATGGTCGAAGCGACTGAGGAAAATTCGAACATTTTCTTGCACAAAAAGATAGACACAGAAATATAATTTTTCTGAGGATCAAGTAAAATATATGTTAATTATTCACCAACTGCTGATGGGCTGATATAACTCGTTTTGTCCGAACAAAGAAGCCAAAATAGAAGGAAATCCTAAACAATAGGGTAAAACGCGAGAGTGTTTAAGCTCTCACAACACAATTACAACTTGCGGTTTTTCCAAACGCCCTTAAAAGAAGATATGTCAACAGAAAATTTCGCTTTATTGGAAAAAAACCAATTTTAGCAAATTAAGTGGGTTTGATTGATTATAGATGTGTAAGAACAGTGGAGCCATTAGCAGCTCTTCAGTTGTCCATCATCATAAAATGATGGTCTCAATTTTCTATGATGGAAAATGCATCATCATCAAACCCGACATCAACATCAGACTTACAATGACTCGGCGCATCTGGTTCCCTCCGCTTGTTATCCGAGGAAGCCAAATGCTGGATAGACAGCTAAGTTAACTTCAACTTGTAGACAGATTTCTGGGAGCTGAGTTCGTTTTAAACTCCCAAATTAGAAGCCATTCGAGTTCATGTCGCGAGTTTAAACAGATGTCTGCAATCTAACTAGCGTATTTTAATCGGGGAGGAATTGAAATCGAAATATTAAGCTATAAAAGAGGAAAACACCACATAAAGGCTTCCTCTTCGCGTTATCGAGGCAATATACATTTACTCTCAAGAAAACAGGTGCCGATAATTGTACGCATCTTAAAATTAAATAGATTGATTTTTAAATAGCAACAAAATAAATATTTGGGATGTAGTGACAATCCGCATGAAAGAAAGAACTTTCCACCGGCGAAAGATGTGTTTTTTTCACATCTAGCTACCAGAAAATTTTCATTCACGACGATCTTAACTTCACAGGACAAGCGCTGTCCATACAACACCCCTCTAATGACAACAAGAATAATTTGAATTCATTTGCGTTGTCATTATAAAGAAATGATTACTAATGCCTGAAAACCGAATGCAATTTTAATTTTGTCCCCCTTCAATCATTATGTGAAAGCAACCCATCTCTCTGTTTATAGAACAGCCTTGGGTAATAATCTAGTTTTGATCATCATCATTTTGCCGGAGTCCTGCTCTATTAACTCAGAGTCAGAATTACGTGCCAAATTATGTCCCACTTACCGCTATGGCTCATTCAGGATTTTCTTTGCTCCCAAATACCAATAATAATTAAAAACATATTTCCTGCCTAGCTATCATTTACAAAATCCCTTTTTTGGAAGCAAACTAATTTAATTAATTGCGTTTGATGCTTGATAACATCTGTTTGCATAGTTTTAAGTTTATATAAGTTTTACCCCTTTCAGTCCTGAGATAAAAATGTAATTTCTCATTACTGTCTGGCGTACATCTCATATATTAGTAGCTCTGAGAATTTGGTTTCAAATCAAGCTGTATCATAAAATTTACTTTCTTTCTTCTCATCACCTGACATTGCGTTGATAAAGCTACGAGAAATTATCCATTGCTCACTCCTGGGAGTGAAAAGATTAAAAATGCCGAACAAAAACAGCCTTTTTTCCTCATTAACGAAATTAAAGCCGACAAAATGCGGTGAACGATTATAACCCGCTTCTCTGACACCAATCAGCAAGCGTTCTGTGACTCGGCAAAATTTTAAAGCTAGAAGGCTGACAGCTCACCTCTTGGTAGCTCTTTGACGTAAGTATGGAACTTGTACGCTGTTAACAGGAACACGTGGAACACGTTCAACAGGGTGTTTTCGCGCGTGTTCATATTTGGGTCCAGCAGCAATGGATGGCACTTCGGGCGCACGGAGTACCGGAGCTTCTTACTTAGGGCCTCGCCAGGATGTGCATCCAGGGACACAGTCAATGTGTCCCTTAATAAGGAACCTAGAAAAGCAATTTATAGATTAGGGCAGTTAATATGTGCATCTTGTTTTCCACACTTAATCACTTTTTTCCATGTTATTTTTTTTCGTTCAAAACGTCTTTCAGGGAAAAAACGCTTCTAGAAGCCGTGTAATCCATTGCGATTTAATTTAAATTTAGAGCATTTCCAAGTCAATTCAGTAAGCCAGGCTTGTCCTGTGCATTTTAAAACCTGATATTAGCACAAATGTCTAGTACTACAGTAATTCATAAACCAAGATGGAATCTTAGAAGCTTTCATTTGCCTTACTGCGTCCGCGATTACGAACTTATAAGTTAAGTTTACGGAAAGAATTAAGATTTGTTTCTACATTTTCATTTACGTACAGAGTTGCGCATTTTCAACAAAACGCGACCTCTTCAGCTGTTTTTGGACGGTTTGAGGTGCGGCTAAAGTGCGTGGTCCACCTTCCTGTTTCAGTTTTACTTCGTTCTTGGTTTTTTAACCTTTTTTGGTTTTATTTTCCTGTCTTTGTGGTTAATACTCGAATGTAATTAGAAGCTAGGAGTTAATTAAGGTAGATAGACAACTGATACTGAAAGCGCACGCCCCTTGTCGGAGCAAGGTGTGTTCTGTGGCGCTTTTCAATAATCGTGATAAAATGGTCGCACTGCGTAACAAATTTTCACAATTTTCAATATAAAAAGCTGTCGTACTTTGTAATAACAGACCATCACACTTTGCGAATCATACTTGCCACAATTGTAATTAAAAAGCTGTCGCACTTTGAAACAAATTTGTTGTCTATTGTCGGAAGGCGAGTAGGCCCAAAAGTAACCATCACCCTTGTCAGTAAAGACAATCATATAATAATAATAATAATAGTAACACCAATAGTAATGATAATAATTCTAATGATGATAATGATAACAATTGAGATCGTTAAAGTGACCGTAGAAGTGAGGGTGATGTTGACGAGAACGATAATACTGATATTAATAATATACATGAAAAAAAAATTACGCGTGTCTGATTGGCTGAAAACGAGTGCATTTTTCATGTAACAAGAGCGCTAATTAGAAATAGCGCGCGCTGCCAAAATTTGTCCTTCTTGACTTTCTGTGATGCGTTTTTCATTTCTCGTGCAGTTTGCTGCAAATAAGCACTTGTACAATTCTTCAAAGAATTTTGACTTTGAAAAAGTTACCCGCGCTTATTAGCACCAAATTGCACGAGAAATCATGTTGCTACATGTACTAATAATAATAATATTAAAAAAGATGATAATGTTAATAATAATTATGATAACTGGATAACAAAGTGCAACAAAAGTTATTACAAAGTAGGACAGGTATTACAAAGTACGAAAATTTTATTTCAAAGTACAACTGGTTTTACAAACAGCGCCGATTATAAAAAAATGCGATAGAACAAGGTACTTAGGCCTCTGACGACGGGCTTCAGCCCGAAATATCATCTGTAAAAAATTCTTAACGGCGGTTCGCTACCTCAGTGAGCTACTCAGTAGTCAATTATCAACCTCACTTCACATGAAAGAGGAGGGATTAAAATACCTCTAACTTCTTTCAGTAAAACTCACCTGTGTACCGGGACAAGTCTGGTGAAACTTCAAGTGTGACTGTATCCAAAAGAAACCCGCACCAGGGAAAACGATCGCTAGCTCCAATTCTTGTCACCTTGTGTCCATCAGCTGTGACCGCGGTATAATTGGTCAACGTTTTGTCATGATTGATGACACACCCATACTCTGGAATTCCAGCATGCATTGTATTCAGAAACTTGTCGGCCAACCGACGGTGTGGAGTGACAAACAGAAAGTCGTCCACCCATCTTAACAGGAGGGAGTCTGGATCTTGGACTATTTCTGACAAGTGGGTCCTCTCCATCTGACTGTAGTAGTAGCCGCAAAGCATTGTTGATAGGACGGAGCCCTGTGCAATGCCTACATGAGGGAGACATTCATATGACGTAAGAATTTAAAGTGATGCTGATAACTCTGACGGAGAAGAGAATGGTCTTGAAACCTTCTGCTGTTTGCAACTAAATCAACAAGGGTGTAGCTAAGGGGTCAAAATTATGAATTTCCGCGCGCCTTGCGTGAATTACCTGACACCGCTGCTCTACCTTGTGTATTAGTTGATGGAGAATCTTACACTGGTAAAGAATAATGCCATGTACCCGCCAACCTGACGTATAAGATTTGCACGTTACTGATTTCATAAGAAAAGTATACCACAGGGAAGGGGGGAAGGGGGTCACGGGTACCCCTGGCCCCTTCTCCCTCTGTACGCCTCCAGTCAGAGGCAGAGAGTAAAGACGGTGCCGAGCCAAAGAACACAACACATTAGCCCGGCCATCGCGTCTGCCACCTATCAGCTGATGATCATGATATTATGATGAATCCTGTCGCGCTTGGCAATACTTGCCATATTTTATAATAACACTTGTGACACTTTGTTATAACATTTGTCACACTTTGCAACAACAATCGTCACACTTTCCGATAACATCCTAATCCTGGCAGTATGCAGGACGCGTGTCATTTATAAACTTCGTAATGGATCTCCCTCACCATGGAGTTTCTATCGCTCAGTGATAGAGCAATGGAGGACGGAAACTGAAGGTCTGAGGTTCAATTCCTCATGGAGACTCATAATATTTTTCTTTGTCCCACGCTCGTGATAAGACGAAAAACAAGTTTTTCTATTTGTTTTCCGAGCTCAAAACTTACCATCTCTCTTATTCAATTTACAAAAACACTTTTAACACTCTCCAATAACACTTGTCACTCTTTGTAAGAAAAAAAGCTGTCGTACTTTGTCATTAAAAAGCTGTCGCACTATGTAATAGCAGACCATCGCACTTTGTAATAGTAAGCTGTCGTACTTTGTAATACTTGTCACACTTTGTAATATTTGTTTTCTGTTACCACCGAGTGCGACAGCCTTTTTTACTACAGAGTGCGACAGCTTTTTTCTTTCAACGTGAGACAATTTTATTACACAGTTCAACAGGTATTACAAAGTGCAACAATCATTACTAAGTGCTACAGAACATTATGACCAGTAATTTTATCCGAAGGCACTTATGCCCCATCACCTCACAGAGACGTCAATACTTGTGTACGTAGGAACACTGTTTTCTTATCGGATAACCTCCCAGTCATTCTAAATTCTAGAGTTCCAAGAAGAAAGAGTATTAGGTCAGAAGATCATATTTCACCTACCCCTCGTCTGTTGGTAATAGTTGTTACCGATCCTGACGAAGTTATTAAATATGTGTTCTTCCAGCAACTTAATCAGCTTGTCGCGGTCCTCTGTCACATACCACACGTTATCAACAGCCACCACTTGCCTAAGCTTCCACTCGACCACAAGAGAACGAAAGAAATCTGGAAACAAACGGCAATCATCTGCGGTACTGACGTGCTTAGAGAACTCTCTACAATTTTAGAAAGAGCAATTTTAAACACAGCGATAGTGAGACTGTCTAATAATGTTAGTTTGCATCAAAAAAGATAACACGACTTCGCGTCGTTCAGCAAGAACTGCCAACGCTCAACGTAAAAATCAAGAACTTCTTTAGTAGGTGATCATCTCCTTTATTCTTATGACCTTAATGTTTATTAAGAGGTGATATTGTAAGGAGAAATTAGATTCTTGTCACTCTTAGAGGTCAAAGGGTCAACGGAGGATAAGCTGGGCTTAATTTTAACCTTGAGGAACCAGAGTGCATTCTACAGCGCGGCTTTGCGGAATTCTACGATTAAGGAGAAGCCGCAAAAAACTTATGTCCAAGCGTCAGATAGAGTGTAAAATCTTGTGCCCAAGTATGAGTAGTATTTTAAGTTCTATTTTTCGAGATAAAGTATTCGAAAACATATCTAACTGCAAGATTGATATGAGGTGCTACATAAAGCTCGCTTACAATTGCTTTTTTCTTCTTCGTTTTCTCATTTACTAGATTATCAAATACGTTAAGACACCTTTAAGGGAGATTCCCTTTCTTGGGGAGCACTGGGCCCTCTTCGGCTAAACTTTTAGAATAAAACCCCAAGGAACTCCCCAGGTTACGAGCCGATCTTACCAGAAAGAAATCTAGAAATCTTAGAAATCTTTGTTAGATGCTTTTAAATCTCGCAGTTTCGTTGAAGTTTTCTTTATGTAATCAACAATAAATAAGTTTAAACTGAAGAAATAAGATTAAAATCGTGTATGAAGTCAACCGACAGTCACAATTCCCCCCTTTTTTTAATCAACGTTATCCTCATTATTCGCCGGTGTTACTTTACCAAAGCCCTTTTTGGGCACTTATACCCTAAGTTAGTCACGTGAAGAACTAATCATGCTCGGCGAGGGAGGAGGGACAAGGGGGAATTCGTTAAATGCAGTCTCTTTTGTGGCTCTCAGCCTTCCTCACCTGTAGACCTTTCCACCAGACATGCGCAATAAGGCAAACCGTCGAATGAGGTACTCTTCCTCCTCCAATACTTCCTTCATGGTGTCAAAGAGTTTTTGATGCAGGATAGACTCGTAGCAGTGGCTTACGTCGACGTGGACAAAATACAGCGGTTTTCCCTCCAGACGTGAGCGTACGCGAATGGCAAACGGCTTAAGCGCCCGGTAAAGATCATCAGTTCCAAACAAAGTAGCTCCCATCTTTTCTGGGTTCCGTTCTTTCTCGAACTTAATAACTTCAAACAAATTCTTCAGTTTTGAATTCACTGAAAGCTGATTCTGAACGCTGATTGGCTCCTTGCTTGAAGGACGGTGACGCATGTTGGTAATAGGGCGCACAGTTGACGTCTTCGGTATAAACCTGAGCAGGGAGAATCCCAATGAGCTTTGCGCGCGAAGAAGATTCTCAGCTTCAGCGGTTTTCAACGGTTTGAAGAACTCACCGCAAAATGTGTCAAGACCAAACTGTTGGATCGTTTTCCAGATAGGCTTTCTGTAATAAACAACCCTTTGGCGATGAATACCAGTCTCCGTGATATAAAAGAAGGTTTTCAGCACAATCACGAGATAACTGGTTACCAACCACCAGATGAACAGAGCTAAAAGCTCCAGCTGCTTAACAGAATCAGACAGAGCAACGTGCTTTCTATTTCCGCTTTTCTTCACCTGAAGCCACTTGCAGCAAGAAACCTTGATTCCCATCATCATCTGGGCTAGGGTGAACTTTTCTCCCCGATAGAGGTGAATGAACTTCGCAAGATTTCGAAAGAATGTTTCTTTGTTTCCTGAAGACCCCCAGAGTTCTTTTGGAACAACTTTGTTGCAGATACACTTCAGAAAGTCCACCACCTGAAACAAATAAATCATGAGATTCAGCGTTGGTCGTCGGAGAATAAAGGTTTTTAGAGGTAAGTTCTCGATGTCTGAAAATGCACTGAGGCTGAGAAAGCTTAGCCGGAATAGAAGCTGTGACCTTAGGATTGGTCTGTTTGACTCCAAACTGACATTCACAACACTGAGTTGCTGGGACTTATCACCTGTTGTATCCCGGCCTTAATAACGTAAAGCAAGTTCATACTCCTATAATGTAAAAAATCTACCTGATCATGTTCTGTAAACATTCTTACAGCTCGACGATACCTCAACAAGTTAACCTTTGCCTTTCTCTCGCGACGCTTCCTTTGCGTAAACTTAGCTCGACCCTTAAGAGATAACTTGTGATACACTACGTTTACGCTAAAAGGAATCCTTCGTAACATCCTTCTCTTTTTTTCATTCTTGATCGCTTGTCTTCCATGATCGTAACGGCAATACACCTTCACCAAAGTTCTAAATGGACACTTCTGGTGCCTTGCCAGAAACTTCAGTAGCGTTGGTACTATAGTCTTCAGCCTTCTGGGCAAACGAAGAGGCTTCCGTTTCCTTCGTGTGGTAAGTTTCAAAGTATTAGACCCATCAGGGTTTTTAACAGCCGCTTGATTCACGACACTTTGCTCTTTTCTTTCATCTTTCCTTATCCCTCCCCGATCTCTGCAGGCGCCCAAAGACGCACCTTGCAGAAAAATGTGTTGAACCAGTTTGCGCGCTCCGGCCATACTCACTGGTAATGACTCCACAATATGGTTCTTTGGGAACGTTTGGGAAAGATTTGAGGTATAAAACAAATTTGAGCGTGGTATAAATATTTCGTTCAAACAGATACTCTTTCTGTTTTTCTTCAAACTTGAGCATCCTCTGTTATAATCAATCTGTTGATTATTTGTCTCTTTGAGCTGGCTGTTACTATGAGCCGTCTGTTTTCGTTGTCCTGTCCTTGCAGGTTCACTTCGCCCACTAGACTTGGGAAGAAACTTTGTTAGATATTTCCACGGTTTACTTCCACCCACTGCTTTCTTTTTCTCCTTCTCGACTTTCATCGCACTAGAAACACACTTCTTTCTTTTTAACGTTTGAATTTGTGTTTTTTCTCCAACACCAACAGTCTGTTGGAAAACTACACCACCCTTATCCTTGACACTCTGTTCGTTCGGTTCTTCTCGGAAGGTTTGGCCGAAAACGTTCTTCTGAGTTTCAGATGAATCTACAAAGTCAGTGGTATTTGACGTTACTACATCGGAATTTTCTTTCCAAAGATTACCCTGGTCTGCATCAGTAACTGTACCAGCAGTCGCGCTCTCCAAAGATGTCTTTGCTGAAATTTCATTATGGACCAGAACGCCTTTAAGGAACAAGGGCGAGTTATTTTTGAAGACGTTTGAATTTGTCCTCGACTTTTTCGATGGATTTGGATTATCTCTTGAAACACCACCACTGTCCAAACTGTCACGCTTTCTTTTTCCACTGCTCTGGGACACTTCAACGAGATGAGTATCATCGTTACTACTGTTTATGTTCACTCGGACAGGAGCTCTTGACAATACAGTCGCTGGACCCGTAGTCGAGATTACATCAGCTAATTTAGAGCAGCTTACTTTAGCCCTGACATTTTCACCATATCTTCGCGCTCGCTTGCCACCCCTTCTCGATTTTTTATTTGATATCACATTCGAAGCATCTCTATCGCCATTTGTTTCACCTGCTTTTCTGACAGAGAGTGGAGGGAAGACATCTTTTGATGTTATAGGACTTAATCTCGTAATGGGATAACCAGCGACTTGGAAAAAACACGAGTTCACCTTGAAAAACACTGACAAATTTTGCAACAAGTATATCATCAAGTCGTCTCCTATACGCTCGTGAAGCAGCTGCCAGGCTCTCGCGGTTCGCAAATAACTTACAACAGTGTTGGGGTAGCTGTTCTGGATTCCAACAGTCCCAGCCACTGTTCCCTTATTTCCATAACCACTTAACGACTCAAAGCCGTATGCTAGGACATTCGTCTTGTTCCCTCGACAAAAGTGTTCAATAACTCTAACAATTATTTCCTTGAGGGTAAACCATTGTGCTGTACTTGGCTTGAATGGCGGTGTAACCGGCTGATCCCGAGGAACTGCGATCAAAGTCGTTTTCAGAAGACGGCGATACTCCTCAGGATCGCCATCTTGGATGAGTTGAAGAGCCTTATCCTGCTGGACCTTACGTATATAGCGAATCAACGTAAAATACTTTGCGTAAAACGATCCTATAATCTTTCGGCTTTTGAAAAGTTGAATTTTCTTTCCCTTCTTCGACTGTTTGGTGGCCATTTAGCAAACGATCATCGTAAAAGAAAGCTGTTAGAGTCACCTGAAGATGCACTTTTCCCGCCACGAGATTCTTCTTTTGCTGAAACCGCTGACTACATCGTTCTCTGTAATGTGGACTCGACCCGTCACCAGTCGCCTATCAATGAAATATTTATTGAAGCAATCAAAATGGCGATCACAGAAATAGGGAAAGTGTTCGTGTTTAAAATGGCAATAACACTTTGTAATCTCATTCTAATACATTGCAGAATAATAGAAGTCAATCTCGGAGGCACTTGGATTATTTCAAATGCAAATAACAGCATTTCTGTGCCCGGAACTGTTCCTGGAAATGTCCACACAGCTTTGTACAGGAATGGAAATATTCCGGATCCGTACTTCCGGTTTAATGATGTCAAATATCGCTGGATAGCGTATGACAATTGGGTGTACACAAGGACCTTGGAAGGTTTGAATAATATTCTTTTCTCTCATTATATTTGATTGAATGGTACTTGTCGTAGTTAATGTTGTTAACATGGCATAACCGAGAGAACTGATCTGTCAAAATTTAAGCACCAGGCCTGACCTACAGGCAGCCCAAGCTCCTGCTGTGAGATGATCATCTTGCGTTATACAAGTTTTGGCGAAAATATAATAGTTTGTTTGGGAATATTTACAACCGCTGCTAGGAAAAAAAATAGTCAAATTCTCAATTAAAATACCTCACCTTACTTTCACAGTGCATTACTTGTTTTGTGACAGCTTTCTTTGTTGCAACAAGGCCATTTTGGCGAGTTACCCATTTCTAGGTTTACCTCTCTTATGTAGTAACCTAAAAATGGATAACTCGCTAAAATGCCTTTTTTTTTCAATGTAGTGAGTGGTCAGTGGTCTTTTTGTCCTTGAAACTTAAGTTTACTCCATGCATGTGGACCAAAGTTTTTAGATTCAAATTAAAACTTAGTTAAATGGTTCTTGCTCCTTAGACAGGAGAGATTTTTGAAAATTCTTAAAAGTACATTTTCAATTAAAAGGGGCGCTTAGTGGATTTGAGAGACTATGACATGTACTATTATAAAGGACTCGATTATACTAAAATTCCCTAGTAAAACAAATTGATGGTATCTTTGAAGTATTTTTAACCCTTATTGTGATATGTTCTTATCTCTTTGTTTCTTGATATCCTCATCCTCCTACTCCCAGTTTCTGAAGATGTCATATCAAAAGGAAACATTTTGTTGGTTTTTGAGGGCCTGGATACAGTTGCTACAGTTCTGGTGAATAATGTTGAAGTTGGCCACTCAACAAACATGTTTCACAGATACATCTTTAGTGTTAAGGGGGTGCTAAAAACTGGAATGAACAAGATTGAGGTGCGCTTCACTTCTGCGGTGCTCTATGCCAAAGAGCAGGCTAAAAAGTTTCCATATCGTGTACCCCCTGAATGTCCAGTCCCAGTTCAGCGTGGTGAGTGCCATGGAAATTTCATCAGAAAAGAACAATGTTCATTTAGTTGGGTAAGCCATTGTTACAAGTATTTATCAGTGGATGTCATTGCTACCATAAAAAAAACCAATATAGTGTTGTTATTAATTTAATTATTTGAATAATAATAATTTATTTAGGACTGAGTCAGTGCTATGGCTTGAGTGACTGCAAGAATCTTTGTGTTCTCCAAAGTTTGGGTGTGCTTCTGATATCTCATTGAATGCATGCTGGCACAGGAACCAGCCTTTGGGAGTTTCAATCTTATAGCCATGTTCTTAAAACCTGGGAAACCTGAATCACTGTTTTGATTGGCACACATTAATGATTATCATAATGACAAAATATATCAGAAAGTTTTGAATTGTACATTTGAATTGCTATTGGCCATAGATGGATCTGTGTTGGACTTGACTTGGATACTTGATAAACTCCTGCTGTCCTGCATGTGTTGTTGAAATTAATTATTATTGGCTCACTCTCCTCTTTAGGATTGGGGACCAGCCTTTGTTCCTCAAGGGATTTGGTAATTATTTTCTTCCACTTTAAGTTAAGAGATGTAAATAATATACTAAGTTTTTCTTCGCAAAGCAGGAGGGGGATTGCCATATATCAATAATGGGAATGATTATCCTTATTTTTAGAGGTTAGAATTACCAATTTTGATGATATTGAGAAGTCACAGAGAAAAAAAAACTTAACAATCAGATTAAATAGTCAACTCTAGACCCTTAGGAGCCTTTTAAAGATTGGTTTTCTTTTTCAGAGTTTTTCTCTGGTACCTCTTCTCCTGATCAAATTTCTGTTACTATGCTATGAATGAGCCAACAAACAAACTTGATTTGTTGTTGTTTTCTGTCAAATTTGATTGAAAATCTGGTAGGAATGAAAAAAAACATGGATTGAATAATACCAGAGTAAGATCAAACATAAGTTTAAATCTGTAGATATGATATCCATACTATTACAGCTATAATTATAGGTAAGCATTAAGAGTATTTTCAGTTTTAAATGTAGGAGAGTTTACATGGATAAATGTTTGATGAAGCAACTGATGTAAAGCAACTTTCCTAAGACTCCAATCATGATTTCTTTTCAAAATATTTTTTTCCCAAAATTTGAGCTATCAAACTCGGGGTACGGCTTATCTGCAAGTGGGGCTTATCTGTTGGTGTTCTTACAGTAATAATTGTTTTCTATCTCCAGTTGTTCATGTATTCTATCTATGATACTGTACCTGAGCTGGAAAATGCAGCAAGAGCCACACCCATACTAACCACTTTTTTGGGTTACTTCAGACATTTCGACTCTCACTCTCATCTTCTTTTCTATCTACAGGCGAAATGTTTCTCTGCAAGCCTACAACTCAGCTGTTATAAGGGACATCACAGTGACACCTACAAAAGGTTACTATGACAGAATTTAAATATATTTAAATAAGTAGTAATCCTTCAAAAACTTGAATCATACGGCAAATGCAATAAGTTGATTAAAAATATATTTTTCTTCACTTTCTGATGTGCTCTCTTTCAGGTTCAGCTAACATCACATGGCAGTTATCTGTGGCGCTTTTTGTAGATTCAGCTGAAGATGGTGTGACAGGTACAATAGTGCTCAGTCTTCCTCAGCTGTCACACTCTCAGAAGCTTGTCATCAAACTGTCACAAGGTATCCAAAAAATTTCTTTCCCAGAGATGTTGTTTACAGAAAAAGATAACATTAGGCCATGGTGGCCTCAAGGATATGGCAAACCAAATCTGTACACAGTTAAGGTACTTACTTTATATCAATTAGTATATAAATGAGATATGTGTGCTTAGGGCACAGTTGCTTAGATTCTGTCATTGAACCCTAAGTCTTTGAAATTCATTACCAGGCAGCTTAATGTCAGAAATGATCATTAACTTCGAACAGGTTGTGTTTTTGAGCTCATCTCGTGATGAACAGTCAAGCATCAATCGTAACATCGGTTTCAGGACAGTGAAACTTAGACAGGAACAAATTGAGTGTGCTCCAGGTTAGTAATTCAAATGGAAAATGAACAGGTAATTATGACAATTATAAATTTGTTTTTGCATTACAAGACCATACATTACATGATCTTTGTTATAGTCAGTTATTACTAATCCTTAAATTTTAAGCAAGTCACCATAAAACTTACACTTTTTGTATCTGGTTATGTTTTATGGTTACCTTTTAAATCTACAATTATTGCCATAGTTCTAAGCATTGCTTAGTATATTGTGATTTCAACATTTCAGTCCCAATTTTTGAGTGGGATAACATATCTGATCACACATTTACTGGTAGGAAAAAGCATTATTTCAAGAATTACACTTCAATCACACTTTGCAAGTTGGGATTTCTTGTTTATCATGTTGTTATTTTTGCATAAGAGGTTTCAATGGATTCACTGGCAGAAGTGCTCTGTCTGTTTCAGGACGAGGATTTCACTTTGAGATCAACGATTTGCCAATATTTCTGAAGGGAGCTAACTGGATTCCTGCAGGTATGCGCCTAAAATATCAAATGTAAGAATAACATCTCAGTTAATCTTTGAAAGGAGTAAAGATTGACATAACACCTCCCAACTTGTGTCTTGTTAGTGATTCCTATGCCTGTGAAATGAAACCTCCCATCTCAAGCCAATTTTCACCTGTCAACCAATTTCTCCCATTGAGCAAAAAATTACAAGCTATTGCAGTTTTACATCACAAATTTAAAAAATTAAAAGCTAACCATGCTTAAGCATGAGTGGGACTGAGTGAGTAAAACTCTGCCATTTGTTGACTTGCCATATTATGTAGGGATGTGATACTATATTCAGAAATGGCTGCAGTGGTGAAAAGCAAACTTTTAATCCATCAGATATTACTTAACTTGGTTAAGGTAATCACATGATTTTGAGTACAATTTGGTGTTAATAAGCACAAGTAATATCTTCAAAGACAACAAAATTGCATGAGCCCATAGGGCTAGTGTGATTTTGTAGTCTAGTACTTATTACACTGCACTGAGAACTCATGTTGTTACTTGTTAATAATATACATGAAAAAACATCATAAATTCAAGACAGACATAAATTTTGGCAGTGTGTGGGCTATTTGTAATTAGCACTTGTGTTACAACTTTGCACTTGTGTGACATGATAATGCACTTGTTTTCAGCCAATCAGATGCATTTAATTTTTTCATGTACATTACTAGCCTCAAAAAGCCAAGAATTAAACATTGATTCCACTCTTTATGATAATGCTGGCAAATGGAAAGTATACATTGCTCAAACCTTTAAACCCTAGGTGTGACCAGTATGTAATTTCTCCTTACATGAATACTTCTCAATCATTCATAAAGATGGAGAGACTAAAGGAAATGATCACTAACTTGAGAAGCTTTGATTATTAAAAAAATTCTCCCTGTTAGTACCAGAGGAAATTTGGAGAAGAGTATGGAGAATTTGGATGCTGATGTTATAGTGTAAAGGGTCAATCTTTTAAAACTTTTTACGTCATGCAGAGCCAGTATTATGTCAATACAAAGGGAATAACAGAATGAAGTATCTGTGAGAATGGATGTGGCTTGCTTCTGGAATCCAGTTTTCTGGCGATTCTGTAAAAATTCTCAATACTGAAAATTGTTTTCTATAAAAATAGACGATGCAAAACCAACCTTATTTCACTTTCCTCCCAGATGCCTTTGAGGACCGTGTGACGAGTTCAGACCTTTGGAATCTTCTCAAGTCAGCAGCTGATGCAAACATGAATGTGGTGAGAAACTGGGGAGGAGGAATCTATCAACATGATGAATTTTACGACATAGCGGACGAGTTAGGGTATGGAATTGGTAATTAAAAATAAACGGGTAATCAACGAGATAGAGCGCTTTTCGTAAGAGTGTCGCAAAACCAAAACTAAAGTGATACCAGAGGCCAATTAGAAGAAATGAAAATACCCTCAAGAGCCAATGGGAACTCAGAGCTAAAACAACCAAACTGCCTCAAGCGCGGGAAAATGCGGGCGACCAAGTCGTGATTAGCTTTGAATCTGATTGGTTTAGAGAGTGGCGCGAGTAATCTGGACCAATCACAGAGCGAAGTAAAGAAAGAAAGAAATCCCGGATCACTTTCAACACTTAATTGCTCATTTCTCATTACTCAAAATTTCATTTTGTCTTATTATTAAATGACGTCAAAGCTGTTTATCGCGTTGCTGCGGCACAAGGGCATTCTTTTAAAACTAAAAAATTCCGTGCAGCAATTAAATGGATCAACAAAATTTAAAAGAACAATTTTCAATAGAGCGTCAAAAATGACTGGCTTTGCTTTACTCTCGGGTCTAGCCAACTCATCTCAACCAACCACATGCAAACTAAAATTAATCACGGCTTAGACCCTCGTGTCTTCCCACGCTCGAACCTGGCAACGTGTGCTTATTTACAGCTGTCGATTGCGTCTTCTATTTCCCTTCATGCTCTTATCTGTAGCGATTTCTTTGGGTTTGGTTGTACAACGCTCAAGCAACAGAGTTGGTTTATCGAGCGCTAAGCTCTTAGAGGCTTGCAATTAGCGCCCTATAAATTATACATATTATTAGTACATTAGACACTGTCATTATTGGTCTTCTTCCTCTTAGAGACTGCACAGCCGGTTTTCACACATCACCTCTCATTTACCCGGCAGACTATGATTCCGAAAAATAGATATTTTTTTCCTTTACTGTTTAGATTACTTGTGTGGGAAGAATTCATGTTTGCCTGTGCCATGTACCCGGTTGATGTAGAATTCTTGAACTCAGTCAAGGAAGAAGTACAATATCAGGTAATTTCTCCAGCATAGGCTTAATAAAGTTTCTTTCAATCTCGCAGAATTTTAATTGTAAGCCATAGGCTGAAGATAACTTCCTGAGGGTTTTCAAGAAGAGTAGAGTAGGGAAGAGAGGCTTATGGTAGGGAAATAGGGAGACGTATGATAAATAGGTGTAGAGCTTTTTGGCATGGGGAAGGTTATAGATAGGGAGAAGTGGGGTTTAAGTTAGGGAGGGAGAAATTTTGTCCGGGAAGGGGATGTATCACCATACAAAGGAAATTGTTTTAAAATGAGCGGAAAAGAAGCAAACCTGTTGCCGATGCATTTTTTTTACGTCTGTTGATGCTGTTTACGCAATGCCTTCTCGCCCAATTTCTAGAATTTAAAACATGTACATGGACTGAAAGGATAAATTGTCGGCAAAACAGATCTTAAGAAATTCATAGAACATCATTCAGAAACTTTGTGTGGACAGGTACGTCGGCTTCATCATCATCCGTCCATCATACTGTGGAGTGGTAACAATGAAAATGAAGAAGCTCTGGCGACCAACTGGTAAGCTCTATCTTGGTCCTGATTGGGTAATTGATTTTAATTTATTCACTTTGATGATTGATTTGGTTTGTTTTGTGACAATCTAAGAAATTGGTTTGAAAACGTCGCATCAGGAATTTGACATATCGGATATAAATTAAAAATCCCAAGCCACTGTGAAATGGATCGCGGTTTTCCGCGTTATATGTCGGCCACGAATATTTGTTTTGCATTCTTATTGCTCATTGTGTTCTCCTGGTTTCCTGTGAATGGTCGTCGAAACTGTTTTTCCAAAAGGCTTGAACGAGCTTTACGCTGACCACGTGTATTTGCTCTGCATCCTCATTGGTCTTTGTATTGTCAAGGTTTGCTGTGATTAGTCAATAACACCTTTTTTCCGACAGGCTTTCCCGCGCTTTACGCCGGTGACGTGTATTTGCCTTGCATTTTTATTGGATGTCGTGTGTTTTTAGTTCACTGTGATTGGTCAATGACATTGTCTGCCTGTGTCTTTTGGGAAAGTGATGAAGAAAAATCTTTCGCACATCAGCAAAAAAATGCCGGTTTCTTTAACCAATGAATAATCTTGAACTCTTGCAGTTCCTTCCTTTCTTCTGAGAGTAATATTAGAGATTTTTATGAATCTTTTTCCTTGAGGATATGGTTGTTCTCTTTAAATGTAATAAAAAGGCCATAAGGCTGTTAACCCTTTTACTCCCAAGATTTCATTAGTAATTCTCCTTACTGTCTGCCATAAAATACTTATGATTTCAATTTGGAGAATTTGGTATCGGATCAACTTATATTCCCCTAATTGAGTTTTCTTCCTTATTCTCCTCATTTGTCTGCTTGATTCTGTGTTGATATTGTAAGGAGAAATTCTGTCTTGGTCACCCATGGGAGTTCAAGGGTTAAATGCCAACCTCAGTTACCTTGATAGTCGAACTGTTTTGTTGTCTCAGGTATAACACCAGTTCTTCGTTCGCAAGGTACTATAAGGATTATAAGAAGGTAAGTACTTTCTTTCTGTTGGTAGAGTGAAAAGTACCTCACAGAGGTTTCGTAGAAAAGTCATCTGTATCTACAATATCTTATGCATGAATGACGATCATATTGTAACTTTTGAGTACCTATCTTATAAGCCCTTAGAGGAACTCACTTTTCCAACCTCTCTAATGGGATGGGCGTGAAGAGAGAATGGACTCAACAGAGGCGAGAAGGGGTGGGGGGTGGGTGGGGAAGGGCGTTGAGGTGACCTTGGGGCATTTGACGTTAATAGATGCCTAATGTCGCTCCCCTCTCTGATACAAATTTCCTACTCGTGAAGCTTTATTTAGTCAAACCACCAAACAGGAAATTTGTTTCAAACCCATAAATATTATTGCTTAATAATTTGCAAAACACAGCTTGCTTGCTGGTTTTTTTCTTATTCTTACTTTGAAAAGAACGCATAACAATGGAAAAAAACTAGAGAAGACCGGCCAAATTTTTCCCCTGGCATCGACCTTTTGGTAGTAAGAAAGGCGATGAAAACGAATCCGAACATTAGTGATCTTCAGATTATCCAAGTTGTTGCCGCCATGCTATGAAATTCGTTTTTACCGTTAGCTGTGTTTATGCCCTTGGGAGGTTAAGGGAACAATCAAGAATCCAAAGTTGCTGTTACACTGCTAGGCGTATTTCGCATGCCTCAAACATCGCACGTGCATCCAGAGCCCTATGTGCACGTGCTAAAAACAAACCCATTCTCAAATAATAAATTCCGTGTCTTTTTTTTTTGTGTGTGTGCATGCAACCTACCTGCATACCTACTCCAATTGAAGGAGGGGTTTGTGCGACTTGGAAAAGCCGTCAGACTGAACTAAGATACTTTATTAATAGTTGTATATAGATACTATCATGAAGACGCTGGAAAATGAAGACAAGAGCCGACCATTTCTCTCATCGTCTCCTTCGAATGGAGTAGATACTGAGAAAGAAGGATGGGTGGCAAAAAATCCAAATAGCTCCTATTGGGGAGATGGTAACTATTTTTTTACTTATGACGTAATAGTCGAGGTATGTTTTGGAATAACGGTTGTCTTTATGGGCGAGACCTGATGTTTTGCACTATTTGTGTAATTTATTTATAAGTTTCTGGCTCGTGATTAGAGGGGTGATCTTCAACAACACATTACAATGAACTTTTTCACAAACACCCTTTTGAAGTGCGCATTTTAAATTTGAAAGTGACATTGGTCAACTTTTTAAGAACAACGTTTTCAAATGTTATGTGTTGGGCTCAAATGCCAATCGCGATTAGTGTCGCGAACTATTTCCCAGCCTCACGCGATTTTATTTAAAACTAATCGACTAGTCATTTAGATCTCTGATTGTATCAAAGGCTCATGTTGCTGTGATGCAATAGTCTTTCTTTTTTTTCTTACCCAACGAATAATCGTAGTCACCATTTTATTTCAGCGCACTTCTACAACTATGCGATGGACTGTTGGAATGTCAGCGACTACCCCAAGCCTCGTTTTGCGTCTGAGTATGGTTTCCAGTCCTACCCGTCTTTTGAGACCCTAGCGCAGGTGTCAGTGGAAGGGGACTGGACCTACAATAGCGCATTCATGGATCACAGGCAACATCATGCAGACGGTTTGTATCACTAAGTGAAGAGACTTTCCCCTGAATCTCACTGTTACTCACAAAATAAACCAAAAAGTGAGATTGTTTTCTTTTGTTTTTTGATAGGATTATTGAGAGAAATTCTCTGGCTTGTTGGCTTAATTTTCATCATACGTGTTCGAGTAGAATTTTTACTATAATTGTTTTAAATTTTTCTGAAGCTTTACTAGCAATTAGTGAATGTGTGTACGACATGAGTGCACTATCGTCGCTGTCATCGTCATCATCATCATCATCATCATCATCATCATCATCATCATCATAATTAGTATTATTATCAGTGTTATTATTAATATTATTTTCATTGTTATGTTCAGGTAATCAGCAGATGTTAGGCCAAGCTAAGAAGCATTATAAACTTCCCAACTCAAAGGAGCCTTTGAAAAAATTTATGGACACTCTCTTTATTATCCAGGTAAAATAATCACTTTTCATGCCATTGGACAAAATATTGTATTACGTAATTTTCATCAAAAGCTATCACTGGCGCACGCGCACTTGGGGTGGGGTTTAGTCTCAGGGATCAAGAGGCCCATAATTATGAAATACTTATCTCCGGTGTCAGTCCCATTAAATGGCTGAGATAATGTATTCTACCTCGGGATCGGTTGCTAAAGTAACTCTCCTCTTCCCCCGTCGCCCGCATTTGGTCAGGTTTCATTGATAATTCGCCGGATCCCACACTCCTGAGTGTAGAGAGGTAGAGTGAAAGTGAAGTCTCTTACTCGGGAACACAACACTATGACCCAGCTAGAACTCGGACCCAAACCTCCTAGTCCAGCGTTCACGCACAGCGCCATGACTGCTAATCCACCGCTTCACCAATACAGTTGTCAGTAAACTTCCTCAAGTCTTCCAGGACAACATTATGTAACGAGCGCCATGATACAGGTGGAAACGGAAAAAAGACCTACGTGACATGTTACCCTCACCTGACCCTTTATAATAAATGGTACACGTTTCAGTTATGCCTTTTTCTTTCTAGGTAACTCAAGCTCAGTGCATGAAGACAGAGACTGAACATTACAGACGTTTACAGAGTGAATTAATAAAGGTGGGTTTGAATCGCAGTTACGCTATTTGACGAAACTTGGATAACAGGCCCTTTGATTTTCTCGTCAGGGTGAAGGAAGAACAATGGGCACAATATATTGGCAGTAAGTGACTGCTTTATTGAATAACTTTTTAAATTGAAAGGTTGAAAGAAAAGAATGTAAGAGACAATGATTGTAATTCGACTATTTTTTCAAAGAATATCAACAACGTTAAAATTTGACACGATGAGAATACTCATTGTGCAGAATGGCCATACCTTTGAGATCTCTTACACGTCACAAATAGAACTTCTATTGTTGTTTAATTTAAGTCAATGATGCTAAAAAGGAAGGAAAGGCCTTGTTTTTTTTTAATTTAACGGGAATTTACATAGAGACGTCCTTTACGTTCGCCAGACCCAACACCAACCGTAAACCCTGTTTGTGTTTTAGCAGTTCATAGATTAAGTGTAAAATTATGTTACAGTTTTATTTTCTTCTTCTGGGAAGATTTTTAACGTTACATGAGTTGCACGTGATCAATTTGCAATGTCTCGCACCACCTGTAAAAGACATAATTACAGGTTAATTGTTTTATGCAGTCATATAAATTACAAGCTCTTCTTTAAGTTACATATTTTTTACCGGTAGAACCTAGGGGTTGGAAGGGGTTTGGTGATAGGATGTGAAACAGCTTATTCGGGGGGAGGGGAGGGGCAGTTTGTATTGCCCTTGGTACAAATGCGTTAAACATTAATGAGGGGCCCCTTAGTCTGTACATTATCCCTTGTAGTAAGGAAACATCTGAAGTCGGATGGTAAAGAGACTTAACCAGCAACTCACTTTTACTTTGTTTTGACCGTTTCAGGTTGAACAGTATTTGGCAGGCTCCCACTTGGTCTTCTTTAGAATATGGAGGACGTTGGAAGGTACAAGTTTGCTCTGTTTTCTTTAAACTACAGCTCAAACTTGTGGTATTCACAAAATCAATCATCGTGATATCAATCCTTAACCCTTTGCACTGTGACGATGGTATTCTTATTCTACACACAGATCTCTCTATAATATACAGATTTAGCCAACCCTAAAAGCGGAGCTCGCATTTTTTTTCCCGCACGTCTCAAGGGCACAACGCCTTGCCCCGGCTAGGACTAGAACTACTGGACAAAGCCGTGGCGTTGGCGTGCCCGCGGTTGACCACGCATGTTTAAAGTAGCACCTTGTACGGTCGGTCGTATGGTCGTAAGTTCAAATTTTTTCGGCTTGATGGGTTACTACTACCATTTTGTATAATATGGGGCTACGCTCTGCGAGCTCCGCTATTACCTGTGGTAAATTGTGATCATTTCCTTCTCATCACCTTTACATTTGATTCAAAGATGATACTGTGAGGAGAAGCCAGTCACTCTCAGTGAAAAGGTTAAAGGCTTATTATTTTTTTTTTGGTTGACAGATGCTTCATTACTTTGTGAAGGATTTTTTTGCGCCTGTAATCGCGTCACCATACCAGGAGGGCGGCAAGTTTAGGCTCTGGGTAGTATCAGATCTTGTGAAGGTAAAAATGCGTAAATATTTTATTATTGCAGCATCTTAAAATGTGTGTTAAAAGAAAAACAATGTGTACGTCCTCAGTCAATCCCCAAAGAAAATTCCGCCAATTGTCATGTACTCTGATTAGGACACTGCAACCTCAACAATGGGATCGCAAATGGGCTTTCAAAATCTTGTTTGCTTCCTTTTGAATGACCGTCCTAACTTTTTGACAGTATTTGCTCGGCACCAAAAAACCGAGTCCACGTGCATGCGCGTTGGGTTGCAGGTCATGTGATTTGGATCGGGTCGCTCAAGCTTTTCTATACCTCACAGTGACTTGCTTGGTGTCTTTTTATTGTTGTTGAATTGTGAAGTTTTTAGTCGATGCCTTCTGTGGTTTCAGCCAATCTCGCGGGGTGCTGTGTCTCTCAAGGCGTGGTCATGGTCTTCCTTCACACCACTGTACAGCAAAAAAGTCTCATTTAACATTAAACGACAAACTTCGGTAAGCACGGCTTGTTGTGTCCATTCCACATGTGGATCAACCAAAGGAGATACCGTAGTCTGACTTACGTATCCTTGCTTGTAATTAATAGAAACAGGTTTACGAAGATGAAGTAGAAACACTCTTACAGTCAAGCAAATGTAAAAGTGCTCGGCATTGTGTCTTTACTGTGAAACCTGTAGACGCGAGCACAGGCCAGGACCTGGGACCGACGAACGTGTTTTATCCGACGAGTTTGTCAGAAGTAGAGGGTATTAGTGATCCAAAGTTGAAGGTGAATAATAGTTAGTATTAAAAATTAATAATTACAAATAATCATTTATTGACTACTGATAAATAATTCGTTACTGATAAACAATTACTTACAGCAGTGTTCTTTTGTCTATAGTGCTCTGTATAACCTTGTAAAGTTGATGGAAAAATTAATGAAAGAAAGGGCGCAGCCCTTAAAAGAGTATCGAATTTTTATTCTTATTATATTTTGTTTCCTTCTTTCTGTTTTCTTTTTTTTTGGCAGATTGTAAAAGTTGCTCGCATGCCCCAAAAAGGAGAGTTTAGCGTTCATATTGAGGCCCAGTCTCCCGCTTGTTATGTGTGGCTTGTAGCCAAAGATGTCCGTGGCCGCTTTTCAGATAACGGTTTTCTCCTGATCGAACCTTCGAAGACGGTATGAACAAGTTAATTACTAGCAAATGAATCAGCTAGCACACTTACATATCTATTGCGTTTTGCTTCTTGGCGTAAATTTTGTTTAAGATTTTTGCGTTTAGCACTGCGTTAAGCTAATGACCTGTGTTAGCTTGTGAAGAAGAAAGCCGTTGATAATTTAGAACAAAGAGTGAAAAAAAACAACAAACTGACTATTTTGGTGGTATAAATCTGACAATGGCTACATTCTTTTCAACTTCAGGTGATATTCTACAGTTGGCAGAACACCACTGAAGATGAATTAGAGAAGAATCTTTACATGAAGTCTCTCTATGATTTATATGCCTAGTTAATTTAGTTCTTCAATAAGGACATCCCTGAGAAAGATTTTTTTTATTATAAGAGATATAGTAAGAAGATTAATTCTCAATTTCAACTTCTCAATTCAAGCGAAAAGTTGTCCATTCAATCAGGTATTGGTGGTCGAAGGAAACAGCAGGATGAAAATAGACTTGAAAAAAAAAAAGGCAAACAAACTACATCTGCTATGCACCACCCCTCAACGTCCTTCTCTGTGATACTCTCTTTCCCCCCTCAGCAGGTTCTTGAATAATCATTGCCTGGTAGTCACTAGTCATTTTTACCCTTTGATCCCTAAGAGTGACTGGCATCTAATTTCTCCTAACCATATCACCCCTGAATCAAACATTAAGGTTAGGAGAATATAGGAGCTGATCCCCGACTAAAGAAGCTCTTGATTGTTAGACAAATTCTCAAGGTTGCCATCTTAGGAAATGTTTAGAGAACAGTATGGAGAATATGCCTACCGATGTTAGAGTGTAAAGGGTTAAGGTGTTAGCCGTTCACAGTACTTGAGAGAGGAGGTGGCACATACTTCAGACAATTGTGTGCATCTATGTTGCTTAGCAATCCTAAAACTTGCTCATACGATTTTTTAGTACTGATTGAAACTTTTGTTAGGCATAACATTATGTAGTAGGAAATCGTTATGTTACATGTAACTGTTATTTGTTTTTAAACATATTTTTCACTTCTCGATTTCATACGTAAAGCATATCTATGAAATTGTGAGCCATTCCTCTCAGGGAATATTTTTTGCCAAAATGCATGCGTAATTATTTCTACATTCGTTTTCACTGTTTGTTGATTAGCATTCTTCGAAAAAAGAAGCTTTTTTATTGTATAGTTAAAGGCGTTTTATTGGCATTAAATTAAATGTTTTAATACTAACAAGAGGAATTTGCCCTTTTAGTACTTGTACTTATTATTCTTCGAATATTTTGCGACGTGCGGGGAAAAATGTCAACGATCAGCTTACCGTTTACTGCGTGGGACGCGCGACATTATGACAAGCTACTACTGTAACAACCTTAACGCGCTCTTGTCTTGAAGTGAATTTTAAAGGAAGACTTGGTGTAGTGAAAGTGAGGTTTAGTAACAATTGGAGAATATCACTGGGTATATCCTTGGAAATTCTCCAGTTTTAGCTGGTCACATGATGCGTTTGGACCAAGATTATGGCATCAACAATCATTTCTTCAGAAAAGACAAGCCCCGGTAACTGACCAAAATATTGAGAATGCTTAGGTCGACAAAAATATGCTTTCGTCCACCGTAACTCGTGGATTCGTTGAACACAAATACCCACTAGGCAAAGAGTCTGGTACCCTGGGAACGAAAGTTTTCGCTTAAGTGCTTACGGGATCGTTTCGCGGACGCGGGTCAAACAAACATGATGGAATATGGAGCGGAATGTAGAATAACGAGTGGTGGTAACAACAATGCAAGGGTTTTTTTATTTGATTTAGCCACCTTTAGCAAATGTCATTAACGAAAATCCATAAAACTTAATCAATAATTAATAAGAATTTCTTACGCAAAGGAAATAATTTAATCTGTGCGAAGTCGATTGATCGGCGTCGACGAACCTCTTTTCTTGTGATAACGTAACAACAGGTCATTCTTCCCAAATTTTCCTTTTATGCGCAATGATACATAAAATTTATAAAACAAATCGAAATGACAACTGAGTTTAAACAATACTATGCTAGTATAAATAGCTCAACAAAGTTACAGTCATTCGTGCCACATCTGATTGACAAGTATTTGAAGAAGTTTTCATCATCGCCTGAGTAGTTTTGGTCATAAAATCACGAGACGATCTAGATCTCTACGAAGCCATATGTACCCATCACTTCCTCTACCCACTTAGTGACTTTGAACATATTAGCGTACACACCATATTTGTGCGGTCGCGCACATTCGTGCCCCCAGGAAACTATCCCTGTGAGATAAAAGCGCCCGCGATGCTTGCAAGCCAGAGGACCTCCACTGTCGTATTGACAAGCATCGACGCCTCCTTTCTCGAATCCAGCGCATAGAGCCCTGTTATGGACGGTTCCGTTGTAAGATTTGACACTATTGCAAATTTGCGGTGGAACCAGGCGAACCTTGGCTTCGCGCAGAATATCAGGTTGGGCGCTGTTCCATTGGGTGTGGCCCCAACCAGTCACATAGCATTCCTTTCCCCAAGGGAATTTCATCGATGGGCGAAGAAGACAAATTGGAGAAACGTACTGATCATAGATTGCAGGCTCTGATAGACGAAGTAGGGCTGTCCATATAAAAATAAACGAACAACAGTTATAAAAGAAAAACAACTTAGCTGTTTTTGTTGTTGATTTTGAATATAACAAAAAAATCCATAAGCATAATTCCGAACGAGGAGACCATTACACTCTTACATACTTTATTTATTTTCTCATGTTTATCATCCAGAATATTTCTTTGTCCTGCAGATTGCAGATGGTAATCGAGGTGGGTTAATTTTCAACTTAACTTAATCGTACTGAAAATAATACAGATATAAGGAAATAATACAGAAAATACATTCAAATACATGCAAGAACAGAAAAAGAAAACTGAAGGACCATTCATTATTAGGGGGATCACACGGTGTTCGTAAGAAGGGAGGAGGGAATCAGTCAGTCACTAACAGAGCACTATATGAAGATATATGTTTCAACCTGACATGTCATCATCAGAAACGTTTTGCGCCACCTGTGGTCCTTTAAGCGCCCTTGAAAACAGATAATTGTTGAAAAGTAGAAAGGGAGTGATATGTACTCCGGGGGGTGCCGCGGAAGACTTTGGGGGGATCGCATAGTTTCCAGAGGGAACAAAGGGAAAAACAGTCATCCCTAACAGAGAATAAAGAGATTAATATCGAAAATTGACTGTCAATTAAGGGCGTGGGGGTCATCAGAGTTATTAGAATACAACAGAGTCTTAGGGGGGATCAGCTAAATTTTACTATAGTACAACCAAAATTCTCTGATTCCTTCCCCGGATAAATAATGACCGGTTCCTTAATTCCGGTTGTTAACAGTGTATGAGAGTCTTAAGTGTCATGTGACTTACCCACATCATAATCAGGAGGTGTATCGTAAATCCCTTCAAGGAACATTGACTTGTACTTTGGATGAAGGTAAATTGATTCGATTTCTCTGCTCTGCTCAAATACTTCTTTGTCAACCAAATGATGTTCGCCGAGGACCGCTTTCCAGTCTGATGGCTTTGTAGATGTATAAGAATCTAATGGAAACAAGTTTAAGAAAATAAAATCGGAAAAATGGTAAAACAAATACAGGCACGACATCACAAACACCATGAGCAGTCCCCTGCTTTTCGGCAAAATTCCTCGCACGAGTTAAGAAAGAAAGTAAGTGAAAAAAATATGGTGTTAGCGCGCAGTACGGAACTCTGAAGTGAGGCGCAAGAAAAGCCTCACTTCCGTTGTTCCGCGCGGCGTGCTAACATTGCTTCTTTTTAACTGAATTTTTTTTACTTGCGTGACGGATTTCGCCTAAAATGGGGTCCTATTCGTAGTCTAGACATCGCAGCTTGGAATGAGAAGAAACTGAGCGCTTCTGACAACAGAAGATTCACATAATCCTGTGTGTGCGCCCTGTAACTCTGACTTCTTCTGATGAATACAAGATATAATCACCTTTTCGCAAAAAAAGTACTTTCAAGTCCTCCTTTCGAGAGCTTTTTTATACCAAAAAGTTTACATTGTTGATAAATTTATTTTCATGGCTTAAGACTTCTAAGAAAATATGAATTTGTAAGTTTTCGGTGTCTCCAAGAATGTAAATTCCGAAATGGCTTTTAGAACGCTCTTCGATTGAGTGTCGTAAAACCAAAGCAATCACAACGGCCAATGAGAGGAAAGGAAAATAACCCAAAGAGCCAACGAGAACGAAAAGTAAAAACGAGCAAACTGTATAAAGCGCGGGAAAAAACGAGTCACCAGGTTGCGATTGGTTTTAGTTTGGCAGCTGATTGGCTGAGAGAACAGCGCGAGGTTTTCTGGACCAATCACATAGCAAAGTATAGCAAAACCAATGCGGTGACGGATTATTTTAGACTTTTAATTGGAAATTGTACCATGAGAAAAATTGTCTCTTGTTTTACTGTTTGTCTTTAGACCATCCAATCGGAAAAAATATGAAACTTGAGCCATTCTGGAAATTAACCGCTCCTTATGTGCAAGAGTTTACTTACCGTGGAAACAATGGGTAGCCGATACAACCCAGTGAGGAGAGATAAGGGAGCCTCCACAGAACTGTGTCTGATTGAAGAGCAGAGCAACTTGCCATGGCCATGCGCCCTGTGCACTCTGAGTACCTCCCACAATGCGACGAAATAGGCTCGTTGTGTCAGAAAATCTTTTACCACACGAGGTGTGTCCTGGAATTTCAAACGGTGAAACGTTAAAAAGGTTGTCCTCTGTGCATAAAAGGTAAGTTGACCCACGTCCAAAATTTCTTAGAATATAAAAAACTTGGGCCAAGCATAAACGGTTTCGCTTCCTGTGCCTGACAACAGTGAATCAAATACAGTCATACTCTTGCTGCTTAAAGGGACTGAGATGCTCTGTTTGGGAAGCTGACTGGGCGATATAAAAAAGGTTCCATCTGCAGATGTCTGATCTTTAATCTAGGCTCTGTTTGTCATCTTTTTTAATGAACCATTCGTTTAAAATTAAAAATAAAAGACAAATAAGCCTGTATTTGTGAATAGTGCTGATGGGTTGCCTGTAAGATCCCACTGGTTTCACGACTTTTAGTTTGTTGAAATTATACAGAAGTGTTTTAATCTGTGCATAAAATTTCCTAGCATACCCGTCTACTTAGCCGTGTTTTTTGAAAAAAAGTATAGCTTTTTCCTCCAACATAGCAAATTGAGTAACTCGTCTACCTGCATTGAATATACCTTGATCAATCCCTATCGTACGCTGCGATCCGATTCCCTCCGAAATTTAGTAGGTCGGGCCCATTTTAAGTTTCTTTCCAGCGTTTGACTTAAATAGCTTTTATTGAGATGCACCCTTGTATGATATATACAGAAAATTAGTTGATAATTGTTTCAGAGAGTATTCATTTTTTTCCAAGATTGTAGTGAATAAAAAGTTAGATCGAAAGCATTCAACTTAAGTCCACGCTTTTGTCGATCGCCTTGATTTTGTCGGCAACTGAATTTTTTGTGACATGAAGCAAAACAGTTCTGCAACATGTCCTCGAGCTAAACATTCAATAATCCACCTCAATATCACTTTTATTAAAAACCTCTCATTTTCCTCAGAGAAGTTTTGTTTTGTTTTGTTTGTTTCTGCTTTTTCGTAATACAGTCTTGACATATCTTTCATAGGTTTACTGTAAAATCACGTTCAGGTTCATCACAAGAATTTGGTTCGATCTGACCTCCTGAGCCATAAGTAGCTACGTTTTTCAGTTCCTTTTTAACGTCCAGGGGTTTCATGAAAAAACAGTTATTCACGGCCCACCCCCGCCGCCTCCAGGACCTCTTAACACTGTCTGTTTAGCCTGCAAGCAGACACCCGTATTTGGTATTTGCCTTACAGCCCCTTTTTGGTCAAAGTCCTCCTTTTCTATCATCGGCAGCCGCTTATGGCTGTGAAAGTGATTGAGACCCCGTATGTTTGGATAAACTGAATGACTTAGTTACGAGTGCAAACAGCAGAACTCCTTGGCGGGTTAAATCATTTTGAAGTTCCGATAGTTTGGAAATAAAGTCTCTGTCCCAGAAATATCCAGAAAATGGTGATACGAATGTTGAGAATTAATCCTGCCCTGTTGGACCATCTGCGCGTGAACTCAACTTTACCGTGTGATATTATTCACCCTATAAGAAATTTATGTCATGGTCCAGAACATGAATAAAACAAAAAACAAAAAGATATAACTTACCATCGGAGATTTTGCAAAAGAAGAGACAAAGAAACAGGGGAAAAACTTGTTTCATGACAAGGACGAATGTTGATGAAGTGATCACAGTCGGTAAAACTTTGTGGCTTCCCGTTTCAATGAAGGAAATCTACCAATTCCCTCTTTGAGATTGAAACTTTAATATACTGAGTCAACAATTAACTTAACAGCTGCAAGCTGAACCATGTAAATGATAGAAAAGTAATTTCAGGAGCGCATATTGCGCTAAACAGTTACCACTCCAAAAACATTGATTAGTCTGAGATAATTTCCATCAAATTAGCCGAGTAAATATAAAAGATTTTTAATTTACAGACCATGTTAACAATTACAGCTAAATATGATGTGACAATTTTTCATTAAGCCGAACAGTTTTGGTCCTTTTTTCCTTCCTGGCGGTATTTTGACTTTTTAAGAGATGCTAATGAGAAATACGCCCTATTTCCTTTTAAATTTACAGCTCTTTTTATGACAGGTCTACCTATTTAAGTTCTGTTCGTGTAATGTTAATGAATTTTTGTTTTACTCAACCCACCAAGAGCGTGCATATAGCAAAGGTAATAATCAATGAAGAGACTCTTGTGATTTTTTTCTTGAAAATTGAAAACAGGCCTAGATTTGCATTAAGACGCAGCTTGAAATGCAGAGCAGAGTACGCAACGAAAATATCATGAAAGACGCCATTGTTAGTTTTTCCCATTTGAACTCAATAAAAGGTAGTTCTCACCTGTGTTTGATTTTAATTTGAACCTAATTCTTGTTTGAATGAAATGTTTGTTTGTTCTAAAGAAATAAGCGCTCCTACTTTCATATCGTGCCTTGACCCAAAAGATCGAGAAATAACTTTGAAATCTCTTTGAAAGCTCAATGTACAATTTTCCATTCTGAAAGTGTCGAGGGCTTTAAACTAGCGTTTTTGTTCGTTTGTTTGTTTTGGATTTGATACCATGGATAGATTGGTAAGGACTGGCCTATTCGCTGTTGAGAAGTGTAGAAGGGATCATATCTTGTTTCGTGAAAAGTTTGGCGTATTTGCTTGACAGTTAGTGTTTTGTTACCCTGATCCTATATTTCTAAGTTTATAAGACCAGTTGCACTGAAATTAAGGTTAAAAATCGATTATGTCGAATTCAATCGAGAGCATTTGGACAAAGAGTATTTAATTGAGAATAAAATAGGAGTACTTATCTGCAGCCACACGGTTTTGGGTAAATAAATGAACAACGATACTTTGCATAGATTAGGTGGGTAGTTTTCATTTACCTAAATTTAGGAACTATGCTGAACAACTGCCCAGCATAGTTACATAACTGGTGTTAGCTTAAAGGAAAAAGATCCGCATCTCTCTCTCTCTCTTTTTTCATAGAGATATAATTCTCTAACATTGATTTCACCACAGCTCACATCACTGTCAAGTGTTATCAAGGGCGGAGGTCAAGAAACCTCTCACGTCATTATGACTTCTAGAGTGCCGCTGGTTTAAAAGATTGAATATTTTACAGTACATCATGAATATATCCTACATTTTTCTTTCTTTTTAGTCGTAGAGAGGCCACAATATGCTCACAACTTATTACTTGCGCAACTGAGGCTCGGTGGGAGACAAAAATTCAACAAAATAAATGACTCGCAAAGCAAACCAAAAAAACCCTCACACATACAGACGTATAAAAAACGGTTTTATTTCGGTAATCCGTATTGAAAATAATGGTTTTCCCCAAACTACTGATTTTTCATTATTTTACACAATAAATGCAACTCTCCTGAAGTAATAGATGGGTAATAACTGTGAGGTGAGAAAGTTTTTCCATCAGGCGAGGACTCTTTTTCTGTTACTCGGTTTTGTCCGATGAAAGAAGTATAACACTGTGCATAAATTTTGTGGAGATTTCTCACCAAATTTAATTAAAAAACCGTGCTGAGCGACTGTTACAAGCGTTAAAAGGGAAGGAAAGCGTGTCTCCCTTTTATATCAACTCACAATACTTTAAAATGGTTTTTATCATCTTCCAATTCATATTTCTTTTTAAACAAAATAATCTAAAATCATAACACCTCTTGTATCATGTTACATCATTCCACTCTAACGAACTGTATGAAACTCAGAGGTTTAAATTAGAGGCGGCTACTAGCGGCCCGGTCTACTGCCGCCTGTAAGATCTCTTACTGCCGTCTTCTAACCTTCGAGCAGATTCCAGTATTCGGGTTCCGCCTCACGGCACCTGTGGCGTGACCGATGAATTTTTCTTTCATTTCATAAAAACCCAAAGATTTCCCTATAACGTCGCTTTGAAAAGTCTGAAGAGCACTCAAGAAGCTCGCATTGGTCTCGGCTGCGCCTCCAGCAACTCTCACGCATCTTTTACGCTCTCAAAAACTTCCCGTGTGCTTACATATGTTTTGGTCCTCGATGAACATACGCTGACGTATGAACCAGTTGTTAAGTGTTTATTTTAAATGGAGTTTAGTCGGCTTCCACAGAACTGGCCGAATAAGAAATGCTCTCTCAGTCTCGAGGATTTTGGTAAAAACGACTGCAGCGATAAATGAAACTCAATTTATGTCGAGCTGTTACAATCCAGCAGCAAATATACCTGATAAAACCCTTGCTTGCTTCCTTCTATTTTCTGTTTCTTTGGCTGGAAACACCTTCATTGAAATAATTGTCTTCAAGACGAAAACTCTGAAAAAGCCAATTAATTTGTTGATGGTTAACATGGCCATATCCGATATGTTTGTTCCGATTTTCCTGTTTCCTCGTATTTTAGTTTGACTTTACACTCGCACCTGGCTGATATGCGGTCCGCTTGGTCACGTGTTATTTTGTAAGCTGAGTATCTATCCATCCAACATGTCCTCTTCTGTGTCAGCTTAGAGCCTGGTTCTGATAGCAGTTGACTGATTTGGAGCTGTTGTATTTCTTCTTCGTTCCCTATTGATCAGTTTAAAGAAGTGCCGGCACTCTGTTCTCGTTACTTAAGTCATCGTCATAACTTCGTCATAACGAGTATCTAGTGGGGCAGACGCATTTGGAATGACGCATTTGGAGAGTTCTCGTCGTTTCAGAAACTACTCTATGGCAACGTTATAGTCTATCATGTCCCTTTGGGTTTGGTTGCTCTACTTTACTTTTCTATCGCTTCAAAAATCAAATCTCAGAAGATTCAAGGAGAGTTATCTGTCAACGAAACATGGCAGCGTTTGACGAGAGAGCGGAAAGTTCTTAAACTGTCCGTTGCCATCGTGTTGGGGCTCGCAGTATGCTGGCTGCCTCTTAGTGTTGCATGGTTCATGCTCTTCAACTCAGACCGAACAATAGCATCATCTTGTGGCTTCTTTTACTTCTAGTCTGTTGCCCTATTTCTGACGATATCGAACTGTGTGATTACCCTTAGGATTTGTTTGTTTCGGTGGCAATTATCGTCAAGGTCTCAAGAATCTCATCAGTCGCTCTTCTGTTGACCTTGGG